GCCTGTGACAAATTCAAATTTGTAGTGGCCTCAGATTTGTGAGGTCCAAGTCTTGTATGGACTCAGCGAGCTGTGAGTTTCTTGTATATTCCCAGGATCGGCAAGGCGTTGAATAGTTGTAGTGCAAGCACAGCTGATATCATAAGTACGACTGAGAGATTGAAGCAGGATCTCGAAGTTACCACACAGAGGCAAGAGATTGTCTCGTGCTTTCTTCGTGACTATCAGCTATCTAGCGAGGAGGTCTTAATCTAGAACCTAGAAGCTTCTTGCTATAGATTATTCGATGGCCTTACCTTTTCAACTCAAAATGTTGGTTGCTAATTTTTCCTGTTCTGTTAACGTCTTTGTAGATAAGTGCTCTGAGGGAAGAAGACTTAAACGAGAATTTCTTCAAGGCGCTTTCTCATGTTCAAGAGATTCATTCCAATTGCAAAGTATTGCTACGAACGCATCACCAGGTAATTTGGTGATAGCTAGCCTGCTTATTATCAATGTTCTAGGTCTGGAGTTTTCTCATACTACTAATTTGGTGATAAATAGGCTGCTTCATTTTATGCTTTCTGTTTGACGTTTCCGTTTATAATATACTAGCTGATTCCATTTACTTAATTGCCCTAAAAGCTTGGAGGTGGTTGTAATCATTGACTTAAATGGATTCCCCCCCCCCCCCCCCCCCCCCCCCCCCCCCTGCAGCGAGCTGGTCTAGAGTTGATGGATATGATGGCTGTGTACCAAGAAGGAGCGTATGAGAGGCTATGCAGGTAAAATTATCTTCTTCACTGGATGCTTCTTCCTTTTCCTTTTTTTCTTAAAGGATGTTTCACCTTACTGGGCACACAGTGTTTTACTTTCAGTTCTTGCTAACGTAAATCACTACAATGAGCCTTAGAAATAGACATTAGGATAGATGGACAGTAGTTATTTACACTATGGTAACAAGTACCCTATCCTGCAGCTGTTCTTGTTCATTGCTGACCTAGAAATCAATCTCTTTTAAGTAGCAAGGATAAAGGTTTTTTCTTATCAGGATGGCGTAGGTTGATTTTATAGTTAGGTGCTTCAGAAGGGATTTGAACTTAGGACCTCCAGGTTCAATATAGAGATATTGATAGTTACGAGATTCCAGCTTTTGTTCGTGCTATATTTATAACTCCTATCTCGATTTTGATGATAAGAAGCCTAGTTATTAGTGTATAGCAAACAAGAGGCATTTTATCTCTGTTAATAAGGTACTCTGGAGTTGTGTGAATTTACTGTAGACTGCTTAACTCCCTAAAGTTTCTTTTCTGTTTATCTTATGTGTTAGTTGTGTTACCCCATTGTAGGTGGGTTCAGGCAGAATGTAGGAAGCTGGGAGATACTGACAATCCTGAAGTTGGTGATCTTTTGAAAACAGCAGTCCTGTGTCTCAAAGAGAGGCCTGTCCTTTTCAAATATTGTGCGGAAGAGGTGACTGCTGTTTGTATAATCAACAACATTTGCTTACAATATTAATTTCCATGCGGCATGAGAGATCTGCTTTGGAATGTTCAGGTAGCAAATATGAGGCACAATGCATTGTTCAGAAGATTTATTAGTGCTCTTACACGTGGAGGACCTGGTGGACTGCCAAGACCGATAGAGGTTCATGCTCATGATCCATTACGATATGTTGGTGACATGTTGGGATGGTTGCATCAGGTTTGGCTTCAACAGTTCAACTTCCCATTGGTTGTGTTTTACTAAAGTTGTTCTCTATATGAGCTCTTATTATTCGCTCTATCATATGCAGGCATTGGCATCTGAGCGTGAACTTGCTCTTGCGTTACTTGATCCTGATGCAACTGCAGATGCTGGATCAGCCACAAATTATGTTCCAAAGGTTTTGGAGAATGGTAGTGGAAAGAAAGAATCCGACATGACATTTGTGCTCGACAGAATTTTCGAAGGAGTTTGTCGCCCATTTAAAGTTAGGGTAGAACAAGTATTGCAGTCCCAACCCAGTCTTATAGTAACATACAAACTCAGTAATACCTTGGAATTTTACTGCTACACTGTAAGTGATTGCATTGTCCTATGTTTCCTTCATCTTCTTTATGTCCTGGTTCTCCTCCCCTTAGCTGAAAGAAACCAATCCTGCTAACTATAGGTGTCAGATTTGCTCGGGAGAGATACAGCCCTGTGCAATACATTGTTGCTACTGAAGGATGCTGCACAGAAAACTTTCTTTGGCATTCTGAAACCCCGCGGAGAGAAACTCTTACGTTATCCTCCTCTTGTAGCTGCTGATCTCTCCCCTCCACAGGCTGTGAGGGAAGGTGTGTCTGTTCTACTTGATATAATTGAAATCCATAACAGCATGATGGTTCCTGCTTCAGAAAATAATCCAGATTTCGGCCCAGTCATATCTGCATTACTTGATCCTATAATTCAGGTATGATCATTATCTAATACTAAGTTCTGGGATCAATCTGTATCATTATGCTCTATATAAGTTTGCAGGCATAATAATAAATGTTTTGGATACTTCGCTTGTTTCATTTTTGTTATTTGAATATTGTGCTTTAATGCTATTGAGAAAGTGCATCAGAATCACTTGTAAGGATGAATTCCTTGCATTTTCTGTTTACTTAAAACCCCCAAGAGCTTCAGTTTTGAATTCTGGGATGTGGTTTAAGCCTTTGGTTTTCCTAATCATTTGCATGTCAGCTGTCACTTAAGCTTGTTGGTTAAGTTGATCTTCATCTTTACATTGTTTTCAGTGCTAATAGCAGATTTAATGATTCTGTATTTGCTCTAATGCCTTGCCAGTTACATTTTATGCTTTCTGCTGAACTGTGTTACACTCTGAAAATTTATTTGCAGTCAATATAAACTGAAGGTATATTGTGCTCACCAATTGCGTTCTCAACCTTTAAGTTAGTAATTCTATGAGATGTAAGGTCAACTTTTCACACACGTCTTCGCAGATGTGTGAGCGAGCTGCTGAGGCACACAAGTCTAAGGGTGCTAGTAACTTGTCAAGAAGGAGAAGCACTGGCACGAACCAAGACAATAAATCTTCAGTTGACGCCCTTCTGTCAAATGGAAGCTCTGGCCCGTCCTCTCAGGTATCTACTTACCTTTTGCCCCTTATTACGAGCATCTCTGATTGTCGGACTTCACAGTCATTCTAAAATATCTGTTTGTACACCACGACATGACGTAACCAGTTTGATTTTGCTGAAGGCAATCAACACTGGAAGAAATATCACAATTTCATTTCTGAACGGTGCTGTGCAGAATTCTGAAATGCCTGCCAAGATCTTCCTTATCAACTGCCTGTGCGCCATCCAGCAGCCATTATCCGGGCACGAGATTGCTGCTGAATATGTAAATAAACTTGGAGGAATGATAGATAGGCACGTGCACGATCTGGTGGGAAGAGAAGTCGACGCCATTCTTAGAAGATGTGGGCTGTCTCAGAAAATGAGTTACTTCCATGATTCAGTTGACAACGGAGCAACATCAGGGACGAGGCCACTAGCAGAGGTTGAAGAGACGTCCCCAGCGGCTCTCGCAGAGTGCTTGAGGGCTTTCTTCGGGCTTGTACTGGGGAGTGAGAGTGCACTTCCCGAGTTCGAACAGATGCAGGTCCCGAAGTTGCGGTCCGAGACTTGCGTGGAGGTGGCCAGGTCCCTCGCGGGATCATATGATCTTATTTACAAAGCAATCATGGATCCGAGGAATGGCTACGCAGAGCCCAGATCATTGGCAAGGCATCCTCCAGATCAAATAAGGACCATTTTGGGCATATGAGAATCTGACGAGACTGTGAATTGGTCTGTTGCCAAGAGTTCTATTTGGGGTTTTCACTCATCTAGAATTGGTGTATAGATGGCAAAGTCAATGTATTATGACCAGTGTATCATGATTTTTACTGCTTGTAAAATGATTCGATTTTGATTTTAGAATGAGGATTTTTGGGAATCTGTTACGAAGTAGATGAAATGTTACACTTTCTTCGAATTTTATTGTACCACTTGAATTCAAAAGTGATTCGAGAACTAGCATCAAATCATAATGTGAATTTGCTCTTGGAAGTTGCGTTTTCTAATTCACTCCGCCTTAATAGTATGTTATTTTAAATAATTGAAAATCATGTCATTCGTACTAAGTACTAACTAAAGGGGATAATCAATTCATAATATTATTCGTAATTTCAACAATAGGATCTTCCATGTTCTAGCTGAAAACATTATGAATATTGACAATTTTCTCTTGTAAAGATGAGGTAAACTATCATTCTATGACTACTAACTGGTATGAATACTAAAAAAGTTCTGAATCATATACCTAATTTGTAAATAAGAGTCATAACTGGTATGACTACTCGCTGGGGCATTCTCTTAGCGTGGGCGAGCATACGATCACGGCACCTCCCCGACACTAAATCACCTACTGCTCTATAATGTAATGGGTATCCAGACCCCTCGCTTTGTGTTAAGCTAATCGGTTGGAGCGCCGTCCTCGCTCCGTCTTATTACCAAAAAAAAAAATAAGACTCATTATACTTCCGTCATTGATCTTTCTTATTCATCACCAGCTCTTTCTCAAAATTTGGCTGAGGCTCTCATCTCAAGTGTCTTCGAGTTGCCTTGTTGCTTTCACTTTCTTTCAACATAAGAAAACACTTGTTTTCCTCACTTGTATAGTTATATTTCTCAACGTGTTCATTATTTTAAGCAAAATCCGAACCAATCAAACCAAACCCCAAATAAACAAAACAATGCATTCAATTCAATTCACAAAGAAAAGGGCGTTCCAAAAGAAAAGAATGCCAAGGAAAATTTGTCCTCTTGGACGAAAAAGAAGCTGTCCCCTTCTTCTCTGTTCCCTCCATTTCCATGAGCTTGCTTCCCACCAACTCCAATCTTCCTTTCCTTCCATTTCAATCAATCACCCAACCAAACCCATCTCGCGCTGTTACATTCCGCATTCCCTGAGGGAGGAGAAGAACAAGAGAGGCGAAGACAGAGATGGCTGCTCCCGCCGTCGCTGGAGGCGGAGGAGGAGGAGTTATGGGGGCTCTCGAGAAAGATGCGTGCAGAGCCCATATGTCAATGGCCTTGGTTCAGCTCATCAACGGAGGCTACCATGTTATTACCAAAGTAGCGCTCAATGTCGGCATTAATCAGCTCGTTTTCTGCCTCTTCCGCGATCTCCTTGCCCTTTCCATTCTCGCCCCCGTTGCCTATTTGCGGGAGAAGTAAATGGATTCCCCGCCCCTTTGTCTTCTTCATTCTTTGATGTACAATCGGCTGAATTTATTTTCAGGGTTCCTTTTTTGAAGTGATTGACATTGTTTGATTTCATTATTTATAGATGTTGTTCGGTCAAGTTCGTATCTTTTTGCCTACATGAAATTCAGCTGCTCTATTACTACTCCAATGGCTTTCTATGGGTCTCAATTGTGGAGATTCTAGACGTGTTCTTCTCTGGTTCATCACAGTTATGCATTACACCGTATCTTAAAAAGCATTTCTGCGTTGTAGGAGGATCCGGCCGCCCATGACTAGGAGCTTGCTCCTGTCATTCTTCTTTCTTGGCTTGACTGGGTAAGTCTAATGGCTGAGCAGTTTGCTTTATTCGACTTGCTTCAAATTTACCTGTTAACTGCAATTCGTTATCCCTGATCATTAGGATTTTCGGCAACCAGCTTTTGTTTCTTCTTGGTCTTAGCTACACAAATCCAACGTATGCTGCTGCCATACAGCCTTCAATACCAGTATTCACATTTCTTCTGGCTGTGACAATGGGGTGAGTCTGACCAAATTTGTCCTGTCGTTATCTTCCTCGCAATTTGCTTGATTTGGGACATGATCTTGCTGGACTGTAGACGTGGGATATCTTTTTCTGATGTACTTGTTTATTATGCAGTACAGAAAGAGTGAATTTGCTCAAAACTGAAGGTCAAGCAAAGATTTTGGGCACAACCATCTGCGTTTCTGGTGCCATATTGATGGTTCTTTTCCGCGGTCCAGCTATCTTTGGACAGGCAGAGGCTGACTCGGCAAGCAATGAAATAAAGGATAGTGGTCAACCAGAGCCTGTAGGATGGTTTCTGTCCAGCCTACTAGACATTGGTTTAGAGACTTGGCATCTTGGGGTTATATGTTTAATTGGAAATTGTATGTGCATGGCAGCTTTTCTGGCCCTTCAGGTAATATCATATGCTCCGATGTCGGGCACATGTTAGTATCAGCAAAAATCTTTCTCTAGTCCAATTACTGTTAGCTGCTAACCAACTTAGAGGTTGGTGTTAACTTTTCTCATGTTGATGAATGGGCTTTGTTGGTTAACTATGCAAAATCAAGACAAACAACTCGACATAGAGTTCTTCGAACCAGTTTGATTACCGAACCTTTGACCTGTTTTCCATGGAGACATCAGTGAACTAGCTTGAAGTGATCTACAATGGCTTGTGCAGTATTGACAGATTTTTCGTATAAACTTCATTTCTCCTTTTACTTGAATTTTTAATGTATGATTTTTATTTTCCCTTGGCCTTGTCTTGAGCTGGTTTCTCTAGGTTGTGGTCATGAGTTATCTGGCCGGCTAAGTCAAATAAGTGTCATTAGTGCCTCCATGATGTCATTCCTTCGAAAGAAAGGTCTGCCTTTTGATCTTACTATCCTGGAAAGTTCTGCCTTAGTTCCTGTGTTGCAATGAGAATGATTTCTCATTTTATGAGTATAGTTAGTGTGAATCTGTAACTTGTTGACAGAAGAATAGAACTTCTGGATTATTATCAATTTACTTTATATAAATAAATAGCACTAAAAAGCTTACTGAAGCAAAGTAATAATAGTTTAGATTTTATGTTAGGGCGAGGGAACGACCTTGTTGACATTTCTATTAATAATTCCTCATTTACTGTTAAGGCTTACTACGTTCCAGTACTCAAATTGATGGTGTTAATGTGTAACTTGAAAATTTCCAGGCTCCAGTTTTAGCCAAGTATCCTGCTAGCATTTCAGTCACTGCATATTCTTATGGCTTTGGGGCGCTATTGATGGTAGTGACAGCATTCTTTGCGACCAATGAATCGACAGACTGGAGCTTAACTCGGTCAGAATTATTGGCTGTGCTATATGCTGTAAGTCTTTGTGTGCTGGCACATCAAGGATATTGTCTCCAGTTACCAACTCTTTTCACTGCTTCCCTTTAACATGCTTGTTACTGAAAATAGTTAAGTGTTTGTTTGGTCTCTTGTTATATTTCTGGGCCAACCACACAGTCGTGTAAAACTGCAGAGTATGCATTTTTGGAACAGCAATGATAATTCTTGATATTGCGTAATCTGGGAACACGTTTGCTCTTCAACAAGACTCGATGAGGTCATCACACGAGTGATGGCCTTTCATGGCATGCACAATTTATAAATCTGCTGCTGACATACTTGAATGGATCCTTTTGCACAGTACATATTTGATGATGAAAATGATCACGTGGCCATGGTACTTGGAAAGTTCTGCTGTGTTTTTCTTACTTGTACTCGTTGAATGAATAATCAGGGAACTATCGCATCTGCTCTTAATTATGGACTACTAACATGGTGCAACAAGATCTTAGGCCCTGCTTTGGTTGCCCTCTACAATCCGCTGCAACCTGCCGCATCTGCCTTCCTCTCCAGGATTTTCCTGGGCAGCCCTATTTATTTGGGAAGGTTGTGCACTGTCACTGAGGTCCTATATATATATGTATATTTTGCATTCATCTTACAATCTTATATCCAGTTGTCTTGAGCATTGTTTTTCAGCAGGTTGTTTGGTTTGTGTACAAGATAGACATGAAAGGAACACAAGCTGACATATTCGGTTTTCCATGTGTTGAATGAAACAGCATAGTTGGAGGATGCCTAATCATTGCTGGCCTATATTTAGTGACATGGGGATCTTACAGAGAGACACAAGCAGCATTGATTCTGGTGGTTGCTGAGGTTCCGATCCGGGCATCAGATCCTCTGATTCACAAAGATGGAACCATGAACAAAGGAGTGTACCAGAGGGGACACATTTTCGCCGGTTCCTCGCTCAAACCCATAGATTAAAGCAAGCAACTTATTCGGGTGTGATTATATGGGTCTGTAGATCATCAAACTTTCTGTTGTCAATATGGAGCATGTAGTCTGTTGTCCCCTGTGGTTGATCGTTTCCTGGTTTCCTAATCCATGTCAAACTGTCTCTCATATCCCACTTTGATCTTCTGCATCTTCTCCTAACGTTGAAATGAAGGAAGAAGGGAGAGCATGTTGAAGAATGGGAGAGATGAGGGAGAACTAATTGTGCTCCACCAAAATATATGCTTTATTACCTTATCAAAAGCAAGGTTGTCAAATTTGTATCCGGCCGACCGGTTTAATAGTGTCCGACCGGAATCATCTACAAGTTGGAATACATTGGACGAATCTCGAAAAAAGTTAAAACGAGTTAAATCAATTAAAATCGAGTGGTCTGACCAGATAAAACTGGGTTTGAAGATGAAGATTGATAATTTTTGTATTATATATTTCTTTTGAAGAAATAATTTGATAATATACGAATGAAGAATAGTGAGATTTTTTAAAATATATCAAATGTATGGCTAATCTATTTGGTATTAGAAATTTCTCACATATTATGTTCAAATTGAACTAGTTGTGTTTGTGCCACGTAACACGAGGTCTCGGATGACTGATGCACCTCCCTTCTTGGAACTCTCTCTGACCTCGCACCTCGTTCCTGCACACGAAGGCGCCCACCGAGCCCCTCGCTACGGGCTCGTTAGCACTCCGGCGCCCAAGTTAGAACAGTCTTTCTAGAGAGAGAGAAGTGAAGTGTAGTTTTTAGAGAGAAGTTCTAACCTGAGTAAATGAGCTCCACCAACTTCACTATTTATAGGGCTGGCCATTCGGTTATCGGTTGCCGGTTAACCGGCCGGTTAAACCGATAACCGGCGGTTACCGGTTAACCGGATAACCGAAAAGAGGGGGTGCGGGCGGTTGGCGGTAGCGGGGCTGGTCGTGCCGATTAACCGGCTAACCGGCACGACTAGCCTCGCCCAAGCAAAACGCCGCCGCCGAGATACTCCTAAACCCTAATTGCCATCTAGCGAGCAGACCCTCCTCAATCTCTCATTCTCTTCTGCAGCATCGCGAGAGCCGAGAATGGAGAGCCTCCTGCCGGCACCGCCTGCCGCCTGTCGCTGCCGCCTCCCGGATCTCGTCCATGGCGCCGTCGATGACGAGCTGGGCCAGAACAGGGGACCCGACGAACATGATCTTCAACCCGCTGTCCTGGAACACCTCCTTCTTCCTGGTGGTGAATCAGTCGTTGGGCACGGCGTCGAGAGCAGAGGTCGGGTCCTTAATTGCGGCGCCCGGGACGACGACGCTGTGGAGGAGGAAAGAGTCCTCGCAGTGGGGGAAAGTTTCGGGGATGTGGGATCCAGGAGGGAGGATGTAAGTGATCTCGACGGATTGAGTCGCGAGAGGCGAGATGATGCCGGATTGGGGCTTGATGGCGTATCGATTCTTGTTCAGGGCTTGGATCCGGAAAGCCACCGACATGGAGTACATGACGTTGCGGAGGGTGAGCTCGTCGGAGCATTTTTGGCCCAGTTCCGCACCGCCGCCACGTTCGACGACTCCAATTTAATCAGCCTGTCCATTTAGATCCACCAATTTTGAATTCCCTTGCTTCTGTTGGTGATGATTCCTGATTGCAAAGAAGAAGCCCACTCAGTCTTGGAAAACAGGGGAGGTATTGCCTTTTGGAGGTATTGCATAGGGCTGTTGTGCGGTTCAGTTACTCGGTGAAATCGATGGCCATTGCGTCTCGCGGTTACTTCGGTTAACCGAGTAACTAATCGGTAACCGACCGGTCGGTTGCCGGCTAACCGACAGCTTCCGTCGGGCGGTTGACGGTAGCCATTGGTGGCGTCGCGGTTAACTGGTAACCGACATTTCAGTTATTGGTTATAACCGAACTAACCGAAAATCCAGCCCTAACTATTTATACCCAGGGTAGGGTCGACCATTGCCCCCCAAATCCGCCCCCGTCATCATCTCATTAAATGCACCGTACTTTACCCCTGCCATGCGCCCCGACACTCTGACACCGGCTCTGAATCTCGGGGTGCATGGCCCCACATTCTATCCTCTCCGTACGCTTCCTGCCGTTCTCCCTTTTGTCGTCATGCGCTTTATGTCATGCATGGCCCCACCACCTAAGTTATGATCTCAGACCCTCTCTGGGCTGGGCTTTTCCCTTGTTAGGCCCATTTTGACTTCTTGGGCCCTTGTATGCCCCCAACAAGTTGAATATGGTTTAACCATCAAATCTTAAATTACTTTGGCGAACGGACTTGCTGGCTTAATCCAATTTAACAACTTTGGACAAAAGTACTAAACTTTGTGCAAATAACTGCTTAGAAAACAAAATTATAAATGAAGGAGAAAATAGTGGGTTTGGTGCCTGAAGGAGAAAGGAAAGAAAGAGTCCTCCAGCTTCCCTCCCTCCTTCCCATCTACTCTGTCTGATTCAATCTCAAACTCTGCGTCCAATCCCACCACCTCCAAATTCAAATCCCTAATTCCTGATTCCTAATTTTCCCTCCTCACTCTGATCTCTGATTCTTCCTTCTTCTTCCGCCCCTCTCCCGCATTAAAGTTCCACTGGCCCGTCCCGTTCTGAAAGTTTCACCACTGTCGGCGGAGGAGTTTCCAGATTCAGATCAACCGTATATTCATGCCGGTCTCCCTGCCTCCCTTCTCAGTGCATCAAGCAATCGCGGTCTCAGTCACTGTCTTCTCTGGTATTCGCTCTACTACCGGCATTTCGATTTTCCAGGTTTAAGTTACTAATCAGGCTAAGAGAGGTTCCGTTTCTGATGTTTGAGTTTAGTTTTGGGGTTGGCAATTGCGCTGATGTGAGAGCAGTTTAATCGTCGGGATAGTGCGATCCTGGTTGGAAACTCCCCTGTGTATGGTAATCCCGCCACTGGGAAGATCCTCGTGCTTTCTCTCCTTGTTCCCGGGGCTTAGTTGCAGTGATGGGAGGACTAGGAACAGCGTTTCTTTAGTTTTTTTAGGGGCACTGCCTGCAATGCGATGAAACGGAGGACTCTGGCACTGGAATATTCTCGTCGCCTGATTGTGCAAAGATGGTGCTTGGTAAAATAGCAGCTGCGGTTTCTGCTGCGACTAGTCGTCTCTCTTTTTCGGGATCAAACTCTGCTTCTGTCCCGTATATGTCAACTGGGGTATCTCCCCCTCCTACAGAAGCCGCTGATCATGGATTTTCTTTCTCCAACCCTGCACAAAGCAAGGCCAATTTGAGGCTCTCGTCATCACTGCAAGACTTGTCATCGTATAGGCGACTTGATCCCGAGGAAGGGGACCCTCTGAAGTTTGGGGTTGATAAGAATGTCCGTTTGTTACAGAGAGAGAATGCTACCGCTGCAAGTTTTTCTAAAGAGAAAGGACTGCCACCTGCAACTCCTTTTCTACGGAGGAAATGGGTTCGGGCGCTGTTGGTGTTCTTGTGCCTGTTATCGTTTACTTTCTTAACTTACTTGATTTCCTTATACATTTATTCTTACTGGTCTCAAGGATCATCCAAGTTCTATGTTGTTCTTGACTGTGGAAGTACTGGTACTCGTGTGTTCGTATATCAGGCATCCATTGATAACAAAAAAGATGGTAACTTACCCATTGTGGTGAAGTCTTTTTCCGAAGGTGTTTCTCGAAAGCCAACCGGACGTGCATACGATCGAATGGAAACTGAACCTGGGCTTCATATGTTGGTGCATAATACATCTGGATTGAAGTCTGCTCTAAAACCACTTGTTAAGTGGGCCCAGAAGCAAATTCCAGCGGACGCACATCAGTCAACCTCACTTTTCCTCTATGCTACTGCCGGGGTACGCAGGCTTCCTAGATCTGATTCGAAATGGCTGCTAGATAAAGCGTGGTCTATACTCAATGAATCTCCATTCTTGTGTCAAAGAGAATGGATTAAGATTATCAGTGGCATGGAAGAAGCTTATTTTGGATGGATAGCCTTAAATTATAGAACTGAGGTACTGGGAGCTAGTCCGAAGAAGCCAACTTTTGGCGCTCTTGACCTGGGGGGCTCATCATTGCAGGTCACTTTTGAGGGTGATAAACAGTTCCGCAACCAGACTAACTTAAACCTTAGAATTGGAGCTGTCAACCATCGCCTCAGTGCCTATTCTCTCGCAGGATATGGTTTAAATGATGCATTTGATAAGTCTGTTGTTCATATCCTAAAGAGGCTTCCAAATGTTGATTTACTCAGTAATAAGGCTGAGATTAAGCATCCTTGCCTGCATTCTGGCTACAAGGAGGAATATATATGTTCCCACTGTGGGTCTGACAAACAAGATGGTGTTAGTCCTGTTATCCGAGGAAGACAGCTTCGCAAGGCAGCTAAGTCAGGAGTGGCTGTTAAGCTTATTGGTGCTCCAAATTGGGAGGAATGCAGTGCACTTGCTAAAATCGTTGTTAATTTATCTGAATGGTCAAACAAAAGCCCAACAGTAGACTGTGACTTGCAACCCTGTGCTCTCCCAGAAGGTTTACCTCGCCCGTATGGCCAGTTCTATGCTATCTCTGGGTTTTTTGTGGTATATCGTTTTTTCAACCTGTCCGCAGAAGCTTCCCTTGACGACGTATTGGAAAGGGGTCGAGAATTCTGTGAACGGAATTGGAAATATGCGAAAAGTAGTGTTCCTCCGCAGCCCTTTATTGAACAATACTGCTTTCGGGCACCGTACATAGTATCATTGTTGAGAGAGGGCTTACACATAACAGATAGCCAAATTGTTGTTGGTTCTGGTAGTATAACTTGGACACTTGGGGTTGCACTGTTGGAAGCTGGGAAGACATTTTCATCTAGATTACGGCTTCATAAGTATGAAATATTCCGTATGAAGATACATCCAGCCGTTCTCCTTGCCCTTTTGCTTATGTCATTGTTTATGTTGCTATGTGCATTATCATGTGTTGGCAACTGGATTCCGAGGTTTTTCCGGCGACCATATCTTCCACTTTTCAGGCATAACAGTGCATCTACCGCTTCTGTTCTCAACATCCCTTCCCCCTTCCGTTTTCAACGGTGGAGTCCTATGAATACTGGTAAGATTTTCTTAAATATCCTTATATTTTTGACATGGCAGAATAATTCTTCACATGAATGTACTGCCGCATGTTTACAAAGGTTGAGAGCACCTTTTGTTACTTTTTATATGGAAAGCAGAAAAACTTCTGTTCTTGTTGTATTCCATGCAATTATTCCCGACCAGTCATTCCGTCGCCTTTAGTTTAAATTTTCAATGAGAAACTATGAAATTTTAATGATTTTAATTTTAATTTATCTCTCCCAGATTATATTTGTTTAGGCGAACTCGAGGACCATACGTTTTATCATCAAGCCTTGATAGAAATGCCCTTCAAGTAAAAACTGCTGGATCAAAATCTTTTATTTGAGTGACTGATTTCCTGTCTTTCTCAACTTTCTGGCTGCGATTTACTCCATATGCTACCTTTCCTTAGTTGATGTATTTCTGGTTAGTTCTGCATGAAGTTTTCTACGAAGCGGTTACTATCGTTCCATCTTCCCGGGGTATTCTACCCAAAATATCATATTAGCATAATCTTAAATGTCAAATTGCATATTGAATTAGCATTGATTTGCAATTAGGTCAAAATGGTTAGGATCTAGAAAATAAAATGCCGGAACCTCTATCTTATAACTAGAGTTGAGATCTCAGATGGGAGAAGTGCTGTTATTAGAAGCCTTCCAAGCTTTATGTAAGGGTCCTTCGATCTTAACAATGGTTAGTTCTCTTTAAAGTAGGTGCCTGAGTTGATTATGGGGTACTTCAGAGGTTTCCCCCTCCGAGTTATAGAGGCATTTCAGAGACGTTAGATGCTATCCCATCTTTGAATCATATGTAAACAACTAAATATGTAGTTTATCGGGTGATGGCATTTAGTATTATTTTTATGTTAGCTAAATACTGGTTTATAATGTTATCCCTGAGAACTGGAGGGAACCTGGTAAGCTGGCATGAAGGGTAAAAAAGATATTCCCTACCCAATTTAGATGGATTGCAGAGCAGTCTGATTTATGCTAAAGTTGATTTATTTTGTTTTACCATTAAAAGTCTTTTCCCACCAACTTTGCCTCTCTTTTGAACCTTGACCTATTGTTCTGGATTTCCCTTTAACACGAGTGAATGCAACATCAAATATTTCAGGCGACGGAAGAGTGAAGATGCCATTGAGTCCAACAGTAGCAAGTGGGCAGTATCGACCGTTTGGATTGGGCCATGGTCTGGGTGAGAGTGGGGTCCAGCTCATGGAACCTGCCATATACACAGCGAGTGGCAGTGTTTCGCATAGTTATTCCTCCAACAGCTTAGGGCAGATGGTTGAGAGCAGTAGCATGGCTTCCTTCTGGTCCCCTCACAGAGGTCAGATGCGCCTTCAGAGTAGAAGATCCCAATCTAGAGAAGACCTCACTTCGTCCGTCGCTGATGCACATATGGTGAAGGTTTAGATCATCTGTCCCTTGAAACTAATGGTAAGGAGAAACGAAAGCGGGAAAATGAAAAAAAGAACTGGCAGCTGTAGAGGAAATGGACTTTGGTATGCTAATCCATATCTGTATTCTGACCTCTAATTTCCTGCAGATCCTGGTCTGCATTGCCTGACTTTCACACTCGTTAACTCGGTCTCCACTGCAGTACAAGTGCCCAGCTCTTTTGTGAAGCAAGCTAGCAGGGTTGCAGTCTTACAGAAAATTCCTGACAGGTGCTTGCACTAACCTTCCCTGTTTTGTTTCCCCACCGCAAAAATCCTTGGTGCTATTTTTACTTGCTCACTAGGCAACCTGTTCCCACATGTAAGATGCGACCTCATTTTGAGAGAGAGACAGAGCATTCATTCCAGAGTCTGTTTTAGACATGTTTTAGATCTGCAGAGCAAAGGAAAGTAAAGGGTAGTGGGTTTTAGCAGAAAGGAATAGACAAGTTGGTGGCAAGAGATATGCAATACCTGTATTATTATTATTTTGTCAACTCTTGAATACATGGTGTTAGAAATTGGTGAAGAAGCCACCAAGTAATTCGCAAATGCAATTTCAATTACTAGGTGGTGAGAAGTGTATCGAAACTCATTTATTGGGCCAAGTGATTTTTTTGGAAAAATGCTCGGAGGTTTCTGTGATCGAGAGTTCTTCTGTTCGAATCTCGTTGACGCATATTTATTTGGACTTGTGCAAACTTCAAGCCTATATGTGTGGTGGCTTTCGTTTGATGGAGTGTGTTAGTACATGTTATATGATCCACTATGGAACCAACTCACGGATTTGAAATTTGCACGGGCACACGATACCTTATGCTTTAATGAACTGTTAATATTGGGGGTCGTGGAGATTCGAACACATGGCCACTTGACCAACTATTTCTAATATCATGTCATGAATCAGTTGATCCCAATAATATGACAAACATGTAATTGAGAAGCGTAACACTAATTTACATCGGATTTTTCATACTTACACTCAATTGATGAGCTCATTCTAGTTAGCAAACTTACTTGTTGGCCAGCGTGCAACTTCAACTATAAAAATGTTATGACCTTCAAGTTGAAAACCAGTGACGATATCGTTAGACAAAATTCTCGTCGTTGATAAATAATTTTTGTGCGATAGTTAAGCTGGCGAGCGATGAGGAAAATTCAGCAGGAGGCGAACGGTGAAAGTAGCATAGCACTGGATCCTGAAGATTTGCAGCAGTAGTATGATTGAGAGAGGATAAACATTTTGAACAAAGTAGTGTATTTTTTTTTTGGGGTTTCATTTATTTGAATCATTATACTGAAAAAAAGGTTAATCAAAATGTAGTACATATATGTTGTGTTTCTTTGGGTTGTAGACTACACTTTCTTACTTCGTGTTCTACATATTGTACTAGGGGTCTTCTAACCAAGAAACCCCATGTATCAATACTCGAGCCGTAATAGGATTTTATCCGTATAAAACGGTTCAATCAAAGCTAAATTATGATTTAAACACATATTAATTTAATACTGATTTATCCGGTACAACCTCTTCCACGATTTGGAACTAAATGGTAATTTGGAGAATGAGATATTGGAGGATGGATTCCTGAAATGAATGGTTTTGGAAGAAATCTATGTTTTTCTTTTCCTTTGAATTTCGCATGTTAATGAGATTATGTGGACAAAAAAAAAATTGATTGATTGACACATGAGATGAACGATGAGAGTGCGTAAAATGCTAGATCATGTGTATGAATATAGATGAATATGAGTGAATAGTTAATACCATTGCACGAAAATGTAGCATTCGAGCAATTTATTTGAAGTCAGAAGAAACACAATCCTATATTACACATTCTAAGAGCATCCACATTGGAATAAGAGCTCGCCACGTCAGCGTCTCCGTTTGTACAGTCAGACTTAACGCTAACATCATTAAAGAACTGGATGAAAGTGGTTATATGGTATTTCTTCAAATTTGACTATTATTATCACAAACGCGAAAGCGTTTTGGGCCTTTGAGCCTTCAGGGACATTTCTACTGTCTACATTTGGGCTGCTCAGGTTTTGAGACCAATTTGCCGGCCCGATCCGATCCGAATCGAGGCAGCAACGGCCAACGAGCCACTTGCGGACTGCAATTAAAAAAAAAATCTAATCAAACGGCCGTTAAAAAGACAGTAGATTAGTAGGTGAGGTTTCACACCGTTGGCTGGCGGGTAGAAAATGGAAAAGCCGCCATAGAAAAATTCACAAATGCTACCCGAACTTATCTTCTCTTACAATTCCAACCCTCCACGGCTCTGTTGTCTCTGGTCAAAACGCCGGCCATTCAATCAATGTGAGGATTATAACAAACGGAAGCGCGGACGGACACGATTCCGTGGTTGGAGCCAGAAGTTAAACCGTACAAGACGACGGAAATCATCAATTCCGCCAGCTCCGATTCTCCACGCCGCGTTTCCAATTTCAGCCTCTCGCCGGAAAGAAGAGGAGAGGAAGAGACTAACTCAGTGCTGCTGCTGCTACTGCTGCGATGATGAGCCTCGTTTCCACCGGCGGCCACTCCCTGGCTTCGGGGCCGCTCCCTAACTTCAGGACGACGCCACCGCCGCGACGGAGACCTTCGCTGCCTTATCTGAAGACCCCGCGCGCCGCCATCGTGGAGTCGAGGCCGGTGAGAGTACCGCCTGCGACAAGGGATAACGGTAACGGCGGGCTGGTCCTCGTGTCAGCCGGAGCCGCCGGAGGAGGAGGAGGAGGAGGAGGTAGTCGAGCTGAGGATATGCAGGCGGAAGCTAGGGCGATGGCTCGTGCAGTTGATGCTCCCGTTTTCAATCCGGAGCTTATTGCCAGCAAGTATGGGCGTAGACCTATCGAGGTTTGATTTCTCGCTCCATATCTCATTTGTTCCTTTCTGTCTTCGTTGGCGTCGTCCTCTGGTTATGGTTCATCGTTGTGGAATTCTTCAATTTCCAGGTTGTGAGGAGGATGCTGGAGATTTTGACAGCGATAGGTTCGTTTGGGTTGAAGCTGTGGTTGGACGAGAGAAACGGAGTGTTCGATCAGAATAAGAAAGTCCGGGCGACGGAGCTTAGGCAGATTTTCACTCGATTGGGGCCGACTTTCGTCAAATTAGGGCAAGGACTCTCCACCAGGCCTGATATCTGCCCTCCCGAGTTTCTGGAGGAGCTCTCTGAGCTTCAGGTTTCCTCTTCTTTCCTTTCTCTCTTCCTTTGTAGCTCACATTGACGGTTGGGAAGAACACTTGGACAAAATTTTCTCAAAGCCAATTCCTCGACCTCTACTTGTATCAGGACGACTTGCCCACATTCCCTGATGAGGAAGCATTTGCCTGCATCGAGAGGGAGTTGGGGGTGTCTCTCGACTCCATTTACTCAACGATTACGCCCTCTCCTGTTGCAGCTGCGAGTCTTGGCCAAGTATACAAAGCTAAGCTCAAGAACTCTGGACAAACAGTTGCTGTAAAGGTCCAACGCCCCGGGATTGAGAAGGCTATTGGTCTTGATTTCTACCTCATCCGGGGGCTTGGCGGATTGATCAACAAATACGTTGATTTCATCACAAGTGATGTTGTCGCTCTTATTGATGAATTTGTATTCAGAGTTTATCAGGAGCTCAACTATGTCCAGGTTATTTCTCAGAGATTCCATAATTTTCCCCATTCCCATTGCATATCTTGAGCATCCTTCTGTGACCTGAACAGTGGCATGTGTTAGTAGTCTTTTTTGGTAATTTTCATTTGGGTTTTGATGTAATTTTGGACAGGATCATTCGTGCAGGAGGGGCAAAATGCAAGGAGATTTAAGAAGTTGTATGCTGACAAGGAAGATATAATGGTTCCTGATATTTTCTGGGAGTATACAAGTGGCAAAGTTTTGACAATGGAATGGGTAGAGGGTGTTAAGTTGAATCAACAGGAGGCTATAGAGGGTCAAGGGTTGAAGGTTCTCGATCTTGTGAACACGGGCATACAATGCAGCCTTAGGCAGCTCCTTGAATATGGATATTTCCATGCAGACCCTCATCCTGGTAATCTGTTGGCAACACCAGAGGGAAAGCTTGCTTTTCTTGATTTTGGTATGATGAGTGAGACACCAGAAGAGGCAAGGTTTGCTATAATTGGTCACGTGGTACACCTGGTCAACAGAGATTATGAAGCTATGGCTCAGGATTATTACGCTCTCAAATTCCTCTCTCCAGATGTCGATGTTACCCCGATTGTTCCAGCATTGCAGAATTTCTTTGATGATGCACTCAATTATACCGTCAGTGAACTCAACTTCAAAACCCTAGTGGATGGACTGGGAGCTGTTTTCTATCAGTACCCATTTAATGGTGAGTTCCATGCCTGAGTGCTTGAACACTGCTTTCTCCGTTGTTCCATTTTTACTGATACTGATGTTGACACCGAAATTACATGCAGTTCCAGCATACTATGCATTGATATTGAGATCCCTCACTGTGCTCGAAGGATTGGCCCTTTATGCTGATCCTAATTTCAAGGTTCTGGCTGCTTCATACCCTTATTTCGCAAAAAGGCTTCTCACTGATCCGAACCCATATCTAAGAGATGCTCTTGTTGAGCTGCTTTTTAAAGATGGGAGGTTCAGGCACGTCTCTCACACTCTCTGTGTCTGCTTCCTTTGATTCCTTGGGATGCTTGGATGGTTCAATATTCTCTAACTTGTGTTGCAGATGGGCGCGACTTGAAAATCTACTTGAACAAGGAAGCAAAGACCGAGATTTTTCAGCAAAAGATGCTTTACAGCCCGTTTTGAAACTACTGTTGGCCCCAGATGGTGAAGAGTTGAGAAGATTGGTTGTGAAGGAAGCTGTATATGTATCAGAAGCCGTAGTTTTGACCTCGGTTGTTGATACTTACAACTCCATACCCACTGTCTTAAGACCTCCAATCCTGAATGGGAATGGAAGAGGGCCTCTCCCGATGACTGATGCTGAAGTGCTAAGAATTAGGGAGTTCAGAGACCTAGTCGTCAGAGTATGGGGACTTTTGCAAACCTCTGAAGATTTCGACCCAGCCCTTTTTCAACCCATATTACAGGTAATGAATTGAGTTTTGTTTCGTTACTCTCAGCTATTACGTCAAATTTTACGCATCAGTTCATCCGAATTGAATGTCTTTGGCATCCATACAGGTCCTTCAACAGCCCGAGGCACGCAGTCTTGGTGGACGTGTCATTGGTGGAGTAACTCAACGCCTTGCAGCACGATTGTTGCAGCAAGTGCTTCGGACGCCACCACCTGTTCCAACCTGATAGGCAATTTCTGATCTTGGTTTCAGGTAAGAAAGATTCATGTAACCTTGTACACTACTGTAAAAGAAGGGGGGTAAAGGGTGAAAATTTGAGATGCTGATTGGATGCTCTCACCAATTGTTTCTCACAATCATGTATAATAGACAAACTTCCAATACTCATAATTCAATTCGAATCCAGCACATTGACAGGCAGTAAACGATCTTGTGTTGGGGAAATCGAACACAACTGTGTATATATTTTTACCATCTTGTTGAACTCTCGAGTGCTGTAATTAGGGCAAACGTGGATCCCGTTCTTGAAATCACTCGGGAAAGATTCTCCGTAGATTGTTACATTACCATTTCACATATTGGATGAACATCTGATGAAATTGGGACAATGTAGTAGATGAAAATGGCAAATTGAAAGTCGGTATTATTCGCAAAAAAACTCTGGAAGGAGGGCAAGCAGACTGATTGGGTTTCTCCTCTACGAGGCGCAGTGTATCGATAATTGGTTATCGGTTAACCGACATTGAATAGGCAGTACTATAAGCTCCTAGAATAGGCAATACTAACTCACATTGAGAGACACAGAGATGGAGATGGTTACATAACAACGATAGAGATCGAAGTGAGGTTGTTACTTACATCTACTAGTGTGAGCGAGTGTCTAACCCCTGGCACGGCATTTTCGCCCGCCTACACATCAATTACAGATTACCACAGCCAACCCTGCACTCTCATGACCCGAGGGATTCGCAGATCCGCCGCACAACAATTTGTGGGAGAAGAATTTGAGATTCAAGAAATTAATTGTAAGTCGAGGGGCGGGGTCGAGGGGCTATGTATAAGGTATTACCGAGATCAATTGGTGTTTGAGCAAGTGGGTTCCATCTATCAAATACGATTCGCCCACCTCGCCCAATTCTTCCTCGAAATCTGTATGTCACTGCTGAACCACCGTTCCTCGACGATGGATCTGCTGGCGGTACTATCCCAGCCGATGCCAATTTGTCAGGTACGAGAGGTTTCGTGAACAACAATACCGGTTCATTTGGATCCTGTATTTTGGAAAGAAACGGTGAACTGATGAGGGACTGATCCAATGGCAGTTTCTGCTTATGAGAGTGAGCCACCAAAGAGGGAATGAGGGAAGAGATGGACAAAAAAATGCACGCACCATTTTGTGGAGCCATCCATCGATTGCATGCCGCCGGCGTAGCTCTTGCTTCATGGGTGCTGCTGGTGGGAAGTTGACCATGTTGCTGGAATCTGTTGTCATGGGGGGCAGGGGAAGGGGAGGACGCGTACGTGGACGACTGTTCACGAAGTCGTCTGAATCTAGAATTTCATCTTCGCTTGATGCAAACTTAGAGATGGGTTGTAATCCATGAAGAGCCAGGCTATCCTCAAGTAGCTCCGTCTCGTGCTAAATACATCAAAAGGATCTCTATTAATGTTCGACAATCTAAAAGGAATAATGAGATATTGCTATTAGCTTCTGCATATTTTGGTTCAAGTTGCCTGTTATTTGATGCACCTTAAAGTAGTGTTCGGCATATTAAACACATTTATAATGGATAAGCCAATAATAGGTTCAATAGTAGGTCAAATGCTGACAGCCAACTTAACAGAGAACAAGAGACACGAACAAAAACAAGTCACACATCAATTGATCATACCTTGTACGTGATTTGGATCCTCTGGAGACCGACTTCACTCTCTATCACCTCTCTTTTCTTCTCTTCTCTCTGCAAAAGGAAGCATGATTTTATGACAGAATGCCAACATATAGGAAACAAAAGGGCCAAAATTGACTAAATCTTAATTATCAATGAAGTGTAAGCAGATTAAGCACCTTAATCAGAGCCTCGAGTATAGTCTTGGCTTGCTCAAGATTGCGCCTGACCTGAAATAGTAATGTCAAATGACAATGAGTTTTACTACAATAAGACTAGAGAATGTTCATCCTATTTGGTTTGGAATGAAACATTTGCAAGTTCTGCATAGACCATGATATGTGTATGCATGCATGTAGATGTATAAGATTGCGTGTATAAGAGTTGGGAACTAGTGATCAAAACTATACAGAAAGCAAAATTGAACCACTCAAGAAAAGTATGCGTAAGGCCGCCTGAGTGAAGTTGGTATAGAATCTAGCGACCAAAGGAATGTAGAGAGCACGGCACATTCTTCACCAACAATTCAAGATTAGCATGCTGCCTAGACAACACATGATAAAGGTTCAATCCCCATAGACCATACAAATTGGAATACAGTGCAAGTCTGCAACTAATGCTCGTGTGGCAGCTTATATGAAAGCATTTGACTGACAACTCGTTTCTCAACAGCCAAAGGAGCCTTGGGAAATCATGAAGCTTGTTCACAAGACAAAGAAGGCAGAAGGTCGGCCGATGTTGGCTGCTATGAGCAGCCTCTTGATTCCAAACATCACAATCATACAGGTATACTTAAGTAATGGCCTTACAGAAAATAGCTTTTCTGATCTTGTATGTTGTACCACACCTGTAGACAAATGTAGCTTTCAAAGAAAAACTAAACTGAGAAGACATCAACACTGACCTGGCGAAGCTTTTCAAATGATTGTACATTATTTTCCCTCCTCTGCATCTGTAGAGAGGAGCATTAAGAGTTTTCGCATCAATTGATAATTGTATTGCTTTTGGGAAAAATTAGAGAATCGAAGACACTATCCCTGGAATGTAGACGGATATGCCTACCCTTCTTGTATGCAGCCTGTGTGCTTTCTCACGTGGCCTGAAGACATTGTATGGGTTTGTGTCATTCACTGGGGGAGGAGGCTGTACCATGAAAGAGATGGCATTAAAATAAGAAAATGCTGAAATCCAGATGAGAGAAGTCAACCAAAGCACAAGCAACCTGTTTCTACAGACCTCAAAACTCGCTGAAACAACAATAAACCCCATAGTCACGATGAAACTACTTGTCCTCTCCTGTGGTCAACATTTTCTTCTTCGGGCATGCATAACCCATGGTTGTTGTGGCATTATCTATTTTTGTCACACTTGTCCAACAGTTTGAGTGTATAGCATATCTAATCTGATGTGGATGTCTTAGTATCTTACGTCCTCCTAGTTTCCTCATCTCAACAAACTATGATTTTGTTTATAGTCCTTATGGAGGGAAATCAATACTATATTTGCGGACATCAAGCCATGAAAACCCAACCAGCTGAACTGAACTATCCCAACTCTTTTTATGCATAAAAGTAGTTGCAGGTCAAAGAGACTCATGAAGTTTAACAACAGAAATATGTCGATCTGTATCAGAAGAATACATTTTATAAACAGTCATAAAAAATTACACAGCAGTGAAGAAAATTACAAACCTGCAGTCGGCGTAAAACAGGCTTTTGCCATCTTTCACGCTGGCCATAACAGGGGAAAAACGAAACTGTTAAACACTAAACTTCGATAATTGACATTATAATACAAATAACAGACCTGCATAGAAAGTGAGTGGTTATAGATCATCCAACCAAAGAGCAAAGCGAAGAACCATATCAAGACAGTAAATAGATTTTTAAAATGTTCCAGTTCATTTCCCCTTGCTAAAATTTAACAAGGACCATGCTGTAAAATTTATTGGAGGGTACTGTATAATCATGGATTTGATAACTGTAACTGCTCAAATAATCAAATGGAGACATAACATAACATCAAGTGCCATTGTTCTATCAAATATTACGCAAGGCATAGGTGATATTGTAACAAATACTCTTCTCAACAAGCCAAAGGATAGTGATAAAAGTACTTAAATCCTGATAGTACACAACTGACTAGTCGTAAAAGAACAGCAATCTGGGAAGCCAACACACAGAGCAACACCTCTAAATTTGTTAAATCGAAAAATATGGGTGCTTTGTTTTTAGGCTGTGCTGCAAATATAGGACATACAAGTTAAAGGTGCAAAGCTCAGGTAGGGGAAGAAGATTGATATTATGTGTATTCGTAGTAAGACGTTGTCAGTTTGACTTTTTTCGGAAACTCATCTTCAGTAGAGAACAGGGAGAAGCACAAAGAAACAAAGCCAGGTCAATGTTACTTGAAATGACAGATGCTAACATCTGCTGCAAAGCCTATTCCACATTCTACAGCCTCAAGTTCATATTTACTGAAGAATAGTTCAAATTACTTCATGATATGATTTTGTATATCTTCATTATTACTTATTTGATATAGAATACAACCTTTTCTTTCCAGTAACTATAAACCGACTGGAGTACCACATCTCTGACAGACTGAGCTTGCAGTGCCTGCAAGTAGAAGAGAAGAAAGAAAAAAAGAACAATTCAGAAACAAAGCCAAATTATATAAATCATAGATCATTGGAAGTAATATAGAATGAAGTGTCAGAACAAGAAGTAATATAGAATTAAATGTGCTCTGGTTGATGCGTTAACCATTATACTCATTACCAAGAACAAATATGTAGAAACAAAGTTTTACCTCAATAGCAGCATCTAGTTGTAGAAGTACAGGGATCGGGGAACCAAGGGTTGGTGTTATAACTCCAGCTCTTTCCCGAGCCTTATGATCTAACACCTCCAACTTGAATAGGAGTACTTCAAACCTACAGCAATAGGCAATACCAGTATAAGGAGACTATCCAGTAAGGAGTAAACTGTTGCTCGACTTTTAGTAGCCTGAAAATTGTTATGGGATCACCAAAATATCCAATTTATTGGAAAAAGGATACATAGACCAGGGGGGGCAGGGGCCAACTATAACTTCTCTAACAGGACCTTCCATACTTTAATGCAGCATGACAAATGAACGTTGTAAATAGGAGAAATAAGCCAAACTACATGAAAATTTGATGCAACGAGCAGCTAAACATATCTCAGAAACAGAAATGAAAGCATGAAACTCACAAAGGAAACCCTCAGCCCGGACTAACAGGCATAGAAGACAGAAATGCTGGTTGAGCTAGATAAGCCAAAAGTTGATTACCATTTGGATACATAATTATAGACCAAAGCATGTCCAGGCAAACTAATAACAATTGTGAAACAATCAATGATTAATGTTTACTTTTCAGGAGAAAGGTTCTTCCTGTCTTTGTTGAACTCTTGAAGCCAATCCTCATCTTCGTTGTCAATATCATATTCAACAAATTCTCCGATCTCAGCTCGAGCTGCAAAAGAATTAGCAACGGAACATAGGAGTTACACACTTACACTTAGTCAGAGCATAAATTCCAAATGCGTCAACAACACAATGTATAACTTGGGTTGATTGGAAACTGAAACTAAACAAAAAAGGTAACATATGGAATTCTATTTTCAATTCCAGCTGGATTTCCGATTAGACACTTCAATCCACCGAAATAAATAGTTTCTTAGACTACAAGTTAAGGAAGAGAATTACAAATTCTAACATGACCAAGTTCATCAGCTGAAAGCCAAACAAAGACACTGACCTCCCCTTGCTCGAATGTAAGAATTGGGCTGAGCGAAGGTGCGCTGATAGTCTCGTTCATAAGTATCAACAGCATCAAATTGGGGTGTGGGTATTTCAGAAGCTAATTTCTTGGTAGGAACGTGGGGCTGATGCGCCTTAAAAACAGAAAGGAAAAGTAAGAAATGAAGTAAAAAAAATGAGGACGAGAAAAAGCCCCGAACTTTCTCAAGCCATTTGGAGACTCAAATGATCGATCAGAGCAGTTAGCACTACAGTAATGCAGCTCAGAGGAATGCATTATACCTCATTCTCGAAGTCCGCAGAAGCAACCCGGAGCAGCTGAGAATTGCGCGTAGAACTGGGAGTTGAATCATCTTCTTCAAAATCCTTAACCGACTTCACAATAGGGAGCTTCTTGTGAATGTCAAGCGGACGCGGCCGGAAGGACAGCCTACTCATCCTCACTTCCCACCTCTGCCTCTTCTACTACTATCACTTCTCCAAGTCTCCTGCTAGCAGTTTGATGATATCTCATCTCCTGCACGCCCTCTCTTCGACAATGCGATGCTCATACAACGCAGGATTGAACATTAGCAAGCTCCCACTCCAATCAAGACAATTTAGGGTTTGCCACAGCAAAAAATGTGGCACCAATTAGTCGCCGAAGTAAGTATCTCTTCTTCTCTTTACCGCCCGCTGAGGTTGTCGGAATCCAATTACCGTATAATTATACGATAGTTTTGCTAAACTCTTCTCCGGTCCAGCTCGGTAGGAAATTCAATGGCGATGGTTTTGTGTTTTAGGGTTTGCAGAGAGAGAGCGAAGAAGAAACAGAGAGCGCGAACGCGAGAGAACGTTGCAGAGAGAGAAGAGAGCGCGAGAGAGAGAACGAAGGAACTGGGCTTGGAGAGAGAAGTTAACGGGCTTCGTGTCTTTACTTTGATACGGGCCGTTGTTTTTGGGCCTTCAGTCCGGCCCATTTATACTCGGCAACGGCAAGCGGGTAAATTCCGTCTTCATCCTGCAAATCAGTTAATCGAACAGTTGATTGATTGATTGATTCGATCTCCATTGGAGAAAGGAAGGAAGCAGGTGGTGGGAGAATGGAGGTAGAAGGAAGCCCCGTAATGAGGGTGCAGAGCATAGCACAAGCTGGGAAATCAGAAGTCCCACCGCAATACATCCAGCCACCTTCCGATCGGCCGAACAATGACGCCGGTGGTAAGTCCGGCGGCGGCGTAGATGTTCCGGTGATCGACCTCGGCGAAGATTCAGTCCGGGAAGCAGTCGGGCGGGCTTGCCGAGATTGGGGAGCTTTCCAGGTGACAAACCATGGGGTGCCCATTCGATTACTAGACGATATGAGGAAGGTCGGTCTGTCATTCTTCAACGAATGCCCCATGAAAGACAAGCTCATGTACGCCTGCTCGCCGGATTCCGCCGCGGCGGAGGGATACGGGAGCAAAATGCTCGTCGACAGCGATGAAAACCACGGGGTGCTGGATTGGAGGGACTATTTCGACCACCACACCTTGCCGCTCTCTCGCCGGAACCCTTCCAATTGGCCTCATTACCCGCCCAATTACAGGTAAGCCCTAGCTCTCTTCTTGTTCAGGCCATGTCTCGGATTTGGGAAGATGAATGGAAAATTGGGGTCTGGTTGCAGGGAAGTTGTTTCCCAGTTTAGCGATGAAATGAATGTGCTTGCCCAGAAGCTGCTGGGAATTATCTCTGAGAGTCTTGGGCTGCCGTCTTCTTCCTTGAAGGATGCTGTTGGGGAATTCTATCAGAATATTACTGTCAGTTATTACCCTCCTTGCCCTCAGCCAGACCTCACCTTGGGTCTACAGTCGCACTCGGATTTCGGGGCTCTCACTTTGTTGATTCAGGATCAAGTTCCTGGTCTTGAAGTGCTGAAAGACTCCCATTGGTACCCTGTCCAACCTCTACCTGAAGCCATTGTTGTCCTTGTTTCAGATCAGACAGAGGTATGCTGCTCTACTTTTATTTTTGCTTTGCAAAGGGATACTTGTCATTGAATGTTATCTTCTGTTTGAACACTGTGTCATAGCTAGCTGCTTTCATTATGAATAGGTTGTGTGTTAATTGGTGTGAGATTACATTGGCAACCTCACGGGATATTCTCTGTTCATCTTCGGGTGATCGGTTTGTGCTTTAAACTGGGTTTTGGGCTAGCTTGCAGTTGTTGCAGAAGAAACGTTTGAGATGTATGGAATATATGATATAATTCTGGGAATGAAATGATGGCATATAACACAGTTCCATAGCACTGCTGAAAGTTCGTGATGATTAATGGTTTGGACCATATATGTGGTGCTTGTGTGCCTTTTTGGCACCTCCTCTAGTCTCCGTCCCCCACTGTCTACAGTGTCAGGTGTGAGCACCTGCAATTCTTTGAAGAAATGGGGCATTTATATCCCCAGCATATCCTTCTCCATCAACATAGTTCAGTTCTTTGGAGCCATGATCTCTGTCTTTTTTGTTATGCTATTCAATCATTTCCATTTTGACTACTGGTGTGAGAACTGAGATCATGGTTCTTGTAAGTAAAGTTTCTATCCAATCCTGTTCCTAGGCACAAACCTTCACTGTCACTGGGTTGGGTGGGCAACATGTCATTCCCACTAAACCCCCCAACACAGTTCTCACTCCGTTCATTATGATGTTCCAATACAACCGAGGATTTTCTTCTAAACTCCACCAACCTGGCGTCGTACTTCCATTGATTGATTTAAAGTGAACAAGCTCTTGGCTGAATGATATAGTCCTTTATCACTAAGATAGAAGCTAGTGCTCGTTTCTGAAAGTACAACTTGTAAACATCACATTCTATTTGGCTTTGTGTGGATTGAGATAAGAATGCTTGGTTGTTTGCAGATCATCACCAATGGCAACTACAGGAGTGCTGTGCACAGAGCTGTAACCAATTCCACGGGGGCAAGGTTGTCAGTGGCTACGTTCCACGACCCATCGAAGACGAGAAACATATCCCCTGCTGCCGAGATCGTATGTCAGTCATCTCCTGCAAGGTACCGAGAAGTGAATTATGGTGATTACATGTCAAGATGGTATACCAAAGGCCCCGAAGGCAAGAGGAATGTTGATTCACTCCTCATTGACCCTTAGGCTTTTTGTAAACTCTTGCAGCTGCCGTCGTCACAGTGTTGCCAATGCAGAGATGTCTGCGTGATTGCAGCAAGAATAGATCAACTTATCTTTCTAATTTCAGTCTTTAGATTTCTTTTTGTCATACAAGTGAATAAAGTTCGATCGATCAATAACTTACATGGTGCATATGGCTTATCTGGTGATCCAGGGGTCAGCATTGTAGACCTCTTCCCACAAACAAAAGGGACTGTTGAAATTGTCAAAGAACAAGAGGAAATCATGAACTTACAAGTTACACTACAATGTTGAAATGTTATTGTATTATGTATAGCTTGATCGTTAGTGATCGAATATTGAATACGATGTGACTAGCATGTTAAGTTAGCTTTAATTATTATAAGTGGACGTTAACCTCATTTAGTCATTTTGGCACATATAACACACGTTTGTCTGGAAATTCGTTATTACACCACGTTTAACGAAGTTTATCAACACCTCGTACAATGTTGAGCATGATTAAGTCGAATTTCACATCGATAAAGTACGGGAGAAACTCATGATTCACAGGTAAGAAACTAACCTTAACCGACAAAACATGTTTTGGTATGAAATGGAGAAGTTCTTGAGTGAACTCCAAAGTTAAGCTTGTTCACTATGGAGCACTGCAAAGATGGATGACCTCTTGGAAAGTCACTTTGATATGCACCTCAATGCAAAATCTGAGAGGATCTCGGCCCAAAGTCGATAATTCTATTGAAAAAATGTTCTGAATGGTCACAATAAGTGGTATCATAACCTCTTCACGTCCTCTTGATCGATGGTGAGGCAATCCTCAACGAGCACGTTGAGTCCCAAAGGGAGAATGGTGTATGTAACACCTTAGGCGAATCTCAAATCGACAAAGCACGAGATATCCATGATTTATAAGTAAGAAACAATCTTAACTGTCTATATGTGTTTTGGGTGAATTGAGGAGTAATTTAGACCCAAAATTTAAAGTGAATTCTCGAAAAGTCACTTTGATATGCACTCGAAGATAATAAAAAAAATTTGTGAGAATCTAGACTCAAAAGTAAACAATATTGTGTCGGGAAAAGTTTCGATAGAGATTACGCAAAGTTTTTGGTTGGAGTTGATAGAATAAGAAAAAAATACAAACATTTTTTACCAATATGAAATTGCATATTTCTGTTTTTTCCTTTTTCTTTTCATTTTCCGTTACTGTAAATTTAATTTGGGGATGCCAAATTAATCCCTATCGAGACAAAAAGATCGAAGGTAGAAGACGCCTCGATGCCCTTTAATTAAACGCCGAAAAGGAAAAAATCCACAAAAAATAACTGAAAAAATAAAAATCGCGTCGTCGTCGTCAGCTCATCCTCCACAGCGCTGTTCCTTATTCGCTCATCCGATTATCCGTCTTTATTCTTCTTCTCCGATCAATCGCAGTTTGTCTCCGCCTTCAATTGTCCGCTCGCCGCCGTCCCTGCAAGTTATTTTTTTACCATTTAGGGGAAAAAAGAGGAAAACGGAAAAAACACAACGTAAGACAGCAGAGCGAAGCAAAACCGTGTCTGTTTCGTCAAAATTGGCACGTGCGCTTTCTCGGCCCCGCCCCTTTGCTTTCCCTCGTTCCTTCCCCCAATTCGCGACCTTCGTCTTCTCTCTCGCATCGCTGATTGCTTTCCAAAACCCAATCCCTAATCCAGTCTCGGAAATTGCCCTTTTGATCGCAAATCGCAATAGCCTTTTCCTCCTTTTCACCCCTGCACCCTCGTCCCTTTCAGGTTCGTTTAGGGTTTCTACCGAATTTCATTTGTCTTCGATTATCTGCGTTGGTGATTCCTGTAGTTGCTCCATTTTTCAATTGAACTCAATTGGTTTCCGTTTACTTCATCGGGTGTGAAGTTTAGGGTTTTGGTTTTTTGCTTTGGCCCCCAACTCTGCAATTTGGAGGGTGTTAATGAGGTCGTGTTTTCCTGCCCCCTCCCCCCTTCTATCGCGTCATATACTCTTTTGTTAGCTTCTATCGACGATCCCACTTGCTCAAGTTTTTGTCTTTGCTGTGATTGAATCTGTTGCTCAATGGTGTTTGTGTCTTGGTATCGATTCTATCATTTCGCCTGAACTTTTTTTTTTCTGTTACAAACTGAGCTCCTACTGATTCAGTGAATGCCACCATTTTCTGAACTAACCACAACAAGCTGCACCTTCAGCTCCTCTGGATTCAATTAAACATTCATGTGATCAGCCTAGTTCCAAGCTATAAAGTAAATGTTTGTTTGTGGTGGTTGACTAACTTCAATGCAGTGTCCTTTTTTTTTTTTTTTTGTGCAAGTTTACTTGCCCTGCTGCTAATTTAATGTTGCTTTTGCTGGATTTAGTCAAAGTCGGAAGCTGGGTCTTGGTCGGAGGCTCTTTTCATTATTGCACTTGGAGCTTGAGCAGCATGACTAGGTTTTAGCTTCATATAGGAGGAATGAATGTGCAGGCGCATGTGTCTGGGCAGATCTCAGGGCAAGTCCCTAATCAGCTTGCCCAGCAAAATGGGAATTCTCTCCCACCTGCTCAAATGCAGGGTTTATCTGTTCCTGGTGGCGGAGTTGCTGCTGCTAGCCATATGTACGTGGATAATGACCTTAACAGAGCTCGCATTTTTATCCGAGAGAAAATGTAAGTCTCCTTCTCAGTTTTCATGAAACTTTTTTAGTATACTTCGCAATGGCTTGATGATTGTTGGAACTTCAGCACATAGTGAACTCTTTGCCCACCCTCCAACATATGGATCATCACATTAATCTGCTTCCCACAAGTCCTGTGCAACGCCAGACTTTTAAATTTAGTTCTTATGCAGCTGATGGGTGCAGTTATTAGTTAATGACTGCTCTGTAATTTTTCATTATCTACACAAATATATACAAGTCTGGTATAGACCTTGGGTGACAGTGCTATGACCCTGGGTTTCACAGACTTGATGGAAGAGATATTTTGCTTGTCATTTACTTTCGCTACTCTAGTTGTTCGATTATCAATTTTCCTTTTGAAGTCCATAGTCCATGTCAGGAAAAACATATCAACTTGTTCGAGTGAGCATTTGCCTAGCATTTAGTTCTCAGATTCGACTTTTCTTGTACCCCTTATACACCTTCCATCTCTAATATCCACTCTCTCTACGCATGAAACATTTCATGAATAGTTACTGTTATCATTACTCTCTTGCTGGTCTTCAGCTGTAGATTTCTGATCTGGCTTCTTTTGATATTCAAACCTCTAATATGACACCATTAACTATCTTTTTGAATTTTCTTCTTGGCCTCCATTCACCCGTTTAACAGATTTATATGCATGCTTTCCAGATTTGTAATTATAACGCAGCGGCATCAGCTAGTTAGCGAAGCACATAAACAAAAATTTAGAGATATTGCCAGACGCTTGGAGGAGGGTCTATTCAAACAAGCTTTGTCGAAGGTGGTGAGCTATTTCCTTTAGAGCTACCAAATTCCCAGTGCCTCTAAACTACATAGAGAAGTTACAATTAAACTACTGGTTTCATTTTTTGTTCGGTTGACAGTAAAATTTTGAAAGTTCGATAGCTCTCTGTATTTTTAGTCACTATTTGCACTAACTTCACCTTTAACTCCCTTGTTGCAGGATGAGTATACAGACCTAGGTACTTTAGAATATCGCCTTGGTACTCTACTCAAGCGAACATCCCTGAACAGTCAAAGTCAACGCCATGCTCAAATAGTCAACTCTTCCTCTTCTGTTGGTACGATGATACCAACCCCTGGGATATCTCACAGTGGGAACTCTAACTTGATGACTTCTTCTGTTGATCCAATGATGATTTCGTCTAGTGGGAGTGACAGTATAGCCCCTACATCTGTCTCCTCTGGGAGCATGATGCCTATGAGTGGTTTGCAAGGTGGTTTTGCTTTGTACAGAATTGGTGCTTCTTAGTACTTGTGTAGACTATTTATGCACTTCTCTAACTGCTTCCTGGATATAAATGAATGCAGGAGCCATGTCGAATGGGTATCAGCAATCTCCAGCAAATTTCTCTATTAATTCTGGTGGGAACATGTCATCTATGGGGGTGCAAAGAATGGCAAGCCAGATGATCCCCACTCCTGGATTCAATAGTAACAGTAATAATAGCCAGTCTTACATCAATATGGATTCTGCTAACAGCAGTGTTGGTCATTCAACTGTTGAAACTACTATGTTACAATCTCCACAGCAGAAGCAGTTTCTTGGTGGTCAAAACAGTCGTATATTGCAAAACCTTGGCAGCCAAATGGGTAGTAGTATCAGATCTGGTTTGCAACAGAAATCATATGGTTTTGCTAATGGGTCTTTAAATGGTGGAATGGGGATGACGGGGAGCAATATGCAGCTTGTGAACGAACCTGGAACCTCCGAGGGCTATATAACTGCCACTCAGTATGCAAGTGCACCCAAACCACTTCAGCAGACCTTTGACCAACAGCAGCAACAATTAGTGCATGGTAAATCCTCAGTCTTATACTTTCCTGCTACAGAAACACACATGGGCACACACATATACACCTCTATGCACCTAGATATCCTTGCAAAGAGACCGACGTGGTCGTTAGGATGAAATATTTCCATTTGTGTTATGACTAGTTGTATCATGTTTTCGATGTCCAAACTATGACTACATGGAATTTGTTGATCCAGGTGATGGGTATGGCATGGCATCCGATCCTCTTGGATCTGGGAATTTTTATGGTGCCGTATCATCTGCTGGATCCATGATGAATGCCCAGAATATTGGTGGCTTGCAGCCTATGACAAAGTCTGGCTCTCATATGGTTAGTAATTCTTCAAATTTACATGGCATGCCACAGGCTGTGCATGTAAAGACTCAACCAGTTGAACAGTCTGACAAAGTGAACTATCCTGCCCAATTATCATCTAGAGAAAGTCTCATACAGTCTCATCAACAACAATTTCATCCAAATCCTCATCAGATGCAGCAGCAGCACTTCATTCAACAGCAACGTCTTCATAGGCAGCAAAGCCAGCAGCACCAGCAGTTACTGAATACAGATACTTTTACACAGCCTCAGCTACCCTCTGAAATTGCTCATCCAGTAAAGCGCGAGCCTGGATTGGAGATTCAGAATGAGTTGTTAAACACACAAACTTCTGATCAGATCCAAGTTCCTGCATTGCAAAACCAATTTCAACAGAATACTACTGAAGATCATTCTCGTGGTGCACAGAGCGTCTCTCTTGCTTCTGGACAGCATGAACCATATACACCTCAATTGCCTCAATGCTCACAGCAAATGCAGCAGATGTTGCATCCTCATCAGCTAGTGCCAGACTCCCAGAATAATTTTAACAGCCTTCCTGTTGCAACACAACCGGAGTCATTACAGGGTCAGTGGCACCCTCAGTCACATGACTGGGCTCACATGCCAGGGAGCATGTCACACGAGCAGCACTTCCATGAGGAATTCCGCCAAAGAATATCCAGGCAAGATGAAGCGCAACGTAACAACTTAGCATCAGAAGGACCTATTACTGGTCAAACTGTTCCACCTCGGAGCACAGTAGAGACTAGGATTGTAGGAAACAATGCCAATTATAAGTATGATAATGCAAATCGTGACCGGCAGTTCATAAATCAACAGAGGTGGCTTTTGTTCTTGCGGCATGCTCGTCGTTGTACAGCTCCTGAAGGGAAATGTCAAGAGAATAATTGCATTACTGTCCAAAAGTTGTGGAGGCATATGAGTAAATGCACTATTAAGCCTTGTCCTTATCCTCGGTGCCAACGCACTAGGGAACTGCTTCACCACAACAAAACTTGCAGGGATGCAGGATGCCCTGTTTGCATTCCTGTAAAAAATTATCTGGAGAGTTACTTGAAGACACACTGTCGTCCAATCCCTGATGCTGCTGCTGCTTTGCAGAACAAGCCCAATGAGAATACAGATAATGTATCCAGATTGATTGCTAGAGCTCCTTCGGTTGTTGAAACTTCAGAAGATCTGCAGCCATCTTTGAAACGCATGAAGATAGAGCAATCTCCTCAATCCGCTAAGCCTGAGAGTGAAAGTTCAGCTTCGGCAGCTAGTGATGCTCATATGACTCAGGATGGCCAATGTCAAGACTACAAATATGGTGATGCTAGTGTGCCGGTTAAGCCAGAGTACATCGAGGTAAAGTTGGATGGTCCACTGAGTTCCAGACAAGCGAACACTAACAATGCCGTTATGAAGAAGGATAACCTGGATGACATAACCAGCCAAAGGCCGAATGAATCTACTGTACAAGATGGGCCCGCTGATGTAGCTAGACAGGATATTGTCAAAGTTGAAAAGGAAACTGATCCTGTGAAGCAGGACAATGTTTCACAGCCGGCTGAAACTGCAGCTGGGACCAAGTCTGGAAAGCCAAAGATTAAGGGTGTGTCATTGACTGAATTGTTTACACCAGAGCAAATCAGAGAGCATATCACAGGTCTCAGGCAGTGGGTTGGTCAGGTATTTGCCCTTTCATGAGAATATATTATGTTCAGAACATTCATCATACTGGTTTATTTGGTATATACTGTTCTCTTGTTCTGTGATGCTATAGTTAGCAATCACGCTTGTTACTTATTTTTTAGCAGTAATGGTATACTATGGCATTAGGATTTCTATTGTTGTGCTTTTCAGGACCATTTTGCGTCTTTATTATGTTTCCATCTATTGCTAGACTTTTTTTTGTCTTTTCCTTCTATTGTCATAACCCGACCCTTTTAAGTTCTCAATGAATTTTTGTTGCTTCAATCTCGTCCGCAACACAGAGCAGCGTGTAAAAGCTGTTATGAGTTCAATGTTCTGGATGGTAGAGTCTCTTATATTGCTTTTTTTGGTCTTGTTTTATGCAGAGCAAAGCAAAAGCTGAGAAAAACCAGGCAATGGAGCATGTTATGAGTGAAAATTCTTGTCAATTGTGTGCAGTTGAAAAGCTTACCTTTGAGCCGCCACCAATATATTGCACGCCTTGCGGTGTTCGTATTAAGCGAAATGCAATGTATTATACTATGGGAGCTGGTGAGACACGCCACTATTTCTGTATTCCATGTTATAATGATTCCCGTGGTGACAGTATATCTGTTGATGGGAGTTCCGTTCCCAAGGCAAGGCTTGAGAAGAAGAAGAATGACGAGGAGACTGAAGAATGGGTGAGCTTTCTCCTTAAATTTCGAATAGATTTTCCTGTATGATATGATGTTATTGTTATGTTGTATTAATCTCTTGATACTTTTGCAGTGGGTTCAATGTGACAAATGTGAAGCATGGCAACATCAAATTTGTGCTTTGTTTAATGGTCGAAGGAATGATGGGGGCCAAGCCGAATATACTTGCCCGAATTGCTATATAGCAGAGATTGAAGAAGGAGAGCGCACACCATTGCCACAAAGTGCTGTTCTTGGTGCCAAAGATTTGCCCAGGACCATACTTAGTGACCACATAGAACAACGATTGGTTAAGAGACTGAAGCACGAAAGACTGGAGAGGGCCAGAGTTCAGGGGAGAAGTTATGATGAGGTAATGAGGTTGTTTCATCTGTTGTCGTGTATCATCTGTGTTCTTGGGCCTGACCCTGTAGTGTAATGGGACAACTTGTTCAATTTTATCTTGGGATGGTTTGTCGGAAGATGGGCTGGTCAGATTTTTGTAAGAAATAACATAGATAAGGGTTAAGGGAAGAGAAAGGAAGAACAATTAAATCTTATGAATATTTTGATTTAAAGTTCTGAGCCTTCTGGCAATGTTACTGTTTGGTGTTAGTTATAGTTGTTAGCATTATATTTACCAAGGTTTCATACTTGTCTGCTCATATAAGTTTCTTATCTCAGATAGTTGAAACCCTTCAGGAGTTGAATTCTAATAAGTTTTTGTTTTATGTTTGGTACAGTTTATCTACAGCCTTGTGTTGTCTTGGTTCCTTGTCACACATTTTTGTTTAATGTTTGGAAGTCTGAGTCTATGTTTTTGCCACTTTTTCAGGTTCCTGGAGCAGAATCCCTTGTAGTTCGTGTTGTTTCTTCTGTTGACAAAAAGTTAGAAGTGAAGCAGCGGTTCCTTGAAATATTCCGGGAAGATAATTATCCACTTGAATTCCCATATAAATCTAAGGTATGCAGACTAGCTCAGGTTTCTGTCTGCTTTTTCACAGGGTGTTTCTTCTCCCAACGTTTTCTGTTTCTCTCAAAAAACAGAATACTGTGAAAAATAATGAACTGTTGGATGCTCTCACTGCCATGTTGATTCAAGTAGTTATTCTTGGTGTTGGTGGTAACTGCTCAATTTCATTTAAAACTTCTTTTTCAGGTAGTTTTGTTATTTCAGAAGATTGAAGGTGTGGAGGTGTGTCTGTTTGGTATGTATGTGCAAGAATTTGGAACGGAAGCTCACTTCCCGAATCAGCGTCGTGTCTATCTGTCATACCTGGATTCTGTAAAATATTTTAGACCTGAAGTCAAAGCAGTTACAGGGGAGGCACTTCGTACATTTGTGTACCATGAAATTCTGGTCAGTACTTATCTGTCCACTCATCTTATTTGGATGTTGTTGAGGATAACTGGCCAATGATAATATTGCTGACTTGATTCTGTTTTTAACTATTTCCAGATTGGTTACCTAGATTATTGTAAGAAAAGGGGTTTTACTAGCTGTTACATATGGGCTTGTCCTCCATTGAAGGGTGAAGATTACATACTCTATTGTCATCCAGAAATACAGAAAACGCCCAAGTCTGATAAACTCCGAGAATGGTGGGCCTATTAAGCAGAAGTGGTGATTTCTTATTTAGTTCTTACCGTCAGTATTCTTTAGTTGTCTAACTCTAACTGCCTGCTGGTTATATCTCACTCTGCAGGTACTTGGCAATGTTAAGGAAAGCTTCAAAAGAAAATGTTGTAGTTGAACTAACAAATTTGTATGACCATTTCTTTGTGTCCACTGGTGAATGCAAAGCAAAGGTAACTGCAGCGAGGCTTCCATACTTTGATGGTGACTACTGGCCTGGTGCTGCTGAAGACTTGATTTATCAGCTTAATCAAGATGAGGATGGCAGAAAACATAATAAGAAGGGAACTACCAAAAAGACTATAACAAAGAGGGCTCTGAAAGCATCTGGTCAGTCAGATCTTTCAGGAAATGCATCAAAGGATCTGCTGCTGATGCATAAGGTAATCCTTTGTACCTCGCACAACAGGTCACCTTTCTGTTGTGTGAGAACAGTGTTTTTTTTTTGTTTTTTGCCATAACTCCGTTTCAGTATGGGCCATTCTTCCGAGCTCTCTGTTTGAGGAATGGATATGTAGCTCAGATTATTTTCTAAGTAGATGTTTTACTTCTCTGTCATGCCTATTTAGCTATCACTGTCTTTGTGCAGCTCGGTGAGACGATTTCTCCAATGAAGGAAGATTTTATCATGGTGCATCTACAGCACTGCTGCACACATTGTTGTACACTGATGGTATCAGGGAACCGGTGGGTTTGCAACCAGTGCAAAAGTTTTCAAATCTGTGACAGGTATATGCTCTCTTCGTAGGACTTAAGCAATGTCACTAGCATTACTTGATATAGTGTTACTTGATAACCCGTTGGAATCTTGTATCTTGTGTTTTGTGATTTTGAGTAGTCTAAGTGTCATCCATACATCATTGAAAATCAGTACATGGCTGCTCTTTATGTACAAAAGTTCTGCATATTATTGTGTCCGAGTATGACACAGCCTTTAGTAAATGCTGTCGTGAAGAAGAACCTGGTGTTGCAGAGAACAATTTTTTTTTGCCTTTGTAGCCTTAGAAACTTGAAGCCGTGACAACAATATTGATGATTTAAGTTATGATCATTTTACTATGTGAATCCCACCAAGATCACTAGCATTAGGTCATTTTATTGCTGTCTATAATTCTTACCGTTGACTTTGTTTTGAGACGTTGTTTTCTTCTGAAAGTCACGCCGTGCTGACTTGGTAATCATTTCATTCTCAATCATTGTGGAGGTTCACAATTTGAGGTCATCAATCAAAGCTCTAACCTTTGATTTCTTTGCTTGAACTGTTGAAGGTGTTATGAGGTGGAACAGAAACGTGAAGAAAGAGAACGACATCCTGTCCACCATAGGGAAAAGCATGGACTATATCCAGTAAGTTTCCAGCTTTGCTATTCTGTGTTCCAGTAGACCTTTCATCCATTGCGAGAGATTGTAAGCATGACTGGAAAATTCTGTAGGTTGAGATCAATGATGTGCCTGTTGATACAAAGGACAGAGATGAAATTCTTGAGAGTGAATTCTTTGATACGAGGCAGGCTTTCCTTAGTCTCTGCCAGGGGAATCATTATCAGTATGATACTCTCCGTCGTGCTAAACATTCCTCTATGATGGTCCTTTACCATCTTCACAATCCGACTGCACCTGCATTTGTTACTACATGCAATGTTTGTCATCTGGATATTGAAACTGGTCAAGGTTGGCGTTGTGAGGTCTGCCCAGAATATGATGTTTGCAATTCTTGTTACCAAAAGGATGGTGGTATTGACCATCCACATAAATTGACCAACCATCCATCTATAGCTGAGCGTGATGCACAGAATAAAGAAGCCCGACAACAAAGGGTTCTGCAGGTACGCTTCCAAGTGAATCATTTATGTTTTCTTTTTACCCAATGACTGGTATTCACATTCCATTTCCTAATGAACTCAAGTTTTATAGTTGCTTGATCATGTTTTTCTCGACTTTGCTTGTGATATCATCATATCAAAAGTAAACAGCTGACATGATATATGTGTGACATTGCAGCTTAGGAAAATGCTTGATCTTTTGGTGCATGCATCACAGTGCCGTTCTCCTCACTGCCAGTATCCGAATTGCCGGAAAGTGAAGGGGCTTTTCAGGCATGGGATACAGTGCAGAACACGTGCATCTGGAGGTTGTGTTCTGTGCAAGAAGATGTGGTATCTCTTGCAACTCCATGCTAGAGCTTGCAAAGAATCTGGATGCTATGTACCCCGTTGCAGGTTTGTGTATTAAACTCACACCATGCTAGGTTTTTGTTAAAATTTTTTAGGGTCTGTCCTGTTTCAACCACTCGGACTGTACAGTACATAGTTACAATGAATGCATTGTTTTGTTTTTGTCGTACAGAGATCTGAAAGAACATATAAGAAGACTGCAACAACAATCTGAATCACGTCGAAGAGCTGCAGTGATGGAGATGATGAGGCAGAGAGCTGCTGAAGTTGCTGGCAGTTCTGGTTAAACCAGTCTTCTGTACATACTAAAACATTTGGGCTTCGTTTTTCTTTTTTGGGAAGGAAAGGCTTTCCTGAAAAGAAGAGGGAGGCAGAGTCAGCAACAGTTTTGGTGCCTGCTTGGAATGAGGCAGTGGGAGTCAGGGGCGCAGCACATGATAATTACATAGATGGGGTTGGAGTGGGGGGATAAAGCAAGTGTTAGTACAGAAGATTGGTTTTTGATCGACGCTTTGTGTTAGGGATCGATTTTTTGATTCATGTCTCCGAAGTAATCTCTCCCCTTCCTTCCCCTCATGCAAAGGAAATGTGGACATAGAAATTTCATCGAGCAGACTAAAGACGGAGACGGAGAAAGAGCAGCAGCCTCACTTCCTGTGCCCCTTTCAGCAGCAGCTAACTCGATATATAGTGTTCCCTCCAGGGAGACGTAGCAGGGTATAGGATTACTGATGGTTGTGCTTAGTCAGGCGGCAGGCAAGGCATCTTATGACGAATTGGCGCGATTCTTTGATTTCTATGTTCAAAGAAGGAATGCTACATTTCCAGATTTTGCTGTTTAAAAGGAAACACACAATGTGAAGGTCCACCCCTTGGTGGCCGACTCTGTACCATAATTATTCTAATCATCTTCTTGCTTTAGTCTTTCCAAATGACACAGTCTCTGCTTTCCTCTTCCCTGTTTCTAATTGTTTCTCCTTAGCCCCCAAGTCACTTCCCTTCCCTTTTCTTTTGTAGTATGCTCTTGTTACCTTAAACCCGAAGATCCAGTGAATCGTCAATTAGAAAGCCTGTTTCCAGAACTCCTTAGGGTTTCAGAAGGAATGGGAATTGGTGGTTTTCATGTTTCCCTTATTTGGTCCGTTTAACCGTCTCCTCCGTATGCAGTATACTCCTTTCGGTGTCGCTGCAGCATCGATTGAATTCACTCGGTGCTTGCTGATCTTGCGCTTCGTAATTGTCTTCCAATTATGTGGTGTTGTTGCTTCAGTAGTATCTACTGTCTGCATCAAATAGATGCGCGGTTTCTTGCACAGGAAGAAACAGTCGAAAACGGAATCAGGGTTTGGAAAAGAAAGAGGCGGATAAGACCATGATAGCAGATGCTATGTGTATGGCTGTGTTTACAAATAGGATTCCAGACCACAAAATCAACAGCATTGACTACGTGGCCACAACATTGACACACATGATCATGTTAATAACTTTTCACAAAAGATCAAACGTATACGTTCAAGATCCCTCGTCGTAAAATGGGAAACTACTTTCTGCTAAATGAAAACAGTCAAGATAAAAGGGGTTGCTGCTTGTTTTGGAGCAAAGAATGAAAGGCTGAAAATGCTTGCAGGGCCAGGGAGGGAAAGATAAAGAACATCTATAAGAATGAGCAAGCAACCACCGGTGAGCTCTTTTGGGAAAAAAATGATAATACGAAGCCACCACCATTGTTACAGCTCAGAGTTTACAGAGAGAGCAGCAAAACCACACCAAGTTGGAGGAATAGCAGCCACATCTAGCAACAGGCTCGTCCTGAATAACAACAATACTTACCTTGTTGGAAGAGTGAATTGGTCTGCCACAACGACAGCAGCGATCAAAGGTAGCAGCAGCCGGCGCCGGCTTATAAGCAGCATTACGACGACGAGCGTGGTCGCGGCGGCCTCTGCAGTTGTTCTACTAGCTTCGCCGCCACCTGCCGTTGCAGCCGAGCGGCGGAAGAGGGAAGACGGTGGGGAAGAGGAGGAGGAGGAGACGCTGGGGAACGTGCCGCAGACGCTGGCAGGGGAATGTGAAGTGGAAGAGGGAAAGGACTGCAAGAAGGCGACGAGGATACAGAGACCCAAATCCAGGAAAGCTGAGACTTGCACCGTCAAATGCGTCAACACCTGCATCCGCGGCGGCGATGGAGAAGGTCCTCTCAATATCAGGAGGTGAGTAGTAATAAAATCAATGCAGTTTTCTGTATTTCAAAATATTGGATTACCATTTATGGTTGGTTGGTTGGTTTGTGGATGCTAGACCTCTGGTGGTGTTCAAGCAAGGTTTTCGCAGCCGCCATTACTGGTACTTCTTGCATTATTCTCCTCGCATCCATCTCTGCTTCTACTGCAAAAAAAAAAAAGTTGCACATAGTGATTCCATGACAGAAAGCAATAATCTTCATATTACTACGCTTTGCTTAACTTGTAGTCCTATCTTGCATTGGCATTTGCAGCCTGGTGGAGTGCTCTGAGATCTGCAATCTGATTGGAGATGGAGATGATGGACCCTGACCCACTATCCCTTTTTCTATCCAGTTTCAAATGTATCAGAGGGATGGATTGGAATTGGGATGAGAAGAAGCATCCTGCCTTCCTACTATTATTCTGTTACTATTCAATTATGCAGTGCCTGATTGGCTATATCGAAGAACGCCTGCTCTAAATTCACAATTTAAAGAACCGCCTGAACCTCTTGATCACCTGGTGGTACAGTATCCTTCAAACCCTGGGCGATGGCGAAGACTGGCTGCTATTATCGTAAGTGGCCATACCCTTTTCATCATCCTGCCGGCCACTTTCTCTGGGAAGCTGTAGTAGTGTTTTTTCTAACTGTACCATCCAGCCAAACTGAATATCGGAGATCAAACTAATAACGGTTCATCAGAGTTATGCTACTTCATTTTGAACCGTCGACCTCAGTCGGTTCCACCTGCAAAACAGTTTCACCAACTGGGCATATGTACACACAAGACTTAACCCTGCATGAGACTCTGGAAGATGCTCCCAAGTAGATGTCAAAAGAATCACATAGAGATTTTGATGTGGATTCAGAAGAAGAGTAACAAGCAATCACAATACAACACACATCAGCAGCAGCAGGAGGCAGTAAATCAGTAGAGCAGCAGAGAGATTTTGCAGGAACAGCAATACAGCATTGGATCTCATGTTATAACGAGTATACATGAGAGAGAAGGGAGGACTCTAACTCAAACAATGGCTACCATTCTCTATGGAATCTAACATGCATTTACACAGACCATTCACTCATCATTACCCTGGATGCATTTGGATCTGAAAAGGGCGTCAGAAAGTTGAGCCATTGAATCCAAAGAAGGAACGCTGTAAAAACAAGCGACACATTATCAGTAAAATCCATCCCACTGCAATTAGTTAGTTAGTTCGTCAGCTATATTACCACAAAACTTGTTATCTACAGAATTGGGTTGTTTGCTGAACCTTGTTTTAGCTCCAAGAAAGCAGTTCTCGGAGCAAGCAATAAGAACCAAAGACACTGAAATTTCAGAAGAGTTAGCGGAAAAAGGTTTACCTCAACATCATAAAACTTGATGTAAAACCGGGAGCTATCTATGGAGAGCTTGGTTTCAAGAATCTCAGCAACACTGAGCTTCCCATTGACGCTTGGCCCCAAACCTCCAATGGAGATCAACTCTCCGTATGCAGCAGGCTCCTCCGTGCCAGCGAATGCAATGGGCACGCCGCTATTCACCAAAATAATCACATACGCAACACAGCCACCAAAGACATCGCAATCTAATTATGCTCCTGAAGGACTTTTGTCAGGAGATACTGATATGGACGGATGGGCCTCCACGTCGTCAAGCCGTCATCAATTGGTGGAGGAGAAAACGCGTCAGAGTGTGAGGGAGGAGAGCCGATTCCATCGGCTGGGCCAAGCCCACTCCGACTTGCGGGGCCCGCCGGGCCACTAATTCAAAAATCCATAAAAAATTACCCTAAACCCTACCCCTTTTCACGTACTTCCCCAAATTACTTTCCCCCCTCTCTCTCCCTTTCTCTCTCCCTTTCCTCTCCCTTTCTTCCTCTCCCGAACGCAGACGAAGCGCCGCGCGGTGTAGAGAACTCGGCGGCCGTCGGCGACGATCTAGGCGGCGACGGCGACCTTGCAGCGAAGTCGGAGATCTCAGCGGCGACGACCTTGCAGCGAACTCAGCGGCGGCGATCTCGGCGGCAGCGAACTTGTCGGCGGCGACGAAGCAGCGATCTCGGCGGCGGCGCTTGGCAGGGAACTCGGGTTCTTGATCAAGTAAGTTTTCAAGCATAGTTTCGTGGATATTAGTTTTCGTTTGGATAGATTTGAGTTAGGGTTGCATGATTCGTTCTTTTGTTGATTTTATTTCTGGGTTTTGTGGAATGGCTTTCTGTTTGAGTCGATATTAGTTCTGTTTGTGTCGATATTAGTTCTGTTTGTGTCGATATTAGTTGTCTTTGTGTCGATATTAGTTCTATTTGTGTCGATGTTAATTCTGTTTGTGTTGATATTAGTTGTCTTTGTGTCGATATTAGTTCGGTTTGTGTTGATATTGGTTTTGTTCGAGCATGATATCAGTTGTGACTTTCCTGGATAGTTGTTTTATAGGATCTGGGTATTTGTCTTTGCAGGTGATTTATCAATGGCAAAGACTAAAACGAGCGGGAAGAGAGCGCCACCGACTTCACCCCCTCCACCACCACCACCGCGACAGCGAGAGGAAGATGAGGAAGAAGAAGATGCCGAATTCGAAGCAGAAGGAGCTGCACAAGAAGATGCTGAAGTCGAAGCAGAAACAACTGCACAAGGAGCAGCTCTAGGTCGGAAAAATCCAAGGTATAGATTTCAGACATTATATTATTTATTTTGCTTGGATTGTTTCTTTGATATATCTGGATATTGGTTTTGGCAAGCATGATATCAGTTATAACTTGCCTGGATAGTTGTTTGATATATGTGGATATTTGTTTGACGTGTCGGGATATTTGTTTGATTTATCTGAATATTTGTTTGACATATCTGGATATTTGTTTGATTTATCTGGATATTTGTTTGACCAATCTAGATATTTGTTTGATATATCTGTATATTTGTTTGTGCATGGATTTATCAATGGCAAGAAATAAAAGGACAGCGAAGAGAGCGCGACGGAATCCACCGCCATTGCGAGAGGAGGATGAGGAAGAAGATGCTGAAGTTGCTGCACAAGGAGCTGCACAAAGAAATAATATTCTAGGACAAGGCAAGTCGTGGTACAGATTTCGGTGTCATACAAAATCTCTGCTAGATGTTATTAATTACTGGAAGGAAGAGCCAAGGTACTATGAAGCATGCAAGAAAGAGTTGGAGAAGGCTGGATTTGGAGGGTTATTAGAGCTTCGATTGGCAAATTTTCCTAAGAAGTTGTTCGATACCTTGATGGCACAGTACGACTTAGTCACCAGTTCATTCATTTTCGGTGAAGGGGAGAACAAGAAGGTGCTTACAATCGAAACCGAGGATGTTGCCCGTGTTTACGGCCTTCCTATTGGTGGAGCTGAGATTGATGTCGTTAGGTCTAACGACAAGATGCTTGATATGTTCATGGAGGAGCTCAATATCGAGTGTAATCGAAGTCGAAATGTCGAAGTCATGCATCTTAGAGAGGCAGCCTTTGGTGGTCAAGATGACGCACCGAAAAGGAGACACCTGTTGCAGCCGCAGTGAAGCAGTTTTTGTTGCTGGCTATGGGTTCGATGCTCGTCCCAAAGATGTCACGACTTTGTGATCTCGATTATGCTGAGTACCTTGTTGGAAGGGTGGAAGACATTGCCACTTTTAATTGGAGTGGTTTTGTTGCCCGCAATCTGAAGTTTGAGTTGTCTCGTGATAAGGAAAACTAAGCTGAACCTAGGGCTAATGGTAGACAGCAATGGCCTCTCGGAGATATCCACTTCTTAATGGTAACTTCTCCTTTAACATTGTTGATATTGTTTATTTGATGTGCTTAGGATATTAGTTCTTTTCATTTCTGATATCTATTTTCTATGCCTTTGATATTAGTATCGCTGCTTAGGATATTAGTTCTTTTTATTTCTGATATCTTATTTCTATGCCTTTGATATTAGTATCGCCGCTTAGTATATTAGTTATTTTCATTCGTGATATCTGTGTTTGTTTGCTTGTGATATTAGTATCACTGCTTAGGATATTAGTTATTTTCATTCGTGATATCTGTTTTGTTTGCTTGTGATATTAATAACCATGCATAGGATATTAGCTCTTTTCATTCGTGATATTTGTTTTGTGTGCTTGTGATATTAATAACCGTGCATGGGATAACCATTTCTGTAATATAACTAAAAACATCACTAATAACCCTTGAGTTCTTTCGCATGGATGTTTTTAGTTATATTACAGAAATGGTTATCCCATGCACGGTTATTAATATCACAAGCACACAAAACAGATATCACGAATAAAAGAGCTAATATCCTATGCATGGTTATTAATATCACAAGCAAACAAAACAGATATCACGAATGCAAAATAACTAATATCCTAAGCAGCGATACTAATATCACAAGCAAACAAACACAGATATCACGAATGAAAATAACTAATATCCTAAGCAGCGATACTAATATCAAAGGCATAGAAAGCAGATATCAGAAATAAAAAGAACTAATATCCTAAGAAGCGATACTAATATCAAAGGCGTAGAAAACATATATCAGAAATTAAAAGAACTAATATCCTAAGCACATCAAATAAACAATATCAACAATGTTAAAGGAGAAGTTACCATTAAGAAGTGGATATCTCCGAGAGGCCATTGTTGTCTACCATTAGCCCTAGCTTCAGCTTCGTTTTCCTTAGCACGAGACAACTCAAACTTCATATTGCGAGCAACAAAACCACTCCAATTAAAAGTGGCAATGTCTTCCACCCTTCCAACAAGGTACTCAGCATAATCGAGATCACAAAGTCGTGACATCTTTGGGACGAGCATCGAACCCATAGCCAGCAACAAAAACTGCTTCACTGCGGCTGCAACAAGTGGTCTCCTTTCCGGTTCGTCATCTGGACCACCACAGGCTGCCTCTCTAAGATGCATGACTTCGACATTTCGACTTCGATTACACTCGATATTGAGCTCCTCCATGAACATATCAAGCATCTTGTCGTTAGACCTAATGACATCAATCTCAGCTCCACCAATAGGAAGGCCGTAAACACGGGCAACATCCTCAGTTTCGATTGTAAGCACCTTCTTGTTCTCCCCTTCACCGTAAATTAATGAACTGGTGACCAAGTCGTACTGTGCCATCAAGGAATCGAACAACTTCCTAGGAAAATTTGTCAATCGAAGCTCCAATAACCCTCCAAATCCAGCCTTCTCCAACTCTTTCTTGCATGCTTCATAGTACCTTGGCTCTTCCTTCCAGTAATTAATAACATCTAGCAGAGATTTGGTATGGCACCGAAATCTTTACCACGGCTTGCCTTGTCCTAGAATATTATTTCTTTGTGCAGCTCCTTGTGCAGCAACTTCAGCATCTTCGTCCTCATCCTCCTCTCGCAATGGCGGTGGATTCCGTCGCGCTCTCTTCGAGGTCTTTTTATTTCTTGCCATTGATAAATCCATGCACAAACAAATATACAGATATATCAAACAAATATCTAGATTGGTCAAACAAATATCCAGATAAATCAAACAAATATCCAGATATGTCAAACAAATATTCAGATAAATCAAACAAATATCCCGACATGTCAAACAAATATCCACATATATCAAACAACTATCCAGGCAAGTTACAACTGATATCATGCTTGCCAAAACCAATATCCAGATATATCAAAGAAACAATCCAAGCAAAATAAATAATATAATGTCTGAAATCTGTACCTCGGAATTTTCCGACCTAGAGCTGCTCCTTGTGCAGTTGTTTCTGCTTCGACTTCAGCATCTTCTTGTGCAGCTCCTTCTGCTTCGAATTCAGCATCTTCTTCTTCCTCATCTTCCTCTCGCTGTCGCGGTGGTGGTGGTGGTGGAGGGGGTGAAGTCGGTGGCGCTCTCTTCCCGCTCGTTTTAGTCTTTGCCATTGATAAATCACCTGCAAAGACAAATACCCAGATCCTATAAAACTACTATCCAGGAAAGTCACAACTGATATCATGCTCGAACAAAACCAATATCAACACAAACCGAACTAATATCGACACAAAGACAACTAATATCGCCACAAACATTACTAATATCGACACAAAGACAACTAATATCGACACAAACAGAACTAATATCGACATAAACAGAAAGCCATTCCACAAAACCCAGAAATAAAATCAACAAAAGAACGAATCATGCAACCCTAAATCAAATCTATCCAAACGAAAACTAATATCCACGTAACTATGCTTGAAAACTTACTTGATCAAGAATCCGAGTTCCCTGCCAAGCGCCGCCGCCGAGATCGCTGCTTCGTCGCCGCCGACAAGTTCGTTGCCGCCGAGATCGCCGCCGCCGAGTTCGCTGCAAGGTCGTCGCCGCCGAGATCTCCGACTTCGCTGCAAGGTCGCCGCCGCCTAGATCGTCGCAGCCGCCAAGATCGAAGACTTCGCTGCCGCTGAGTTCGCCGCCGCCGAGTTCGCTACACCGCGCGGCGCTTCGTCTGCGTTCGGGAGAGGAAGAAAGGGAGAGGAAAGGGAGAGAGAAAGGGAGAGAGAGGGGGAAATTAATTTGGGGAAGAACGTGAAAAGGGGTAGGGTTTAGGGTAATTTTTTTGGGGTTTTGAATTAGTGGGCCTTGCGGGCCCCGCAAGCCGGAGTGGGCTTGGCCCAGCCGATGGAATCAGCTCTCCTCCCTCACACTCTGACGCGTTTTCTCCTCCATCGATGGATGGCGGCTTGGCGACGTGGAGGCCCATCCGTCCCTATCAGTATCTCCATATGAAACTTGCTGAAATTCTTCTGAATGGCCATACATCGGCTGTGAATTGAAACTGAGGCAGCCTTCTGAACCCTGGAAATCACACCCCTAACAAGATAACAGCTTTTGATAGCACGAAAAGGGAACATTTTTCCTTGTCTTCCCATAATGAGAGCCATTCATCTCACTAACCTTACATCAACGACTAGCACAAACAACATAACCTAATGTGGGAACCAAAGCAATCCCCGCGGTTGGAGAAAGATTCCGCCATGGAAACAGCTCAAACCAATTGCCTAAGCTAATCAAATACTCGATTTGGAAGAGTAAAGGTGTGAGTTTTTTGCCGTATCTTACTGCAGTTGAGAAACGGGTCTGCACCGAATATATGGATAGATTATATGCGCGCATAAGATGAGCAGAAAAGAGAAGATTTACGCTTACCCGGAAGGAAAAGAAATCACTCGTTACTTTCGCCTGAGTCTTCTTCTCTACTAGCCCCACTTCCTGCAATTCCGTACTTGTATCACAGCGCACCAGGAACGGCGGGAAGGGTTGGCATAATTGAAATATCATTAATAAGCTTTTTTAGATTGATCTAAAAATATTAGTTGATCAACATATCAATTTGATTGGTGAATTATTTGGTTATAATTTGGTTGTAATGATGGTTTTACCCATCCTACTCCGCAACCCCTAGTCGGGAAGTCGATTATGCATTCTAGAAAAAAAGATGAGTGACATGCAACCGAAAGAAGATTGCTCTCGCAAGTAGTCATTTCGTCGAACACCAAGAGGACACCGCAGAAAGAACAAGCGCGACTCTTGTAACAGGAAACGAGAAACACGATGAGGGGGAAGGGGAGGAGGCAACGCAACGGATTCCGGCTTGCCAATGATTTTTGAAACGGCTTTGGTGGCGTCTTTCAGGACATCCGACGTTGTAACCGTGTCCACCGGAATATTCGTGTACAGATTCAAGGTCGGCATTGTCCCGCCGCTCTCTTCTTCTTCTTCTTCCTTCGCTGCCGGAGCCAGCGCCTGGATAGAGAGAGCTTGCTGCCGGAAATTGGGTTGGGTTAAACTATGTGCCCGAGCCCGACCCATCTATACGGCACCCGACCCGAGTTAGTTTGTTAAGCGCTGAAACGGCGTCGTTTGTGTATGAACATACAAAAACCTAAAACCTTCCATTTCTACACGTTCTCCGTTCCAGGCCAAGAAGCCGCAACCCGCCGTCCGTCGACATTCCCCTCCTAACTCCGAGTCCGGCTTCAGCTCCTTCTCTTCCCATTTCGGTAGCCTCCGCTGCTTCGTTGGAGGGCCTTCTTCCAGCTCTTCCTGCCATTGTTCGTTAGTCATCGACGCTGCCACAGTGAGTAATTCTACTTTCTTTCTTCTTCTTCTTCTTCTTCTTCAGTTTACATTAACGATTATGGCTGCTTTGTGCCCATTTTTCTCCTATTCACTTAGGCGGTGTGTCTCATGATCCAATTCCTTTTAACGGGCTGTAATAATTGGGGACTGGTGGAACGAGTGAGACTGGACTGAACATTTTGGGGTAGAACAAGTTAGCAACCGAAACTTCACTGTGTTTCTCTGTCTGTGTGATTATATGATTCTGTAATTATCCTTCAGTCTTTCATCGACCTGGGCTCGTATAAAGAAACGATCTTTGTGTGAAAATCATTTTGGGGAAAACAAGTTCACTAGTGCCCTTTCTGTGGGTTCATTGGCCCTATTATTATCATATCTGCTCTTTTGTAGAACCTACGATATAGTAGTTCATATGATGGGTCTCTGTTTGTAGTTTAGACATTGGTTTTGTGATCTCTGATTCATTTGCCTTTGTGGGTTTTCATGTTTGGTATTTGTTTCTACTCGACCTCATTTGAATTGGAAAAACAGCGTTTCCAAGTAAGTGGTGGAAGTAGAGAAAGGCCTAATATCAACTCGCCTTTTCACTGGTCTGGTCGAATTAGTTCAGCTATTTCTCTGTTAGTAAATGGCATCTTATGTTTGGAAATATAACATGTAGGGTCGTAAAAAGAAGGTGAAAGATGATGAACAAGAAGGAGATTCTGAAGCTAGCCAAAGGGTTTAGGGGGAGAGCAAAGAACTGCATCAGGATAGCAAGAGAGAGGGTGGAAAAGGCTTTACAGTATTCTTACAGGGATCGTCGAACAAAGAAACGTGACATGCGCTCCCTATGGATCCAACGGGTCAGTGCTGGCACCCGGCAGCATAATGTAAGCAACCTATTCCCTGCCTAGGCTATTTTGTATCAATTGATTGGTAACCCACTGAGCTGTCTTGTAGCCTGATTGGGCACATTGATTTTGTTTGTTCCTTTTGCGCTGCTGTTACTCATTAATTCGTGGGAACCTACAACTTTATACTAAATGTGTGGTTGAGTGGTGGTTATATTTCTTGTCATTCGATGCCACTGTCCGTATGGGTTTTTCTCTGATAAATGCTTATCTTTTGAGTTGGAGAATCAAGTTCATCATTAATTAATGCAAATATGGATTATGTTGTTGAAGTTCTACTAGGTGAAGCTAGTTCATTGGTTTTGAGACTACTAACTTGTTTGTAAGAGCATTTTTCTTCACGTGCTTTGCTTCTATGGTTGGTGTTTTAAGTATTAGCACAATGGAAATCATTTTCTTGGTTATCGACTATAATTAATTTGAGTGGTTAGTTTTTTGGTTCCTTTCCATTTACAGAATGTATTTCAGACCCGGTATTAGGTTTTCATAGTGAGCTCATGAATCCTTATGTACTTAGTATTGAAATCTCCAGAATTAAACTGAATGATAAAGGAAGCATGCCTAGAACCTTGCTCAACATTCTCAATCCTTGTCGATTGCAAAAAGTGTGATAAAAAAACAATTGAAGATGAAGAAAACTGCTCTAGTTATAGTATGTGTTTGTAATTGTTGAATGGTTGACATACTCCAGCTATAAAGGCTCTTATTATCTGTTAAAACTGCTCTAGTTATAGTATGTGTTTGTATCTTGTGACTAGTAGAACTCTCATCTTTCAATAGCGACTACCAGGTTCCCATAACAAATCATTTCGTCTTTCCCAGTTGTATGTGAATTACCCTGGTGGCTTTAGAAAACTTCTCAGTTACTGCTCTTGTTTAGCTGTATTCCTAAGTCAACCATCTTCGATGGTCATACTTAAGATCCATTTCTTACTTTGCCTCTCAATTTTGATTAGTACTCGCATCCTTCAAAGCATTAGCTTTTTGTCAAAACTCAAGGAGTGTGTTAATGTGAATCAAGAAGCCTCAACTGTTTCTAGCCCAGTACATTATGGTATGTGCTTCCTGGCTTCAACTGGGGGTACATAGTTCAGTATTCACCCTTCTGCGGGTGCCTAATTTATTCATGGCCTTTTTTTATCAAGAATTGTGGGCTTGCTAAAAAGATCCTCGACACTAGTAGACCTTTTGAAGTGTAAAATGGCATAAAAGAAAACAGAGGGTGATTGCATTTTGTGATAGTGCTTCTGAAGTGCTTTCTACTTGATTAGCTGAAGTAGTCAGTGGTTATGTGGAAATAGTAAAGTGCTTTCTCTTTTGCTTCATGCTCCACAAACTAAACACTTGTAAATTAGAACCAACCAGTTGCAATTTGAGCCTGCTTAGCACCTGGAGGGCGATTGCATTTTGTGAATAAACTGTGAATAGAAAGGTGGTAGTTGGAGGGGGCATTTCTGATTCTCTACTGCGTGTGATTCACAGGTTCATTATGGTCACTTCATGCACGGGCTTAAGAAGGAGAACATCCAGCTGAACCGGAAAGTTCTGTCGGAGATATCGATGCACGAGCCCTTCAGTTTCAAAGCTCTGGTAGACATTTCTCGCGAGGCTTTTCCAGGAAACAGACACATATATCATCGTCCGAGGAAGGTTGATATGTCGTCGATGGATGCATAACGGGTCGACTTCCTAGATAAAGTCTTGGTCGTGGGAGATTTATTAGATAAATCTGAACTAGATGTTTCTCCTGTTGGTTTCCTCCGTTAGGTGTCTTGAGTCAGGGAAGTTGTATTCAATTATGCAGCTGTGTATGATCTGGATCCTTTTTCTTTTTGCCAATGACAAAAGGCAAATTGCAGAAAAAATATTGCATGATCAGTAGGTTTCCAGTTCTTCACTTCGCCCTGCAGCTGGTGTATGATTTGGTGAGCCTAAGGTCTAGCCTGGTTGAATTATGATTGGCAAAGTAAGTCTCTACTGACTATGTTGTTAGAAAGGTTTGGTGTATCGGATAGACCAAACTCCTAAACTGGATTGATTTTAGCATTGTTCATTAACTTCAAGAGCTTAGTTTGGTTAACTTATCTCCCTGGAAATACGTTATAACTTAAGCAAGGTTGTCAAACCGGTTTATGTCAGTGTGCCGGTTTAGCAAGTGGAATGGTTCGACCGGTGGCACATACCGGTTTGTGCCGGTCAATATTACAAATAAAATTATAAATACTCATTTTAAACATGGCATTTAACGTCAATACCTAAACATTTATACTTGAATCCAACAAATAACATCAATATTTAACATTTATACTCATAAAATAAATAATAAAATAATTTTTAACAATTAAAGTAAGGTTATTTTACTTAGAGATTCGTATATCGATCATGCCGGTCATACCGATGGTGTCACGCCGGTTTTATGACCGGTACAGGTTGAACCAGGTACAACCAGTGGCACGCCGGCCGGCGTGACAACCCTGAACTTAAGTAAATATAAAATGGATTCAATCCCCAGAAAGGGTAGATTAAGTTTTCTAAAAGGGGATTAACCACTTAATTATCTATTTGTTATGAATTATTATAGTATTGTTTTATAAAAGTTTTCCAATAATTTATTTCGGTGAAGTCAAGGACAAAAAGCCCACTTACTCCTAATCAATAATTGTAGCCTTTAAAAGTAATGCATCATGCTATTCTCAAAATTGTAACATTTATTTGAAATCTATAATATCCAAAGTGTCAAAACCAGTATATAATATTTGATCAATATAGATATTTTTTTTTTATGTTAGATGTTCTATTATCAATATATCTAAATTTCTTATGAAAATATTATATTGCTATACTAATAAAATAGGGGGAAACCAGCTAAAAGTAATTCAGAGAAACTTTTTTTATTATAAGAATTCCAATCAGTAATTACCATCTAAATACCCAAAAAAATATTTGGTGAAAATCTCTCTTATGAATATTTTAGATGTATTGTAAATATAATTACAAAAATCTAAATCAGATTATGATCTCAGTTTTGTATGGGATCTAATTATTAGGAAGGTTATTTTAGAGTCGGATTTACAAATGACTATCAGTCTCATCCAGTCCGTGATGCTCCTCTCACCCATACTTCGTTCTAATCGATGAAATCCAACCCTTTTTGACTTTACCATGGGAGGTTCGCCTCGCCCGTGTGTTATGTGTATAGAGAAGGCAACTTTGTGCAATACTTATTTCTTACATCTTTTGAGCATTCCTTAGTTGTTAGAGTACACTCTTTCACGATTCTGTTTCCCACACCGGACTACAGGTTATACATATATCAAATAGCAGTTTCTATTCTCCGAATCATTTAATGAATTATGAAGGTTAGAAGCGCTCTTCCATCAAAATTTGAATACGACGATGTAAGAACAAATTATATTTTATCACCGTAATATAAGGAAGTGCTAACTGCTAAGTTCCATCGACAAGTGGATATGCAGCGCATTTCTCGGTTTTGTGCAATGTACTTGATCCCCATACTCTCCCTCTCCGTAGGAATGGCAATGGGCAGGTCTGGGGTGGGTATCTCGATACTCATACCCGCCCTGTGGCAGGTCGGGTCCACCAGGCACGTCGGGTAATTTACCATGGGGGCGCGAATCGGGGCAGGTCGACCCAATGGGTATGTAACTTATGTACGTGAAAAACATAAAAAAAAATATATATGATAAAATGTAGTTAAATTATTGGAGAAATTGAGGTTTTCTCTTACTTACAACTTTATTATAACTAAAATACAAGGCAATAAGAGAAAAATCCTAAATAATTTGAATAAGATTACATGTAATGTAGACAAGAGCGGGTTCAGAATGGGACGGGTCAGGGTAGGTTAGGTCGATGAGAGGTACCCATGCCCGCCCTGCCGACGGACCCACCCCAAAACAGGTAAACAGGTTGGATAAAACGAGTCAGGTCGAAATTGCCATCCCTACCTCTCCGTCGTCGGTAAATAATGAGCGGTGGTTGCATGTCAACTTGGTTGTTGGCTCCTTTCCTCTACGGCCGGCGACATTAATTTGGATCATCAGTTACAGTTGATTAGGTATGGAAGTAATCTACTAGCTCTGTATTTAAATGGTATTTAGCTTGATTAATTATCAATTTTTCTTGCTAGTTTGAACTGTTCATATAGAGTAGCTAGATGGGTACGTAGTGCCAGAGGGGAAAAATCAACCAAACAACCTTAAATTAATCACAACACTTGTAAAATTTCTATTCATTGAAAGAAAGAAAGAAAAACCAGACTTGTGTTCGTGGTTCCAATATTCTGTGTGTATCTTGTGTCCAATTGGCTGTATGAGATCGATGATGATAACCTATTTATATAATAATATGTCTCTGAAATCTCAAAGAAATTTGACTTTCCAAATTTTCTTGGTTATTATTGTATATGGTTGTCTTAATCCACCAACCACACCAAGAAAGGAGTATGAACTATGAACACGAATCTATGTGCTGTTTCTTCTCCATGCTAGCTACCTACTTCCTCCCCTCCCCCCGCTTATGCTGGCTCTCTTCGCGAGACTCGCTACCTCGTTTCTCGTATGAATATCTGACAAATTTATGAGATTGAAGCAATTTAGGGTGAAAATGAAGAACTGATTTCTTGAAAATGGTTGGCCGCGCGCGGTTTTAGGAAAATGTCCGGATTCATTCTGAGCAAACAAACAATTGATTTTATGAAATCGTAAATTTGACTTCGTAATGTAATCATTTCAGTAGTTGTTCTGACTTCTGAGAAACTTAAGGTTTTAGTGGCCGGGCCTTCTACTATGTTTAATAGTATTAGTGTTCGAGGTACGAATAAGGGTTTTGGTCTGGTAGTAATATCACTAGTATTGAATCTTCGAATCTCGTAAGAGTAGTACCTAACCACTAAAACTAAACCTACGTCACTCTTATCTGATAAAAAAGTATTCAGTGTTTCGAGAGATATGTACAGATTGACACATGTACCATAATATTAAAGGTACAAGTTCAATTTGTCTCATAACGTTAAAGATATCAATACAGTCTGTAAAACTTTTGTACCCGACTATAAAACTTGGGTAAAACTCATATGTAGGTAGTTGTGTCGTTGTGAGGAAAATTTACCAATGAGTAGTTGACCACGTCCGCCGCCAAATTAACAGAGACTCCAACATATTTGTACTCTTGAGTCGCCGTTGTCTAAGTCTACGATTAATAATTTAATAGTGTTGATGTTGGGAGCTAATAGCTGCTGGGTTTTGTGCCAGTTGGTGGCCGGGAGTTGACCGGTTCAGTTTCAGGGGTCTCGACCGATTTGGGTCGATTCGGTCCCCTGGAATCTTCGTTTGTTTTAGGTGGGGAAATTAAAGTGTCGTTTGCTTGTGGGATTTGGGTCATGTATTTGTTATCCAAATACAAAGCATTACGTATTTGATATAAAAACATTGTTTGTTGAGTCATACAAATCCGTGGGGCCCAAGGATTTGGACAATTTTTTTAGCCCCAAATCCATGGACCCCACGTATTTGCAAATACCACATTTCATTTGGTATTTGGTCATTGAAGGCAAGGAGTTGAGACCCATGATACAAAAATCTTTAAATCCAAGATCAAAATCAACTAAACAAACAATGTTATCTTTCAAATACCAAATGAAACAAATCCATCATAAATCCAAAGGTTTTCAAAACTAAAAACCTTCATTTTCAAATCCAACAAGCAAACGAGCCCTAAGTACGCATTAGCCATAGCCACTGGTTTGAGATTGAAAGTTGCCTGTTTGTGGAATGTTCTTCTGAGTCGCATTGCCTAAGGGGACTTTTTTTTTTTTATGGTTTCCACATTAAACTTAAACTTTGATGTTACTTCCTTCAGCTAGTGGGCTTGAATGTAGTTGACTTTTCTTTTTTGGGGAGAATTAATTTTAACGAAAATGTGCGAAAGCTGTATTTGAACCGTCTGTGAGCTTTTTCTCGTGCGTGTGGATTTCTAACTGAATATGAAATTACGAGTCGATTTTATCGGGGGGAAATTCAATCACTATCAGATTTGGCTAAGTTTTCTTCGAATCCGGTATTAAAGAGTGATGAGTTTGGTGGTGTTTTGGTATTTTAAATATTCACACGGAACCCAGCTGATGACTGTATATGTTATAACTATGTTCTAGCTAGGCTCGTTTGCTGCAATACTTCGGTCGTCTATATCACTCGCTGTTATATAAAAAAAAAATGTCAAGAACTTTATATATGATTGTTCGGAAATGGTGCAGGGTTTTCCATGAAACGCACATAGGTAGGTTTTGGTGTGTGATATCACATCTTTGCCCACTTTTATGTTATGGATACGATTGAAATTTTGAAATCGTTGTTGAGGAATGATATATATGAAAACCCATCTCATTGGATAAATTTGACAATTATATTTTTGACATCTCTTGAATTCATTATATAATTGTAAATATAATATAACATTCACAGGGATCTCCTACAGTAACTTGAGTATAATTTTAAGTTGGGTAACTTGCATAGATCTAAACCGTTAAAATTGACAAAACTTATTTTAAACCATTGATTAAAGAAATAAAAAAAATAAGTATGAAAATAAATGGCAACATGGTTGCCGGTCACCACATTCCCAAGTTACCTTTTTTTATTTTTTTCTTTCCTTTTTCACATTTAGTTGTCTTTCCATATTTTAATCTTTCCATTTTTAATTCTTATTGAATTAGAAGCATTACGTAAGCCTTCCGTAATAACTTAGCTCTTTACGTAACACGACGTTAATACTCATTACGTAAAGAGACCTTCTATTACGTAAGGCTTCCGTAATGATATTTTACAACGGTTACGTAAAATACACATTCGCTACGTAAAGGTTACGGAATGACAGTTATTTCCCTACGTAACAATTAAATCTGAAGCGTTACGTAAGGCTTCCGTAATGACTTAGCACTTTACGTAACGCAAAGTTAATACTCATTACGTAAAAAAAGACCTTCCATTACGACTTTTACAACTGTTACGCGAGGTTAATACTCATTACGTAAATACACATTCTATTACGTAAGGCTTCCGTAATAATGATCTTTTACAACTGTTACGTAAAATTATCATATGTTACGTAACCATTACGTAATGCCTATTGTATTTTACGTAATACGACCCGTATGAAACCTGCTGTAGTAGGTAAAAAAATTTCAAATTACCTTACTTCACGTTACCATAGGAAATCCCAAACATTCATAGTTTCATATCCATATTTTTTTCCAACCACTCAATTATTAGGATGTTCTGATTGATTCTAATAACCCACATACTAAATTAGAGAGCACAGAAAACAAGTAACAAAGCACAAAGATAATACGACGCGCCGGTTCCCCGAATTAATACACCGTTGACCGAACGAACAGGCGCGCACTTTTACGAAAAAATCTGTTGAGCATTCTATTTCTGTGTGTAGCTGGATATATTTAATTAATAATTACTAATTTGTCCATGAAGTTGTTAGGAGACCAATGGTTGACCTTACCGAAATGTACATAATAATAATAACATAAAAATACAAGTGGAGATTAATTTGTTTTTGTTTAATTACAACGACAAGTGGAGATTAGGTGATGATGATCACTATATTGCACCAAGTTTCCATTACCATAATCCCACTTGCATGTGTACGCAAATAGTAATTTGCATTATTAGAAGGCGAGAAGGAAAAATATATAAAAAATATATTTTAAGAAGTAATGATTGGTTAGGTAATTGTATTGGTCTCAATAGATCAAATTGTTGGGAGAGATTCCTCTATGGATCTTATATTATTTGCTAATTAATTAACCAGCTCTTTTAAATAAAAGTCAATTAACGAATTTGAAGTTCACAACAAATTTAAATATCATATGGATAACATTAGAGGTTTGATGGGATTCGAACGCAAAATCGATTTTCAAAGGCTTTGATATATTTCTATGTTTAAATTACTATAAATATATTTAGTTCACGAAAGTACCACAACTTGAGCTTAAATTCTTTCTGCCCAAACCCACTTCAATACAATGCGCGAAGTTAATGGTTTGTTAATTGTATGAATTTTATTCAACCAAAGCCAACAGAAACTAAAGAAAAGTTCGTGGTTTTTGTGCAGGTTAAGCTAACACATGATTTGCATATATTGAATTAATAAATAAACCATACGTGTTATTATTATGAGACAATCCAAATACCACATTCGTAATATAAGAGAAGAGACCATTGTATATAAGTGTCCACCTAACGCATTTAGTACGAAACCTTTTGGGGAGGATACTCAAGCGTAAAACCGTACGATCTTGGAGAAAGCAGACAATATCGTACTAATTGACCCTCACTCCCGCCTATAAATTCAGCCTCACGAACCCACTCCTCCTCCGCCTCAAACCAAATCCACCACCAACAAAAAGTTAATCACTCATTAACAATTAAATCACTCTTTAATCACGTACATCCGTACACAGATTATGGGTTCGATAGCCGAAGATCTCCCGCTGCTCGCCACCAAGCTCCACATCACCAACAACAAGAACACTCATCAGCCCACGCCGGCTCCTCCTCCTCCGGCGGCGCCGTCCGTCGGTTTCGCCGTGACGGCGGTGAAGAAGGAGCTGGTGGCGGCGGTGCTTCCGGTACAGGAGCACTGGCTCCCGCTATCCAACCTCGACCTCCTCCTCCCGCCGGTCGACGTCGGTGTGTTCTTCTGTTACTCCGACGGCGGCGGAGACGCCGCCGCCGCGGTGCTGAAGAAGGGCCTTGCGCAGGCGCTGGTTTCGTACTACGCCTTCGCCGGGGAGTTGGTGATGAGCTCCGGCGGCGAGCCGGAGCTTCTCTGCAACAACCGCGGGGTGGAGTTCTGCGAGGCGTACGCTGACGTGGCACTCCGGGAGCTCGACTTGTATAACCCCGACGACTCCGTCGAAGGCAAGCTCGTTCCCACTAAGAACGGTGGCGTTTTAGCTGTTCAGGTAAAATTGTCCTTGATCGCGCCATATTGTTGTTTATTCACGTAATAGTGTCGCTTATTCATTGCAATTTGTGTTTATTCACGAAGATATAAAATCATTTTTTTAATTTTGAAATATACCAAATGACTGTCATTGTGTAGATTATGGTTTACGCACCTCATTTCTACAGAAAAATTAAAAACTTAAAATATTTTTATTAATACAAATTATTAGGAGAAAATTTTTTGAAAAAAAATTATTTACATGAATAATAGTATTTCTTACATAAATAAATATTGAATTACATGAATAATCACAAAATGACGTAAACGAACACACAAAATGCGTGGAATTAAATGCCCTCGTGAAACTGTTAGAAATTCTAAATTTGGCGCCATTGCAGGTGACGAAACTGAGGTGCGGAGGCTTAGTAGTGGGATGCTCGTTCGACCACCGCATCGCCGACGCCTACTCCTTCAACATGTTCCTCGTCTCGTGGGCCGAGTCGGCCCAATCCAGGCCCATCACCACCCTCCCATCCTTCCGCCGCTCCTTGCTCAACCCCCGCCGCCCGCTCTCCCATAACTCCGCCACCCTCGACGACATGTACATCCCCGTCTCCTCCCTCCCGCCGCCGCCGCCGCCCTCCTCCTCCTCCTCCGTCCTCGTCAGCCGCATCTACCACGTCAGCTCCGACTCGCTCCTCAACCTCCAATCCCTCGCCAACACCAACACCACCAACAACAACCGCTTCTCGAAGCTCGAGTCCTTCTGCGCCCACCTCTGGCAGCTCGTCGCGAGATCCACGCTTGGAAACGACGACGACGACGTCGTTTCCAAGATGGGGATCGTGGTCGACGGGCGGTCCAGATTGGGTCCCAAGATGGGATCCTACTTCGGAAACGTCCTCTCGATCCCGTACGGCGGGAAGCGCGTGGGCGAGCTGGCTGCGAGCTCGCTGGGACACGTGGCGGGTGGGGTCCACGAGTTTCTGGGGCGCGGGGCGAGCCGGGACCACTTCCTGGGCCTGATCGACTGGGTGGAGGCCCACAGGCCGGATCACGCGGTGTCGAAGATATACAGCGCCGGGAATGCGGACGGGCCGGCGTTCGTGGTGTCGTCCGGGCGCGGGATGCCCGTGGGCCGGGCGGATTTCGGGTTTGGGCTGCCGGTTTTCGGGTCGTACCATTTCCCGTGGGGCGGGGCGGCCGGTTACGTGATGCCGATGCCGAGCCCGAAGGGGAACGGGGATTGGGTGGTTTACATGCACTTGTTTGAGGAGCAGTTGGAGCTGATTGAGAGGGAAGCTGCCGCCGTTTTCAGGCCGTTCGCTTGGGAATACGTCATCGTTTAATGCAAAGCCCCATTTGTAATTGTACGTGTGTATGCATGCATGTGTATGTATGTATCCGTCTATCTGTACGTATAAATTCTTGTTGGTTGGCAGTACGTATATACGTAGACGAGAGTGATCGATCTACGTATTTTGTACGTACTATTCATGGTATCGTTACATATGTAATGCTTGATTAGAGTCAGAGATAATTTTTCTCTCGTACATTATCTTATCTTATGTGTATATTTATTTCCAAGTAATTATTGGAGTCGTGAGTCGTCGCAAGTTGAAAAAACTAGATCTCTGAAGTCTCCCTCAAAAGACTATTCTGTTCTTATATGAGTTTAAACGAGAGTTCGAAGTTGGAACGTTGAATGAACATCACCATAAACATGAAAGGAGATGGTGAACTAGTTGAATGTTGGGTGCGATCCGCCATTGTTGTTATAATTTTTATATATATATAACCGTCTCATACTCGATCAATTATATGCGATTAATTTTCTTCATCGTTCATCCGATGACGAAGCAGTGGCGGATCCAGGGCTGGGCAAACCCAGGCCCCGGCTCAGCCCTCCTCCGGATCCAGAGTTAGTTTAGTACTTATAAAATTTTTCGATTTAGGTATTTGTCCCAGTGCTATTTAAATCATGTCTAGTTTTATTTGATAATAGGATTTTGTGTAACTAAGAAAATGATTTTGATGAACATATCCAAACAATTACTCTAAATTTATACTAAATTTTCTATAGCCTCAATGATTTTATTTGAAAAAAGACATGAAAACCTAAAAGTGTAAAGTTTCATTAAAATAAAAATAAAAACTCTAAACTGAAGCACACCCTTCCTTGCAAAATTCAAAAAAATTCCCAATCCCCCCAAAACAAAACAAGAACGAGGAGACGAGCACACCCAAATGGATTTCTCCGCCAGCCCGTCGAGCTGGTTTTCTTTCCATTCTTTTGATTAAGAAAATATTTACAAACTTGCTGAGTCATCATTTAGATTGCCTCAATTGAGTGCGGCACTAGATTCTAACCATTCTTTCTTGTGTTTTGATGAAGAAAATATTTACAAACTTGCTCAAGAGTTTAGCCTCGAGACTTTGAAGGCTATGAGATGCATTCTTTGGAGAATGCACTACTCATGTGAGGAAGATGAAGTTTCTTCTCTTGCAAAATTATTAGAGAAGCTGGAGGAAACATGGATGGACACATAATACAAATTGATATGTCGGTTGCTTTGTCTAGTGTTGACCTAGCCGTTTCAACAACTACCATGGAGAGAATATTTTCAGCAATTGAACATGAACATTGATTTGTGCAACAATATGAGCGATGAATTTCTCGTTGATTACTTAGCTATTTTCTTTGAAAAATAGTATATTATCAGTATGGATGGAGATTATCTTATTGATGAATTTGCTAAATTAAAAGACCTTCTTGTACAATTGGCATTGTAATGAAAATTATATTATTATATATTTTTGTTTATGGTATCTAATATTCTATTCAAATGCGGCCCAGTGCTCTCTTATGTCCTGGATCCGCCGCTGTGAGGAAGAGTATTGGATAACCATTTCAGAATTGTCGTAATATTTTTTTTTTTGGTCGTTGATGCTTCCATTTGGTTTATATATATATATGGTGCCGTATTCGGTGCACCCACTTTTTCGGGTGCACTCAGTGCACCCGCCTCATAATTGTCATTCTGATATGCGATTCATGTCAAAACGGTATCAATTGTTGCTTATGATATTATGAACAAGAAGCACAAGAATTTGAAAAAAAAATTCATTCAAAATTTACTTTAATTCGAAGGATTTAGGGATTTAGGGTTAGGGTTTAGGTTTATAATTTGGAATTTTGGGTTGGGATTCAAATTGAATGTTAAGGGGTTAGGGCAATGGATAGATTTGTTATGATTCTATGTCATATCATCATATTATATTGAGAGTACTAATTAAAATTCAAAATTTGATATATTATGAATACTTAAAAAAATGAGTGCACCGAAGTAGCCAATATATATATATATATATATATGAATTTACTACGTGTCCGTGCACTAATGAAAAATGAAGATACTTGTTGCCTAGTCTTTTTCATACATAGGTCATCATGTCGATGGTGAAGAAGCTATCAATGACGATATATGTATTTTATGCACATGGCGAGCCTTGCAAATGTAGACGAAATTGGTGAACTGTAGTACTTGCTAGATTCTATTCGAATCTACTATAATCCAATTGGTTAATGACGTAGCACTGGTTTTATGTTCGAATCCTGATAACTCTCGTATGTTATGTTAAGAAATAAGAACATAGTATTCGGATAAGTGAAAACTTCACGTCTATATGAATAGGTTTTCGTTTGAGAATGTGTATTAGCAAATGGTTTATGATCCATAATTGGACATCTTTCGACAACTGAAGTTATTGAAATCAACTGGTTCTTAACAAAGTCGTAGTTCAATCGTTTCATACCACTAAAACCGTCTATCCAAACCGAACAATAGAGTACGGTTCTAAAACACTACAGTCCCACCACCATGTGAGCTTCCAAAATAGGGGAAAGCCAAGGCGAGATAACTAGGGATGACAACGGGTCGGGGGCGGATAGTGCATATATGTTACCCTACCCAAAGTAGTTCGGATTTTACCCATACCCACACATAAATGAGAAACAGGTAGAAAAATCAAAACCATGCCCATACCCGTTCGGGTTTGGGTATCCCCGGTTATCCATGGCTAATAAATTCTCTTTATAACTTCAACCAATATGTTAACATTCACACGTATACTCACATTACGTATGAGAAAAAGTATGACAATAATTTACTAGAATGAAGAAAATTAATTAAAATATTAAAATATTATGAAAATATTATAATTATATGCTAAATAAAAAATATATTAAAGAAAAATAATGATTATTTCTAGACAAAATATATATGCATGTTTGTAATCGGGCGGGTTCGAGTTGGATAGCAAGAAAACCATGACTACCCATTACCCGCAATATTCAAGTTCAGATTTTTCCCGTACCCACTAAAAATTCTTCGAGTTCGTATATTATTCTACCTGATTAAGTCGTATTCGAACGGATATCTACTGTTACTACTGATATTTTTGTCATCATTAGAGACAATGGGCTACCATTGCCAATGCCAATGCCACACCTTTCCCACATGAACTAGTTGATGCGGCCAATTTGTTACCTTTTCCAGCCCGTGACGGAGAGTATCTGACATCATGTCAGAATTGGTTGGACAGGCTTGGGCCGTGGGTTGGATCCATCTTAATCCAGCTTTTGGTTGTTGGGCCTGCCTGAGATGGGGACTTTGCCTTCAAGACCACTAACCGTAAAGCGCTAAAGGCCGTTGAATATGACGGATCATTAGATGTTGACTTTGTAATTTTGTTTTGATATACGACGCCACACAATTTGGGTCTCGACTCTCGACTCTCGACTCTCGACTCTCGAGTAGGGTCAAGCCCAGAGAAGCGTACAACCCCTCTCAACCCTCAAAATCATCATGTAAAATTACATGTAAATTTGATGATAAATTTGAGAAATATAGTAGTAGTAAGGCTTTAGCTCCCTCACCATTTCAAATTCTACGAACGTAAATTTTTATCCCCTCCCTTCGTTAAGAAATCTGCCTCTACCACAGCTTTCGCATCGTCACAAATGTAGAGCGCTTCCACTCTTCATGGATGACATGTCTTCATAGTAAATAGGTCTCATTGATACAGTCATACCTATAAGCAGAAGCTAGTACACAAGCTCCATGAGCATCTTTGAAGCACAAATTTCGTCGTACCTGTCAGCCGCCCTATCGATCCGAGCGATTAAAGCAGTTGGATCTTTCAAAATTCGCCAAGACACGTTTGCCAATAAAAACTTGATTAAAGCAACCAAATCCCATGTAACCCAAAACCACCTTCTTGTTTGCTAGTACAAATGGATCTTCCCAAGCAGGGGCGGAGCTACATGTAACCTAGGGTGGGCCCCGGGCCCTCTCGGGATTGGTCCCGGTCTCTAGAATTTTAGGGATATTTAGTACAAATTTTATAAGTAGACTTGTTCTGTAAATCCTGTTGTATAATAGTCATGTGGTCTAATGATTTAAAGCACATGGGTTCTATCCACCTTAGCCACATACATTTTATTTTATTAGTTTAGGCTCCCGGTCTCGAAATCCTTGCTCTGCCCCTGTTCCCAAGCAATCCAATGAATCCATTCTGGACTCCAAACAACACTCCAGCAAAAATCTTGTCATACGTGCATTCATACGTCGAAGTAAATCCTTCGATAGTCCGAAAGCAGGACATAACGTAAATCGTTAAAGCCGCCACCACCGATTTCAGAAGTTGCTTCCACATTTGTAGGACTGACATCATCTTTCTCCTCCACAAATATGAAAGTTGACATTTTTTTATTGAGCCACTAACGACCGGAGCCCTGGATAACGGTCTTGCAAACCAATAGAGCCCACCCACCCCCAAAAACGGATCCATCTAATGTACCTATTTCTATTGGGCCAGCCCGAGATGGGGATGCTTTGAGCAGGTCCAGGAAGACTCTTCGGCTTGTTTGTACATGCGGACTTTGCGTTCCTTGACCGCTTACATTAAAAGTCCGAATAGACGTTTTGTGGATCATGTTGTTTGGATGGCGGGCCCAAAAAATACGTAGATTTGGACTTCGGAATTTTCTTTTCTTTGTCGCTTGTTATTAATGTACTGCACTGCACAATTTGGCCCAAACTTGACCAAATAGAAGCTTCCGTGGAAAACTCGATGTGCTGACTCCAAAGTCAAGCAAGGCCTAGTCCAAAGCAGTTGGCCCACAATTTGGTCCATGCGCTCGGCCCACGATGAGAGTGGAAATTGCAATAGTGCTGTGCGTCTCATTGGTCATTACTCATCCTCCAATAATATATGGTAGAGTTTTGTATACTTTTTTCCATTTCAGATTTCTTTCAACGAGAGTGAAAGTAGGAATTACACAAAACAAATTTATTGTATCTTTTTTAATACAATGCATACACGAAACTCAACTCTGAAACCCGGAGGATTTTTGTATCATGATTAGCAAGCTCAATAAGTCTACCGTATGTATTTTTATGGTGTTTGATACTTCAATTTTCATAGTAGAGTTTCATGTAAATTTATCAATTTTAAAATTTATTCTCTCTCCTTAATTTTCACTAAAGGTAAATTGGTAATTGGCGAACATGGAATAAACAAATTTTGTTACTACGTATTGTGTCTTGCATTTTTCAAGTTAAATTTAATTTTGTGTTTTTTTTTTGTCTTTGTTCCTAATCTCTTTATAACTTCCTCCGGAATTCCCTCCATCGTGCAATAGTTTGCGCCCCTTTCACTTCCCAATACAAGGCCGCATTTTGAAAATCAATCTTACGGTATCTATTGGCACTACGATTTTATTCTTGGAGATTTAAGCTACGCAAGTAGAAGATTTTAACTCTGATATCAATCCATGACGAATAGAATTAGTGGCGGAGCCAGCTCATTGATGGGTGAGTCCCCGGACCCACCTTGGGTCCCAAAAAATAGTCAATTACACACAGCTATACCTGGGAATCAACTTTGATTGTATTAGTCCTACTAAAAGTGAGTTTTAGAATGCAATATCCACGACAAATTATTTATTCTGATTCCTGAATTCCCAATCTCTAGTTTTAATTATCGAATTGCCTCTCCAACCAAAGGCAATCACAAAGATTTTTGTTGCCAATACAAGTGTTGAAAGAGCATTTTCTGCAATAACTTCTTGAAGAACACACTTCAAAATCGGATGAGTGATGAAATCATGGATAATTTTTTGGTTGGTTAGATTGAGAGAGACACTCTTGATACTTTGGATGATGAACGTATTTTACATACTTTTCAGAACATGAAAACACATCGTGCATTATTGTAGAACATTTATAAAAGTTATCAATTATTTTCTTTTTAGCATTGGACCTACCTTAGCAAAATTCCTGGCTACGCCACTGAATAGAATGGAGTTCAATATGAAGTTGTAGAACGAGGATTAGAAATTTAATTTTTGGTTGAAACATATGTCTCTTGAGATAACAAATTTGGTTGTACAACGGATAGTGGTGGCTATTGGATCTTTAGATTTATGGTTTTTGCAGCTATCACAACCTATTTCTATCTTAAAACAAGGAATCATTGATTGATTTTCTGAAGGAGGTCGATTCTTTATTCAACCTACTCGAACTGAGAGATAAAGAGTGTCTAATTTTGTGTCTTATTACTTTGATCGAGTCTATTAGTAATTTGGAGGTAACCCTAACTTTATTATTTACTCTTAAGTTTTGATGGTCCATCTCTTAGTTGAGTTGTTAGTATATAGTTGACTTGAATCAACAATTCTCCATTTCATTTTGATTAGTGGCATATTGTATATTTATATTTTTAATTGATGATGATATTTCTCCGAAAGTTTGACCTATATATTTTTTTTCTTTATGTATCATCTCGATGGAAGGATTGTCAATAAGATTAAACGAGCTGATAGACTCCAACGTAACATAAAAATATAAATAATCATATATGAATATTCTAGCCAACCAGCCGGGTTATAACCTAGTTAGAGAGTATTAATAACTCCAAATATTTGTTCGACATCCAATAAATTGGAATAAATCCACTAATCTATTTAAGTAAATTGGTGATGACAATGGTACATAATGGGGTGGATACCTTAATATTTATTCGTTGGTGAGACCAAGTAATACTCGTCCGGGTACAAGGTGGGTGCGTCAACCCATTCTTATATGTTATAACAATTTTTTATACATATATTTAACTCTTTTATAAGAACATATAGAGAAAAAACTTCATAAATGAACGAGAAATATAGTATAAATGATAATTGAGTCTAAATATTTGGATGATATATTCTTCAAATTTCTTAGGAATGGAAATATGATTCTAGAGATGCAATAAGAGAAAAAACACATGAAAATATTGATGCAAATCATGATAGAACAGGTCGAGAACGAAAAAGGGGCATAGCGGGACAGATCGAAAGCAATACCCAATGCCCGTCCAACGTTATCTATGGTCGTGCGTGTCAATTTACATATTCACAACCACTGATAAGCAAGCATGCATCATCATGTAGAGGTTAGGATAACTAATTTTTTAACATAGTGCTAATTCTACATCCTGAACATTTCGTTTTGATTACTTATATATTTCAAGGGGTTGACTACAATTAATTAGATTTGTAGGGCACACTTGTCATTATCAAAATTATAGAAAATCACAGAAACACAAGTATGCTGTAGAGGTGGACAACAAGCGAGCATGATGAGTTTTGGTCTAAAATTAACTCATCTACTAACTAGTAAGTTATTGTAAAAAAAAAAAAAAAACTAACTAGTAAGTTGGTATAATTGTGACATGCTATCCGTGCACATTCTTTTTCGGGTTGGATGGGTGGCGATTCGTGACTGCAGGTAGGGCTGTCAATTTGGTTTGGTTTGGTTAACCAAACCATAAAGTATGAAAAACCAAAAACCAAATTCGCAAAAACCAAAACCATTAAGGCCCGTATTGGTTTTTGGTACAAAAAATCAATAGGGGACTTAATGGTTTTGGTTTGGATAACCAACAAACCAACATGTACTCATACACTCATATTTATTTCCATTTCCCTCCTTTTTATTGAATAAACGTCCTAATAATTGTAAATGATAAAATGACCATTACAAATTATTGGTTGGCATGCATATCAAAAGAAAAAAAAAATTGTTGATAAATAATTTTATTATCATTATGTGTACAATTGTACATTCTTATTGGTTTCTATTGGTTTTTCGGTTTTAATCGAACTAAACCCATAAAGTTGCTAACCACTGCAGACCAGGAAACGATTGGAGGGATTTGTTGTTTGTTGTGGTTTCTTTGGGTGGAACGAAACAATCAAGTTTTCAATGGCCCTAAGCTTGAGGAAGAGGAAATTGCGAGAAAGGCAGAAGCTATGTTCCGGGAATATAAGAGTGAGCAGGAAAAGCTGCAGGTGAAGAGGGAAGGCCTGAACCGAAGAAGAGTACAATGGGAACCACCAAGTGTTGGGGTATTGAAGGTGAACACGGATGCAGGGTGCTTTGGCAATGAAGGAACCAACCTAGCGATGGTAGTCAGAGATTGGACAGGGGAGTTTGTTTTCGCAGCTGCTAGGAGGGAGACCGAAAATTGGAGTCCGCCGATTGCTGAGGGAAGGGCCATTCTTTTCGCGATGGAGCAAATGAATGAGAGGGAGTTTGGCCCTTATGAGATTGAATCGGATTGTCTGGTTATTATAAACAGGCTGAAAAAACAGAGTGAGGATCTCTCAGAGTTAGGGACTATTTGTCAGATGATATGGAATTCAGACGGGATGCGTGACTGTCGAGCCTGGAGGCATACCAACCGAGAAGGAAATACAGTAGCACACAAGATTGCTCACTATTCTATGCATGCTTTTGATTGTAATAGCTGGTCAGGCTCTCCCCCCTCATTCGTTTTGAATGAGTTGTACTCTGATTTGAGCCATTTGGCATAATTAATAAACTACAGGAGGTGCGCTCCCTCCTTTCCCTCAAAAAAAAAAAAACTGAAAACATTAGCTTTTCAATTGGTTTGGTTTTGGTTAAAACCGAAAAACCAAAACCAAATTGACAGCCCTGACTGCAGGGATTAGGTAAGTAGAATATTCAAGCAATCCCCTTTTAATCATTTCACTCCTTCAGGCAGAGCTTCCATTTTGGTAATTATGAATGAAATTACGTACTCTTTTTTCATGAATGTTTGCCCTTTCACTTTATACAAACCTTAAGTAATCATGCTTCTCCTTTTACTTCTACAGACAGAAGCTTCTACTTACATTTACACTGAAGACCTTACAAGAACCCTATCTGCATCTGGCAGCCTCAGTAAGGGACATGATGAAACTTCTTCTACCAGCCTATCCCACAAAAAAGAACTTATCCCTCGTTAGACTAAATCAAGCCTTACCAGGAAAGAACAGGTACCGGAACCGAGAATCGAAAGGCATGATCCCACAGTTCCTGGAAGCCAGCAGGCTTTGCCGCCTCTGCGAAATGCACTGCTCAACGAATGCTGCCTGGTTCGGCGGCAGGTAATGAGATATCCACACGGCCAACTTGGAATCATCCACAAAGCTTTTAGCAAAGCAGTGCACCAGCTTAGGCACCAACAGCTTCCCTCTGCTGCTGACTCCAACACTGGCCCTGATGAAATCGTGCTGAGCTTCTTCGAGCTCTTCTCTTACGTTCTCTGCTGTGTAAACTCTTACCTGCAAACAATTTCCCCCCATTGGCATTTGATGTTGAGAGTCAATAAAATGGGCCACAGTAACTGCTTTTCTTACAGGAGATGCAGGACATTACCGCAGGAGATGAATACATTCCACAGCTGAGTGCAAATGCTACAAGCGGCTCGTGTGCATCGACTGCACACTTCCGCTGTTCCTCTGACACCTTCAATTTGTGAAGAGCGAGAAGCAAAGCCTGGGAGAGAGATTGTGATGAGTAGAAACGAGAACTAACGATGGTTAGACTGTTTTTTTTTAACAACACGGGGAAAACAAAAGGGAATAATTTGGCAGGCTTTGTTGAAATACAATTTGTGGTCTGTGGAGAGGAGGTTTCATCTTCAGAATCGCGTACTCAATGGCAGCTGCACTGAAAGAATGGCCTCCGACAGTGTAAGCAGCCTGAAACAGTCGAGACATAATTGCAGGACATCATTAACACTAATCATAGTGTGAAGAATGGCTAGGATAAAAGAAAATCAAATCAAGAACGAAACCTTTTGCATTAAAGAGAACAACTTGAGGTCACTTCTAGGGACTCCATAAGCCAAGTATGCCTGCCGCCAGTTTCAACACGTTAAGGAGATCGAGAAAAATTTAACCTGTTTGATAGGTGACAAAATCCATTAATCAAACTACAATACTGTTAATAGGAGGGATGTTACTGACATGCATGATTAGTGCATTGTACAAGTTGATCCAGAATGCAAGCTTCTCATTGCAGCTCAAGTGAATAGGGTTAAGTTTGGCCAGTTGTTCAACGAGTGTTCTGTCCCCCACAAATGTCGAGACCAACCATGCAACAAATACAATTAGTTCTAGTACGTAAGGAGGAACACAATAAAGGAGTTGTTTTGGAGCAAGATCTACAAAATTGCTTGAAATTTTGATATACACTTTACTGTAAAGAGGGCAATTACCTGAACTTCTTCAATGCACCCGAGGCATATTCCAATTGTTTCTTTCCAACTGACATCCAGGAAACTTCAGTTGCTAAGGCATAGTTGCCAATGTCAGCCCAGCTTAATTTACCCCGCACTCTATAGGGATCAAACACATTCTCAGGAGACAACACTTCACTGTTATTCTGGATATCGACTTGGGGGCTCTGGACCAATGATGATAATATCGAGCGCTCGGACGATGACCACCATGATGAATTAGAAAGATGCCCTCGAGGAGAAACAGATGAAGATTGACTATACAATGTAGATGACATGGATGTTATAGCAGCATCTGATAGGGAGATGAATATATTGTTCATACACCTAACCATCTCCTCAGAAAGTTTATTAGGGTGACCCCAGAGACCAATCAATGGTGTTCCCTTTGAAAGCTTTGGCTGTAGATGCTGACCCAGTTTGGCACCTTTCTTTGGAACTACTTTTTTGTTCTCCAAAGACGAAGTTACTCTGAGCGTATCCTGATTTAAATCAAAATATGTTTAAATCAAAGGCAGCACAAACATATCAACGTGCCAACAGGGAGGTAATTGTTCGAAGTAAGGGGGAAAATCTGAGAAGCAAACAAGAACCAGAAAGTACCTCAGGGATAACATATGAACAAGAAGTTTCCATAGCAATGGTAGGCCCCAGGACTCTGTCTTGGGAGAAGACATCTCCATCCAAGTTAGGAAGTTCGGAATCAGAATGCTTGGAACATCTCACAGAAGGAATCTGGTAAATCACATTCAGTAAGTAGCAAAATTCTCATTGCTTCCCTGAAAATTAACATCGTTGGACATACCAGACTAATTACCATTTTTTTATTATAGTCAGAGGAGCAATCAGAAACTGATGGCAGTGATTTGTGCCTCAGTTGATATTCGGCAAGCCGTCGCTCGTTTCTCTCTTGACTAAGCTGGAAATGTAATGAGACAATTTTTTGTTCAAGTTCAGTAACTGTAACTTCCAGTATGGCAATAGTGGAGAGAAGCTCCTGAACCTGCAGAAACGGTCTAAGCATCAACTGCTTGAGAAAAAAAAAAAAAATTTAATAACATTTCAGAGATGGCAAAATCTTCTAAGCCAGCAAAAGAGTTGTAATAGCAACAGCCAAAACTTTTTTTTCTCTTCAATATCTCTTAATAAATGAGCTTTAACATTTCTTGTTAGATGGCCTGATAGAATTGTGGAAGATGATACCCCAATTTCAGAACTTGTTTCTATCTCTACTAGAACTCTTTATTTCTTTCGAACAGCTTCCAACTTTCTTCAGAGCAGACTATGCAATTAAAAAAACTCTTAGAATTAAGTTTTAGAACATTATCCATTTTCAAACTAAATATCAAACTATATACCACTATAGAACCGAGACTTGAGAAACAGAGAGCTATATCGCCTGCACAGGTTATTAACACAAATCATATGCCCATTTGGAGGGAATGCCAAATCGCCATGGATGAAGTGTTCCTTACACTCCACAGAGATTGCTTTCGTAATGATGTACAGGCATATGCAAATCATTAAACTCTCGAACTAATTCAATCACATACTTGATGTGGAAGGCATGATCTACAAGAAAATTTCACTGAGCTTTCCTCAATAGCATTTTCCAGTATCAAATGCATTTCAAGCTCCGCTTGCAACTGCTGTTGTAACCTTTGAACCTGTTCCAAAATGACAGCATATTCAGAAGCACCTAAGGTAAATTTGTTGGATTTCCAGTTAATTTTTGAAAATATCAGCAATTAAGATGCCCAATTATCAGAAATCCAATGACACAACTCCCTGTCAAGTATGAGAGGACAATAATAAAAGAAGATCTGTAGTAAAATGTAATAGAATACCCTACATGAATTAGACAGATGGGGTATCCAGGTAACTTCCTCTGTATCTTAAATCTTAATAGTGACATTCTTCGTATCAACGAACATCACGAAGTGAAGCTCTCACAATTATTCTAAGCCTAAACCTTACTCGAACACTAGTTAAAGTATCTTGACATGTACCTTGAACCTGTCCTCTCGTAGAAGAACATACACCTATCATTTAGATAATATACCAAATACAAAAATCACAGTACCAGTTCCTACTGATTTCACAGGAACTCTTAATAGCAAAATACACGAAACAGAGATAACAAAGGAAGGGGAAATGTGAGACTTCTGAAATGACATTAACTTACATCCTTCTCAAGCTGGATTCTGTAAGGATAAAATGTTGTGCAGTTAATACTTGAACCAGGGCTACTAGAACCTTCTGCAATATTGCTGACCTGCAATTTGCCAATTGAAGTGTCAATGCGCATGTCTCTATATGTACTTTTATCTTACACAAGACAAATGAAAAAGGTAAATACCGCGTTATTACTATTTGGAAAGAAAAACAAGAAAATTATTGAGAAGAAAGCTCTAAAGCAAGGCTCCAAGCATATGCCTTTAGATTCAGATCAGACAAGAGTTTCCACGGCATTACCAACTAATAGGAGTTTTTTGTAAAGGTAAGATAACTTAATAAAGAAAAAGAACTAGTTCAACCCCATATCACCGATTGCTAAGTTGCTAGTCACTCAGTTTAGTTCAGCCACTAAATGTTTGGCATGTCAAGGAGCCAAAGGTGCAATATTAATACTTTCCCAGCTCATAATAAACTTAATCAAGAGAATTCAAGCCTATTTAATAGCGAATTCTGACCTCTAGTGTAGAATCACAACATGAATATTCATTCGCAGGATCTATCTGAGTTCCTGAATTGCCACATGTTGCACCAGAAGTCAAAGTTCTGCAGATGGCTTCATTCCTGTGGAAACCAGGCGAAAAAAGCAAAAAAAGACCATCATTGGAATGAAGCTGAAACAAGAGCAGCATGTATAAGAGAAGACAAGGAAAGAACTAGAGTCATACTGGCTGAAGGAAGATCTAGTGGCAGGTGAGTCGCACATCTTCTGAGCTTGGCTTTTATCAGAAAACACACATCCTAAGATCTCCCTGATAGCTAGGCATCTGTACGAAGAGGTTTAATCCATGTACAAACAAGTTCCATTAAGACTCAAGGCTTACTTCAACGAAGGGCGAAAGGATCTTTGGCAAAGACGAAAAATCCCAAAAGAAACAGAAAAGACAGGACATCGTTACATAGATGCTAAGATACAGGAAATAAACCGTGCCAACCTGTGAACACGTGATGAGTACAAACACATTCATCAATGCCGCAGCTACCAGTCACTTTCAACACAAGCATACAAATGCAAGGAACACAAGTTTGAGTTTCAGGAGAGCTCGAAAAGGAAAGTCGATAGAAAATGAAAAGAAAGCAAAATGTACAAACACCATCATAGTTATTGAGGCAACAGTACCTTCCATGTTCATTACAACTTTCACCGTATGGTAGTCAGAGAAGGGAGAAAAAGGGGAGTGAAAGTGAAGAACAAAAAAAATTCTGAAACTTATGAGGGTATGATTGAGACCAAAAGGGCATGTATTAAATTTAGCAGACTTTCATTTGATGTTGCTGTAGTTGGAAAACCACCCTCCATCCACCATCGCCCATCCAGCACTAAAATGAATAAAGGGGAAAAAGAAAGAAAATGGGGAAGAAAAGCAAGGCAAGTGGTTCAAAGGAACTGTTCTTCGGCAAAGAGGGATGGGGAAAGCGAGGAAGTAGTGGGGTAGATTGCAGACACTCAACTAACACAGCAGAAGTTGACCACCATACCTTCACAACCAACTGTTTGTTCGAGTTTGTGTGAGAGAGACAAGAAGTTGATAGACTGACTTTTGAGCGCTTTTGGGTTTACTCATACACATTCCTAGAAGAGCAGAAATTCAAAAAAGGAGGGGATTTTGGGAATGCAGAAAAAGAAAGGGAATCGACAGAGTTTTTGCATGTGAACTCTTTTTCAAAAGGGAAGCAAAAGGACGAAGGTAGTGGATGCAGAAACAGTGAAGGGAGAAAATTGAAAAAGACTATGCTTTTTTGGCTTTACAGGAAGCTTTTTTCCAATCTATGGGGCAATGATGATGAAGAAGTGGGATTGATCCACTAAAACAAGGGACAAAATCCATTAGTCCCTCACTTTCACCTCAAAGAAGAACAATTATTGTTACCCTCATCTCATCTCATCTCCAGACCCGGTTCTTCCCCACCACTGTATTGAATGAATCTTCTCCATCAACATTCACCAACACCACCACCTCCATCTCTCTCTCTGGCAAACATACAATAGTTGTTCCCAAAACAAAACAAAAAACACACAATAGAACAAAATACCAGAGATCCCTGATTTGAGATTCCAGCTGCCGCAGAAAGAGATGTGTCAATGCAATGCAAAGAACCAAGCGAATGATGCAGAAAAGGGCCCAGGTAGTAGGGTATACACAAAAAGAAGGGCTTTCTAGTTAAGTGAAAATTCCCCAGGCAGGCCTCGGCAAAATAGAAAAGGTAAAGAAGCAAGGAAAGAACAGACCTCTGAATATGGAGCAAAACAACCCAACCAGCTTTTAGCCCCCCCGCATTTGTCCTAGAAATACGTCAATGGCGATCGGAGAGTGACATCAGAAGCGCCTGATCATGACCAAATCTGAGACATTTTTTAGGAACTCCACCCCAAATTGCAAGAACAGATTTCCCTCGTTCCCTTCCGAGGGTTTATCGGCAGAGAAGGAAACAGAAACAAATCGGAAACCGTGGTGGGAGAGTTGAATGCGGACTGAGCGTACAGTTGAGCAGTTACAGTACTACTGCCAAACGAAAGGGAGACAAAGCAATTACTCCGCCATTGCAATGAATTGCAAAAATGGCAGGAAGAAAGAGAAAGAAGGAATCTACATTCTACGGTGTACAGTGCACGCACACTGGGCAGAGCTACTCTCGACTATCGAAGCGCAATAATAAAGAATACTCACCGGCGTCGCTGTCGTTTGACTGTTGTTCAGCTGAGAGCTTCAATCCGAATTCGAATTAAAAAGGGATTAAGCTATGGAGGCGAGCAGAATTTTGGGGAATACGACAACCGCAAAACGCCATTTTTGTTTGGAAACGAGAGAATTTTGTTTGAATTAGTTATTACCTTTTGCCACCGCCGGCGCCTGCCTTGGCCGGGAAACCATGCGGCGGCTATCCCGTCACTTCCGCCGCTAATTTACAACGAATTAACGAAATCCTCAAATGCATTCACTCAAAAGGTGAACGGCTACGGTGCTAATTGTACAGTAGTTAGCACCGTCCTAACCAAGAGAAAAACTACTATTAGTTTGAATTAGTAGTGATTTAGCTTAGATGTTGTATTGATTTTATAATAATCCGTAGTGATTTCGTTATTTTTAGTAGCGTTTTTTGCTAGTTATCACGGTGCTATTTATTCGCTCGACAAAACTAACCATCAATATTTTTACAAAAATTAGGAGTCAACTTAATCGATAATGTGATCGATCTAATTAACAATATGGTCGATATGATTGGTTTTGTCGACCTGATTGATAATGTGATTGACCTGATTAATCTTATGATTAATCGAAAAATCGCAACTAACGACATTTTGAATGGAGAATGTGACTAATGAGGTGTTCGGCATGTTTCGGATTGTAGGAGGGTGTGTTTGTTAAGAATGAAAGTAGAAGGGTGTATTTGTCAATGAAAGCAAAGTAGAAGGGTGTGTTAGTAAGTATATAAGTCTTTTTTTTTCAAATTCAAGAAGCAAACGACTCCGTTGACCGTTGCAGCGTAGCGAAAGTTTTACCATTTGGATTTTGGGTGCCGGCCGCCGCCCAGCCTACCGTGATCCAGCCGCCGGCTACCTGTTCGTCAGTTCCCGGCGACAATCAGCTGCCTCCACCTCTTGTCTCTTCCTTTCTTTCCCTCTTCCACGCTCCAGGTATGCTTCTTAACCATTCTTGATCTATGATTTGCGGAGGATGGTGTCTGTAGATTGGAATTTCTAGGGTTCTTGAATACGAAAGTTCGGGGGAATTCGAAAATTGATGGAATTAATGGTTTTTCAATCTCAATAATCTGACAATCCCTCGTTTTCCATTGATTTCTATATGTAATTCGTGCTTAAACGTGGACTTGGCTGAAAATTTGCATTTCTTTGGGTTGACACAAGCACAACGGAACTAGGATTACTTGGTATTTTTGCTTATTCCAATTCATCTGTTCTTGGTTTTCACTAATTACAAATCTTCTTTTCACAGAAACAACCTCTACCAGCTGCATTTAGTTCAATTCAGACTTCCGGTGATTGTTGGTTCAGTGCTTGCAATGAGTGAACCTCCTCAGTACCCTCCAGTCGACCCAACAACATTTGACCTCGTTGTCATCGGGACGGGTTTGCCTGAGTCTGTGATTGCAGCTGCAGCTTCCACTTCTGGGAAATCAGTCCTTCATCTTGATCCAAACCCCTTTTATGGCTCTCATTTCGCGTCTCTATCCATTCCAGAACTCACCTCTTTCTTGAATTCCAGCTCTGCTCCTCCCGTCTCCCTATCATCCTCACAGGCTGCTGACGGTGCAACTGAAGACCCTAAGTTTTCTATCATCAATCTCAGTTGCCGATCTCTTTACTCGGATGTTGAGATCTCCTCTTTGTCCCCAACGTTATTGGAAGAATGCTCTAGAAAGTTCCTTCTGGATGTATCTGGTCCTAGGGTATTATTTTGTGCAGACAAGGCCATTGATCTTATGATGAAATCCGAGGCAAGCCAGTATGTGGAATTTAAGGGCATTGATGCCAGCTTCATTGGTGATGGGAACGGGGCATTATCGGCAGTTCCTGATTCCCGGGCTGCAATATTTAAGGATAAGAGTTTGAACTTGATTCAGAAGAATCAGTTGATGAGGTTCTTTAAACTGGTACAAGGGCACTTAAGAGCTACAGCAGCAGCAGCATCTACTATCGATGAAAACCAAAATGAAGAAGGTGAAGTACAAGAGGCTGCAAGCATGATATCAGAGGAAGATTTGGAGAGTCCTTTCGTCGACTTCTTGACAAAAATGCAGCTGCCACCAAAGATTAAATCGTACACACTGCTGTTCCTGCCTTTCTCTGTTCGTTAGTGAGCTTCTTTTACTTCTATGCTTTCTTAGAGCTAATTTTGCTTGATGAGCCTCTCCATTATGCAACTTCTTGTTGTCGCTTAAGCAGCTATAGTGCATCGATTGTTTGTTTTCAATTGTAGATGTGTTTGGATTGCAATTTATTTTCCTTTCTACTCAATATTTGCAATGTGACAATCATTAATTATTAAGGATAGCCTTCTGGTGGATGAGCTTTTCAATGTTAACATAATTGTTTTGTTTGTTCTCATCATGGGATTTGAAAACTATGTTATGATGACTATAATTCTCTCTGATATTGAGTGCCTTGGTTGAAAATCTCACTTTTATTATTACTCTTTGCAGAATCATACTATATGCTATAGCCATGGCGGACCATGATCAGGAGAACAGGGAAATTTCTAAGCACCTACTTAAAACAAAAGATGGAGTTGATCGTTTAGCTCGCTATCAGTCATCAATCGGAAGGTTTTCTTACCTCATTGCTCGTCCTGTCTATTTATTATACTTATTCTTACTGCGGTATGGAATGGAAGTGGGAAATCGTGCTGTGTGTTTATATCAGGCATGGTCTTCATCTATTTGAAATGTATATGCTGGTCTGATACTTTTGCATAACAGTTTGTGCAATGTGCTTGTGATATATAATCCTACTCCTGGACTAGATACTGAAACATGTGAAAGTGTATTTAAGTGATACAAAATCCTACTCCTAGACTAGATATTGAAACATGTACAAATGTAATGAAGAAGACAGTTAATTTTACTTACAAGATACAAGTATGCTGGTTATCGTTTTGATGCAACTGCCTTCGTTGTTCAGGTTTGCAAATGCATATGGGCCTTTTATTTATCCTATATACGGTCAAGGGGAACTACCACAAGCATTTTGCCGTCGAGCAGCCGTGAAGGGTTGCATTTATGTAAGCTCTGTTGAGATTAACCCTAACCTTGGTTTCTTTGTCTCTTTTTTTTTTACTAGCGATCTATGGAAAATCTTTTTTTGTTTTTATTATTCTCTTGTCACATCTGTATCTTTCTTTCAATATCTGCATGCTATAGATGTTCAGTCCTCTGGATTTTCCATATTGCTTGAGTTACTATGATGGCATTAAAACCATGATCAAGCTTTCCACAGAAAACCTCAAACTTGCTTTTGTGTGTTTTGCCTACTCAATGGGTTAGTTACGCCATGAACATTATTTAAAAGGGTTTTTATGGAACCTCTGGGCTCTGGCAGTAGGACCAATATTTGGAAGGTGGTACTCTACTGTTTGAGGATCAAGATTCTGTTCCGTCTTTCATGAAATCATTGGTTGGTATTTTTTGATATTGCGCTTGAGGATGTCTAGAAGTAAAAAAAACAATATCATCTCGGAAATTTTTGGGACTATTGGTTCGCAGATGGTTACACGGTTGTGTAACAGAAGCTTTCTTAAAGAATATAGTGGTTTCTGATGGGCTTGCTGAAGGTGATATACTTAAATGTAACTGTAACCTATGCTTGCAGGTGTTGCGGATGGGAGTGGTTGGCTTACTTGTGGAAAAGGTTTGGCACGGTTCATAAATTGTGGTATATTTGATCTGTAATTGATAATCTTGAACCTATTATGAGGTAATAATGCATTACTTTTTTCTTGAAACAACGTCAGAGTAGTGGCAGTTACAAGGGTGTAAAGCTGGCTTCTGGTCAGGAGTTGTTTAGCAATAAACTTCTTCTGAATCCAGCATTTACTATTTCTTCACCAAGTACATCTCCAGCGGATCCTCTCTGCGTAAAATCTCCGCATCTAACTGTCCAAACAGTCAAAAGCAAGGTGGTTAGGGGAATTTGCATTACAAAACGTTCTTTGAAGCCAGACATATCAAATCTTTTGGTTTTATATCCTCCTCAATGTAAGATCAACTTCTAAGGTTTGCATATAGACTGTGCTAAAGGTGTAAGAAAGATCAAATGCTAATAGCACCTTTTCGCTTGCTCGTTTTCTATTCCAGCATTGTACCCAGAGCAGTTCACACCAATTCGAGTTCTTCAGATTGGTGGCAACTCAGCCATATGTCCCGTGGGAATGTAAGTTTTGATTGTCTTGCAGAATATTATATTTATGTTGGACTACATGTCATTTCCTAGGAGCATCTCTTTCACCTGTGATTGGGATAATACGGTTTTTGTCCTTGTGCAACAACTATTTGTTTGTTTTAAGATGCTTCAACCAAAGCTTAACAATTGTTAATACTCTTTCCTGCTTCCAGAGAAGGGCCCCAGAATAGGATCTTGTTTGTCTCCAATAAGATCACCATTTTCTTTGACTACTAGATAGCACTAGCTTACTAAAATGTCAGATTTATTTTCAGGTTTGTACTCTACCTTTTGGCTTTGTGCGAGGATGGTGCTGAAGGGAAGAAGTTGCTGAATGGAGCCATGAGTGCGTTGCTAGCTTTCCCTGATTGTTCCAAGTCTGATTCTGTAGTTCATGATGAAAATGTTAGCCAGACAGTTGGTTCCGAGGAAGGCAAACCGGCACTGCTTTGGAGTGCATTGTATGTTCAGGAGATGCAGACTATGGTATGCTTCTCTTCCTCTGTCTAATATTTTTCTTGGTCAACCCATGAAACAAGGACTTGTACCAGAACATCATCTCTGACTAAATGATGGAATTTGCTTCCAGTTGATAGATCTACACACTAATCCAAGTTGTTCATTCGCTTGTCTGTGAATGCTTATGTTTCAGGGACGATCCGATTTCATCACGTCCACTCCCACCCCCGACGGAGATCTGGACTACAGTTCACTTTTCGATGCTACACTAGAGGTATTTAGTAGTTCTTTTCAATAAATGCATAGATAACACTATACTTAGTGAGAAAGAAGAGAAAATGGATGAGCAATACTATATTTAGTAGACGTTATAAGCTGCAAGAGTTATTTTTATAATGGGAAATCTTCACAATGTTCTTTTTTTTCTGGCGACTGAGAATCTGATCCCAGTATTCTTTTTTTCCTCCGACAGCTGTTTCAAACAATGTATCCAAACACCGATGTTTTTCCAGAGACGAGCTCATCCGAGGAGCATGGTGGAGAGAATCTGGAGAGTTGAAATCCAAAGGCAGTCCCAATTCCTTCTTTTTCTGGTGTTGTGAATATATGTTTTGATGGTCTCATGACTGGTAATCTTCGCTTGAATAGTTTGTTGTAAATGCTCCGGTTCAAATTCTACACTGCTAAATGAGTCAATTTGCCCCAATTGGATTAAAACGAGACACTTGGGTCAAATTAATCCATTATAGAGGAAGGAATATCAGAGAAAGGAATGATGGTCGACAAATAACCGAACCATCAATAAGAGAGTCTTTTTTCGTCACGCAACAAACAATTCTTTATACATGTACGACATGAACAATAACCATAACTTCTACTTAATAAAAATGAAAATCATAGAACTAATGCGGAAATCGAAACAGAGAAACAATTCCTTACAATTTGACAGGAAGAATCACATACAAAATTAACTAACTAACAAACAAGTGATCTCCAATAGGTATCAGCCTCTGTCCCATTCCTCGCATAGCTCCTGGCCCTTCGCGACTCTTTACGTTGGTGTCTGGCTCACTCGTTCATTAATGTTTTGTTTTGTGGGGATGCGCAGACGATCGTCCGGATGATCAAAGCGAGGGATTTGTCGCACGCGATGGGCGGAGCTCTCCTGCAAGAGATTCAGGTGTTGCGGGCTTCTTTCCTTCGTGCAATGTTCAATTTCGCTTCCCGTAGGTATAACTGGGCTGCCCATATCGTGGCAAGACAAGCCCTTTGATCGATAGTGCAGACACTTTGAGATCTTGTATATTGTCATATCTTTGCTGCTTCCCTCTCGGGATAACTATGACACAAAAATTGAAAAAAAAAAGTGATCTCCAATAGGACCAAGAGCTTAGCACATGCAAAATTAAAAAGAAAATTTCATTGATTGCAAACTGGGCCGAACACTAAAACGGGCTGAACACTCTTCATATCTGCCGAACTAGACAGAAAGGACGCCTAACTAGGCCCACGAGGCCCACGGAGGTTGGACCAGGAGCCGCCTGCAAAAGGAAAAAAGATTAGGGTTTACATAGAATCATTTTCCGAGATCGGGTATGAAAAGGAGAAAAGACAAGTGATGACAAGAGAGGAAGGAAAAGATCAAAAGAATAGGGTTTAAGTGTGCGTTTCGTTTCCTTCTCAATTCCCAGTCTCAATTTTTTTCACGCTGCTCTGGCGCGTAACAACACTCTCTCCGCCATCTTCAAGACCTGCCGGAGCAGCTTGTTCGCTTCCACCTCCGCTTCATCGTTTCCCCGGCCCGTCCACCTGCGTTCAATCTCCGCCGCCATGGTGCTTTATCTTCTTCCTTCGTTTCTGTTTTTTTTTTCTTCTTCCTCTGCAGTTCCGTACTTGCTTGCCCTTATGAATCACTGAAACAAGCAATTATTATGGAATGAGTGCAGTCAGGAGTCGAAGAGAAGGCTGAGACTCCTGAACGCAAGAAGAAGAATGAAGAAAAGGTTTAGCTCTCTATTCCTTCCTCGCAGCTTAATTTTCCCCACTCGGTTCAGTTAATGTAGATTGCTTGCTTCTTCTGTAAATTGAGGTTTTTGCTGTTTCTCATCTCGTACTGTTATTAGGCTAAGGAGAAGGAACTAAGGAAGCAAAAGGCTGCCGTGAAGGACGCTGCTCGTGTGCTGAAGGTGAGAATTTGACTTCTTTCTTACTTCTCAATTTCTGTTTCATGGCTTGCAAGGGCAGAGGGGCCAATTGTTTATTACCGTTTGTTTCCTGATGGTTTTACAATCAGGCACAAGAAGGACCCGATGCTGCTAAAAAGAGTGCTGCTAAGAAGGCTGCAAAGCGAAATGCTGGCGGCGACGAGAACCCGGAGGATTTTGTCGACCCGGAGACGAATCCTGGTGAGAAGAAAAAGCTTTCTGCTAAAATGGCAAAACAGTATAACCCGACTGCAGTTGAGAAATCGTAAGTCTTGTCATTTTTCTTTTGCTTGATGGGCGTGATGAGTTCAGGGCCCTTACGCCTTATTTTCTGTGAACTTTTAGATGGTATCCTTGGTGGGAAAAAGAGGGCTACTTTGTGGCGGATGCTAAGAGCACCAAACCGCCGTTTGTCATCGTAAGTTCTGTTGCTCCTCGATTGCCTTTTACTGACATTTTTGGACGATGATGACTAACCATTGCGTGTTTTAGAAATTTAATGGACATAGATTGCTGGCTTAATGATGTGACAGTAGGCTTTGGGCACAATGTGTATGTAGATGGATTCTGGGATATAGTTGAGTGTGGTTGTTATGGAGTCTAAATTTTCGCTATGTTAACAACTATATGGCCGGCAATGGCCATATGGGTGAATTTATACCATTATTGTTATAACTTGTCCAGGAGAATCATAAAAAAGAAAAGGAATATATAATATGAGCCAGAGTATAATTATGGCCACTTACTATGTTAGGAATGATTAAGCTGGGGTTGTTATGGTATTCTTCAGTTGTGCATTGGACACTTGCTGAGATTGAAATGCATTGAAGTTTAGAAGTGCAAACTTGGATTAAAGTTGGCTCAATCAAAAGCTAGTGTAGAATATGGTGGACTAGAAAGAGTATCAGTGAGCCCTGAACTTTTGCTTTTCAAATTTCTCGGTTTGTTCAACAAGCAGCACCAATTCCATTCTGCTCCACTATCAAATTTGATTGATTAAACCTATGGTTATTCTGTGTGATGCTCAGAGTTTGAATAACATTTGCTTATTGCTTTATTCCTGGTTTTATACTCTATATTCTACTGTTCAAAAGAAAAATAGATCGAAAATGGAGATACTATATTCTTCAGTGCTCTGTACCCCCTTGCTCCTTCAACTTTTCATTCCTCGGAAATGACTCTGCAGGGTTAATATTGTTTGTGCACATTCTGCAGGTTCTTCCACCTCCAAATGTGACTGGGGCCCTACACATTGGCCATGCACTTACTGCTGCCATAGAGGTTGACTTATGTTTGTCATATTTGTTTCTTGTTCTTTTTTGTATATAATTTATGTTATTAAGTGGTAGATTGGCATATGCAGGATCTAATCATTCGCTGGAAGAGAATGTCTGGTTATAATGCCTTATGGGTGCCTGGTGTGGACCATGCTGGGATAGCTACACAGGTTACCGTTATATAATTACATTGGGCAAAATTTTGATAAAATTAATTTTTTTGAATGTCTCTTTCTGTTCATTCACGATTGTTCCCATTTGTCCTCCATCTGTGAAAACCTCTAGATCAATTTGGTAGTTGAAGCATGTGTTTTTATTGACTGAAGGGTTTAATTTGATTTCCTGTATTATCCTTAGTTGGTACCATTCCACATCTGAATCATAGAGCCATGTCTTATGTGCAAGAATTACTGTGCAAGAATCTTGTGCACTGGTTATTCATTTTTGTTGTTAATAGTGGTGCACCTGTATTCTTATGTAATGATATTGAGAGCGATGGGAAGGTATTCAAAGCTGGGGAGGTGCTGTTTCTGCATGAAATCTGCACAGTTATATCTGGGATTTATGACAATGAGATGAAGTAACATGAGGCTCTGTACATGATATATCATGAGAAGCATCTAGTTCTGTGACTGGGTACTAACAGAAATGTCTGAATGACCTTTGCAGGTTGTTGTAGAGAAGAAGTTAATGCGTGAACGCCATCTAACTAGGCATGATATTGGTCGTGAGCAATTTGTAGCTGAGGTCAGTTCAACCATCAATCTTTTACTATTTGGTCTCGAAGTGAGAAATTTACAGTTAATCTTCCTTTCGTGGTTGTTTTTTCTTTTCCCTAGGTTTGGAAATGGAAGGAGGAATATGGTGGTACAATACTGAGACAGTTGCGAAGGTTGGGTGCTTCTCTTGACTGGTCCCGTGAGGTAAACGCTTCAAGTTCTATCTTAGGGCTTGGCTATGGATGATATGTCACTATTTTTTTTGCTAGTAACTGTTCGCTTCACTTGTGATGTTACTTCATGTTCCTGTATTGCAGTGTTTCACAATGGATGAGAAAAGATCAAGGGCTATCACAGAGGAGTTTGTTAGGTTATACGAAGAAGGTCTTATCTATAGGTATGAAATGATTGATGCCGAACGACTTTAACACGTGACAATCATATTTCTGTCTAGAAGATGCTCTGCTTTTCCAACCAACTGTCATCCACTAATGATGACAATGAATCTGATGCAAAATGAATGACTAAGTTCCCCAGATATTGTATTCAGAGTATCTGTTTAATTTGAAGATGCCTGCTTATTGTTGTGAAGTGAATAAGTGAGATATGGAATTTCACATATCTAGATCATTCAATGATTGTCTTCATGTACTGTCTTTTGTTGCAAGATGGGAAATTGTGCAATCACCAGCTGGTGAAACATAAATGAAAGAATAAATTCATTTGACTGAGTTGACACTGACTGTCTTGCTTGTGCAGGGATCTTCGGCTAGTGAACTGGGATTGCACGTTGCGAACAGCAATATCTGATATTGAGGTAAGCTGTTACTTTCTTTCTTTCTTTGTTTGATTCTTTTCTCATTCTGACGTCAAAGCTACTTGTATTCTGTGTCTGTAGGTAGATTATATGGACATCAAGGAAAGAACAAAGTTGAAGGTCCCAGGTTATGAAAAAGAGGCTGAATTTGGTTTATTGACCTTATTTGCTTATCCATTGGAGGGAGAGCTAGGTGAAATAGTAGTTGCCACTACCAGGGTGGAAACAATGCTTGGTGACACTGCTATTGCTATTCATCCCGACGACAAGAGATACATCCATCTGCATGAAAAATTTGCAGTACATCCATTTAATGGAAGAAAGATTCCTATAATATGTGATAAAGAAATTGTAGATCCCACTTTCGGGACTGGTGCTGTAAAGGTAACTCTGCATATCTTCTTTTTAAATGGTCCCACTCATTAACATGTCAATAACTTCTGGTGGTCTTGTTCTTCTTTCTTCTCAGATTACCCCAGCCCATGATCCCAATGATTTTAAGGTTGGGAAGGCCCATAATCTAGAATTTATAAATATATTTACGGATGATGGTAAGATCAACAGCAACGGGGGTTCAGAGTTTACTGGGATGCCACGGTTCAAGGCCCGTGAAGCAGTGACTAATGCCTTGCGAGAGAAGGTAGAGCAATTCTCTTGTCCTCTCTTGGTTTAACTTATTTTGTGGTCGTTGAAGTGGAATCCATTTTCTACTTTCGTCTGTTATATTTTGTGGTACAAACTCTCTAGTTCTTAAAACATACAACTATTCAACCTGCTGGCACAAAGGTCTGTAATTCACGGCCCTTGCAAGGTACAATTTTGTGTTTCTAGTACCTTGTGAGTGTGGTCTCTGCCTAGGGTTCGGTGCATTGCATGTGATCAGCCCAGACTCTTGTTATGCGCTTTGTTTTGGATTTTCCATACTTTTTTTTTTGTCACCGCTTGATTGTAGTATTGATGGCTAACTTCATTGGTATTTGTAGGGATTGTACAGAGGTGCCAAAAATAATGAGATGCGTCTTGGCCTCTGTTCAAGAAGTAATGATGTTGTTGAGCCAATGATAAAGCCTCAATGGTTTGTTAACTGTGCTAGTATGGCTAAGCAGGCCCTTGATGCAGCAACAGAGGGTGAAACTCCAAAGCTTCAGTTTATTCCAAAACAATATTTGGCTGAATGGAAAAGGTTCTCTTCTCCTTCCTTTTGGGGATCAATTGATTGAAATAAATGATTCTCTGCTCAGTGCTAAATAGTTTCTGCTTCCTAGCCCACACACTTCACGACCAAACCTATCTCCGCGTGTTAGTTAATGTAGTTTAGTTTTCAAGTGTTCTATGATGACCCAACTGTCGTTGATTGGTTGGAATTTAATTGCGCGAAATAATGTGGTTCACATAAAACGGGATTGATTTGAATATTTGGTACTTTGAGCTGTGGACATTTTCTAACTAAGTTGATCAAGTGCTAAGTTTGTGTTTATTACTGGAAAACTAAGAATTTTTAATTACTTGTGGCATAGTTTGTAGCTTCCCTATTTACATTTCTGCGTTTGCATGAGCAAATGTTGCAGATGGCTTGAAAACATTCGCGATTGGTGCATCTCAAGGCAGCTTTGGTGGGGTCATCGTATTCCTGCATGGTATGTTACTCTTGAAGACGATGAAATGAAAGAACTTGGTGCCTATAATGACCACTGGGTGGTTGGAAGAAATGAGGATGAAGCTTTGGAATTGGCTAAGAAAAGATTTGCTGGCAAGAAGTTCGGGATGAATCAAGATCCTGATGTGCTGGATACATGGTTCTCGTCCGGATTGTTCCCACTGTCTGTTTTAGGATGGCCTGACGAGACAGACGACTTGAAAGCATTTTATCCTACTTCAGTTCTTGAAACTGGGCATGACATTTTGTTCTTTTGGGTTGCACGGATGGTGATGCTAGGCATGAAACTAGGAGGTGACTTACCTTTCTCTAAGGTAAGTTATCTACTTAAAACTGACAACTGCATTCAGAGTCATCAGAAGAAAAGTCGAAAAATCGACCTTGGGTCTACTTGCTGCAAGTATTATTTGAAAATTTTGGTTAATGGATTCATGTTTTATATACAGGTGTACTTGCATCCTATGATTCGTGATGCACATGGCCGCAAGATGTCCAAATCTCTTGGAAATGTTGTTGACCCACTGGAAGTAATAAATGGGATAAGCCTTCAGGGACTTCACAAGAGACTTGAGGAGGGGAACTTGGATCAAAACGAGCTGGCCACTGCCAAAGAGGGCCAGAAGAAAGATTTCCCTGATGGTATTTCTGAATGTGGTGCAGATGCATTACGCTTTGCGCTTGTTTCATACACAGCTCAGGTTCTTGCCTCTGTTTTTCATCAGCTTGTTTTTTTCTCTTTAGTAAGTTCCCTCTATTCTGACCACTTTTGCTGATCCTATTTCACATTTTCGAAATTTCAGTCCGATAAGATAAATTTGGACATTCAGAGAGTGGTTGGATATCGTCAGTGGTGCAATAAGCTTTGGAATGCTGTTAGATTTGCAATGGGCAAACTTGATGCAGATTACACCCCACCTTTAACTATAGCTTACGAGACCTTGCCCTTTAGCTGCAAGTGGATTCTCACAGTCCTTAACAAGGCGATATCAAAAACTGTGACTGCAATGGATGCATATGAGTTTTCTGATGCTTCCAGCGAAGTCTTTTCGTGGTGGCAGTATGAGTTCTGTGATGTTTTCATTGAAGCAATTAAACCTTACTTTGCTGGCAACTGTTCATCATTTACCTTGGAACGAAGTGCGGCACAGGACACTCTCTGGGTATGCTTGGACAATGGCTTGCGGCTACTGCATCCATTTATGCCATTCGTTACTGAAGAATTGTGGCAACGCCTTCCTTCAGCTAGCAGCCATGCAAAGAAAGACTCCATTATGGTAGCAGACTACCCATCACCAGTAGAGGTAATGACTTGTGGCAATTTAGGAAAGCTTTCTGCTTTCTGACAGCTGACGATGGCTTTCGTATGATGACAACTCTTGTTGTCAATCCCTTTATGCGACATCCACTATACTCGGATCACTTTGATCCAAGTCCCTGAAGAGTTGTGACAACTACTGTAGATCTTTATGTATCTCATGCTTGAGTTTGTTTCTTAATTCTGGACTTTTCTTAATTCTTTTCGGTATGTAGGTTTGGAACAATATATTGGTGGAAAATGAAATGGAGCTAGCTCAGTCAACTTGGAAAAGTCTAAGATCGCTACGGGTTGCGGTGCTTGGAAAGCAAACAAATGACAGGCAAGACTTTGTTGTTTCAAATAATTCACGCATCCATTCTCTTTCGGTGTGTCACTTGCTCACTTGCAATTTCATACTAGTATTATCTCTCTGCTTGTCAATGTGTTCACGCATGTCTGCTTCTCAATCAACCATGCTGATATTTCGTCCTAATATGGTACGCAATCCAAGTATTTAACACCACTTTTCCCAAAAAAAAAATTGATGCCGCACAGTATAATTGAAGTGACAACAGAACCTCGTCATCTGTTATAATATCAGTTGTTAATCTTGCATCAGCGATTGAGCACTCTGAAACCAATATACCAGCATGAGAAAGGACCTTACTTTTAATGTTTTAATGCCTATTTTTGTATCTTGTGGTTTTCCCTGTCTGCATTGTGTCTCAATGACTCTACTCTTTGGTGCAATTTATTTTCTCAGATTACCAGCTTTTGCATTTTGCCAAAGTGAAGCAGTTGCAGCAATTATAAGAGGCCGTGAGTTGGAGATTTTAACCCTTGGAAGCTTATCATCCTTAAAGGTATGATGATCTGTATTTAGAGAAATTAAGTCCTAGAATCGGGACAGATTGCTTGTCATAGTTCATAGAAGTTTGTTGTTGGTTTTTTTAGTTTGGAACTTGGTTCTGTGGCCTGCAAATTACTAATTGCATCAAGTGGGTGCCGACTTCTAGCCTAATCTAAAAGCAAAGACAGTAGTTTAAATTGTACCTCTATTCCCCACTATTTTGAAATAAACGAAGCTTCATTTTTTCTTGACAAAGTCTTTGTGCGGCGACCATGTTTCTAAAAGTAACATTATTCACAGGTCCTAGTGAGCGGGAAAGATGCTCCTCCCGCTGGATGTGCTTTCGAGACTGTCAATGAGAACCTTAAAGTGTATCTCAAGGCAGAAGGGAAGGTTGATGTAGCAGCAGAGCGCAAGAAGATCAGAAGTAAAATCGATGAAATACAGAAGTGAGTTACCTCTGCTCAGTCACTTGTAATATGCGTGAGCTTGCGTGATATATCTATGTATGGTCTTTGTCCTTGGGTTCTCTTTTCGTTGTAACATGACTGTCGTTATTACTATCCATTTCTTGTTGCGTGCGCATTCTGGCGGAGCAATTATAGGTTGTGCACTATATGGCTGGTTACCTCATCGCTCTAAGGCATTCTAACCACTTTTTTTTGCCATCAGTCCTTATTGACCACCTGGTTTGTTGTTCAATTTCCGCAGGCAACGGGAGAAACTGGAGAAGAACATGAGCACTACCGGGTACAAGGAGAAAGTACCGCGTCATAAACAGGACGAGGATACTGAGAAGCTGAATAAGCTCACTCAGCAATTGGAATTCTTAAAGCTAGATAGTGCACGATTAGAATCTGAGAACGGTGCTCCAAGGCAGTAAACTAAACAAATGTAGCAGAAGGCCCCTATTGCCATTGTCCCTAACTTGGAATGCATACAGGCTGACAAACGAGCCAGTTCCATATTCTTTTGGTTCTCTCTCCCAAAATCGATTTGATAATCTTGCCTTGCCTAATTTATTCGGTCACTTGACGAGCTTCGTTTCTGAGATTATTTTTGTAGTAGGTTTGAATCTGATGTAATCTTTACTACTGGTTTTAGAATTTACTTCTCTTTGCTGCTGTCGGAAACTGCTGTCTATGCAAACAAAACATTTTAGTGGTTCTATTGTAAATTTTTAGCAGAACTGATCAAACCCTGGTTCAATTGGACAAGCTGGCCGAATCAATTCTGGTCAAATAAGATTGATCTAGAGATTGAGAAAGGGAAATGCTGAGCTCAGGAGCTTAAGGACTTGATTCAATCTGTATTGTTATACTCATTGTGATACTGCATAGTTAGTACATTCTTCAAATTGCAAAATAAGCCAAAAAGAAACAGGCCAAGGAATCTGGCCGTCAATGTGTAGCTCTTTGGTAAACCAAAGGTTCAAAGAAAGTTCCACTACACCACTAAGTCAAAATCACATGACAATACTGTGTTTTGTGTACCTAAGGATCTACATATATCCACCACTACAACCCATCAAATGCTGTATCAATAAAGTGGCTTGGCCACTTGAGGCAGTGATTTGAGGAGGGGCAAAGAAGGCTTCCGCACCGTGTGATTGAGCAGCATCATCAGTGTTAGAAGCGTCAATGCCCCAGCTTGATGTGCGGTTCCAAGAGAAACAGGTACTTATGATAGAAGCGTCGATATACCCAAGCTTACCTGTAAAAACAATGAACAACACCATCTCACGTTACACACCCACCAAAGACCCCCACTTATCAGGAACACAAGAGTGAATGGCAGAAGTCACAGCAACCCGATGGCCAGATATACCTGAAGTAAAGTCATGCCCACAGTGCTGCCAATCAAAGTTCGCACTGCAGGGTGTAGATCTATTTTTCTTGTGAACCACCACAAAGCACCTATTGAAGCTAGAGTTGTTGTGGCAAGGATGCGATGGTCGAGCTGAAACAAACCAAGCTGCAAATCAGTAACTACAGCACTACACTCCTTTCCTTATTCTCCTAGACCAGCATGGCTCCTTCTCTACTTATCCATAAAGACCGGATCGTGCTTCCTAAGCTTTCTTTGAAATACTGCTCTTGAGGGCTTTCCATTTCATGGTTAAGCACAATGATAATTTAATGACTCCTGAGCAGTCAATGCAGAGGTGAGAGAAGGAAAAACAGGGATGTTACCTGCACTGTTGCTGTGTTCTCAAAGAAGTTTCGAATTAATGGCTTCATCTCGAATATGCCATCAGGAATCCAGGTTTCACCCATTTTGGGGAAAGTGTTATATGCCCGTCCCTACATTGGTAGAAGGAAAAGAACAAAGCTTTAACAGGCAATCATTTTCTATCGACATACCAAAGCCATCAAAGCAAAAGCAGAATGTGGGTGGATGCTAATTTGGCACTCACAGCATCATTGCCAGCTACAAATGCTCCTGATACGGCAGTGACACCAACAATAAGGCTCACAGGAAGGGCAAGTCTCTTAACTTTTGCTGCCCCCCGGACCCAAGTAACGGATTCTGCAGGCGGTTCAGGCATCACAACAGAAAGTGCAGTCCAGAAAAGGCCGGTATAGATAGCAAATGCTGAAGTGAGATGCGCCGCTAGACGGTAAGGACTAACTCTAGGCTCTGCATATTCTGATGCTGGTTCCTGTATAGAAATCACTTTTTCATATTTATAATTAACGCATCTGTAGAAACGATAAAGACAGGTTTATCAGGTAAAGAGGCCAGTATTCCTCACCTCCAAACCACTTTTGACCATCCACCAACCAATCATACCCTGCCCAGCACCAAGGGCAAATAGACCAGAGAGTCTCAGTCCCAGTTGCACTGTTATATATCCCTTACGCATGAAATATGAAAATGGGACAGCAAACATCAGACCAAGTGCCCTTCCCCACATTCGATGACCATATTCCATCCAATAAATAAATTTGAAATCATCAAGGCTCATCCCTTTGTTGACACTGCGACAGGTTGGCAATGAACAATCAAGTGAGTATGCAAGCTTGATCTATAACAAGACCATTTTCCCATTTTTTTTCCATTCACAAATCACGAATGCTCATCCCTTTGTTCACCACCATTTCCCTACTACCTCTAGTAAACAAGCATTTTGCAATTCAATTCTTATAAGCAGAAACCAGCAATGCAAAAGCAATGGTTATAGACTTTGTGCCCACTAACCGTTTGTACTCGGGGGATTGCTTATATTTCTCGAACTCTTTAGACCATTCTTCGTCGGAAAGAGGAGGGAGCTGACCGGTGAACTTCCAATCAGTCATGGAAAGACCAGAACGGGTAAGTCGAGTGACACCGCCAAGTATCACCATGCTGAAAACCCAGGCAGCCGAGCCAAAGAGCCAAATCCCCACCATCTTCTGAGCGCGAGGTCCTGCTGTAACCAGCAGCTTCACTCCTTCCTTACTCTCCAAACTAACTGATGCCACAGTCGAAGAATTTCTAATGGAACCCGCATTATGACCACCCTATTGCCCATCAAATTAAAGAATTGAAATTGAAGTTTGGAGTCACAGTAACACAAACAAAATTGGAAGAAAAAAAAAAAGACCCATTTGGCAGACATTTACTTACCTTCGGAAGAGATCGAAATGCGTGGAAGAAGGGCCTCGACGGAGAGGTCGGAAGTTCTTTGAAATGCTGCCGGCTGAATTGCGGCGGCGTCCGTCCGATACTGGAGATTGTGCTGCCGATCGTCTGTTTGTTCCTCTTCAGAACAGAGGATAATACACGGCTGCCTAACATAGCGTAAGGAAGATGCTCTCTCTGCCGCGGGCGAAAGGTTTTAGAGAGGTATTGGGGGAGAGGTACTTTATGATGTAGTTAATCATAGTTTTAAGTGTTCATATCCCTAAAATTAACCAAGGGGTTTAGATTCAGTAGAAGATTTTTACTGTCAATCGATCTGTACGAGACGATTTCACGAGTTAAAAAAGTAAGGGTGAGATCTGTTGGGGGTGTTACAAAGAGAGGTCCAAGTGAAAGCCCAATACGACCCAATGAGGAAGAGGAGGGTTACTCCATGGGGCAAGCCTACGGGTTGGCCCGCAAGGCCAAGCCCAAGTAAGATGAGGGAAGTTAGGAGATAAAACTCGGAAGGCTCCAAGATGGTACGGTCTGGGCGCCTTGCATTTGTTAAAAGTCTGACATGTTGGTCGGGGGCGCCCGGTCTGACAAAAGTACGGAGCATTAAAAGCGATGCTGACGTGGAGCTGAGTGGAATAAGCCCGGTCCAGGGTTGGGTGAGTATAAATAGTGTCGGTAGGTAACATTTATGCAGGTTGGACTCTCTCACTAAAACCTATAGTTTCATACTTCTCTCTCTAGAATTGGAACTAACTTGAGCGTATGAGGATTAATGGGCCCAGGCGTCCCCCTCAGTGCGTGTGTGTAGGCCAGACATCTAAGGATTGACTAGTAGGACCAATGCGCACCAAGGAGCGGGCTTCAAGGCAAGGCGCCTGCGGAGCGTTAAGCATGACTCGGGCGCTCAGAAGATCAGGCTCCAAGGTGAGGAGCCTAAGGTGTGACCAGTAAGGCGAAGGCGTACAAAGAGTTGGGCTTCAAAGGTATTTGGGCACAAACAATATCCATGAGTTATAAAAGCGATTCAATCTAAACTGAATAGACACATTTTCGGGTGCAATGGATTAATTTTTGTAAAAGCTCTGAAGTTAAGCGTATTCAAGACGAAGCAGTGCATGTACATGGGTGACCTCTCGGGAAGTTACCATAATGCAAAAAAAAAAAAAAACAAAGTCGTACAATATTAGAGCAGAAAACAGATAATATCTTGATCAGAAACAAAGTTTGGATGTTGCGAGTGGTATCAGAGTCTGCTCGTTCCATTGAACGGACAAGATGTTTCTTTACAAAGGAAGACATAATATAACAAGAAACAGAGAAGGAAATTATCACATAATTCAAAACACAATCTCGTGGCCAAAAATACCCTCCCGCACAGTAATCTTTCCAACAAAAATTTATCTTCCACCTAAACAAATAAGTTCTAATCGACAATGTAACTCTACAAAATAGAAACCGTAAAATCACAAACAAAAGAACAACTTACATCAAATTTACTAATCCAACCCAACTGTGAGTTAATAAGGACTTAATAATTATTTTTTTTTGGGATGGATTAAATGTTGAGAGCAGCTTTGCAATAGTACTCAGCAAAATCCACAAGAGCGCAATCTGGAAATCAGCTCTCACCTCAAGGGAATATCCAATAGACAACAGCTGGAAGAAGATATGGGAAATCTGTCTCAAACCGTCAACAACGCAGATATGGAAAGAAGAAGAACAGGCAAGGAAATGAATTGATTCTGGTCTAACGGCTATAGAGACGAGATGAATATAAATAGAGGTGGGACTTAGTATGCAGAGCAGACTTTTCATTGCGATCATATCAAACTAGCTGCAAAGTGTGCGAGCAAGAGAGGGGTTGAGTGAAAAGTCAGCACAGGAACCGTAAGGGTTTCTGGGTTCTGATATTGGGGTGTATGAGGGTACTCTGTTAGCTGGGTAGTTGATAGAGGGGTTGAAAAGAGTGTGTCGATTGTGCTGGGTAGCTGATCGACTAGGATTAGTGAGGATTGTACTTTCACAAAGAACTTCATCGACAGATTCACAGTGAATCGTCGGAGAGCGCAAGAAGCGTAACTCCGACCGTGGACTAGTCAACGTTGAGATCCTCATTCTCTCAACGTTGGAAACCACGTAAAAATTCGTGTGCAGTGTCGTTTATTTGCTTCCTGCATTTCTGTTCAATTAGGTTCTGTTCTGTTCTTGGTGTTTTGGTTTTGATTCTTAAAGTGCAGGGAGTTTTGATCGAGCAAGAGAAAGAAGAAGGGCACTACCAGGTTTGTGAAACGCTTCGTTTTTAGCATTGGTAAGGATTCATTAAAAGTGTACTTTTATTGGGCTTTGAGTTGCATCAGATAGCACTTGTGTCCAAGGGGTCGTTTGAATGGAACATTCTCAAAATGAGGTAATTTGGGACAAAAGTATCATTTTAGAAAATGATCTAATTGTATGATGAAATGTTTACATAATTGTCTTGTTTGGCTTGTGATTTGGCATGAGACAATTGTGACGAGACATTTTATAAAAATACATATTTGCCCTCATTCTTTTACCCTTTTCCATCTTGGGAAAGGAAGAAAGAAAAAAAAATTAAATAAAAAAGGTTAGATTGGGAAAAGTGACCCACAAAATGGAGCAATGTAGATTACCTCCCTCTCACCCAAGTAATTGACAATGACCCATAATGAAGCAATTTCAATTGCCTCATGTCCAATTACCTCATTCTTACTTGTTGCAACCAAATGAGACAATTTGACCCAATTGTCTCATTTTGAGTTAATTGGAGCACATTGACTCATCTCTTTGATCCATCCAAACAACCCCCAAGATAATTCTGTGGACTTTGGTGTGTTTGCATTAGGGCTCAGGCCCATCGACATATTCACAGCAGCAAACTCAAAGAGGAAAATCCCTCTCTGGTTGATCAAAACTGATTCTTCTTCATTATCTCACTTGTTCTTGGTCGAGAGGTGCGACGAGGGTTTTGTGCAGGTGTGGAAGAAGAAGAAACTAGCGAACAGCAGCCCTGATCGTCTCGCGCTCGACGCCACCTACATTAAAATCTCGTTAATTAATCAACTAGCGGTAATTAACTTCGATCGACGATGATCAGTAATCGAGGTCTTCGGTCCGACGAGAAGCCGTGAGATCATCCTTCATGTTCATATTGGACCGCTGCACCAGCGTCACCAGCGCCTGCACCACCTCCGACATCGGCGGCCGGAACTCCGGCTCCACCTGCACGCACAGCGCGACGATGTCGGCGAACCTCGACAGCGACTTGGGCGGGTACAAACCCCTTAGCGCCGGGTCCACCATCTTCGCCAGCGCGTCGATGTCGTGCAGCTGCGGCGTCGCCCACCGCACCAGCGATTGCTCCGATTTCGGCTTCGTCCTGATTAGGAAAACAGAGTAACGTAATAATAATTCAGTATATATGTGGCTAGTCGGAAGATAAGGGAGGGGAATTCGATTAGGTCCGCCGATTCGTACTGGTCAAACGGCATCCGGCCGGTGAGCAGCTCCAGCATCACCACGCCGAAGCTGTAGATGTCGCTCTTCATCGAGTAGGCCGACGGCGTCGTGCACTCCGGCGCGTTGTACCCTGCTCCTAGGTTCTGGCTTGTCCTCTGCCATTACAAACAACACAGGTTCAATCTTTTTGATGATTTCGACGAATCAGAATCGTTGATTTTATCGTACCGTATGGAAGGTTCCCAAGCCGTAATCGCCGAGGTGGGGATTAAGATCGAGGTCCAGTAAAATGTTAGAGGACTTGATGTTCTTGTGGACCACCGACGGCGAGCACGTTTCGTGAAGATGCCTGCAAAACACACCCGAGAAAGACAATATACACATCATTGAACGGAAAAAAAATTTAGTAAAACGACAAGAAGGGTTTATGATTGGAGATTACTCGACGGCCCGAGCAGTCCCCAGAGCGATGCGGACGCGTGTATTCCAAGTAAGCGGATTGCTGAAATCCCCTGAATTGTGGAGAAAGTCATGGAGCGAGCCGTTCCGGTAGTACTCGTACACCAGCATGTTGTGCCCTTGCTCCGAACAAAACCCGACGAGCTCCACGATGTTGGGGTGGTGCACTTTCGAGATGCCGGCGACGATCTCCGGGAAGTCGGCGTTTTCATCGCCGTCGTGGAAGTAGGAGGAGTCGATCTTCTTGACGGCGAGGACCTTGTTGTCGGCGTACTTGGCCCTGTAGACGCGGCCGATGGTTCCTTCACCGAGCAGCCGGCCCGGGGCGAATCCGGCCGTGGCGCCCTGCAGATCCTGCAGGGCGTAGGGCACGGCGGCTCTCGCCGCCGCGTTGCGCTTCGAGTTGAGCCGGGTGGCGAACTCGTTGTCGTTCAGCGACTGCGCGAAGTCGTAGGGCGGCGGCTTGTAGCTCTGCGAGGGGGCCTTCTGCAGCGTCTTGATGTCGATCGAGTTGGCCGACTCGAACGACTCTGCAAGTTTTCATGCATTAATCTCATCGATCAATCCATCAACCAATTACGTAATTCCATCAATACCCAACCATTGAGTAGGATATTTTTTCCCAAAATACAGGATTTACTAAAAATAATTATGACATACCACGTTTACACTTTTAAATTTTACAAAATACTAGAGTTTGAGGTGGTTTGATGCGGTGTCCAGTCATCTTGGTGGTGGTTCACTGGAGATCGGACTAATCTAACCTGGATTGAGGCAAACCAAGGCAATCTAAAGAAATCGTAGCTGATTTCAGCGATCTAGCACCAAAATTGTTGGACCTACAACAATTTGCATTGTACATACGTTGTAACTTCAAACACCGTGTAATGTGGCGCTCAGGTATCTGATCAATAAAAAATTTATCTCGAAAAGCTACGCATAATAAAAAATTGCCTCGATCAGATAATTGAGCTTACAAATGTGATCATTTAAAGTTTTCACGTATGTTACGTGATCAGTTCACTAGAGTTGACCTCAATTTCGGGGGTTAGAAAGCGTTCCTAGACAACGATTTGTGTGCACCCCGCGTATATTAGAAGCAATTCAGTAATGGATCACTCCGAATTTAGGGGTGAACAAACACAACCGCAAACCGACCCACCCGTCCAACCCGACCCAACCCACCCGTATTTATCGCTAAAACGAAGGTTTTGGGTTGGGTGAAGGTTTTCTTTTGTACAACCCGCCTCTTTTGGGTTGGGTTTGGATTTTGGATTACACAACCCGTAGAACCCGACCCAACCCGTGTTCCAACTATTAGTATGAGTTCGTATCTAAAAAATATTTATGTTGTATATAGCAATACTTATGAGAAAATTAAGATATTTCGCCATGTTTTTCTATCATGGTCTCCCTAATTTAATGCATTCTTCGACTTAATGTTTAGACATAAATTGAGTATAGTTATGATTCACGTGATCCTTTTTCTTGTGTACAATTTTAATAGAATAACATATTATGGATGCGTTTGTTTATAACATTTTTAGCCTATTTCAACAAATATCGTGAAAAAAACTAGACATATGTTGAAGTAAATCACATTTTATTAAAATCCAAACAACATTTTTGAATTTTGATAGCTTTCACCTCGGTTTATTCGTTTGAAATTTTAATTAGTTATAAAATAATTTTATGATGTATAATAATTATATATTTTATGTTGGGTTGGGTTTTAACTTAAAAATATCGCCAACCCGACCCAACCCAATTAGAAACAAACCGTAGGGTTTTAATTTATTTGGGTGGGTTTGGGTTTGATAATTTCCAAACCGTAGTGCATGGGTCGGATGATTAAAATGGTTAAACCCGAACCACCCGACCCATGTACACCCCTAGCTCCGATTTCCAGCGAATCACCTCAACGCAGCGAACAACACCAAACTCTAATATTTTTGAACAAAATATTAGTGCAAGTACACATTAACTAACCTCTGGGGTCGCCGCGGCGGAAATGTGGGGGGAAAGCAGGAGGAGAGAGCTCCTGGGAAGTGAGAGGAGTGAAGTCGGACTTCCGGTGGTGGTGGTGGCTCTTCTCCTCGTCGTCGAGGAACGACGACGGGGAAGAGGATTTTCTCCTCGAGAAGAAGACGATGATGAGAAGCACGAAGATGATGACGACTCCCAACACGATCAAAGCTATCAACACCCCGGTCGAGATCGGAGCTCCTCCGCCGCCTTTCCCACCCGAAGCTGCCGATTTCTGGCCCGGTGGTGCCGGCCCTTTCGACCAATTGTTCCCATCGGTACTGATAGTTTCATCCAACACAACAAAACCCCCCAAAATCAGTACTTTGTGAGCAGTTTTTACCTAATTAATTAGCAAAGCAGCTCGCACTACAGGAGGGGAAAATACTATTAACCACAGATAAAATTGGTGACTAATAGTACAAATACGGTGGTTAATAATCATATTATTAAACCATCGTTTTTAGTACGATGGTCGACTTAACGATGATCGAAAGTTCATTTTTTTTCATGTAGTGTAGCTAATTAAGCTAGGGTTTCATCAGATTACTCACTCTAAACTGTTGATATCGTCGAGCTTGGCAGGGATCCAGCCAGTGAACTTGTTGTTGGCCACGTTCAACTCGTCCAATGGAAGGTCCCCTAGCACAGTGATTTTGCCTGTGAATTTGTTGTTTTGCAAGAACCTATATACCAAAGCCACACACCACCATAATCATAATTATAAAGGGTAATTAATTAGCCCCCAAGATGAAATCATCATCACTAATGCTACAACCATAATAATTAAGGGCACGTTGTTCGTACAATTGAGCTAAGTTTTTGAGCAATGACAGACTCTGCGGCAGATCTCCCGATAGCTGGTTGTTGGATAGATCCCTGCTTGAACACAAAGCATATTAAGATGCAAATTTTGTAAGTTGATGGAAAATGAAGAGAGAATTTTATGATCCCGTACTCACATGATTTTGAGTTTAGGAAGTTTCTGAAACATATCAGTCAGCTGCCCATTCAACTTATTATTGCTAACATCTCTGCCATACAAATGAATGAGATTAGTTCGTAGTGGCGTAGCCAGGATTAATGAACGATGAGATTGGGTCAAACTCACAGATGCTCGAGGTCGGACATGAGTGAGATGGAATAAGGTAGATTGCCCGTGAATGCGTTCTTGGAAAGATCTCTGTGTGCGACGTAACAATTAACACACGATTAAGAGTACTCATCGAAACATTAATATAAAAGAATTAAGAAGCCTCAACTATGGCAGACCAAGAAACAGTAATTGATCTTACAAGTAAGCTACATTTGGAGGGAGTTGATATGGGATCTCGTTCTGGAGCTTGTTCTTGCTCACATCACTGTTCTAAGACCAAATAATTTGACATGAATCAATTCGAATCGAATACGTATGTATGTATGTATGTGATCTCATTGTAAGGAAGGGATTTACAAGTAGGTGACGGATTTCAGGTTCGAGAGCTGGTAGCCTAGAGTTCCCGTCAGTCCCATCCCTGACAACCTTCTGCAACAAAATTAAGATCAATTCATGCAAAATCTGTTATAAGATTCATTTCATTCTCGATCCTCGCGGCAATTCAAGTTATTGGGATTACTGTACGTACATTTCGGTAACTTTGGAGCCAGAGCATGTAATTCCATCCCAGGAATCGCCACAAGGGTCACCGCCGCTGTCCTTCCACCCGTCCAGCTTCGATGGAGAATTCAAGCTCGTGTACATCACATTCAGAGCAGCCACTGCATTTGCATTCAATTCAATTTACAAGTTTACGAAAACATCTACACCGTCGCCATGAACGATTTTTCTTTCGAAAGTTTAGGTACATACCGTCCTGAGAGTTGGTCTTGGAAAGGGCGCGAGGGATCCCGAGGGAGAAGAGCAGCAGCAGGAGGAACCCTAGGGAGGAGGAGCAGCAGCTGCTAGGGTACATTTTTCTCCGGCGGAAAAAACGTACCCCAGAGGTTATCAATGCGAAACAGAGCACCAACGCATAATCCGAAGGAAAACCCAACCCTGAAATCGACGAATCAAGAACAGAGCATCGACTCTGGGGGAAAGAAACAAATGCAGACACTGGAGATCGGATTAATATGGTGAAGCTCCTAGCATGCTTTCATGGAAGCTCTGTTTTTTTCCCATGATCAGCAGCAGCAACCCATAAATGGATGTTGCTGAACGTTTATTGGAACCCATAACAGAGAAACAAAGGAAAAGATGGTAACTTTTTGCTCTCTGTCTGGTTGTTTTTTCCCTTCCGCTCGAAAATCTTCTCTCCTTTTTTGTGGATCATTCGCCGATCGAGAGAAAGGAGGCTGTTTTTAGGAGATGGGAAAAGGGGAGTAATGAATGAGCACTGAATTTGGGAATTTTGTTTGACGAGCAAATGAGCAACATTACAGCAAGGATAGGAGACAGAGTGGGGGACATTCATGGCTATATTTGGAGGAAAGAGGAACAGAGAGCGAGTGAATGGCTTGGAGAAACCCTAGCTAGCTACTAGATCATGAAACCATTTCTTCACGTTATCATTCTACTTGCTATTTAGGACGCAACTTTCTGAATCGTGTGGCTTCTGCCGTAGCAGCGTGCAACCTTCGAGTACTCTGTTTCAGGCCATTTCCCTGAGGTTCTTATCACTCTCATTGATAACACACCTGGCTGACTCTTCTTTGATTCGTAGTATTCTCTATCGATCGATCAACGTTACTGCCCATTTCTATCCATTGATAATCTGAAGACAAGCTAGCCCGCTGATGAGGAACTCATTGCAGAAAAAAATAATGAGAAGTGGATGATACAATGTACAAATATTTTATTTCACTTGTAAGCTAACTTCTGAAGCTGCTGTATCAGCAGTTTCAGTTCATCAGCAACAAGGAATTCCAGTGTAACATCTATAATTTCTCTTTTTTTTTTTCTATACAGAAGAATGAGAAGAAGCATCAAGCAAAATTTCAACCCAAAAACAAAATACAGGATCAGAATCTGGCAATATCTGGTACTTGTAGCATGTGATTTTTTATGTTAATCTTGGGTCTAACCATCCTTGCATGGGTTTTGTCATGATCCGTCATCCTCTATCGGTGCCAGATTGACGAGCATTGCGTTTCCCAAGCTTCGACAAGAGGTAGCCCATGGCAACTTTAGCTCCCAGGCTACAGTTACCACGAGATAGACAGATGACTCCTCCGATCAGAAGCAGCCCGTTTGCTACCACTTTCCCTGATGGCCGCCTCTCTAATTTCTTCTTCCTGCTCGCCGTCATACTTATTCCAAGAGATGCAGTAGCTATGGCTGGACTCTCAGGAGTGTCCTTGAGACAACTGTCCATTGCTTCGATGCCAGAAGGAATCTGAAGCAAGAATGCTAGTTGTGAGGACATGAGCTAAGAGAAAAGTGGCACTTTAACTGGAAGCAGGAAGTTGGAAGCTTTAAGTTTCGTCAGGTAAATGTAACAGAATTTGAAAGCCAAAGCAATCAACTTTTCAGCTTTTGGGGAACTAAACAGCAGTGATGAATCTCTCACCTTCTGAACCAGAGAGAGTGCACTAGCAGAATCACTTCCTATTTGACTACTTGACGGGTATTTGCATAGTGCAGCATGCATTTTACACACATAACTCCATATGCCCCTAGCAAAAGCCAACTTTGCCATCTCTACATTTAGCCCAGCATCTTCTTGGTGATACATTTTGATCTCAGAAGCATCCCTACCAGGTACTGTTTACACAGAAATCATGCAACTAGTTTAGCATTCAGAACTACGTAGCCACAACTAAAATAGCAAGGTCGAAAAGAATGGTAGCTTTTTAACATTGAAATAGCAAAGATGCGACACGTAGGAGAATCTTCAGGTTGATAGAACACAAGTGGTTTAAAAAGTGATGTGAGAAGTGGTGAAACTTCAAGGAACAAAGCAAATGCAGATAAATGTAGGTCTAAGCTACAAGGATCTAGCATCATTGGAAGAAACGTTGTTAGAAAAGGATGTAGCTCTGGCTTTCGCTTGATCCCATTTCAAGGCCAAACTGTTCAACGGAATATTCAATATCAAAAAAGCAAATGCTGTATTCAAGAACTTGCCTTTCCTAATTCTCCAGCCAGATCTAAAGTATCTAACTCGCACGCACTTCTTCTGTAATGGTGCTGACGGATGTTCACATTCCTAGACATGATGAAGAAAACAAGTCAGCAAAAAATTGGAATGTCAGCAAACCTAGAGAAAACCAAATGTCCAGTACCAAGAAACAAAGGTTCAAACCCTGACTTCCATCATGCTAATACCTTAATAAAACAATAATACGTTTTATCCTTTCCTTCCCATAATCTCCATGCCAGAATGTACTCCCTAGGTGTCAGAAGTGGGAACTTCTTAATAGTGCGCCCGATTTCAATTCCATTCGACCGGTCTACTTGGAGTTGCTCATGTTCCACTACAGTTTTGTCCCACTGCTTTCTGTAATTGTTGTCCATGTAGAAGTCCCTAAGCAACTCAGGAGAGCAATTCTCGAAAACTGTCACACTCAAGTACTTTACCGGAGCATTCTGCGAATAACAACAACCAAATAATGTTGTAAATGGACAATCTTTCGGTTGTTCTTTGCCTGAAATATACTGAGACGGTATGAACAAGAAGCACCAGAAGGCCGAGTATTATCTGAAGCTCCCTTTCGCTTTCTCAAAACACAGTAGTGGGCACAATGTATGATATGTTGGTATGCAAACTATGTAGATTATAACTTACAAACTACAGGGCATGGGACGAACGGGTAAAACACATACAAGAGAAAACATTGATACGTTCACAAGTATTTTCACCAAGGAAAGAGATATCGAACCTTGGGTTTGCAGCATTTTGCGTTATAATGTAGAAGATTGTTTCTCTTATCTATGACATCTTCCCAGCTCTCACTCTCGTCAACCTCATCCAGATTTTTAACCAAGAACTTCAAATCTGCTTCTGATACCAACTCTGACGATCTGCCAAATGAATTTGAAAAAACCATGTCAACGAATGGTACCGATCGGACTGAACAATTCTTTCGCAACACTAACGTTTATGATCAACAAGCACTGATTCACGCTATACAATATCCATAGGTGTGAATTCCTAATGGAAATGTTGCAGGGAAAAGATACCATTACGCAAATGACAAACCACAAACTAGAATCAAACACCAGAGGAAGCAATAGCAGATGACTTGCTACCTGAGTCTCACGAATTCGATATGCAGAAACATATTAACAAGTCATATGTTGCCAGTAACAGAACGGAATCCAGCAAAACTTGGTAGACAAGCGAATTCAACAGAAACCCTCAATCGCGATGGAAACCCGAAACAATAGCGATATAGCAAAGTGAATGAGAACAACCCAAATGAAAACAGGAACAGAAAACAAAACCCAGTAAGAGGGAGAGAATAGTAGTAACCTGGATTCAGGGTTAGACCCAGATGGCGAGAGCGGATTAGGAGCAGCGGCAGAGATAGGAGAAGGTCGAGACGAGGAAGAAGAAGAAGAAGAAGAAGCAAAGAGGGAGAAGAGAAGGCGCCTGGAAAAGTGGAATACGATTATAAGGAGAAGGGAAAGCAGAGTAGCCCATCTGCAGCCGTAGCCCAGAAACCAAATCCCGGAATCGGCATCGAGCAAAGATTGGAATCCATTACGAAGAGGGTGGAAATACTCGAGAATCACCAACGCCATCGCTCTCTGTCCCTGGTTCTTCTTTGCTTTCTCCTCCTTCTAGTATTGGCTCGGTATCTTCCTCGTCGTCTTCTTCTTGGGTTTCTTGTGGCGGAGGATTTGGGATTAAACCCATGCCATGTGATGTGGATTGAGGCGAAGGTTGCAGCCTTTATGAGATCAGAGAAAGAGTGTGGAGGGAGGCAGAGGCAGGAAATGAAATGGGAATTGAAAGCGGCCTGCGAGGAAAATGTGGATATGGTTCAGGTCCACCATCTTTTTGGTTTGTTTCTCATAGTTTACTCCCTCTTTTAGCAAATTTCCAGTTTCTACTGAAGGCAGGCAACAATTCAAGTGTCAACCATAGTCATGTTATATTTGGACAAGGTTGATGGCTGGCTGCAACAACTGCAATGGCAACTTTGAAGGAGAGGTTAAGAGCTTAAGATGGGAGTGTTGATAGGTAGGGAAAAGAGGGGTGATAACTCGAGTTGTGTTGACTTTATAATTATTTCGGCATAATACATCAAAATATAGGTAGATATCGAAGCAAGGGTGGTTAGTGAAGTGTGGCGGAAAATATGGATAAATATTTTTTTAGAAAGAAGTCGTTATAGGATTCAGAATTAATATATATATATATGACGCAAGCTGCTGTAGAAATTAAATCTTCGTTTAGCTTTTTTGTGTGTAATAAACCTGCAAGAACAGAGGAATATGTAGCTAGACAATTTTGGAGTAAGGTTGGTACTAGGGTGATTTGATTGTAACTGAATTGTGTTTGATCATATTTGATGAAATGAAGTCTGTTCTTATTCATTACAAAAATAAATATTAATTGAGAATAGCGTAGAACGTGTCAGAATAAGAAAAAAAATAATTTACATATTTCGTCTCATTCTACTTCGAGTTGCATGCTAAACAGACCTAAATAAAATCGAACTGTACAGACCAATTTAGAAATTACTCTGATGAATGTAATCATATAAACTCAGCATCATTTTGCATTTCTCTATTTTGACCAATAACTCAATATTTATCTTGAGGGTGGAAACACCAAATGTCTTTTTCAACCAAAGAAAAGCTAAATGTCCTTTTCTTTTTGGGCTGAAAAAAAATGTTTATTGTAGATAATACTGAATAGATATACATCCCAGATAGGGATGAGGCAATGCACAAGTGATTCTTTCCAATTATTTCAATATATTAAACTTGTGGATGCTGTTCTTTAATTATAGATTCCTCCTGGATTTTGTTTCTTATGGAGAAAAAGAAAAACTCGTGGATGTTGCTGGATTACAATTTCGGAAAAATCAAGGATCATATGAATAACAATTATAATAAATCTTCAAACTCCGGTATAGTATCATGCCCATATATCCTGTTAATTCATCAAATAGCAAAACTCAAACGGGCGTACTGTAGTCTAACGTACGCCCTGGCGTACGCTAGCCTGAACCCATATATATAGTTCAACCTAGCATACACTATATGCATATATTCACACTATTATATGTCCGTCAAACTTTACGATTTCGACCGTGAATTAACCGAAGTTTGGGGATGATACCACTAGAACTTTGATGTGTTGGCATGATACCACACAAATCAGCTTATTTCATATAATTTTCTTTTATATATATAATCTCATGAACTATTCAACCATTTTTTTTCATCCAATCTCATCAACTAGAACTTATTACAATCCAGTGTCCATAATTGCTAAACAATCTGAAAGCAGCAGAAAACCCAAATATAACACAAAACAGCAACATAAGTGTATTCAAAGGGGAGAGACCCAGGAAAACAGAAAAGCAAAACCCTCTAAACTGAATGCTCAATCGCATCTATATTACACATGGAGAAACTCATAATGTCAACCTTCTATCACTTCCAAAACTTGAAGATATCAAACAAACTGGCAACCTGATGCCAACATCACAAAACAAAAATAAAGAACATCAAAGCCAAAAACTACATTCTCAAAGTATCAGACAGAACTTGCATAATATTGCCTGTCATAGCTTCATGCAACGCCAATAGTAATCCTCTGCTGCCCAACCAATCACCTCATGCCAGATTCATCGAGATGGGATATCAAGGATGTCAGTTCATTTCTTCCTACACGCCGGTAGTTGCAGGAGAAGTGGAGACTGTCGTCGTCACAACTTCTTCTAGGTGTGGAATCACGGTGGCACCTATGAAACCGCCTGACGAGATGGGAACAGCTCCTCCCTCGCCTGCATTGCAGCTTTCTTTGCTGGCATCATCTTCCAAGCGCACCACCTGAGCAAAGCTCTTGGACATCTGCTTGATAAAACTACTGGGGGGGATCACTGCCTTTCTCGGTTCGTTTTCCGGAACGACGGTGTCAGGAATGGGAGTCACTTGCTGCTGTCTGGATTTCCTTTCTTGCATTACTTTCTGTCTGTCTTCATAAAAGTCAAAGTCGTCCAAGATGGACATCTCTGTCTCGTAGTTCTTGAATATGTTCAAAATCTCGATGCCCTGCTCGAGTTTCACCTGCAGAATTGGCATTTTTGCAGACAGTTAGCCTTTGCACAAATTAAAGTTCAGGTTAGGCCTTGCCATATTTGTAAGTTGCTTATGCAAGTTCCTCAGAAAGAGAATTATACCTCTTGTGTGTCCCGACTATTAGTGACAGGCTTGTTATCATTATTTTCCAGAACTATATGGCGGAACTGACTATTGGGGACATCCTTGATAATGTGCCACTTAACAGGGAACTGCCCACTCCATTTATCTTGTTGCCAGTAATCAACGCTCTTCTCAAAATCTACTGGTCCAGTCATTTCAGCAACTCCACAAAACTGAGCACTGGCGTTAACCTGCAGAGAGTCATACATAAGACGGAAAAACCAAATAAAACACCTTAACAAGATGATCATCCAATCATAATTAGGATCAAGAAAAACCAATTGTACAAGTATACTGCCAGCATGAACACTTACTGAAAATAAGAGGAAAATTGGGCAAGGATCTTCGTTCTTAGCTTCAGCATAAGCAGCATCCAATTTTCTGTTTCCATTGGGTGTGCTAGCCCAAACACCATATTTAATGCTCTTGTGGACATTATCTTCACTGTACGATTTGATAATGAAGAACTTTGCCTCCTTATATTCAGTAATGAAATCCGGTCGGTTGTACAAATTGTCATTATTGACCTTTGAAGCGGGTTTGCTGCATTTGGTACTGTCAGCTGAAGCACCAGTTTGCTCTGTTGTGTTTTGACTCTTAGGCTTTGAGGCCCTTGGCCCTCGGTTTTGCTCACTAAGGATATCAAGGTTCCCATTGCAGCCACACAGAGAAACACCACTATTTCCGCGCCATCTACTATTATCAAAGGAAAGCCAACCACGAGTGTTTGTCCCCACACCCTTAATGGAAGCATTACCAAAGCTGGGCCCTTGATTAAAACCACCATATGTATAACCTCTACCAATGGAGCTTGAACCAGAGCCAAAGCCATAAGCTCTTTGTTGTTGAGGTGCCTGGAGAAGGTAGTGAATCAGTGCCAGAACAAGCAGAAGCTATGTAAAAGTAAGAACTTCAAGGAATGCAAAATCTATTTTCAGATGCAATAATATAATAATATTTGTATGCTTTCGCAGTGCAAATATTTGATCCAGTGCAGCTTAAGAACCGTTGGCTACCCAGTCTCAGAAATTGAAAATTCTGAACCTTGCATCAAGAAAAGAAAAGGGAAGAGTGGAGCTGATGTGAGAAACAGAGAGATAAATCCTGGTTTCAGACTCGTTCATCGACACACATGCACAAGGGTACAGGGAAACAAAATAGCAGACATGTCCACAAACGATTCCTTGCAACTGCATGGTGCATTGAGACCACATTATACCAGCAAGCAGCAAACCCCGTCCAGAAATACAGCTTTATGCACTATATAGAAGCAGCAAACAATGGTTTAGCCAACTGACATGTGGTAATGCTAAGAACTAGACGTATCCCAGCTTTCCCCACGTTAAGAGAAGCATAGCAAATGGGCAGATGAATTCGGACCACAGCCCTCCTACGGCTATGAATTCACAGCTTTGAGAAGGGGAATAGATATACAAAGTATAAATAGGCTATAACAACAGGAGATCAAAACAGATGGCCACCTAAATACAACCTTCAAGTAATCCAGGGTATTTGTCTTTTCAGATGAGTACTGTCCATGAAAAGTGTTGCTAAAATGACCCGCAGAAGCAGCTAATCGTTCAAAGACTGTTAGCTCCAGCCAGGATTACATAAAATGACCTGTGCTTTCCTTAATTTATGTATATAATGCCACCATGAAAAAGTTTTCAAACCTAATAATACAATAACTAGTGAACATGGGATTTGATCATATAACAAGTACAGTAAGCAATTTGAAATCCAGTATAGTAAAGATGAGCAAAGCATACTTCAATGTCATTTAATTACAAAACAAACTAAAATAAAACATCAGAGTAAAACTAGAGAAAAGAAGGTGACAAACCATTCCAACATTCTGCCCAAATGACCCGAAAGGAGCGGTTGGTTGCGGGGATACTGCAGGTGAGTAGGGAGTAAAAGGCCTGTGCCTATCAGAGGGTTTTGAGTAATCAGACCATATCCCTCCAGAACTTAATCCATCAAACACCTCATGAAAACCAAGACCACCAAGATTGCCAGGAGCGTTGCCTCTACCAAAAGATCCTGAGGGAAGAGGGTAAGTAGGCCTTGGTCTAGATAGCATGTTCTCACCTCGATGATCCATTGTTGGCAAAGTATTGAATTCAGGCTGTGAAACAGGATTGTGTGGGGGAATATATGGCATGTTAGGAGGACCAAGCTGTTGGTAATAAGGGGGGCCAGAAAACTGGAATTGTTGATGAGGGTACATCTGTGTATCTCCACCTACAGAAGGTAAAGGTGGTGTGACAGGAGAATATGGCCCATATGGAACTTGTGGCCCGTAGCCATATCCACCATGGAATACAAGAGAAGGATTCTCATTATAGATGCCCTGATTGGATGAAAAAGAATTAGAGAACCATATAGTAAATATAATATGCACCAACAATTGCCAAAATCACAGGAGGTGAGAGGTCAAACTCACTGCTGATCCCATGTCCAGTCCTTCAGCATTTATATAAGGAGGAAATTCATCCCATTCACCAGTTTCATACCCTGATTGATGCCAAATGAAATATTAATTTGCATAAACCATTGTCTACTGCAGTCAGAAGACCATCAAGGATACCATCAAACAAACTCAAAAGAGGGGGAGGGAACTAACCTCTGTAGTAGAAAGCCTGAGGCTGAGGAGCATACATATTTGGAGGATAGACCGTTTGATCTCCATTGGAACCAAAAGATCCAAACTGCCCCGCATCCCTCGGATGACCTATAGTGGCAGCAGCCTGAGAGGAATTAGAAGAAATTGATATCTCATTTTGGTTGCTATACAGGGGATGGTAAGAGGTTAACAAGTAAAAGAAGCAACAATGTTGCCTCCTCGATTGAGCCATATAAAAGAGATTAGGCAAGACATTGAGAGGTGTAAGAGTAAAAAATATACCCGCTCCTTCATGTTATCTGGTTCAAGAAGTTTTTCTTCTGCATCCATGATCAATATGCTCAGTGACTCAGAAGAGCCTTACAAACACAGGCAGTACATAATATTTGACCAACCAAAGCTTAAAACTGTTGATAGCAAAACTTGAAGCAACGAATATGCGCACAAATCCACGCAAACACACCTATTAGGTACACATGATAAAATAAAGAATGTGAATACTCTTGAAGTAAGAAGCAGCCAGATCTAGTTCAAATCACTTGATCGCGATACTAAACCGAGAATTAAACATTCAAATGACCACTATGAATTCCCATATTGCTCTTCCTAAAACAATAAACCATGCGCCAAGTAGTAAGGTACCAAACTCTATTAGTCACCAGAGTGGGCTTTGAGGATCAGGTTACGGATTCAATACCCATATGACAGTACAGGTATACAGGAATTTGTCTGCCCTAAGAGCCAAGCTAACATCTTCAGAGGTTCACATAGATCACAGCTTCAATCGTATTTCATGGTTTTCCCCAATCACACATCTTTCTTTTTCCTACTACACTTCCCAGTTTAAGAAAGGGGCATGGTGAGTTTTCAATTTCTGACAAAAGATTCACAACACTACAGTTTTCATAAAGTGAGACTCCGGATATTTCATATCACCAGGATCTGAGATCACTATATGTAAGAAAACACAATCCATCCCTTCAAAATCATCCCAGCAACCCAGATCAAATAAAGATTCTAACTTTACGATCCCCAGATGCAGAAATTTAGTACTAAACCACACAAGAGCCATAATCGTTCAAGATTTGAAAAACCAGACAACACAACACAGACGGCATAGATCGCACATATCAGAATCGAACTCCATCCCCATCAATCCACGAAACAACTCGGGGCCATCAAATCAAAAGCACAAACAGGACAGATCGATCGAGATCAAATCGGAAGACCGAACGATCAAGAACGAGATGAAAAGAGAATTAAAAGAGCAAGGGAATGGAAACAGAGACAGAGACAGAGAGAGAGAGAGATGATCAAAGATTGAAGATGGTGATGAAGGAAATTGTTACCGGTGGAAAGATCGGGTGGTGATGGCGATTGGGCTGCCGCCATGATTGGGGGGGAATTTATAGGGAGGAATCTAATCCGAAATCTAAAACAAACGAAAAGGTGCGATGAAGAGAATCTGTGAAGTGGATGGAGGGAGAGAAAGGAAAGCACAAGGGTATCAGTACAGTAGAGTATCTATCTAGGCAGAGAGTGAAGTAGGCTGGGCGTGGAGGGACATGAATCCTGCTACTCCGAGCTTTGCCCCTTTGGCCTCTAGCTTACTTGCCGCTCCTAATTGTGGAAATGGTACGAAGAGATCCGATCACACAATTTTTGCTTTTTGGTACTAACTCGACTCATTGAAATGTCATGGTGTAATGACGTTTCTATAACTAAGCATGTACTAATTATTTTATTTTATTTCTTTTGGTATATTTTTTTTATTAAATCTCCAATAATTTATCTTTTAATATAATAAACTTTAAATTGATTTTTCCATATTTATTGTGGTATTTTATTTTGAAGCCATTAATATTTATATATCATAGTTGAACTCTTTAAAAATATAGTTGGGAGTATTCATAACATACGAAATATTCATTCATTTAGACCGTAATGTGTGGATATTACCAACCAAGATATATGTAAATTATTCATTCAAGATATATGTAAATTAGACTTGTTAGAATAAAAAGAAAAAGTCATTAATAGTCCGGATCATACCCAAATCCAGTTTGTTTCTACTTAATAAAAACATCAAGAAAATGAAAAGGGAGATTAAATCGGGTATTAAAAATGACGGGTAACATGAACGAAAAAAGTAATAACATAAAAAAGAGAGAATAATAGTGCTTCTTATTTATACATCAATATAAGTGTGTGGTTTATTAGTAGGCACAACTATCCAATTAATGTGTTTCTTACACAAGGTTGTCAAACCGGTTTATGCCGGTGTGCCGGTTTTGTAAGTGGAATGGTCTGACCGTGGTACAACCAGTATTCATGCCGGTTGTGCCGGTTTTAATAAAATACATGAGGAAAATGGAAATCCTCAATTCCAAATAAATTAGTCATAAAAAAGCAATTAGAAGAATTATTTCACACAAAATAATTTATAGCTAAGAATTGGTAACAAATACTAAACAATTAGATGCTTAAAAATAAAATTTTATTAAATAAATTTTATTAATGTTTATAATGATTTGTGTAAAATTTAGTATTAGATATATAACATATAAGGTTAATATAGACAACAAAATTGCTTGTAGCCTACCGGTGTATAAGTTAAACTAAAATAAACAAGAGGTCTTTGGTTCAAATCCTATGGAAGATGTTTATTTTTGGATATAATGTGTGTAAAATTAAATTCCGGTTTCTGGTCTAACCGGCCAGAATTTCCGGATTTGACCGGATCTGACCGGCATTGACCGGATTTGACCACAGTTAAATACCGGCCCCTTTCCAGCCGGTTTGCTGACCGGTACCGGTTGAACCCGGTTGAATCGGTCGGCATGAAACCGGTTTGACAACCATTACATAACAAAAGATGACAATTTAGTAGAGAACTACATGTAACACATATTAAGCATCTAATGTGCTTATGCACATTGTTTTTTTAAGCATGGATCCCATCTGAATATCAGTTCATTCCATTTTTCTTCAGAAATTATAAAATTCATGAGATCAAAAACCAGAATTACATTATATTATATTCAGTATGATTCGATCCAAGCGTCGGCTTGGTTTGATGCAGTCCAATATCGTTGCACACCACTACCCCCAAGCCAGTCAAGAAAAAAGAATCACAAGTTCACAACCATGGATGACATACTTAAATCACTATTCATAAGCATAATTATGTTAACCTCAAACGTGTACATGAACATAGCTGTCACACAAAGTAAACTGAAGAAGTTACTTGGTATTAATACTATAACTTGAGCCACCAATCCAATTTTCAGCCAGCCTCGGGGAGGGTGGGATTCCCTGACAGGCCTAATAAAAACAGGACTGTCAGCGACAACCATGGACGACATGTTTCTCCTGCTGATAATATAAAGTACAAGGTTCCAAATTCAACATGGGAAGAAACTGAAGAGGAAGAAGACTTTCTGAATCCTGATCCCTTTCTATTGGAAGTTGAGAAGCCAGCATGTGTGATCTAACAAACCTCTGACCTCCATTGCTGCAACTTGCTTCATGCCTCCTTCAGTTCTTTTATTTCTCTGGCAGACCAAATCCTGCTAATAATCTAGATGATACTCCTGCCTCCCAAACAAAGGCAACACTCATCTCCTGTACTATACTATAAAACAGTACGAATCCTAGTAGAGTACTATGTTAGGCCTCTTGACGACGAGGAGGCTTGACAGCACCGGAATCCTGTGTTTCGTTCTTGGTGCTGGATATGCTCTCCGTCAGCTCGATCCCCTTGGTATCGTAAGGGATCAACAGCGTCGCTACCAATGCTATAATAACTATACCGACGAACAGCAGCACAGCTTCCCGCTGCCTGCATCTTTCTGTCAAGCTCACCGCCACAAATGGAGCAGTTATGCCACCGATCCTTCCCATGGAGCTCGCGATTCCAAACCCGGTTGACCTTACTGATGTCGGGTATAGCTTCAACGACAAACAGACAAACACAAACAATGGCCAAAGGTTAGTTAGGTTAATGAGACTGTAAAAAACTTGAACTACTGCAGACCATGTTTCACATGGCTGAGCGGGTGATATTGATGGGAATTAGTTTACCTCTGGAGCCATGACAAAGGCGATTGCGAAAGAACCGGTGATGCATATACGAGCACCAAACAGAAGAATCGTGGTAACCATAGAAGACTGATGTGCAACCAATGGCAGCACGAAGATGCTGCAAACTAACAGCAAACCTGCCATGGAATACTTGCGGCCAATTCTATCAACCAAAAGAATGGCTGCAATGGCGCCCGGGCATTCTGTAAAAAATGGATGGAAAAAAGTTAGCAAAAAAAGAAGCTGATTTCAAGTTTATGCCTTACTCACACGGTGGTTTATTTTACCTGCTAGAGTGGCGATGAAAACGTTCTTGTAATCTATACCAGCACTAGAGCCTCCAGATTTCGGCACACTTGAATGGCACAGATTGCTGCGGTTCAGCTGAGTGGTAAGCAGAACAAGGCCATAGTAGGAAAACGCGTTCCCAAAGAATATGATCCATAATAGCACAGTGGAGCGGGCTAGCTGGCGAGAGAGCAGCAGGCGCAGTGTCTTGACGAGTCCCAAGTTGGAATCTTCCCATGCTGGGGGGACCGAATCAGCAGAATGGACTTGCTCTTGTTGCTCAATTTCATGGTCAGTGAGCAGAACACCAGGAGGCAGGCTCTTTTTGTTGCATCTCGCCACTTTCTCCATGATCTTAAAAGCTTCATCTTTCCTGCCCTTGAGGCATAGGTACCTTGGCGACTCTGGGGTCCAGTAGTAAAACACGAGGAGAAGGAACGAGGGAGCTGCTGACAGACCGACGAGCCACTTCCATCCTAGTCTCGGCATAACGATCTGAAATTTAAAGCCGTGTTATAGTACAACTAGGCAAAAGAAGCACCAGGTTGGAACCAATTGTGCGAGACTATTACGCACCCATGCTAATCCAACTTCAAGAATGGCTCCAAGAGTCCAGAACAGATTGAAAGCAACCATCCATTGCCCTCTGTTTGGTGCTGGTATGAACTCCAAGAACCAGGTGAAGACCACCGGCACACCTCCCAACCCCATACCAACAACGCAACGAGCAACTAACAGCACATAATAGTTCCAAGCAAGTGCGCTGAAGAGCCCGGCTAGAGAGGTCACTATTGCTGTGAACAGAAACCCATTCCTGCACACACCATTTATGAACAGTTTGTTTCATTTGAAAGTACAACTTTGGCTAGTGGGTAGTTCCATTGATGAAGCCAAACAAGCAAACATAAGAAAAAGAGTAAGGATGTTGATTTCTGACCTTCTTCCAAATTTGTCAGAGAGGAAACCCCAGAGATAGGAACCAACAAGCATCCCGGCGAAAACCACAACGGTTAGAACAGTCTCCTGATCAGGGCTGAGATTCCACTCGGACTTCACAGCTGGGCCAATGAACGACAGAATCATCATCTCCATTGCCTCTGAAACCCATCCCATCCCAGCATAAAAGCACATTAGGGTTTGGAAGAGTCCAAACCCCATTGACATGATCGCTCCATCCACACTGTAACCTCCTGCCGTTTGGTCAGCCATCTGCACCACACCACAAACCAGAACAGAGGAGAAAGCCAGAGTACAGTGAGTGATAAGAGTTCTTTTTTGTGTTTCTTCTTCTTGGTAAGAAAATGAAAACCAAACCAGAGAGAAGATAGGCTAACCAGTGTGTAACGAGGATGAGAAATGGCAGAGGGGGAAGTAAAAGGCGCTTGCTCTACCATATTTATATATGTGGGATGGAGGAAATTGTAGGAAACTAGGAGGAGGGAGGGAATGAACTCAACGAAGGAAGTTGTAGGAGAGAGCCAAATAGGAGTGTTTGTATTTTTCCCCAGAATTCACTCCCAAAAAATATTATATTTTTTCCCCAGAATCCCGTGGGGGAAATCACTTTCTTAGACAATAAAAATATCTTCGTACTGGGCCAACTGTACTAAAAAGACTCTCTCTCTCTCTCTCTCTCTCTCTAAAACAGGGAACCTCACAAAACAGATTTCCGGATCAAAATGTAACAAATATTGGAAACCCGTAAGTCCGTAACTGCGGTGGAGCTTTTATGGGAAACGAAAGCCCAGCAGCGGGACTTTCCTAACTTGTTGGGTGAGGATGAATGATACCCAGAAAGAGTGGAGAGGGCGTATATAGAAAGAGACAGAAACCAGAAAGTGGGTATAAATTTCTAGAAATGGAGAGAGAAAGGGAAACGAACCTTGGCCATCTCCGCCGGATTTTCTTCTCTTCTTTCTCCTTCTTATTATTCTTCTTCTTCTTTTGCCCTGTTCCAGTTGAACCAGCAACTCTACAATGAAAGAAAGCTCCTCCCTTGGGGAAGTAAACCTCAGCAATTTAACGGTCCAGCCAGCTGCGTGAGGAGTTTGGTCTTTGTGGCACTGGAGACAGCAACATTGTTGTTTGTCAGTTTGTTGACTTTTTTATTCTTCTTCGACATGGATGGGATCATGGGAGGTGGAAGAAGACAAATTGAAGAGGAGGGTATTATTATTGGTGACGCAATTAAACTAGTCAAACTACCATAATAATAGTAGTATAATACTGCTCTGCAACTTTTTCCCATCCTTACGTTCCATAGTTCTATCCTCGCATGAAGAAATGGGCCTCGTGGTTGAGACACAGCATGTGGAATTTTTGTCAAAAAAGAGAATCATTCATTGCCACCAATAATCGACGACCAACACTGTAGGTCCAAACTAGCAATCAGCACACAGCGAGAAAGAAAGAAAGAAAGAAGTCGGCCGCCACAGTTGACGACCCCCCAACTTCCACCCTCCTCCAACTACGATAAATATTCCAAGTGCAATAATGCAATCATAAACTGAAGAATGGTGACTGGTTAATTTCTTTAATAACGCATCATCATCATGAACTCCCTTAGATTCCTAGAAAAAAGGAAATGTACATCGAGATACTGACAAAGAAAGTCATTGTCAGTCAAAGTTTGGGTTCCTCACTCACTCGGTCAGTAATACGAAGAACAAGAAGATAAAAGTAAATAAATTGAAAGTCTGAGTGAAATAGAAGATGCAGGAGAAGTGGGCTAACCGTGTGAATGTGATGACGATGATGATACAGGGGAGGGGATGGGAATCAAAACCGTGCTATGCGACCCAAGCTCTTTCACCACCCTGGTAAAGTGTGAGTTGGTGACTTGGTGGCAACATTTCTTGTCCTCCACTGCCCTACCACCTCTGACAATAAAGGCTCACCACGAAGTGAACTTTATTACTGTGAAACCTCTGGCTATACAATTAATGGACGAGGCAAGCAATCACCACACTACATTCCGTGGTTGTGAGACAAAACTATAAGAAAGCTCATAAAGAAGCTTTTTGAATTTGAGTACACCAACTCACTAACTCCACTTTCTTACTTTAGACTCTGGAGACTTGATGCTAAACGCCATTGTTGACTGTGGCATGGCCAGCCAGCCACAAATTGTACTTCACTAAGCACAGAGCAGTGGAAACAGACATCCTGTCAACTTGGACAAACAAACAGCAATCAGATAATGAAAAGAAAGTAGCATCTGGAAAATTAGTGCAGCCCTTACTCTTCACGTATCATCTCTTCTAAGTGGAGCACATGAGTAGGGGTCTGCCACAATAATACCACAGAACCAATCATTCCTCAAATTATGGAAGCTGCCATCATAACTACTGGATACCACTTTGCAAGTCTGTTTGGGAGTAGGAAGAGCTCTCCAGACAAAACTTGATTGATTCTAAAGACGGAAGAAGCAAACTGACTGCACCTTCTTTGCATCTGAGTTCTGACAAGCTAATAACTACTGTCTCAAACTGAAACACATAACAGCAATGAATTCTAGAAACTAGAGACTGAATTATCCACAAAAACAGGGGGAAACAAGGTGGAATCACAGTGATGCCCTGCCTGAAATTTTGTTCACTGCTGCGGAAAGGAATCTGAGCTTGTAGATCGATTCAGGCGTTCTTCGTGAAGCTTGTCATGTTTTGTACTTGCTATGCTCTCTGTCAATTCACAGCCCTTCGAATCAACAACATCGCAACTAGTCCTACCGAAACCAAACCAACAAACAGCAAAAGCGCTTCACATTGAGGGCATCCTTCCATCAACTTTACTGCCACAGAAGGGAATATCATCCCCTCAATCCTTCCTATGGAGCTTGCGATTCCAAACCCACTCGATCTAACCGGAGTTGGGTATAGCTTCATATGCAAAAAGGCAGAAGAAAACCAAAAAGGTTAAGATCCTCCTCAATCCTAAATCAGGGGCATGGACATACATTGACTTGTGCGATTATGGAAGTACAGAGAAACATCGGTTACTTTACACGAGCAAGTTTAACATAATGTTTATGCCTATACACTAGCGCAAGAATCAGATCAGTGTCTCTACTGCCAGAGTTGCTCACTTCAAAAGTTAGCACCTCCAAAAAAAATGTGCTAGCAGACTAACATGGAAACACTCTTCACCCCTCAAGAAACCAATTTCATGAATGACAATAAGTCAGTCAAGAGGATCCAAGAACCTAGTAAACAACAACCTATGGCAGCAGTTTCATTCATCTAAATACAGAAATATTAAACGGTTATGATCACATCTGAGAGACACACCTGGCTAGAGATGATGAGGAATCCAGACGTCTCTCCTTCTTCTACTTCTCTAGAATGCCATGATGAAGAATCAAGAAAGCGAGCAACGTGTTCAAGGTGAGAAAACTAGATAAGCTTCACATCAAATCAATTGGTGGGCTCTATGTGTGCAGCTAATCCCAAATTTAGCATTCCATTCAGCGGACCTTCTCGACTTCAACAAGAAGAACACAAAAACCCTAGCTAATCTCGGCCATTGAAAACATGCGACTCCAATCCTCATTTTCCCGCCGTGTAAAATTGCCAATTTGCGGTTTCCAACCGATTGACGGCCAGCACATTTCGGCCGCCGCATCATAACTCAACTCTCTCTCCCTACATATGGGAGTGGTGCGGCGGGCCATCGCCGGCCAACTGTCCGTTGTCGGCCGGGCCATGTAAGAGATTGGAAGAAGTGATTCGTACTATGAGGTTCCGCTACCCATCGCCGCCGGCGCCGTTCAGTAGGCGGGCGGATCAAAGGAATTGAGCGGCGATGCTATGGGATCACCTCACCGCCGGCGACTGCAGCCAAGGCAACAGAAAACAGACACACGGGAAATTGAAAATATATATATGATGGACCAATTTATCCAATCTGAAGCCCATTTCTCGCGGGCTGGTCTTTCTTTCCCCCAGCTCCCTGTGATCCAGTACAGTTCGTTTACTAGTGGGCCTGGAGATTAAAGTGCATTTGGGTCTGGGCTCCAAAACCTCTCTCAATAGTCAAGTCTCAGTGTCTCACCCTTGAGAGGACAAAGGCTGTAGCTTTCCATTGATGGTTACTCTTTTGGGAGGCAATGTCCCACCATTATATTTTAAGCAATAAACAACAACGAATTATGAAACCTAATGGCCCGTTTACTTGTCATTCCATTTCTGTTAGCTGCCATAACAGAAAACAAAATTAAAATGAAATCGAAGCTGTCCATTTCCTGGAAAACAAAACCTGAAAAAACCTTGTTTAGCTGAGAATTTTGGTGAGTTCTGGAACTGAGTTCTAAAAAGAAAACCTGTTTAGTTGCTTCATTCTGTTTTCTGATTCTTGATTATCATACAACCCTAGCCATGATTATAATTTTTAATTCGAATTAAATAGTTTTTAAACTACAAATAAACACAATACAAGTACAACATCTTATATTAATTAAGTACTAGTACAACATAAAAATTCAAATAAGTCCAGCTTGAAAGTCATCCCACAACTTGTTTGCTATTTCATCTCGTCGTGCATCCATCGCTCGAGTTTGGGTTGAACTATGATTATATGCTTCTCGTTCTTGTCCTCCTTGCACTCCATTGGCATTCTCCCCCGTGCAATAATTTTGAGCACCTTCAAACAGAGTGTCGTCACCAGAGTGGATCCTAATAAGATATCACCAACAGATTGACATCAAACAAAACAAACGAAGACAACATCATTCAAACTCAACAACAAATCTGTCCATTGTTCAATTCATTCACCATAATATTTCCATTCAAACTCTTTCATCCACCATAATATTTCCATTCAAACTCAGCAACACAAAACATGACCAAACCAGTACAATTCATCATCACAAGCAAGCATGGATCGTGTCACTCACAGGAAGAGTAAGTACCTGGATCGTGTCACTAGCAGCTTCGGAGGAGGAATTGAGAGGGGGAAAGCTCCTTCGGTGCTGCTTCTACTGGAATGGGTGACAACAGGAGGAGGACGATGTGCGGCTGGAGGAGGAATGGCTAGCAGCTTCGGAGGAGTAATCGCCAGGCGCTTCTCTGTTCGATTGATGAGGATTCGAGAAGGGGAAAGCTTCTTCAGTGTTGCTTCTGCTGAAATGAGTAGCTAGCAGCTGCCATTTCCGCCGGCTGGAGCTTCTCGTCTCGGGGAATCTTCCATCTCCCAGATGATGACGGCGCGGGGCTGTCGAGGGAGAGAAAAATGATGGAGGCCGGCTGGTGCTTCTCGCGTCGGGGAATCCTCCGTCTCGCAGATGGTGGCGGCGCGGGCCTGGCGAGGGAGAAGCAAAATGATGGCGGCCGGCTGGTTCTTCTCGCGTTGGGAATCCTTCGTCTCGCAGATGGTGGCGGCCGGGGCTGGCGAGGAAGAAGAAAATTATGGCGGCGCGATGCTGGCGGAGGAAGACGATGGGGCTGCTGGTGGGTGGTTTGGGTGGAGAAGACGATGGGGCGAGTTCAGAGGGGTCGGCGGCCGATTGCTATGGAAGGAGTTCAAAGGGGTCGGCTGAAGCATAGTTCTTCTAGGGTTAGGGTTGGGTGGATGAAATAAATTCCAAAACGGCGCCGTATAGGGTAACAGAGGAAAAATGGGAAAAAAAGGAGCCACGGTGATTCGAACGGCCGATCTCATTAATGTAGAGCGGATGATTTTCGCTGGGAAAAGGGGCAATAACCCGTCCCATTCTATTCGGAAAATGAGTATTAATGGTTTTCCCATTTGTAATAACTGGGTTTTTCCAAGGAAAATGGAATTGTCAAGTGAACACGTTTTATGTCCATTTGTTTCCTGATTTTCATTTTTTAACCAGAAAACAGAAAATGAAATGGGAAGTGAACAGGGCATAAGGTTGTTAAACCCTTATCTAACTGGTCGGTTGGACTTGGTCCGACTCGAGTCGGGCTTTAAAACGGCCTCCAGAAAGTTCTCCGGTCTGACCCCTAAAGAGGGAGAAGAAGAGAGGAAGATGAACGAAGGAAGAGAAATGGTGGGTGGATCGTAGAGGTTAGGTAGATTTATTTTGTGGAAAATAAGTTTTTAATAGATACATGTAAGATAAATTTTAATCCAGTCATTAAATCTTTAATCACTACCTTATTTGTATATAAATTTAGAAAACGTCTAAAACGACTCAAACCGACCGTATCCCGATCAGACCATTAAATCTCAAACCTCTTGTTTTGACCGGCTCAATGAATTAAACCGATTTGATAACCTTGATGAAACCAAAGGAAGCAGAGAGGGAAAAAAACAAAACAAAAATGGAGTAATTGATTAAGACAGCCAATTGCATCACCACCAGGTGAAGGAGCAGCTATCTCACCCAATAATGAGTTTTTTTTTTATTGGGGAACTTTTATTGGTCGTTTGGTTTTGGTGATAGCTCAATGCATGCATAATAATATACATGTATATAAGAAAATTGGTATATTGTAGTTTACATCGTTTGGTTTCTGTAATAGTTATTGTAGTATTTAAATAAATATATCACTTTTGGGGTGAAATGTCACTTTTACCCTTTGTTTTTAATATAAAAAGCAACACAAATAAAAAAAAAGTAGGGACATATTTGGAAGAAGAAGAAAACACAACAATCTCCATCAAACAATCTCAACAATCTAAACGAAAACTTGAGATTTAACTATCACTCATTTTGAGTGATAGTTTGTGTCAAATCAAGCAAACAATGCATGTATTGTTTGCGCAGAAAATTCAAAAAAAAAATGATGTATTGTGGACATTGCAATAATTATCCCAACCAAACCATCACCAAAACCAAACGACCCCTTAGTTTTAGATTCGTCTTTGGTGAATTTTATTATTTTATTGGTAGGGATCTTGTGATTAGTTTGACTATATAATACATGGTGGTTCGTGACCTCACTTACATTTTTAATTTTTTATATGTATTTCCATCGCTTTTGGAGCTCCAACTTGACAATTCTCAAACAAGTTGTTAATGTAATGTATAGGTAATGAGGTCATAATCAATAATTGCTTTCTCCGGTTTATCCACCACAACTATTATTGCTATCTGAATTCTCCCTTCTAATATATCAATCATTTGATGAATAATCTCCAGAAAAATTCAAGCAACCAAAACGTAACGCGGCAAGAAGAAATACAATAAAAAATAAAAAATTTGGCTGGATGATTTTTTGAATGATACAATTCGACAACTTCAATGATACTCCGCCTCGTAACGAAACATGTCGTTCAAAATGACAACTTCAGTAGTACGAAAGGGAACACATGAGAAGCCAGCGCGATAGATTGTCAAACCGGTTTATGTCATTGTGCCGGTTTAACAAGTGGAATGGTTTGACCAGTGACACATACCGGCTTTGTGCCGGTTCATGCCGGTCAATATTGCAAATAAAATTATATATTTAAACATTACGTTTAACGTAAATACCTAAACATTTATACTTGAATCCAACAAATAACATCAATAGTTAACTTTTATACTCATAAAATAAATAATAAAACAATTTTTTATCAATTAAATTCATTAAAATAAGGTCGTTTTATTTAGAAATTCATATATCGATCATACCGGTCATATCAGCGGTGTCACGTCAGTTTTATTACCGGTACCGGTTGAACTCGGTGGCACGCCGGCCGGCGTGACAACCATTAAGTAGCTGAGTCAAGTGGGTTGAGAAGTGGCGAGCAGAGTAGGAAAGGCAAATTGGAGCAAAATTAGCTTCTTAGCTCACGGAGGGTTGCAAATTGTGATCCACAGAAACAGGAAGAAAGCAGAGGCAGAGCAACAACAAAGTCACATCGTTCTCTACCCAGTTTTTTTTTTCTTCTCCCAGAATATCTAATTTGCTACGTTACATGAACACCAATCTCTATTATTTTTATGGCTGTCATCATTATCATCATGGCTAATGCTGTCATTATTGTCATCCTAATCATAATTAGTATTATTGTAATTGTAGTGACGCCACCGAACCGAATCCTTTCATTTGTGTCAAGTTGTGAGTTTCTTAATCTGTATTTGGCAAGAAGTGAGGTGCAAGTTGAGTGATAAATAGCTGGGCGTGCAACTTGATGAGTGTGTAAGTGGAGGGGTAAATTGTTGTTTGGCTGAAAAAGTAGCGAGTGCAAATAAAGTGAAAAGTAAGTAATTATATTATTATAAAATAAAGTTGTCAAAATTATAAAATATTATCACGAAATAATACAAATATAAATCAATCTATAATAATAACAATAATCATTATATAATAATGCTCAAATAATAATTAATAATAACAATAATAATCATCATTTGTCGACCGGCCTCGAAGCTCGAAACCCAACTCGTAACTGGTCATCCTAAGGGGGTTCTCGTGTCTAACTTTAAATTCAATATGGTCAAACTTAATCAAGCACTTTCGAATCTATAAGTTTTAACTATTTAGTCAAGTAAACCGAACCGTTCCTCTCTAGTTTCAATGCAAATTCGAGTCAACCATGAGGTATCGATTTGACTAGACGAACATTGACCAACTTGCTCGCAAAGTCAAACAGTCAACCCCAAACATCGTCTACATTAATTATAACTATAAGAAAAAATTAATAATTATTATTATAATAAAAGAATAAATTCATATCCTCGCTCTCCCTCTCATCTTTCCTCTTCTCCTTCCTTTCTTTCTTCTCTTGCACCCCAATTTGGAGGGTAAGCCGAAATAGTAGATTTGCACCTCCGATTTGCACTCCTCTACAGTCTACGGTTACAAATTAACCAAACAAGTGCAAATACTTTGAAAATTGTGTTTACACCTCTCCTTTGCCCCTCCGGCCCTCCCTTTTGCACCTCTTCCCAAACATAATGTTAATCTCTCTTGTCGTGTAGCTCTCAGCAGAAACCTTGACCACTAATCTGCTACGCCCAATTATGGTTAAACAAAATGACACAGAGAGATATTGTCTCTTTCTGGGTCAAACAATGGTTTGAAAACTAGTAGATTACGTGAATTCTAACATATGTATTTTTGTAGATGAGATTGTTAGGGTTAGATTGTTTGGATTGTATGGATTTACCGTGGAATTTACATAATTTGACATTAAAATTTTCAAGTTATACGGTGCACTAATATCTTGATATATGACTCAAAGTGAAACAAGAAAAAGATGGTTACCTAACGACCCTCAATATACCTTGAATTCTCAAATTACATGGGTTTATCCACAACGGTTGGACAACTATATATATTGTCTTCCATAAATCAAACCAAAATTTTGAAGTGCTACACAACGGGTGCATGCTTTCAACAAACTCTTTAAAAAATGAGTTATTTGCCAATGTGGTATTTTGAAATCAAATTATGCAATTCTCAAATGTGATATTTCATGAGTTATTTGAGGCTTGTGATATTACAATTGTCTTGTGTTGGTTCTGTTGTGGTACTCCATAACAAATAAAGAGTAAATACTATAATATACGCACTTTGATGAGATGAAGAGAAAGAGAGTCAAACAAAAAATGAATCGAGGACAGTTGTGAAAAAGAAGATTAAGAGATGAGTTCTTTGAAAATAACTCGATGGATGAGTGGCATTTCATGGTCATAATATCACAACTTAGTTTTTCTTTTGCCAAGCAAGTTACTAGATTTTGCATCGAAAAAAAAACTAGCTTTTTAGAGCAAAGTATGATTGGTTTGGCTCGCTTAGCAGAATATGGAATAAAGCTGGCTTAGTACAAAGCATGTAACACCATATGCAAATCTACACATCGACAAAAGCATTAAGAGATCCATGATTCATAAATAATACTCAGACTTAACTGACAAGACGGATTTTAAGGTGAAATGGAAGAGTTATTACAAAAACTCATAAGTTAAGTGTTCTTGTGGATCAATTCAAAGACAAGTGACCTCTAGAGAAATCGCTTTGATATGCACACACAAAACAAAATCCATATGAGTATAGATCCAAACCGAAAAATATCATGTTCGAAATGGTAAAATGGAGACCAAATTGAAGCATCAACCCAACAAAAGAATCCCATACTTGACTCTGTTTGAAAGGGAGGTTGTGACTTGTGGTTAGGGGTGGAAGTTTGGTTTGCGGGTTGCAGGTAACCCACAAACCGCACACTTTGTGGATATCCATACCCACAATTTGTGGATAGTGGGTTGGGTGTGGGTAGCAAAATATTGATTTTTATGGTTAGTGGTTAACCACTACCCACAATGGTTTACCCACAAAATCCACACTAACCACATTAGTTATATTAGTTTGTGAAACTTGGAAAACTAAGAATTATGGTAGCTACTAAAATCAAACACGTAATTATTCTATAAAACAAAACAAGTCAATACGCATTGTTCGTGTTATATACTTTTATCAAATAAGCATTGTTCGTGTGTTATATGTTTATTTTATAACAAAACAAATTCTATAGATATAGTCAGATAAATTAAGCGATTTGTTAGAAGAGGTGAATAATCGATACCCAAACTCGTCTCAATTTCTACACTAACTCACGAACAACACAACATGCAACTAGCTACCAACAATACAAAACTATATCGAGAGTGGAGAATAATCGATTCATTAAAAGCGGGTGCCTCCACTTATCAAACCACTTTTGTGTTTTATTGTTGTTGCCAGCGGCGGAGCCATGACAAGCAACGATGTTTGTCTGGTAACAGGTCACTCCATCTCTCCGTTATCTTTGAATCTCTTTCCAAATCCATCTCTTATGAGTTTACAATAACTAACCTCTTATATTCGAGATTTATAATTTATTTTGCACTTTATTAACTTCTTTTATGTGTGTTTTTGTTTTTGTGTGAGAAAAAAACACAACTTCACAAATTAATTACCATATTATTTTATTTAATGATGAAATTTTTGTGGGTATCCATAACCAACTCATACCAACCCGCAGCGGATAGTTGTTAACCAATACCCACCGCGGGACGGGTTGTGGGTAGCATAATTCTATATTTGTGAGTGTGGTTACCCGCAAAATGTGGGGCGGGTAACCACACCTAGGGATGGCAATTGGTCGGGTTGGGTCGGGTTTTGCCAAACCCAAACCAAAACCCATGGGTTTATTCGTGAAAAAAAAACCCGGGGTAAAACCCACTGGGTTTGAAAAACTCAAACCCAACCCGCTGGGTATCCACGGGTTCATGGGTACCCATGGGTTTTTGTCGTAAAAAATTTACAATAACAAGTTCCTATCAAAATAAAAGTCATATATCAATCTCTCAATACAAATTATCCATATATAAAACACCATTCGAGAACATTCAAGCAAATCACAAATTAACCATACAAATTGTTCAACACTAATCTAGAAAACTCAAGAAAATTGAAGCAAATCACAAATTATCCATAAACAACATGATTAATTGAAAGCGTTTTCCTCCTTGTCAATTAAGCTTCTCCACTCTAGACTCGATAATATCAACTTCATTCCACACAATTAGAAAGAAAAAATTAGACATGTCTCCACAAATATAAAGAAGATTAGTTGTTTAAATATACCGGAAAAATTAATTATATGAGTGTGGGCGGGTACCCATGAGGCAGGTTTACCTAAACCCAAATCCAACCCGGTGAATTGTGAACGGGTTTAAACCCAAACCCGGCCCAAAACCCGTCAACACGAATTTTACCCGCGTTGACCCGGTTGGATCGGTGGGTACCCGTGAGTTTGGGTTTTGTTGTCATCCCTAACCACACCCATCCCAATTTCCACCCCTACTTGTGGTTGGAGAGAAGGAGCATGGGAGCGGAGGCTAACGAAGCGCGTGGATGGGGAAAGGAAACCATGTAATGTAAGATCAGATGAACTCATCGCATCCCCCAAGTGGGCGGAGAGAATGAGACGACGACGCTCTGTTTCTGTTGAATCTTCTAGCCGTCCGTTTGCCCTCTCTCTTTCTCTGCTCTGCTCTGTTTCCTCCTTGTTTTTATGTTTTTTTTCCAAAATCGTGGGATACAAAAAACTGCGGAAGAAAAAGAAAAAGAAGAAAGGAAAAAACAGTCTCTTTCAGCAGAACCCAACAGCACTACAGAGGAAGAGCAGCCAGTCATGGCGGATGACAACAATGGCCACTTTTGGATTCTTGCCCGAATTTTAATTACGTAGTACACCAGTACTACTCCTCCTCCTGACGTAAATTAGTAATCAACTTCTTCCTTTCTCCTTTTTCTCTTTCTGGGTTAATTAGTTGCTTAATTAATTCCTGAAAGTTGCTGATGAAATTATCCGAAACCTAACCAATAATGGTAGTTTAATGTTGAGATTCAAAGCCCCAAAGCAGCAGCAGCAGCAACCCCCATCTCTCTCATCTTCGTGACCTTCTCTCTGTGTCTGCTGCCACGAGAGATCTCTCATCTCCTACATCTGATAAGAAGGTATGAATGAAGCCACCAGCTCTAACTTTTTTTGTTCCAGTTTGTTTTCTACTTTCATTCATGGCATCGGTGTGACTTACCTACCTGGTTCTCTCTCTGTCTCTCTCTCTCTCCGCCTCTGTCAGTCTTATCCGTCTCTGTTCAACTTCACTTCACTACCCTTTTGAGTTTTGACCCACTCTGTCTCTCCTCTATGTGGAATCAATTCTTCTACTCTCTGCTGGCATATCAATAGTATATATTCCTATGGCGTTTTTTGGGGCACGTTTGTTTTTACTTTATTGCGATGTTTGAGGCTGTTGACTGGGGGTGGGATCTTTTTGGAAAAAAGAAAGAACTCAAAGGGTGGAGTTTTGAATTCCTGCAGTCTTTTCTGTTTTAAAACAAAGGGTGCGGTTTCGGTTTCAAATCTCTGCAACCATTATGTTGATGGAAGTCTATTTCCCAACTAGATTCGGATTGAGAGGTGAAAGATGCAAAATGGCAAGTTTGGTTTGGAACACCATACCTGATTTCATGTTGGTAAAGGTTGGGGGGGGGGGGGGGGGGGGGAATTGTTTGCTGTCTCTGCAGTAATGGTTACAGTGGAATAGCTTCCTCTCCTCTCTCTTTTTTTTCCCCTCCTCATACCCATGTTCTCTGCACAGAAACAGAAGGGAAACTGAGGATTTGAATAGTATCATGCTGCTGTCCCCTCTAAAATGGGGGTTGATGACAGATTTAGCAGTTACACATGCATCCTGGACTTTGGAACTATTATGGTGTGTTCAATTTAGAAGTTAGAAATGCTCACTTTCGATGATATGTTCTAAAAGAGTTCCCTCACTGTTCATGGGGGGATCATAAGTATGTGTTACTGACACAAACCAATTGAGTAATTCCCAAGCAATGGATCTGTTATCTACAAGATATGCTTGCTAGACTTGGAAAGGAGGGATCAATTTGTGTGTGTACCCATATGTTGCTGAAAAATTCAGTAACTCGTTAGCCGAATTTTCCTTATTTTTCAAATTTGATTAACAAACTTCTTCTTTTGCTTACAGGTTACTGGAAACCAATTTGTTCACTACTTATTTAGGTCCCTATCCGGTTATAGATGCTTCTATGCTACCTCAATGGAGCGGATTTTATGCATATACTCAAGCTGTTGAAGCTTCATTATAATTGCAGGGATGTAAACCGTCGGTACTTGTCATAAAGGGCAATGAACAGCAGATCTATGGTTTAACAGTGGGGTTCGATTTGTGGAGAGATTTGAAGGAGTACAACTGTGGACGTAGAGTTATCCTCGGCTTCCAAGGATTGTGTGTTGATGGCAATGCTGTAGAGTTTCTTTCTTTCAGTTGAAATATTTGCAACATCCAAGTTCACTCAAGTCAGTTCACATACAGCAGGCCTTTGCCTGATAACTTTTGTTGGAAAAGAAGATTCTTCTTTCTCTGTGGTGGATTATCTCTCGACATACCATTATGAAGAGCCACGCTGTTGTATCTCTGATGAAGACTGATTCTCCTGGAGGTGTCACAGGTCCATTTTGCACACCGCTCTCTCCCATTCACAACTTTTTTGGTGCTGAATCTGATGGCAATAGTGCACTGACAAATGAATGCTCATCCTCTCGTTCATCCCCTTTCATACGAACAGACTCCCTCAACTCTCACAATGGCTTGCGTTTATCAACTGCAGAACCTGAAACATATAACATAAAATCTGGACCAGATAGCCCTCTTTCTTTTGGTTCTCAGGTCCACCATTCTAAGAGCACATTTCAGCGCTCCTCTATGTTCTGCACCAGTTTGTACTCATCATCGACTTCTTCTTTGAGCTCCGAGGCAGGCCGACAGTTGGGGAAGCTTCCTTTTCTCCCACTCCCTCCTGCTTGCAGCCTATCAACTTCAGGTGTTGCTTCAACAAAATCTCCACCGCTTTTCAGCGAGGATGTGAGCAACACATATGATGAGGATCAATCTGATGCATTCATGAAGGATTTTCTTAACTTAGCGGGAGACACTTCTGAAGGCAGCTTTCATGGTGTGAGTTGTGCAAGTGGTGCTTCGGAGTTTACAGAGCAGTTGGAGTTACAGTTTTTGTCTGATGAACTTGACATTGCTATCACGGACCATGGTGAAAATCCAAGAGTCGATGTAAGTACATTGTGCTTCTTTTGTGACTTATCTTTTATTTTCTCTGTTTTCACTTTGAACTTAAGAAGGCGTGAAGTCTTAAACCAGGACCACCCACTTGTGCATTCTGCTCATTTTGTGGTTTGACAATTAGAGTTGTTGAGGGTTGTGGTGTGGGAGTGGAGATGGGTGACTTAGGATTACATGAGCACACAGCTAGGTGAGCTACTACACGATCATCTGCTAAAAAGTTCCTTTCACTGGATATTACTGTTATGCAGGATATATATGAAACACCTGAAACCTTCTCAAAACCAGTCACAGTTACGACGTCCAATCAAAACCTTACCTCTGCTGGGCCACCAGTTGATGTGCTTTCTGGTCAACCCTCTCCCATGGGCGCTTCTGCTCACAAACCAAGAATGAGGTGGACACCTGAGCTGCATGAAAGCTTTCTAGCAGCTGTGAACAAGCTTGATGGAGCTGACAGTAAGTTATCCATGTTGCCTATTCTATTAGTCAGTTTTGTGTTCGCTTCCTATTCGTAACAACAACGGTATCAAGAAAGCTTTTATTTCTGAATATATTTTTATATTCTGGACCGTTTGAGGCTCAAATGTCTGTTTTGGATTGTAGAGGCTACGCCGAAGGGTGTATTAAAGCTAATGAATGTGAGCGGTTTAACCATTTATCATGTGAAAAGCCACTTACAGGTACTTACTCAAATTAAGATCTTGCCATGCATTTTCATTTTGGTCTAATTGTTGGATTGCAAAGCATTTAGGTTTCTGTCTCAGGAAGTTTCTGTCTTGATTGATGTTTATGCAGAAATATCGCCTCGCCAAGTATTTGCCCGAGAAAAAAGAAGGTACTTAACCCATTCGGACTCGACTGATGCTTGGTAGTGCACTTTTCTTTCATTTATGCATCTCATTTGTTGCAGTCATCTGTGTTTCAATACCGCTCAACCAAAGTTCTGCCCTAACTGGTATTAGCTAATAGATTTGCATTTCCTGCGTCGTTGATCATTCATTTGGTGTCCTTTCCTAACTCTAAACTTCTTTCTCCTGGCTGGTATCCTTTTCGGTCTGACCCAATGAAAACAATGGAATCAAATATATAGCAACACGAGGTATTAATGGTGGATTCAAGAGATTAGTAGGACTGTAATCAGCAGTAGTTAGAGGCAGTTACTAAATATTTGGAATGTATCAAATTAGTAACTACAAGATGATATGTAGTAGTGGTAATTCTGAAGTTCCAAGAGAATCAGGCTCTGCATTACTTTTAATCACCGAGTTGTATAATCTTAAGATATCACGCTTTCATCAATGATGCTACAAGGGGGATGAGCCATTGTGTGGCATCTCTTTTAGGAGTAACTCTTAAAAGTGTTTCTCTTCCGTGAACCTTGTCAAGGCATTTTTGTGTGGGGGAGGATATAAAAACTCTGTTGATGCTGCTTTAGTTAATCCTTTTTTGCATTGATTGATCACCTCCAGTGGCACATGTTTTACGGGCGCCATTTTCAGTACATGTACAGGAACTGGAACAGCAGTCTCGTGGCTTTTGTGATTGAACTATTTGTTTCCTTCGTTTGTGCATGATTCTCTTGTTAGATTTATTGCAGATTGATCCTCCTGTATCTGAGATTAGGATTCCCTTGTTCATGTCTGCAGAAAAGAAGCCTTCCAGCCTTGAAGACAAGAAACCAGCTTTAGGAAGCCTTGAGTTTGATGGGCGGCGAAAGGGGTGATTATCTTCTCTTTTTGATAAGAAGAGATTGGAGGAGAAGAATACTGAGAGAAATATTCCACCTAGTTGGTTTTTCATCTGTACTTATGTTCTGTTCCTTTCCATTTCCCTCAATAACAGGAGCCTTCAAATTTCTGAGGCTTTGCGCATGCAAATTGAAGTTCAGAAGCAGCTGCACGAACAGCTAGAGGTATGAAGTTTCACTCACATCACTTGCTAAACGAAAAAAGCACTAGTTGCTGACGACAGCTTGAATGATGATCCATCGAAAGCTTAAACCTTTCTTCAGAAGTCAGTTATTTTTTTAGCAGAACCTACTCATTAACATAACAATCAGTATATTGGATATAATGGGAAACCATCTGTATTATTGGTCTTCTTGTGTGAAGTAAGAATGAAGAATTGGATCTCTGCATGTTCTGCAACTTCTAAGTTGTATGTGAACCTTGATGAAGACTTTTCTCCTTTTTTTTGTTCTTGACGTAGGTACAAAGATCCCTTCAGCTACGTATCGAGGAACACGCAAGATACCTGGAAAAGATCTTGGAGGAGCAGTACAAAGCTGGGAATGCATTACTGTCTCCAAAAACCCTGTCAGCAGCATCACTTACCACTGATGTTCCATCTCAAGAGTCCGAGGGACTGCTGCAACCGACTTCTTCCTCTGCTGACGCACCACAACCACAATCTGGCGACGAGTCCAAAGCTGATTCAACAGCAGCATCGTCGCCTCCTCCATCAGCAAAGCTCCAAGGCCCCAGCGGTGGTGAAGAAGAGATGGTTGAGGGCCGTAAACAAGAGTGCAAGAAAAGAAGTCGCGTGGAAGGGGAAGAAGAAGTGGCTGCTGAGGTTGCAACTCCATTGTAACCAATGTTTATCATCCACTGGTTAGCTATTCTGAAAAGAGAAGTTTAGTAGGTAATCTATGAAGCTACTTTGCACTGTCCATTGTATTGGATTGTTTGTATGTATGCCAATGCCATGTTGTTGTATGCTGTTATCTAGGATTCTTTGGATGTATCTTTGGGTTTTGGGGAGAGGGTTTCTTCCTTGTAAGTAGTAGAAGTTTGGATTGAGATTTTGCTTCACTTTCTTTTCTTTTCCTCGCAGTTTTTCTTTTGGCAGTTTGAACTGAAAGAGAAACTGGACATGCCCTTTTAATTGTACAAACTTTATGTATGAATGCCATATATGCTTGTTTAGCCCAAGAACACCTCTCTCAAGTGTGGAGATATTGTGCTCAATTGGAACTGACTATACCCCAAGATACATTAAACGAAAACCTGAGCACATGCTTGCTCCGCAACCGCCTCAAAATGTCATTCATAGCAGTTCAAAATGTACAAGTAGCATTACTCAAACATAAAGGTACTCATGACCATCATGATTTGCAAGAGTGGATGTGCATTACTGCATACGGCAGTCGCCATTGCTTCTCTGCACAAGATTGCGAAACCGTACCGGAGGTTATATCAAAATTAAGTGCCAGGGTATTTTGTACTGAAACGTGATTTAACTACGTCAAGAGCATCATATAAATCTCGTTTTCAGAACCAGACTGGATTTGTTGGCCGGCCAGTAGAACCGTCGAACCGATTGTGATAACGGGCCGGTTCGTTTGTTTGGACGGTTGACAATGAACCCTATAATTGATAACCGTTGTCGTCGTTCACTGCCAACACTTTCCTTTACATGTTGTCCCGCTCAGCCACCGGTCATACCGGCAATCACACAACTCGTACCATATTCTTCATTGTTGCGCCATCCATTTAGTATTGTATTTTTTTTTTCTTCTAATCTCCTATTTATGCACTTCCACTAATAAATTTTATTTCCGCCTATGATACCCAGACTTTTAGTTTACCCTTTACAACAAATATCTCACAAAAAAAAAAAAAAAACCCACATCTCACAACATTACTTGAGAAGTTTTCACATGCATTATACAATTCAGCAGTTAACCGATAATTCAATAACGACGATTAATCATTAAACCGCAAAATCTTTATTAATTTTTCGATTCGACATCAAGCCTTAAGCTCCTTTTTTCTCTCCAATGAATCTCCATTGAAACCCTACCCCTTTTATGCTTCAATCTCACTCTGTTTACTATTCTTGGCACTTCTTTCCCCCAATCTTTCCCTTCTCCCCTCTCCCTCCCTCTCCGCTCATGGATTCCTCCCCTAATACAATCATACAAAACACAAAAGGGGAGAAATTTTTTTGGAAAACCCAACAAAAAAAATAAATAAACAGAAAATAAAAAGAAACAAAATCTTCAATCTTCATCTCGAAACAACGCCAGGTAAGGTGATAAACACTTCATTCATCATCTTCATCTGGCCCTGGTGCGCTTCATTCCCGTCGTCGTCTGGCCAATGGCCGCGCACGTAGCTGGGCCTGCGCGCGCGATCAAAACGACGTCGTTGCTGTTGTTATCATTATTATTATCATCCTTTTTAGCGACGGTTTCCTCCGGCTCGCTGCAATCCGACGCGCTCCTCCGATTCAAAGCCGGCCTCGGGAACAACGCCGCCCTGCTGACGTGGGACCCGGCCGTCGACCCCTGCAACGGCGACCGGTCAAACTGGGCCGGCGTCCTCTGCACCGACGGCCTCGTGTGGGGCCTGCAGCTCGAGCACATGCAGCTCGCCGGCGTCATCGACGTCGACGCCCTCGCCGCAATCAACAACATCCGGACGCTGAGCCTGATGGACAACCGGCTCGCCGGGCCCCTGCCGGAGGTGAAGAAGCTGGGGAAGCTCAAGACGCTGTTTCTGTCGAACAATTATTTCTCCGGCGAGATTCCGGCGGGGGCGTTCGACGGGATGGGGTCGCTGAAGACGATGAATCTGGCGAACAATGATTTCACCGGGAGGATTCCGATCTCGATCACGGTGCTGCCGAAGCTGAATATGGTGAGGCTGGACGGGAATCAGTTCTCCGGCAGGATTCCGGAGTTCCGGCAGAATTTGCTGCGGGCGGTGAATTTGGCGAATAATGAATTGGAAGGTCCGATTCCGAAGAGCCTCAGCCACATGAATCCCAACTCCTTCTCAGGTAAGTACATATGGAAAAAAAATATGATTATATTCATAGGATCTGTCTGGCCTGGGTTACGGTACAAAACGCAGCTCTGACTGCAGAATTTGCGTCGAAATTATCTCTTCGTATATGAATCGTACCGTTCTCGTGATACGATGGTATGATTTGTATGAGGAAGCACGGAATTTTGTAAGTTTTTGCAGTTTCTGAGTTTGTATCTCACATCATTTTCTCATAAGAACCCTAATTCAATTCGAAATTTCGAATTGATAACTATGTACATACGAAAACTTTTTTTTGTAATTACTGAACTTTGGGACGAAAAACGAGTTTTATGTTCCCTCAACCTCACCAAAACACATCAACACCGGTGTTAGAGATCATAATCGTACTTGATTATATGAACGAATGGATTAAACGGTAAGCGTTACAAAGTTTTTAAGATTAAGTTAGTCAACATAGAAAGATTAGGTATGGATTTGTAATAAACCTGATGAAGATCATAATCATACTTGATTATACGAACGAATGGATTAAACGGTAAGCGTTACAAAGTTTTTAAGATTAAGTTAGTCAAGATAGAAAGATTCGGTATGGATTTGTAATAAACCTAATCAGGTTGTAAGGGGAGTAACCGACTTTTCCTCTCTGTCCCTATCCTTTCTTACTGACTGTTGGGAACCCATAAGCTCGAGTATGAAGGGGAAACCACAAACTGTAAATAGTATGATTTGTCGTCATAATTAAGAAGCATATTCAGTTTTTCTCCTCAATCGTTCAATTTTTTCTTGGATTTTTTTTATTGTTTTGACAACTGGGGTTTTAACATGTTTTGGTCGAATCGGGTCGAATCAAATATTTGTTGATTCGAGTCCCTAGAGAGAGGGATCAGTTCTGAACTTTGTGATATGGAAATAGCTAAAGCTCTCTGACGCTATTGGGTTTTCCCCGGTTATAGGTGTTCTTTTAACTTGTGGTGTGATTGATCATAATTGTGGTATGCTTCACATGACTTGTGGTATGCTTTGATAAACTTGTAGTTTGTTTTTTTTTTAAGACTTTTATCTATTTCAAGAAACTTGTAGTGTATTTTAATGTACTTGCAATATGTTTTTCCTTCCCCATCCCCTTCATATTCTACATTGCTTTCATGAAAAGTTCACATACAAATTACAATTTAGTAACCTAACTTAAGAAATCTTAAAATTTTGTCCCTAAAATTAATTGTTGACATATAAGCTCGAAAAATGTTGATGAAAATTTACATTTTGTTACCTAATTTTTTACTCTCATGCATTTTAATACTAAACTTTTTAATAGGTCAACTCCTTAGGAAACTTCTGATATGTTTTAATAAAATTGTGGAGTGCAGAGTTATGGTCTACTTTAGGTGCTTGTAATCTATTTTAAGAATATGTTGTGCATGCTCTTGATGCATTCTTTTCACACAGGAATTTTTCTGAATAATTAATTTCAGGCAACAAAGGTCTGTGCGGTGCCCCATTACACCCATGCTCCGCCCCTCCGCCGCCACCTCAGCCGCCGCCGCCGTTCTTCTTCCTCCCTGCTGCCGAGGCCAGGCTCACGAACCTGACGCTGGAGATCATCATCATCCTCCTCGTCCTCGTCATCATCCTCATCGCGACCATCCTGTGCCTCCTCCTCCGCCACCGGCGCAAGCACGCCGCCAGCCGCCAGCTGGCGCGGGACTCCTTCACCAGCGGGAAAGTCATCCTGACGTCGGCCCCCGCCGTGCGGGCCGTGCAGCGCGAGGAGGCCACCCACGTCACCAACGCCTCCGTGGCGGCGGGGGCCCACGCGCAGGCGCGGAGGGTCGACCAGGCGAACCGGCTGCTGTTCCTGAGGGACGACGTGGAGAGGTTCGATTTGCAGGATTTGTTGAGGGCGTCGGCGGAGGTGCTGGGGAGCGGGACGTTCGGCGCGTCGTACAAGGCCGGAGTGGTCGGGCAGGCGATGGTGGTGAAGAGGTACCGGCACATGAACAACGTCGGGAGGGAGGAGTTCCACGAGCACATGAGGATGCTCGGGAAGCTGAAGCACCCTAACTTGCTGCCGTTGGAGGCTTACTATTACAGGAAGGAGGAGAAGCTTTTGGTCTCCAAGTTTGTTGACAAGGGAAGCCTGGCTAGCCACCTTCACGGTGTGTATGACAATTAACTTTAATTCTTTTCCTTTCACACAAAACTTCGTATAAGCTTTCTCCCAACGATTCGAGTTATTTTGGATTAGTTAATTTATGACGCGCGTGGTGGTATCGGAGTTATTATAAACCAACCGGTAGGCCAATAACGCGCGAGTTGTTGGAAGAGGTTCGTGTATGGATCTTAACCACTTTCTTACACTGAGACCAGCTGGAATGGTTAAAATCTATATAAGGATTTCTTTCTAACAATTTGAATTATTGGGATCGGTTGGTTCATGATCATGATATCTGAGTCGTTATAAACCAGCTAGCTCCAATAACTCGAGTCGTTGGAAGAGATTCGTTTATGGGTTTTAACCAACTTTTTTATAAGGGTGACATAAACTTATTTTATAGTTAGGTGTTACTGAATATATTTGAACCCGGACCTCCAAGTTCAAGACCACTAGGTAGAGGTGGGCATACGGTTCGGTAAAACCGAACCGAATCAAATATAATCGAACCGAAACCGAATTAATGTTATTCGGTTCGGAATTCGGAAGAGAAAATGACATATTTCGGAAACCAGGGTCCTTTCGACCGAACCGAATTTCCGAACAAAAAAACCGAATTATTATAATTGCAAGCTCCAAATGGTGGATTTTTATGTTTCTACTTATTATGAGACTTAAATATTTGAATCATGTTAGTGTTTTATAACTTATGTGTTGAAATGTTTGATTTTATAATTGATGATGCATATTTATTGTTTACATTAGGGGTGAAAAATTATTTAAAATAGAGAAGATACAAGCTAACCTCACAAGTTCGGTTTTGTATGAAAAATCGAACTGGACCGAATTATAAGTCGGTTTGAACTGACCGAACCGAATTATAATTCGATTCGAATTCGGTTTGAGGTTTGATAGAATTCGGGAACCCGGTAAAATGCCCACCCCTACCACTAGGCCAAGCCCTTGTTCGCAATTTTAACTACTTTATTACATGGAGACCAATTGGTTTATGCATGATATCATAGATGATTTATCCTTCATGTCGCGTGCCCAAATCCCGACGACCCCCTATATTAACCGTTGTCTAAAAGTACATGGTACGGGGTCTGTGCAGCATTTGAATGGACGTGTAAGGAAGTGGGTAAAATCTTTATGTGGATATCTTCCAACAACTCGAGTTATTAGGACCAGCTGGTTGATTGACATCTTGTCAAGAACCAATAACTCGAGTTGTTGAGAGAGGTTCAATAATGAATCTTATATACCACATATACTAACACACGTCCAACGAAAGTCACTCGGATGGGGTTGAAGTTTGTACATATATTATAATGCATTGTGCTTAACAAATGAGATCTTCATAATTCGAACAAAAGACATCTTGGTCACAGAAAGACTCTGATATCATATTAAAAACCAGTTTGATCCAATAACTATTTTTTTTTTTTTGGGAAATATAACACACACTAACAATCGTGAGTAACTAGTAGATTATCTAATGTTTATTTTCATGTAGGGAACCACTCGTCGGAGCAAGGGCTAGATTGGCCAACACGAGTAAAGATCATCAGAGGGACAGCAAAGGGCTTGGCATACCTCCACGACGAAATCCCGCTCACCGTCCCACACGCCCACCTGAAATCCTCCAACGTCCTCCTCGACGAATCCTTCGAGCCCATGCTCACCGACTACGCCCTCCGGCCGGTGATCAACTCCGACCACGCCCACAAGCTCATGATCGCCTACAAGTCCCCGGAGTACGCCCAGCACGGCAAGACGTCGAACAAGACCGACGTGTGGAGCCTCGGGATCCTGATGCTGGAGATCCTAACGGGGAAGTTCCCGGAGAACTACCTAACGTCGGGGTACGACAGTGGCTCGGACCTCGGGACGTGGGTGAACAACATGGTGAAGGAGAAGAGGATGGGTGAGGTCTTCGAGAAGGACATGGCCGGGACGACGAAAGACAGCAAGAGCCAGATGATCCACTTGCTGAAGCTCGCGTTGAGCTGCTGTGAGGAGGATTTGGAGATTAGGGTCGACGTCAGGGAGGCGGTCGAGAAGATTGAGCAGTTTATGGATGATGTATGATGGCGCATTTGAAAAGAGAAAGGTTAAATTTTTTGTACGTGTTTGTACATAGTGCGTGACGTCGATAGAAAAGTACTAATGGGCAATGTTTGTATAGGAAGGGGGGAGATGATTGTGTTGATTGGTTTTGGGGGATAAGAAAGATGGTGGTGGGGGGGATTTAGTCAGTAGAAAATTGGTTTTTTTTTTGTTTTTGTTGGGGATTTCGGACTTTGGAACAAGGTATATTGTATCGGTGGTCTGACAGGGGAAAAACTTCCTATTGGGGGGACTAAACGGGCATGCGGGGGATTTTACTCGATACAAAATAGTTGAAGCACAGTTTCAGCACAAGTATCATACTGGTGCTTATTTCTAGTACAATCTCTGCTGGTACGGTTTTACGATCCTTGCTTGGGAAGGTGTTTTAGAAGGAGGGCAACTTTTTTAGTTAGTGTATCATATCTTAAACTCTATCTCTATGTACATATCTTGTATCTTATATCCATGGAGAAATTGTTGTCCATATGTATCCTTAATGTTTATTGATATTTTTTTAATTTGAGTGAAATTTTGTGGAATTGTTCACTACCATGTTCCGATCTCGAGCATAAGGATGAAATTTACTAAGGTTTACACATCATTTTTACCCGTTAAACAAATGATTATTTCTTTCTATCCACAAATACCAGAGGAAAAGCACTGAGATTTCCATCAGTTTTCCGGTCAGCCTTCTCAATCACATCTCCTGAATCCAATCTGCTGCACTCGTGTCTTCCTCCACTTCAAACCACTCTTTGAGCGTGGATAGGCGTCATATCCTGCACGCTGCTTCATAGTTGAAAATCATTGTCACAAGGTATGCTGAAGGAGAAGGTAACATTCAGTTGGTGGTGAAACATGAGAACTTAACGTTTAGGCCTCGAGAAGTTGAGGTCTTCTTTCGGTTAAAATTGGTTGTGGAGGAAATAACTTGAGAGTAAGATTTGAGAAATGATATAAAAAAATTCAGTATTTGTTACCGGAATATTTTTTTTAATAGAAAGCCATGTTTATATTATAAATTAAACTCAACGTTTTGGGCTTTGTCAGCCGCTAACAGGCTCCTGATGGAGCTGGGTGGACTTTCAGTCCAAATACAAAGTTGGTTCCAGTATGGAGCAGAATGGGCCAAAAAATGGGCAACCGAATTAGAGGTTCTCGGCACAAAAGCCCACTCTACTCTTCTGCCAGACATCGTCGCGTTGACCTCGGCCAAATCCCTGATCTCTTTGCACCACATACCCAGCTCAGTTCTATCTTCTTCTTCTTCCTTATCCATCATCTTCACCAAATTGAGACAGTCAGACTTCACTATCAAAGGGCTCCAGCATCTTCGATTCGCCTCTCTCAACCCAGCCAATATTGTCTTTGCCTCCGCCTCAATCGGTCTGCAATTCCCTTCTTCTTTCCCTGCAACAGATCCCAAGAAGTCCCCTTCCCAGTTCCTGAAGACACAACCGACCCTGATTTCAGAAGGTTTCAGGAGCCCAGCATCACTGTTCATCTTGAAGATTTCTTCTGGCGGTCTCCTCCAACCGCGATCCTCAGCAATTTGTCTTCCCCTTTGAACAATGGGACCTTGGGCTTGAATGTAATCCGCTAACCAGTCAAGGGCCTTTGGTATGATCTCCTCCTCTTCCATTTTCTTGTTATTAAACATATGATTGCATCTTTCCTTCCAAATGAACCAAAGCATTGCACAAAAATTTTGTAGATTATCCTCCGGTTGCAAATCAAAAACCTTGAGAAACCAGTCATTTCCGGAAAGTCCTTCTCCTTGGGTAAAGATGTCAGTTTGATCACGAGTTTGCCAGAGCCTCCTAGTCCACTCACAGTCTCGCAAACAATGGAGTTGAGTTTCAGGCAAACAACAGAATGGGCAGTCCGATGAGGCATCCTCAATGCGCTTCTCAATGTTAGCTCTGACAGGTAAAATGTCTCTGCTGATCTTCCAAAGGAAAACTTTAACTTTTGGTTGAATTGGGAGGTTCCAGATCTTCTTCCAGTAGGATTTCATTCTTTGTGCATCTGGATTATTGCTTTCCAACCAAGGAAGCTTCTTCTGCCTAAGCTCCCTGGAAGCATATTTGACAATGTAGATTCCATTTTCCTTCCTCGACCATAGAACTGTATCCTCAGTAGGAGGATTTCTTAGGGGGATTCTCATGATATTAGATTGGACCTCACTAGAGAATAGGGATTGGATCTTATGAAGATCCCACCAACCGCTATCTCTGTCAATAAGGGAGCTCACCTTCATAGTTGGCTCAGAGTTGTCAATCTGATCATTTATAGTAAATTGTCTGATATTCGGGATCCACCAATCCTCCCACACCCTGATATTGTTTTCATCTCCCACCCTCCATCGGAAACCATCCACGATTTCATCTTTAGCTTTTACAAGGCTCCTCCATATGAAACTAGGATTGTTGCCGAGCTTAGCATTTAAAATCTCAGTTCTAGGGAAATACCTCGCCTTGAGAACCTTCGCCATTATGGAATTTGGACGATTTAAAATGTTCCAAATCTGTTTCCCCAACATTGTTGTATTAACCGTTCTTAGGTCCTTGAACCCCAATCCACCCGCTTCCTTAGGCAAACATAGTTCCTCCCAGTTAATCCAATGAACTCTTCTCTCCTCATGCTTTTGTCCCCACCAGAATCTGGCAATCAAGCTTTGAATTTCGTGAAGGATTCCTTCAGGTATTTGAAAAACCATCATTGGATAGATGAGTTGTGATTGGGCGACAGCTTTGATCAGAATTTCCTTCCCTGCAGCCGAGAGAGTAAGGCTCTTCTAGTCCTTGAGTCGCTTTCTAACTCTTTCTTTCAGTTCTTCAAAAACTTCTCTTTTAGATATCCCAATAACAGTAGGCAGGCCAAGATATTTGTTATGTTTGTCAACTGTCTTGATTCCCAGAGTCCCACTGATTTCCAGTTTTCTGCTCCATCTCACATTCCTGCTAAAAGACACCTCTGATTTTGAAAGGTTAATACTCTGGCCAGACTCATTCTCATAGATCCTCAGTACCCTTTTCAACTCCTCACAGTTGTCAATAGTAGCTCTCCCAAAGACCAGGCTGTCATCAGCAAAGAGTAGATGTGAAATGGTGGGAGCCCTATGACAAATCCTGATTCCTTGAATCTTCTTTTCTTTCTCAGCCTTCTTCAAGAGGGTTGAGAATCCTTCAGCACAAATAAGAAAAATGTAGGGACAGAGGGTCACCTTGCCTGAGGCCCCTTGTAGGCTTAAACTCTTTTGATCGATGACCATTAACCAACACAGAGTAGGAAACACTTCTCACACACATCATAACCAGATTGATCCAGTTCTCCATAAAACCAAACTTTCGAAGCACTTTCTCCAAGAAATCCCAATCAACCCTGTCATAAGCCTTAGTCATATCCAACTTTGCAGCAAAGAATCTCTTCTTTCCTTTAGTCTTTCTCTTCAAGTCCTGAAAACATTCAAAGGCAGTGATAATATTGTCAGTGATAAATCTGTCTTTAATGAAAGCACTCTATTCCTCAGAGATTATATCATTGAGGAACCTTTTGAGACTATTTTCCAGAACCTTTGACACAATCTTATAGATGACCCTGCATAGACTTACAGGTCTGAAATCCTTGGCCATAGTAGGTTTTTTCACCTTAGGAATAAGCACTATCAGAGTATGATTAACTTCAGGGGGAATGAATCCTTCATTGAGGTATTTGAGCACAGCTGTTGTAACATGACCCCCAATAGCCTCCCAATTCTGTTGATAGAAACCTGCAGGAAAGCCATTCGAGCCAGGGGCTTTTGTAGGGCTCATCTGCTTGAGGGCATTATAGACTTCTTCTTCTCTGAAGGGGGCAGACAGCTCCTCGTTCATATTGTCTGAAACTCGTTTCTCTGTTGCCTCAGCTACAAAATTTGAAACAAAGTTAGGCTTCCTCGTGTACACATTGTTGTAGTAATCAAATAAATAACTTGACACTTCCTTTTGACCTTTGTATCCCTTTCCCAGATCATCAGTGATTTCATTAATGGTGTTTCGTTTCCTTCTCATAGTAGCTTTTGTATGGAAAAAGTTTGTGTTCTTGTCCCCCCCTTTGAGCCAGTCTGCCCTGGATCTCTGTTTCCATTTCAACTCGACTTTGTGTATGAGATCCGTTCTTTCAGCCTCCAAACTCCTTCTCTTTTGTATTTGTTGCTCTGACTTTGGATAGTACTTGATTCTCCTCAGCTCTTGGTCAATCTTCTCAATTCTCTTATGTAAATTCCCAAACTTATCCTTACTCCATCTCTGAAGCTCTCTTTTACATTCACCCATAATGTCCAGAATATTGCCATTTTCATTAGAGTTACAAGCTTTGGAGATGACTTCCTTGCTTTCAGCATCCTTTAGCCAGTAGGACTCCACCCTGAATTGCCAGCCCCATTTAATTTCTTATTCTTCTCTATCCTGCGTGATCATAAGGATTGGGCAGTGGTCTGATCCACATCTGTCAAGATGGATGACTTTGTGATTTGGGAACTGTAACTGCCAGTCTCAGTTGGCCAGACACCTGTTCCGTCTTTCTTCAACAAAATTGGAACCCCCTCGGCCATTATCCCAGGTAAAGGGATAACCCTCAAAGCCACAGTCCATAAGGCCACAGTACTCAAGTCTGTCACAAAACTTAATCACCATGTTCTCATTAATGAAACGCCCTCCTTCCTTCTCGTCCCCTGCCATGACTTGGTTAAAATCCCCCATACATAGCCATGGTAGATCAGAAACTCCCTTCAACCTACACAGTTGCTCCCAAGACAAATCTCTTTCCTTTCTATAAGGATTGCCATAGAATCCAGTAAACCTCCACTTTGGTCCTTCTTCCTCATAACTCACTGTTACATCATAGTAATTTATAGCATTGGACAGGTAGGATATCGTGATCCCCTCCCTCCAGAATAAGCACCCCCCTCCCCCCGCGCTTTAATTCCCTTATCTTCTCTGGCTGGAACACCCCACCCGTTTTTGTACCCAAGTTTCCACTTAACACTTCTCCATTCCATGCTTGACAGTCGCGTTTCCATTAGAAAGAGCACATCGGGTCTCTTTTTCCCACGAGCCTCTTCAATTCATCAATGCCGAGGTTTGGCCCAGACCTCGACAGTTGAAACTTATGAGCCTCATTGGGCTCGGCGACCTTGCTCACCGGCAAGTTCCGCCTCTTCGCCATCCAAAAGAAGCTTTGAGTTTTGTTTCATCTTCTTCCCACCACCTGGCAGGGGATCAATTTCCATGTCTATCACTTCATCCTCGTGTGGTCTTTTGCCACCCACTGGATCCTTTACTCTTTCCTGCTTTTCCACTTTCTTCCTTTCCACCCTTATCCATTTCTTACTTCCAATGACCTTTCCTTCTGTTTTGTGACTTGATGATTCTATCCTTGCTTCATTCTGCTCTTTTCTGCTCTCTTCGGTTATGATTGTAGTATATGGGTGGACTTTCTCCACACCTAGTTCCTGTTCTTCTCCTGTTTTGTTTACTTCTTCCTCACTCTCCTGGTGCCAAGGCAGGGATCCACATTTCCCTGCTTCCCATTTGTGTCTCATGGTGCTTCTTCATCATTAGCCCTTATAGCTTCAAGTTCCTTAGCCAGTTCCTTCGTGGTGATATCACCAGATTCTGTGTCCAGATTTAGAGTTGGCACTTCTTTTGTCTGCTCAGTTTTTTCCTTTTCAATATGCTTCACCATCTGTTCCGTTGTTTTATTTCGGTATTCTTTCACAACTTTGCCTGCTTTCATCTCAGTCCATAGGTTATCCATTCTTTTCTTCTCTTCCCTAGCCTGGAAGTCAACTCTCTTCAGTGGGGACTCTGCACGGAGCCATGATCCATATTCTTCTCTTGTTTCAACTTCCGGATCTTCCAGTTTTTTCGGGCATCCACCCTTCAAGTGTCCCAAGATGCCACAGTGATAACAATAGATTGGGAGCTTTTCATATGCTACCTTATACGAGGAGAGTCCTTGAGGGCCATCCAATTTCACAAGCCTTCTTAATGGTTTGCTAACATCGATAGTAACCCTGATTCATAAATAGTCACTGTCACGACCAGAATGGAGTTCATCCCATTTGACGAAAGACCCAAACATCCCCCTATCTTCGCAGCCATATTCTTGTTCCTCAGCTTCAATGGGATCTTGCGTATCCTGGTCCAGATATCTGTTCTGGAGAAATCGATGTCCTGTAACTCTAGATCTGGCGGTATTTCCTTAAAAACAATAAGTTGTTTCTCATAGTGCCATGGGCCTCCAAGGAGGACCCTATCACGGTCTTCGTAGCAGTAAAATTGAACTAGCATAATGCCTTCCTGCTTTATTCTGACGTCAAAGTCCTTTTTTAATCGCCAAACATCTTTCAGGATATTCTTCATAACCCTTGCAGACCCAATCCTTCCTGCTAAAATCTTCCCTGCCGCTCCAAGTTCCGTAATCACCTCCTCAATGCCTTTCTCTTCATCAGAATCCTCAATCTTGATGCTAGCTTCTTCTTCAGTCAGACTCACACTAGCTATTTTTTCAGTGATTTCAGATTCGGTGGCCATGATAGGGGAAGACCAACGGACACCCTGAAGCCAGGACCACCCAACGACAAACTACTACCCAAGCAAAGGACGAAGATGGAGATCAGAGTTAGAGATCGTGAAAAGAGAGGGAAAGAAAGAAGAAACAATCGCCCAGGACGGGAGAAGAAGGGATAGATTTGAAAACCACATAAGGCGGGAGATGAACAGTCACTTTGCCAGACAAAGGAAGGGGAGGCTCTCACGCGGGAGAGAATTTTTAAATTTCAAATCTTTGAGAAAGGGAAAGAGGGCGGGAGATGAACAGTCACTCTGCCGGAATATATTAAACTATGCAAGGCATGTAAAAAAAAAAGACGCATAATCCCTATCATATTTTTCATTAAAATGAGTTACTTGAGCTATCAAATTATGAATTAGATGTGTATTCTTTGACATTTTTTTTATAACTTATTCTTCGACAATTTAGTTTGAATAAATTTAGGGCTCGTTTGCGTCGTGGATTTGAAAAATGAAAGTTTTGGTATAACTTGGGTTTTGAAAAACCATGGATATATGAGGGTTTTAGGTTCATTATGGATTTGATAAACACAATTGTTTGTTTGATGGATTTCATGATGGATTTTGTTAATTAAATTTGTATGTATGAAGTATAATTTACCTTTATTGCCCTCAATGATATAAGAAGAGAAAGCAAATGTGAAGGGTAGGTTGGTAATAAATGATGGACTTCAAAATCCATAATCAATTCCCATCTAAATAGGTGGAACTTTCAAGTCCATGAGATTCACCAATTTGATATCTTAAAGTTTATGGGACCCACGAATTTGTTTCACCCAAATGCATGATACAAACAATGAATTTTGGACAAAATCCACGATTAATTCAAATCCTTCAAACAAACAAGTCCTAATGTGATTGAAGCAATCTCATTTCATCTGTCATCACGCTGCCGTATAGCAGAAAAGTTTGGACGGAGGAGCGGCTGCGGCCCCCAATAATCTCCTCTCAACTTAGAACGCGCAATCGTCTTTCCCCCACCAAAGCCACCGCCGGGACGCGGAAGCCGGAGATACTAGTATTCGATACCAATCACGCGGCCAGGATTTCTCATCTCCGAAATAATGACGGACTACGAAGGAGGAAGGTACGAAGCCGACGATTTTAACGACAATATCAACAGCAACGGCGGCGATGGCGATGGCGACTACGCCGCAGCTGCTAACGCCAGCGCTGGCGTCGCTTCCCCTCAGCCACGAGGCAGTGGCCACGGCGCCGCGGATGACTTGCGCGATTCTAGATCTCTGGTACTCGCGCACACTTTTTGCTTCTTCTTTATGATGCCGTACTTCTTGGTGTTTTGAGATTAGGGCTTTTCCGTGGGAGGTTTGGGTGGATGCTGTTAGTTTGATTGAAGAGTTCTGTTGATGTTGTCTGAAGCCCTTAGTGACTGAATTAGGGTTTATTTTTCCATAATAGAGAAAGGAAGACGGGTGTTTTCTGGGTTGTTAGTGATGATTTTTTGAGAATTTATACCTTAAATTATTGTTTCAATGGAGAAAAGGTAAATTTGGTTTCCTTTGCTGCTAGAGTTTGTTAGGTGTAGTTCAGGTATCCTTGCCCGCGAGTCGCTAAACTATCACGAACTTTTTCAAATCCCCGCAGAAGTTAGGTAAAACGAGTCTATGTGTTTTTTTAAAGGCGAGTATTATTGATCACAGCAATGATGTTAACTTGGATCCCGATTAGCTCACTGACTGTTGGCAATATAATTTTAACGGATGGTTGCTTTCATGTCTTAAAGCTTTCTTACTGCAATCTTATCCTTATGCATTGTGTTTATTGGACTCTGCAGCATGAATCTCGAGATCGTGAAAGAGAATCATCAAAGAGTAGGGAAAAGGAAAGAGAAAGAAGGCGTGACAAAGAGAGGGATCGAGACCGTGAAAGGGACAAGGATAGGGAGAAGAGTAGGGACAGAGACAGAGATCGGGAGAAGGACCGTCACCACCGTGATAGAGATAGAGATAGAGACAGAGATAGAGATCGGCATAGGGATCGTAGTGAACGAAGGGAACGGGGTAGAGATAGAGATGACGATGAGGATCGTCCTCGAAGCCGGGATTATGAGAGGTATAAGAAATATAGTCTCAATTGCAGTTTTCAATACTAGTTCTCTTCTTATAGTGTTAATTTGTATTTTTCGTTGCTTATGCCTACTACAGGCGCAGAGATCATGATAGGGACAGAGAAGAGAGACGCATACGTAGCTCACGATCTCATTCCAGGGGTCGATCTCCTTCTAAGGGTAGATCTGAACAGAGATCAAGGTCACGCTCTCGATCACGTTCTAAGAGGTATGAGAAAACTTCCAATAAAAGAAAAATAGAATTTTGGATATGAAAATGTGAACCTCTTACTTTTCTTTTTTGCTGTTGGTCTAGACTAACTGTTCCTTCTTGCAGCAAAAGACCTAGTGGTTTTGATATGGCTCCTGCTGCTCCTGCGATGTTGCCTATCCCTACTGTCACAGGTATATTTACATTCGGACGAACTGAAAATTGTCATGTTTTCTTAACTGCTACTTCTGTTTTGGTTTGGTATAGTGTGGAAAGTGCGTATGCAATTTCTTGGTCTCACTTGGTAAGCAGTTATTTCCCCCCTATCTGTGCATGTAGCTCTTTAGAGCTGTGGTTTTTAAATGGGCTCTATTATCATTAATGCTTACTTTGGTAATAATTCTGGAACTGAGAGACGTTTTTGGTTTTTCTTGTGTTTGGTGTTTGTTTGTTTTTTCTTGTGTCTTGTCTCTTGTTGTAAGAAGGCAGTGCTGGGCTACTTGTCCCACTGTATTGACAAATGGGTGTGAGCCGACTACTGTAGCTTTTATGTAGAAGGAGGAATCAATGCACCGGTTTGATGCTTCTTGTTCGTCTTCAACTGGTGACTATTGCGTGTTTTGGTAGTTTGCGTATATATCCTCCAGAACTTGAATAAATGATGCATTTATGACTTACTGGGTATACTAGACTATTTGCAGGCTTAGTCATTTACAGGGTCTAGAACACCATGTATATTATGCAATGTTGTCAAGGTTTACTCATTTTTATTCAAATTCTTGTTCTTATACAGGCCAGATTCCAGGGGCCAATCCTGCCCTCGCTGGAATGTTTCCCAACATGTTTCCGCTTTCGGCCGGTCAGGTATGATGCTTATGATACTTTTGTTTGCCATGTCTCTTCTTTTTATTCCCAAGATGCATTTATTTCCTGACATTTGTTCACCTGCAGACATTTGGAACCCTTCCTGTAATGCCAGTACAGGCAATGACACAGCAGGTTGGTGGGATTCCATTTGTCTGGATAACTTAGTATTTATCAATTTACTTAATCCTCATCTTTTGCATTGTTAATTATAACGTGCTACTTGGTCTCAGGCTACCAGGCATGCGCGGCGTGTCTACGTTGGAGGCCTTCCTCCTACAGCTAATGAGCAGGTACAAACACTTCCATCTGCTCTCTATTTTGGTCGTTGCATATAATTTATGAATGACATATTGTGTTGTACTGCAGTCTGTTGCAACATATTTTAATCAAGTCATGGCAGCTATTGGAGGAAACACAGCTGGCCCAGGTATGGCAGAACATCTTTGCAATGGTGTAGTTGGATGTACTATCTTGATTAACATCATGGTCTTAGTTGTGTTGCTTTTTCCGTTTTAGGTGATGCTGTGGTAAATGTGTACATAAACCACGACAAGAAGTTTGCGTTTGTGGAGATGAGATCTGTCGAGGAGGCCAGTAATGCAATGGCCCTGGATGGTATTATGTTTGAGGTGAGTTGTTCATGTCTTAGTTGCTTTCAGTAGGGTATTAAGTATTGACGTGTACTGTATTTTGAACATTTCTTTGCTGTGTAATTGTTTTCAGGGAGCTCCAGTGAAGGTGAGGAGGCCAACTGACTACAATCCATCTCTAGCAGCAGCCCTTGGCCCTAGTCAACCAAATGCCAACCTCAACTTAGGTGCAGTGGGTCTAACCCCAGGTTCTGCTGGTGGACTTGAAGGTCCAGACCGTATATTTGTGGGCGGCCTTCCCTATTACTTCACAGAAGCCCAAGTTAGGGAGTTGTTGGAGTCTTTTGGGCCGCTCCGAGGATTTGATTTGGTAAAAGATAGAGAAACTGGGAACTCGAAGGGTTATGCATTTTGTGTCTATCAAGATGTTTCAGTGACAGACATTGCATGTGCTGCTCTGAATGGAATTAAGATGGGCGACAAAACGCTAACCGTTAGACGCGCCAACCAGGGTGCGAATCAGGCTAAACCCGAGCAAGAGAATGTCCTATTGCACGCCAAACAGCAGATTGCTTTGCAGGTTAATATATTATAACTTCAGACATTGTTTTTTCCTTCCCTCGGTTCTTTTTCCCCCAGCTTTATGTTGCTCTATCAAGACGTATGTTACAGTTTGCTGTGTTTGGAAGGGTTGCTTATTGGAACCTTCCATCTTACAGAGACTCATGCTGCAACCAGCACCTACGAAAGTTGTATGCTTAACTCAAGTTGTCACTGAGGACGAGCTGAAAGATGATCAGGAGTATGAAGACATCTTGGAGGACATGAGAATAGAAGGCGGGAAATTCGGTGTTTGCCCCCTGAAACGTGGAGTTCAGTGTAATTAATTTGGTTTGCTCTTGTTTGTCTTGTATGTCTGCTTTTTTTGTACAGCCATTTGTAGTCCCACATTCTGCTATAAAGAATCAGGCCTTAACATACAGACTGAAGACTTCATTATACCTCCAATTTATATCCACTTTGAGATTGTCTTATTCCTTTTTGTTTCATTTTCTGAAAACTGATGACATGCCATATGTACGTTCACAAATTATACGCAGGTAATATGCTGAATGTAGTCATCCCCAGACCAAGTCCTGATGGCGCTCCTTCGCCCGGAGTTGGCAAGGTAAGTGTGTCCATATGATAAACCACCATGGGCGCGACCCTGTCCTTCTTTAATGTAGCGCGAACCGTCTTGTTGAAAGATGCGTCTCTTTTTTCGGCTAGCTTGGATTACAAGTTCTGTGACTTGCAGGTGTTCTTGGAGTATGCTGACACTGATGGTGCTTCAAAAGCTCGAGCCGGCATGAATGGCAGGAAATTTGGTGGGAATCAAGTGGTAGCCATCTTTTATGCAGAAAACAGATTCCAGGAAGGTGACTACGATGGATGAGATGGGATTTAGTAGCTGTATACCCGCTATGTTATTAGGTCAATGAACCCTTTTGACGGGTTAGGAAAGGTTGGATGTTTTGGTAATGAGGAGAACCCTAGGTTTGTTTTTCTTTTCTTTTATCATTGTTTCCCCCCATTTTTCCTGAATCAAAGAGAGTTGCTAGCATTGAGAGAGTTTGCTTATATTACACAGTAGAATGTGTTTTGACTTTTGATTGGACGGGATGAAATATGCAGAGCATGTAGAATCGTGTTTCGACTTTCGAACCTATGCTATTTTTGTGCTGAAGACCAATACATTTGACTCTTGCTTAGGGGTGTCAATTCGGTTTCGATTTTTCGGGGTTACCCGAAACCGATTCGATTATATACATTTCTGGTTTTTTGGGTTCGGGTTCGTTTTGGATTTCGGATTTTTTGGGTTCGGGTTCGGTTTTGCTTATCTGTTTTTAGGGTTTTGGCTAAAAACCTCCAATGAATAGAACTCAGCTCGTATTTTTAGGCGTTGGGGTTTTCGGGTTTCGGTTTTGCTTTAACCGAACCCGATAAGAAATTTTTGGGTTTCGGGTAACGGGAACCCGCAAGTCCTTATCGAGTTCGGGTTCGGTTTTAGTGATTTTCGGTTTTTGATTTATTCGAGTTTTTCGGTTTGGGTAACTAAACCCGACCTGAACTGACACCCCTACTCTTGTTAATAGGGCCGATTTAAAACGCTGTATTTTACTTCCCCATTGTTTGCCACGTAATGTCCAAAGCCACGAGACGATGTGGCCACGTATCGCTCCGGCCACGGTTTCGTCACCGACCGGATTCCTAAAAAGATAAATACACTCTTCTGTTCTTCATTTCATTCAGCCCTGCAAGCGAGCAGTGCAGAAGGACACCAAAATTATCCAGGAAAGTACAGCACTGAGGAGAGGAGGATTACATTGGCTGCAGAAAAAATGGGACAAGGCGAAGAGAAGAAGACCCGACCCGACTCCCCAGTCGAAATTCTGGTCGGTCAGAGTTTCCATTTTTTGATCGACAAGGCTTTGCAACACTGTTTGCCAATTTCTTCTTTCTCTTTCTTGTTTCTTACTTTGCAGGAGAAGGGAGAGATATTCTTCTTCTACAGACCGAGAGTGAACAGAGAGGAAGCTCACAGCCCCGACGACGTCCAGCGCCTCTTCATCGTCCTCAGGCCTGAATCCGGCGACCGACCCACCGAAGATAAACAGGAACCCGATTCCGGCAAGGAAGGCTCCAAGCGCCGCCGCCGCCGCCACGACTCCTCCTCCTCCCCAAGCGACGGCAAGGACAAGGACAAGGAAGGTGGCCATGGCGTCCAGGTAACATTCCATAATCACCAGTTACCAATCTAATCATAACCTAAAAACGCGCATCCATGGATGAATACAGAAAGTGAACATCGAGAAGGAGCGGCTGATGAGGTTCATAGTCATGGGCCGCAAATCCCTTCCGGACCCAAGCAAGAACAAGGGCCGCCCCTTTTGGGGCTTCGTCGATCTGGTCACCACCAATCTCGACCACGTCAAGGACACTCTCAGATCGAGTAAGTACCTCAATTTTCTCCACTCTCAGTCAATGTAGTCAAAATCACGCTTTAAATCGTCAAAATCACGTTTTAAATCCTAAAAGCTAACGCTTTTACCTCGAATCACATTCTTCACTTATAAACATAGTAAAAAATCTACGTTTTACCGTTTTAAAGCTTCTATATAAAATCAAGGGCAATGTCTATTTTTTATCCGAAATTTTTTCAGATTCTTTTATATTATCCAAACCTATCGAAATACTATGAATTAGCCAAATGTTAACTTTCAGTTAGCAATTCTGTTAGTAATATTCATTTGGCAACATGATACTGACTTGAGAGAGACTCAACATTCCAAAATTTTAATATTTTAACTAAGAAAAAAGTTACAAAATTATTAATGATAACGTAAAAATGACTAATATTATGACTAATATTTTGATGTATTATGAAATATTTGGATAATTAATAAAATTTTAATAGATTTGGATAATATAAAAGAATCAGAAAAATATTTGGATAAAAAAATAGACATTGTCCTAAAACCAATCTTCATCCGAGTTTTTCCCCGCAGGAGATTACGAGACGGCCTCCGGGGGCAAGAGGCACGAGGCGGCGGCTCGAGCGGTGGGGGAAGGAGTGTACCGGATTCTTCGGCACAACCCGGAGAGCAAGAAGAAGATGCACACCCATCTGATCTACAAGCTGGAGCTGCCGGCGGAGGGGAAGACGACGAAGAGCCACGAGCCGCCGCAGGAGGCGCTCCACATCGAGCGGGAAGGGTCGTTCGTGATCCAGATCAAGAACCCGGAGTCCGGTTCCGGTGGTGGGTCGGGTTCCGGGTTCGGTGGGCTTAGGGAGAAGCGGAGGGCCCAGTTCCCGGCCCATCTGCAGGGCGGGTTCGGGAACAGCAGGAGGTTTGGGCCCGCTGACCCGCCGGACTTGCTGAATTATGAAGGATGCGAGTTTCTGATGATCGCGGCGGCGGACGATGTGGAGGAGGAGCTGGGGTTGGAGCTGGAGGGGGAGACGGAGCGGTGCGAGGATGAAGGGTCGTGTTCCGATCTGGTGAAGGAGTTCGGTGACGTGGTGGCTCCGGCGCCGCTGCTGGAGGGCACTTGGGCTTGATTTAAGCTTTCCTCGTGTGACCCGAAAGACTTATCTAATTGTGTGTGTGTGTATATGTTTTACGGTAGTCTGTACATAGCGTAGTTCGTAGTTGTAATGCCCTCCTCCCTCCATGGATGTTTAGGTGGAGGATAACAGGAGCAGGAAGAAGGTAGCTGGTTAGGTGTCTGATCTGTGTTGTTATTAGTAGCGGTTTAGGGTGGGGATCAGCAAATTTTAATTTGTCGGGAAATCGCGGCCCCATCCATCCTCAGGTGCAAGACTTTCCGTATATCCTGTTATGTTTGATGGGTTCAAACTTCGAAACTACATATCCGTTTGTGTAAAGTGGAACTTCTGTTTAGAAAATTAAGAGCAGGTTACTGAACATCTTGCCGTCTTAGCTCAGCCGGTAGAGCGCGTGGCTTTTAACCACGTGGTCGTGGGTTCGATTCCCACAGACGGCGTGTCTTCTTTTGAAATATTATTTTTTGTGAATACTTGATTGATTATCTATTTTGGTAAATTAACTGCCCAACATATGCGATGGAAATTGGGTCTCTGATCTCCATTACTTAACCGTTTGCTTTGCTTTGCTATGTCCATTCCGGCGTATACATTCACTCCGCCGTGATCGTGAGTCGTCGTAAGGAAGTGGAATGATCGGGCCATTTTTGAAAATTGTTGCTCGCGAGGAATTGAATTTAACACAGGATGAAAGATTCGGATAAGCATTCATATAATCCTTTGGTTTGTGTGTTCCATGAAATGCAATTCTCCGCTGTTGGGGTTGTGTATAGTAAAGCAGAAGATTGAATCTTTTTGACGATTTCAATGCGATCGAGGGTTAGTTAGGGTTAGGGCTGTTGAAGAATCAAGCTCCGGACGAAGGAATGAATGATAGGAATCGAAAATGGTGATCTAAGAAGAGAAAGAAAGGAGTTTGGCTGGTTGATTGATTGGAACAGGAAATGGGAGCAGTTTTAAGCGACGCAGCAAGCGCGGAGTTGGAGATTTTCTTGGCAATCTTGTTGCAGCTCCTCTCAAATCTCTCTTTGGTGGATCCTGCGAGTCAGTACACTCCCCTCCGTCCCTCGCCCTATATGTTGATTCGAAGTGTTAGAAACAGTTTTTGAAGAGATCAGTGCTAACAAATGAGCGACTGTCCTTCCAATTAGCATCGTCGGATCACTAAGACCGACTTTCGTACCTGCTCGATGGAACGGTCTTGCAGGCTTTTTTATGGACCTCAATTCATGGTTGTTAGTATAGAATAGTGGCAATCTTTTTTTATGGACCTCAATTCATTGACCTTGTTCTCTATCCAACTTGTGGTGGACTAGATATGTACCTTTTGGCTGCACTTGATAGAACCGTTGTAACTTTGTGCATGTCATTGTCTAGATTCAGTTTGTGTTCAGAGGGCAAGTAAAACCTTTGTCATTACGAAACATACAACTCGAATGTATTCGTAAAATTGTACTTGAACAGTTGAACTTAACTACTCTCTATAACTTTCAATTAACACGTAAGTAATTTTTAAGTTTGTTGATCGATCTACGAAACTATTCATTTAACGACATAGCAAATTCTACAATTTTCAATTCACACATTAATATTTGTTCGTTCGTCTATTAATAAAAAATATTATTCATTTAACTACATAACAAATTCTATCAAATATTCTATGAAAAATGTTAAGGGGTTGATTTTCCATACGTGACTTATAACCTAATTCATTCTGTATGGAGGTCGTTACTTCTTTTTCTTCTTTTCTTTTTGGTGATAAACCCTTCTAAATCCCTTGTTTCCTCCTAATTTCAGCTTTATAAACCCTACTCCAGCCGGATTTGATTCCTCCCGCTCCATCTTCCCTCGCCGCACCGTAAAAGAAAACTCCGGAGAGTTCTTCCCTCTCTCTCTCTCTGTCTCTCGGATTGCGTCTTAGGCCGCCGGTGCTCGCTATTGCAGCTGCAGAAGCAGGGAGGGCAATTGTCGGCCGCCTCTCGCCTGCTGTTTGCCGCTACTCCGTTCCTTAATTATTGTGTCTACAATTTGCTTGTTAAAGCTGGGTTTGGTGCATGAACTTCAGTTTGCCTGCGCAGTGAGATTGCTTGTCAGGTACGTGATCTGACCTGAATTAGTAGCAAATGTATCTGGCTTGGTCTTTTGACTCGTTTCTTGATGCTATTTGACAATGTTAGTTTGACGTGGAACTGTTATGGTGAAATGGAAGCTGAAAAATTGAATCTTTCAGTTGTGGGCGGACATCCAATCTCTATGGAGATATGCTGGAGTTGCTTGTGACGATAAAGTTTCCTGCTTGTTGTTATTACCACTTACCCTGTCTTAATTTCCTTCTCCACTGACCTGCATTTCTGATAGCTTATTCCGTAACATATCTGCATCAGCACTGTGCACCCTTCCAAGGCTACTGAATAACGGGCTTGGCAGTTGGAGTTGAAGGAACATATAGTAGAGAGCGAAATGGAAATCGATTTAGGAGAAGTTCCGTTTAATATGGCCTTCCATCCATCCGATAAGTTGGTCGCTGCTGCCCTAATCACTGGATACCTCCACCTGTTAGTTCTCTTGTCCTCTGCTCGTTTGCTCTGGTCATGACTTTGGAATTCAGAAATTCTACTGTGGCATTTTACTCATATTTGAATTTCGTGTTTGACGCAGATATCGTTATGGTGCTGACTCCACTTCACAGAAGTTGCTGGAAGTGAAGGCACATACTGAATCGTGTAGAGCTGTTCGATTCATCAATGGCGGACAGGGTAGGTAATCAAGCATGTTCCATTATCCGCTACGCTCCTACATTGTTTCTTCTGCCATCACTTGTGAAGATTTGGTATTTTTAGTTCTCTAAAGTGAAATTTGTTATGTGATTTCAGCAATGATTACTGGGTCTAAGGATCGATCTATCTTGGCAACAGATATAGAAACTGGAACTGCTATTGCCCGTCTAGAAAATGCTCATGAGTACTACTCTTATTATCTATTCTTCTTTTGGTTTTTTTAAACGTTCTTCAGAATGTCTGGAATGGATATTTGAGTGCTCATTTTATCATCATAAACTTTCATTTTATTCCATTTTGAGTGAGTATAGACATTTTCTTATTTCCTTAAAATTGGTACTTGGTGTAGGGATGCCATCTATAGTTTGATCAACGTCACCGAATCAACTATTGCAACTGGAGATGACCAAGGCTGCATGAAGGTTAGCATCTTGTCCCTCTCTCTCTTAGATCACACATTTGCTCATCTTTTTGACATCAAGACGACTTCTCTGATTAGTGAGTGTAGGACTGTATAGGAAAAAAGCTACGGGGTTTAGGATTTCTTTCAATTCTTCTTTCAAATCCTGGTCCTTGATATTTTATGTTTGGGTTGAAGTGCTTGATATATTGCCTTCTACACAAAGAGCAACCTTTGATCTGACTTGCATCCTTGTTCTTGATTTTTAGGTATGGGACACTCGGCAACGCACTTGCTGCAACTCTTTTACTGCTCACGAGGACTATGTTTCAGATATGACTTACGTACCCGAGTCAGGGAAACTGCTGGGAACAAGGTTTTATTCAATTCTGTAGTTTTGTTTCGTGAAAAGGCTAGATCGTATTGGGTTTTTTCATCCCTGTGGTAATGTTCTCTGATTCTTATGAACTTATTTCTTACATCTTTGTAGTGGAGACGGGACTCTTTCTGTTTGCAATCTTAGAAGTAACAAGGCAAGCATTTCTCCTATCTGATGGTATACAGTGTCCCAAAATCTTGAAAGTTCTTATCTCTTACCATTTCGTTGTGGCCTCCCTTAGGTCCAAACCCGCTCTGAATTCTCAGAAGAAGAGCTCTTATCTGTGGTTATCATGAAGGTAACTTTGACCTCAGATTTCTGTTATTATCTGAACATGTTACATCCAATAACTGATTCTGTCTCAGAATGCTAATGAAATTACTTCTATCGGAGTTATTTCATTCTATGTGATGTACATGTACTATATTCTACATGATGACCGTCCCATTTGAATTATTGAAGTACTCTAGGAGTTGTAGGAAAAATATCCCCTTGGTTGGGGAACTGCAACAAGTATTGAGCTATGAATTAGTTGGTTTGTGCTAACTTGGAACAATTTGTGTGCAGAATGGTCGGAAGGTTATCTGTGGCTCACAAGATGGGACACTATTATTATATTCCTGGGGGTTCTTCAAGGATTGCAGGTATGTTGTTTTGGATTAAAATCAGAAGCTTTAGGCCATCAATTACTTCTAGTCTTTTTCCTGTGATTGTGGGCTGCAATTTACTCATTACTGAATTGGACCGATGTTGTGATTTCCAGTGATCGCTTTGTTGGTCTAGCTCCAAATTCCATTGATTGCTTATTGAAGGTGAACATCCGAGCTTAAATCTTTGATATGTTACTTGCATTGTAAGGCAATTGGGCCTAAGTTATGAGAAACTCTTCTTGTTTTTAGCTGGATGAAGATAGAGTCATTGCTGGATGCGAGAATGGACTTATCAGGTGACTTCCTGCAAGTTATGGGGGATGTCCCTAGATTTTGGGCTGTTGTTCTGATGATCAAATGTCCTCTTTTGCTCACTTGGTTGCTTTTCTATTATGCCTCTTTTCAGTGTGGTTGGTATATTGCCCAATAGAGTCATCCAGCCTCTTGCTGAGCACTCAGAGTACCCTATTGAGCGACTTGGTACGTTGTCTCTCTCTTTCACAGTCTAATAGATCCTTGCAGAGATACCGTCTGTCATGCAAAATCAATGCTCATCTGGGCTTAAATTGTTTTGTGGGTGGGTGCAGGGTTTTCTCACGACAGAAATTTCCTCGGCAGTATTTCTCACGATCAAATGCTGAAGGTCCTCTCTCTTTTTCTCCTTCCTCTCACACTGGTGATTCTGATAATCGAACATGCTGATCTGCATATATATGCTTCCTGACATCCAATTCGCTTTTTCTTTCCCAATGTTTACTTTTATCGAAGCTCTGGGATATGGACGAGTTATTGCAAAGCGATGAAGCTAATAATACTCAAGAGGATCAAGGTGATGCGTCTGAAGATGATGATGGTGATGGGATGGATGTGGATATGAATCCTCCCAAGTCCAAGAAAGGTATGTATACGTTCTTATACGAACACACTCGGACTGCTCGTGTCGTGCTATTGGCTATTCCTTCTGGTAGAAAATGTTGTTCATGATGCTCCTGAACTTTGCAGGCACCAAGAGGAAAAATGGGCAAAATGGCAGTAGCAGTGGCAATACAAGTGCCGCCTTCTTCTCTGAAATGTAGTACTTTAACAAACCATAGTACCAACTAGTCTTGTATCTCTGTAATTGAGAGTTATCGAGAAGTTAAGGGACCAAAGATTTTATGGAAATACTGCTCTCATTTTCTCAGCATTGGTTTAAGATTCATACGGATTGCCTGTGTGACGGCAATGTGTTTGTCGCGTCACGAAACCATTATGTTTCGTACGTTATCTAATATTTCAAAAATGATTGAATGTTCTCGTAATAACTAACGCACCAAACTCGAAATTGCTTTAGGGAGCATTTATACACTATGCATTATTAGTATTGAGTGCCATGTTTTTAGAACAAGAACATGAGAATTCGTTATATCAATCCGCGGTTCAAAAATTATTGAAAAACAATTGACTCAAATTTTCTTCAATTGAACAAATATTTGAATGTCAATTCCTTGATTTGCTAAAATAATTAATATAGGTCCTTAGTCTAAAAACAAAAGTTTTTTCATTGAAGTAATTAAAACAAATTCCCCCGTAATGTGGAATATCCTCCCTAATCACCACTTAAGTGATTCTGAAATCAGGCCAAACCACGGAGCTGCCAACCTAGTTGCACGGTTGAAATCGAGGACAATCTACCTCCGGAATCACCCGAAAGACAGAACGATGGCTCGAATGACCCGGTCATCACAAGCCAAACCTGCCCCACCAATTGAGCTATCCAACCAAAACAAAATATTTTTCCTCTTGTAGTTAAGACTAATTACTAACATTCCGTTTGGTATAAATGAATTCTATAAGTTTTGAAAAATTCATTTTGAAATGAAACATTTTATGTGTTTAGTATTTAAAAAAATTCTATATTTTAAATTCTATGGAATTGGAACTAGTTATAGCAATTCCGAGGAATTGAGATAGAATTTCCAAATGAATTTCACACGTATTTACTGATTATAATATAATGATATAATTATTCTCTTTTATTAACTAAATTATTTATACATATGACATACCAAACACACGACTTCGTTTGACAATGAATTCTACACGACAATTCATTCTATTTCTAAAGATTTGAATATAACATACCAAACACAAGATTATTAATCTTGACAATGAATTCTATACAATAATTCAATTTAACGACAGCCTAACCAAAAAGTAACGGTAGGGGCTCGATTGAGAACTGTCACATAGAACAGTGACCTACATTAAATACCTTGATAATTCAGTAACTTAATTAGCATTAAAAAAACGTCAGGTATTCCACGTCACGATACGGCGGGGCCCACGATCATGATGTGGCATCGTCCCATTCGTGAAGCTGACACGGCGTCAGGCAGACTTGGACGCACGGGAACGGAATATACTAGAGAGGGGCAGACGGCGTGAGTCAATAAAACCTTTTTATTATTTAATCAAATGTTCAACGAAAAGAAAAATTAATAAATTATAAAAAGGTAAATTTATCCAAACGAGCAAACGCGAAGCAAAATCACAACAACAAACCCTGACCCCGACGGAAGATTTTACCATTTCCGTTTGTTTCCTTCTCTCCGAGCGAGAAACGACTGCAGATTATTTTCCTGCAGAGAGAAAGAGAAGCCGGCCGGCCGACCATAGGCGAGGATCGGAGTGCTTTTTGCTACCGTTGAACTTTCTCGTAATCGTTGAATTCCTTCCGGCTATCGGCGGTTTGTCTATGTGGAATTCGCTATTCTCTGCATTTTCCTGAAAGGTAGCCTTACCTTCTTCTACCGTTACCGCTCTGTGCTAGCTCATGATTTCTCTTCCCTCATCGTGGTTTATGATCTCGAGTGTGCTTGCGGAAGCGAGTGATTTCGTCGATTTACAGATCTTTGTTGGTTTCTGTGTTTGGAAATGAGCGAGGGGAACGTAATCGTCGGGCTTGATTCGTGTAGATCTTAGGGTTTCAAATGCTCTTGCGGTAGCCTGGATCTTGCCTCGTCACTGATTTGCCTTTTTCCGAAGAAATGTAGGATTTGTGAAGGTAGGTGGGCGTATATTGGTTAAGTCAGGTGTGAGAGAAACCTTGTGTGGGCTGGAGTGAGGCACATATTTTCCTGGCGATCAATCAGAAACTGGCTGTTGCCAACCCTCGAGGAAAGTGGTTTTGGTGAAGGCATTTTCTTTGCCGGGAACATTGACCTAGGATATGAAGATTATAGGTTGAGCTGAGCAGCTTGGAGCGATTATCAGTAAATTTTTTTTTTTTGTAAAGGTGAAACAATTGTGAATGGCTAGGCGCAAGGCTTGCAGAAATGCTAATCGAATGAAGGCTCTATGAGTTTTGAGTGCTGCTATTCCACGATTTTACTGAATCAAATTACTTGAGGAATGAAAAGATGTGGGGATTATGCTGCTAAGAATTTGCCTTGTCAATTGCATTGTAAATGCACTGTCTCGGAAATGCAATTTTTCCAGACTGTTTAATTTTTGTTGTTTCTTTGATGTATCATCAGTATAAGCGAATCTAGAGTTTCTAGTTCTCTGTCTGTTTGGTGTCCTAAACATCTATATTGGGGTCTGGTTGACGTAGTTCAAGAATCCTGCTTCCTTTTGTTGTACTTTATAATTGATCCTCTCTCATGAGCTTATGTGTGGATGAGATTTGTATAGTTCCATTTGCATATCTTATATATCTTGACTTGGATGTTCACAATTTTTTTTCTTTTTTCTCTTTCAGGAGTTTGAATGAGACCCTGAGATCTTTCAGCCATATGGATCTGCTTGTCACAGCTATAGTGTAACCCAAACAGCAGCATTTCCAGAAAAGTACTCTTCCTACAAAATCACCACCTGCAACCTATCTTTCAATTGAGAAATAAGATTAATTCAAAATTCAGCGACCTGCATCAGGGGGCGATTTGCCCCAAACTGCTGAGAGCTATTTTGCTGTAGCGCGAAGAGTGAATTCCTCTAGCGCAATGATGATGGGGGAGGATGTTGAGGGTGGGAGCTTGGGTTCATACCAAGAGAGGCCAAGGACTTTCCCCAATATGCGTAACAAAGCTTATACCCCACTGGTACGGAATTCAATGTCGCCATTTTTTTTTTCTTTTCTTGATGTTGTAAAAAAGAAATTTCCCATTCTTCGCGATTTATTTTGTTAAGGTGTGGTGATCTGGTGGGATTTTCTTCAAAACCATCTGTAGATGTCCCATATACCGATTCCTATTTTACTGAATGGTTATTGGCATTTTCTATGTTTTTATTATTATAGCCAGTTGTTGGCTTCCAAATTACATTACTTTATGTCTGAGGTGGATTTCTTCTCCATATAGCCCTAGATCTCTCCTTATCACATGAGACTCACTTTATTTAAGCTTCTACTAACCAGTAGTAAGTGCGTTATGGATGGGTTGAGCTATGGATTTCATGCGAGACATGACTGCAAGCAATTGTGTATATGCAATCCATGAAGATGTTGCAAATACATAAGAAAATATGGTAACAGCAATTTGTTGAAAAGTTTTTCCTAGTTATAGTTCTGTTGGGGTCTTTCTAGACAATGCTCTGACAAGGATAGGTTTTTAAACCAATATTCGTCCTATTTATTTTCGCCATTTCCGCTCTAGATGATCTATATTCCAGCAATATGCTGATATGTTTAATTCATGAACTTCATTTCTTCTTACGGACAATAGAGCTCAGCAGGCTTGTCTAAGAATCATATTGGTCCATTGCTTTATTTATAACTATCCTCTCTCTTAGGAAGCTGCATGGTCAGTAATTATTCTGTTTGAGCTATTACCTTGTGCTGATATTATGTTTTCCTTCTCTTTCTTTTTCCCCTGCAGATCTTTCGGATCCTCATGGGGATTAATGTCCGTGTTCTGTTTATACTTCTATTATTGACTATGGGGCTGATTTTTTACATTGGAGCATGCACTTCTGGAATTATTGTGTTTGTATTCACAGTTTGCATCATCAGCTTCCTTATGTCAGTATATCTTACTAAGTGGGTCCTCGCAAAGGATGAAGGGCCTCCTGAAATGGCTCAGGTACATTGACACTTTTGGTTTCCTGCTTCCTTGACAACCTCTATCAATCCAATTTTAACATTATGTCTTGGTCTTTGCTGGAATATGAATAGGGTTGCAAGTTAAATTTGTTGGTTTTGTATCGTTTAGGCTTGTATGATGCACGTTGTTTATTATACTGACACTAGTTACATGACTGGTTGCTTGTGGATAGTTCAATTTAGTGTTTTTTTGTTTTTGTTATTTTCTCCTTAGTTTTCATTTCTAAAGAGAAAGTTAGTTGCAACCTTGTGAGGATGCATTACAAATTTCACTTAGCAAACATCCTGAGCCTTATTATCCTAATTTCTAGATATCAGATGCCATACGCGATGGAGCTGAAGGTTTCTTCAGGACACAGTATGGAACTATATCGAAGATGGCGATACTACTTGCTATGGTGATCCTCTGCATATACTTGTTCCGTAGTACAACTCCTGAACAGGAAGCTTCTGGCGTAGGGAGGTAAATTCCTCTGCTAAAATATCGTTGGTAGTGTCTATTGCGGAGTGCCTTGCCCATGGTGACAATTTTTGTGGTTTTGCTTCATCATTGCAGGTCAGTAACTGCATTCATCACTGTTGTTTCGTTCCTCTTAGGAGCACTTTGTTCAGGTGCTGCGGGTTATGTTGGAATGTGGGTGTCAGTTCGTGCAAATGTTAGGGTCTCTAGTGCTGCAAGACGGTCAGCAAGGGAGGCACTGCAGGTGGTCCTATTCTACAGCTTGTCTTTGCTAAGTCTTTTTATCATCTATTTTCTATCTAACAAGTTCGAATTGTCTACTCTGTATTATATGTGTAGATTGCTGTTCGTGCTGGTGGGTTTTCTGCGATGGTGGTTGTTGGAATGGCCGTTATTGGAATAGCCATCCTTTATGCCACATTCTATGTCTGGTTGGGAGTGGATACCCCTGGGTCAATGAAGGTCACAGAATGTGTGTAACTATTTCTTTTCCTGCAACTTCTTGGACACGATTAATATGCCTCAACTTGAATCAGTTTTCATTTCTTCATGAATTTAATATCAACATATTGATGGATTTAGTTCATCGTGGAAATAGTGAGAGAATCAGGTCAGCCATTATTTGACTGATATCTTTTGGCCTTTTGTGTAAGAACATTTTATCCTGAATTCACTTCAGAATCCCCAGTTGCTACTTGTCTTTCATAGTGCCTTTGTAGCTGGATCTATGGGATGTATTCTGAAGGCATGCATCTTTGTTTGAAAGAAGGATTTGTGTGGATGGCAATAGTTTGCTTATGTTTGTCTGTGTGCTCTCTATTTAGATATTCAATGGCTACCATTTTCCTCATAGAGCGATTTGCTTTTTTATAATTGTTATGGTCCTAGTTACATGTTAAGTACTGAATTTTTTCTTCTTTCAGTGCCTCTTCTGCTTGTTGGATATGGTTTTGGAGCCTCCTTTGTCGCTCTCTTTGCCCAACTAGGCGGTGGAATATTCACAAAGGCTGCTGACGTTGGCGCTGACCTTGTTGGAAAAGTGGAGCGTGGAATTCCTGAAGATGATCCTAGAAACCCTGCAGTCATTGCAGATCTGGTATTAAGTTCTCTTTTGTTACCTACTTACATGAGTATGTTTGCTCTTGAGATTTCAGCATACTTGTGATAACTGCAATTATTTCTTCTTTTTTACTGATTTGTGTTCACCTTAAAATGTATAGTAGAGTGGACTTGAAAAGGATTGTTAGAATTGTCATGAGTAAATATGGTTGAACTGCAATAAGATGAACAAAAGGTATTTGTATAGTGTTCTTGTTCTGTAGTCGAGGAAAGCAGGATGACCATTTGATAGGACTAGTGTCTTTCCCTCCTTTTCTGCTTCCTTTTTATGCTTTGGATTTCAATTCCAGATGCTTTGCAAGGAACCAACACATTGTAGTACTAAGTGGAGTGCAGACTTCTGCGAAATTTTACATAGAAATGGTGTCTGCTCGCAATTAGTATGTTAACTTGCACAATTTCTCCTTTCATTCTCCTCAGTTAAATTATTGGTTGGAGAATATTTATCACGTTTACGAAAAGCATAAAGAACTTCAAATCTTTTTCTTTCACTTAAAGTTTCAACTCCTTTTACTTAAAAGGTACAGCCAAACCCAATTCCTTGTGTTCCTGCCATATATGGGAAAGTATTTTAGTACTTTCCTCGACCCCTATTGGGCTATTATTCTGCCATTGGATTATAGAGTGGGTTCTTTCTGCATTTTTGTTTTTTAGTCCAGTGAGTGTATTTCAAGGTTGCTTTGTCTAGTGGCTAAGAACCTTTGGAAGCGAGCAGAGAGTGAGAAATGGAGTTGCTTGGTTTCTCTAATTTCTTGTTGCATTAGTTTGCTGCATTGTTTTCTCTTCTATTTGTTTTGTGATATGCTTGACTACTCACCGACAATATTTGAATCAATCACTGTGTCCTTTAGGTTGGAGATAATGTTGGTGATTGTGCTGCTCGTGGAGCCGATCTGTTTGAAAGTATAGCAGCTGAAATAATTAGTGCCATGATACTTGGTGGGACAATGTCAAAACGTTGCAAATTAGAAGGTAAATATCTATGTTGCTAAAGTTATGGCTATCTCGCCAACTATTATAGCTGACCTGAAATGGCTAGTCATATTATGAGCTACTTACCATTATTTAGTCATCTTGTACGGGATCTGAAAAACAGCATGCAATTTCAATCACCTCAAACCTTGACCTGTCTGTTAGTTTATTTCTTATTTGTTGGCCTTATTCCTGTCCATTATTCTTGCAGATCCATCTGGCTTCATCTTATTTCCTCTCGTTGTTCATTCATTTGATCTGGTTATATCTTCAATTGGAGTACTCTCAATTAGGGGTACACGCAATGCTAGTGTGAAGTCTCCTATGGAGGATCCGATGGCAATCCTTCAGAAAGGATACTCTATTACGATAGTTTTGGCTGTCCTGACATTTGGTGCGGTAATGTTTCTTCTAGATTTATTGCTGGAATTGTCTTCATGTAAATTTTGAACCACTGCTATTACATTATACAGGACCCCAAACTGAAGTCTGCATAATTGTGGATTTCTTACTTTTTTGCAGTCAACCCGTTGGATGCTTTATACAGAACAAGCACCTTCAGCATGGTTTAACTTTGCCTTGTGTGGGCTGGTTGGCATTATGACTGCCTATGCTTTTGTCTGGATCACCAAGTACTATACTGACTACAAATATGAGCCCGTACGCTCCTTAGCTCTTGCTAGTTCCACAGGTCATGGAACTAACATAATTGCAGGAGTTAGTTTGGGCCTGGAATCAACAGCTCTTCCTGTTCTTGTCATCAGCGTAGCAATTGTTTCCGCCTTTTGGCTTGGTCAGACCTCAGGTTTGGTGGATGAATCTGGGAACCCTATTGGTGGATTGTTCGGTACAGCTGTGGCAACGATGGGAATGCTCAGCACTGCTGGATATGTTCTAACCATGGATATGTTTGGCCCTATAGCTGATAATGCTGGTGGAATCGTGGAGATGAGCCAGCAGGTAAAGCTTTATCTCTGTGTTTTCTTAGTTGATTATGGAATCTTTAGTAAGTACCCTGGGTGTTGAGTTTTAGGTGCTTTCTTCCTTGCTACCTGGTATTTACTAATTGTAAATATTAACCTAAATTATTAGCAAAAAATTTGAATTTGAAAGTCTGGTTTTATCATGCGTCTTTTGCAGCCAGAAAGTGTGAGAGAGATCACTGATCTGCTCGATGCTGTTGGAAATACGACAAAAGCCACAACAAAAGGATTTGCCATCGGATCAGCTGCACTTGCTTCTTTCCTCTTGTTTAGTGCTTATATGGATGAGGTTTCTACTTTCTCCCAAGAGGCTTTGACTCAGGTAACATGAATTCATTAATTTCCAAAGTAATTTCATCTTTGGATGAGGTTTCTAGCTTTATTTTTGCGCCGGATGTTGTCTTATAATTTTGAATTGACTGCCAGGTTGACATTGCCATTCCAGAAGTTTTTGTTGGAGGGTTGTTAGGGTCGATGCTTATTTTCTTGTTCAGTGCATGGGCTTGCTCAGCAGTTGGCCGAACAGCTCAGGAGGTTGTTAATGAAGTCAGAAGGCAATTCATTGAGAGGCCAGGAATCATGGTGGGAATACCTTCCCTCAACATATTCCAGTGACTACTGATATATAATTTTCTTACTTGATGTTCCCAATATTTTTTCTGACTTGAGCAAACAGGAGTACAAGGAGAAGCCAGATTACGGTCGCTGCGTCGCAATCGTGGCATCTGCATCTCTGAGAGAAATGATAAAACCTGGTGCTTTGGCTATTATATCTCCTATGGTAGTTGGTAAGTGTTTAGCTCGACTTCTCACTTGGTGTCCATGATGGAGTCATAGATGAAGAAAAGAAATTTAACTATTTATTCGCGTACTTCAGGTGTTGTGTTCCGGATCCTGGGGTATTACACAGGACAACCACTTCTGGGAGCTAAAGTCGTGGCTGCAATGCTGATGTTTGCAACGGTGTCCGGTATTCTCATGGCTCTGTTCCTCAACACAGCTGGTGGCGCATGGGACAACGCTAAGAAGTACATCGAGACCGGAGTTCTTGGAGGCAAAGGGAGTGAGTGTCACAAAGCCGCAGTCACAGGGGACACGTAAGCATCATGATCCCATCTCACTGTTGATTTGCCTTGCCTCTCTTGTACGTGTGACCCCTAAACGCGCTCTGGTTTCCTCGCTTTGCTTTGCCTTGCATTGCAGCGTCGGAGATCCTTTCAAAGATACAGCGGGGCCATCTCTTCACGTCCTCATAAAAATGCTGGCGACGATCACCCTGGTCATGGCTCCCATCTTTCTGTGAGAGAAGGAATTGTAGTGGGGGGAAGTTATTGTCTTGCAAATACACAGAGGTAGTTTGATTTTTGATTGGATGTAAATGTAGTGGAGGAGGCTTGTCACTGAAGCAAAACTTGGGTAGGACGGACTGACGTTTCGAGTTTTCGCCTTTTTTCGGGAAAACAAGGTCACAAGGAGATGAGGTTAGGGGATGGTTTTCGCGCATACTTCGTCGTTTTGTTTGTGTGCATGGTCTGAATCCGATAACTAGACTATACCTCTGCACTAGTTGATGGAACCGTTTCGTCTAATCAATTCTGGTGAATTCAACAATGGATTTGGTTTGGAGGATCGTCAACGCCACGAATTGGTTATCGTGCCCTTTCGATTGCGATCATCACTACTGGTGTGGCTGAATTCGCTTGAAGGGGCTCGATATAGTACGATATCCACTTTGGATATAATCCACAAATTAACTGTGTTTGTAAAACTGTACCGTACCGGCAGTCTGACTGAGAAAAAAATAAACCTTCTATGAAAGTCTAGACTAATATATTCATTTTTCTTTTTACAATTTGAATTATCCATTATTTTTAGTAATCAAACTATCCATTTCAATTGGAATAAACAGTTGGTTAACAAGCTTTTTGAACGAGCTCAGAAGCAACACGAACCAAAAGGCTTATCGTCGTCCGGTCTCCAAAAGTCCCCAGCTCGCTCGCTCGCTAACTGAGGAATGTCCATCTCAATTGCTGCAACTGCGACCACCGCAATCGTAACCAGAACCAGCGGCGGCCGTGTCGGCCATGGGAGAAGTAGTAGTAGTAGTAACAAGAACTGCAGCTTCTTCTCCTTCACCCTCCGAATTCGCTGCTCTGATTCCAATCCAAAGCGCGGTTTCGGTGCGCCTTCCGACAATAACAAGGCACCTTGCTCCTTTCTCCTATCTTTCTTCTCTCCATTTCCATTGTGATTCGTTATGCGTTTCTGCTCATCTTTGACCTCTTTTCGTTGAGTTCAGACGTCTGCAGCGGAGAAAGGCTTGAAGAGACCGCAAAGGTATGCTTGTAAGAAATTCGCGCCAATTAGTTGCTTCGCAATTAACAAATCAATGTGTAATTACATTGATACGTTTCCCTGGTGCAGGAAATCAAATAGACTGTCTGGTTCCTTGCCTACGCGTAAGTGCATAATTGAGAAACCTGGTTTATTCATTTTGAATTTCTCCTTTAGGTTCCTGTGGATCGAAACTGAGTAGTGACGAGATTGATTTCCACTGTCCAAAAGAATTTGTGATAGCAGTTGGACTTCATTTTGAGATTCGAGTTTTTTGGTACCCCACATGTAGTGATTTGAATTGCTGGCTTAAGTTAGCTTTGTTGCTGTTCGATGAGGCTTTCCTGTTTCATGTATTATTGAATATCCGGGATTCGCTCTTCTCTTTCGGGTTGCTTTTATCGACCTGAACAAGAATTTTCCATGCAGAGGCACCTGGTTTAAGTGCAGGTTTTGATGGGAAGCCTAAAAGTAGTACTGCAGATTTCGAGTTTGAGGAGCGGCTGCTCGCTGTCAGAAGGTGAAATGCGGAACACTTGTTAAAGTTAAATGTGACATCTTGTTTTCAACTGGCACTATTACCTCATTTAACAACACCCACAAGACCAGGGTGGTATCTGTTGTAGATCTCTATGATACATGTGCATATTTTGGCGGTCGATTGGAATGTAGACATGCTATTTCTCTTGTGAATAAGAAACAGCATAAGTTGCTTTATTGTGTCTCATTTGGTTGTACTTCAACTTAAATGAATTTGGCGAAGGTATCCCTTGTCAGGAAAAAAAGAAGTTTTTTGAGTATTGGATATTGCAGTGTACAAGAACTATCATCTCAAGTATATCTGTGATTCTTTTCGCTCAGGTCGGCACTTGAACAGAAAAGGGCGGATGTGGTCAAAGAATTTGGACCAATTGACTATGATGCACCAATTGAATCCGAGAAGAAGACGATAGGAACTGGTACTAAGGTGAAGTCTCTTATGTTTTGTCGTGCATATTTGTCTAAGATAATTATTGATTCCGACTAGCTAGGCTGAAAGTGACAAGCTTTAACGTTTGCTGTCCAACAGATTGGAGTAGGAGTAGCTGTTCTGGTCTTTGGTTTGGTGTTTGCTCTTGGAGATTTTCTTCCAACAGGAAAGTATGTGTGTCACTAAATCTACCTGTCAACCCTTTTAATTGTTATTTTTGGTCTTGAAGCTGTTTTAGTTCAGAAGACAGATTTAACTAGTTGAATTGAAAAATAATGGAGGTGATGTGTTCTTGAAATTCATAAGCTACCACCTCATTTTGTATTTTATCGATAATGAAGTAGCAAAATCTTGAAACGATAAGCTTTCTTAAGACCCATTCACAAAGCAGCCTTTCGTTTGGAAACGTTGGTCGACCAATGACTAATGACCTTCCTTGTGAGGCTTCATGGTAGTGGTTGGAAGGTGAAAGGAGGGTTATCCATTATTGGCTATTTGGGGATGCCGGAACAGTTATAGGCCTGTATAGAAAGATGCAACGTTGTTATTTAATCTTTAATTTGGTGGAGCTACTGAATGCATATGATGCTTTGTGAAACAAGAGGACCTGTCATGCTCAAAAAAGTTCTTAATCCTAGAAGATGATAAAATTTCTGAGGAAGCAATCAGTATGATGACTAGTTCTGGGTTTTTTTTTATCTCTTGCTCATTTTTCTACTACATAATGCAACCAACTTACATCATCTGAATGTTTCCTTCTACTTTTCAGCGATAGTACCACTCAGGAAGCCATGGTAGTCAATAAAAAGTTGACCGAAGAAGAGAAAGCTACTCTTGAGGTATGTTTTGTGGAAGTGTCCCATTTTCCTTTTTCTGAACAGTTTAGCTCAGATGAAAAATAATCATCCTTCAGCCAGCTTCATTGGTGGGTATTTGATGACATTGGCAAAGTGTAAAAAGTCTGTTTGTAACTTTGTATCCGGTGATACGAATTATCCATTTTTTTGTCAGTATAATTTTAAGTGCCAAATCTGCATCATTTTCAGTTATGCCATAATGTCACACATAGGTGTCAGTAACACCTCCCATGTTCTAGTTATAGAATTCTAATTTCATCTTCTTATTCTGCGGCAGAACAGATTGAAACAATATGAGTCTACACTCAGCATCTCCCCAAAGGATCCGGTTGCACTTGAAGTGAGTATTGAAATGTTATGAATGGTAGTTGACCTTCTTCTTGCTTCTTTCCAACTCTTCTCCTCTCCGTATTCCTATGATACTTATTTAATTTTCATTTGATAGTGATCTGTGGCTGGATGTTATAATTTTTGCCAGCTATGCTATTTCCCTGTCCTGTAGCCATCATTAGCTTCTCATCATTTCTGCAAATATCCTGGAACAGAATGTGTTGTTGTACTGAAATGCTCCTGTCCTTATATATCACATTAGCCTTGCTATTGAGTTCTAAAGCCAATGCTGTATGAAGCAATCTTTTCTATAATAATCAACATATCCCATGCTCGATATGAACTATATCCTGGATTTTGTGATTCACATGGGCCACTTCATTATCAAAGTGAAAGAATGTTTCTTAGGAACAGGAGCACAGCTTTTCTATTTTGGCAAAAAGAAAAGACAGCTGTAACATATTTGAGGGATCTTGCAGGGAACTGCGGTAACCTTGGCGGAGTTGGGGGAATATACCAGGGCTGCCTCTTTGTTACAGGATTTGGCAAATGTTAGTTAATCCTACTCATTTCCTGATTACTTGATAGTTGACTTTAACATTTTTCTTTTCCTCCAATGTGCTTGGTAAAAGTGTCTTTAGTTCTCTGAATTCTCTTGCTACCCGATGCATGTCAGGAAAAGCAAAATGACCCTGATGTTTACCGTTTGCTTGGAGAAATTAAATATGAACTTAACGACTATGAAGGCAGTGCTGGTGCGTACAGGATGTCGGCTAAGGTAAGAATATATGAACAGCAGCAGACCTCCAACCGCATGGTGGCACCAATTAGTGTCTAGTTCTTGTTCTTTAAGCTAAGTTATGCTCACTGTGACATTTCAATATCATAGGTCTCCAAAAGCACCAACTTTGAAGTTTTACGTGGACTTACTAATGCACTGCTTGCGTCCAAGAAACCAGATGAGGTACGTTAGAATAATAGAACATGCTTGTGCCATTAATGTTAGCTTGCTGGTTTGTAAGCGCGTGACACAATGAGTGATCGTATTGAAAGGGAAGGCGTTGTCAGTCCACCAATGATGGAGACCTCTTGTGCTTGTGTACACAACAGCTAAATTCTAGGCATTTTGATAAGCTCACCTACACTAACACCATAGTTCCTGCCTTCGCTTGATAATATCTCCAACTTACCCTTTGGTGAAGGCTGTTAAATTCCTATTGGCTTCTCGAGAACGGCTTACATCTGAGAGATCAAGTGCAGCTGGGGCCAAAGCTGATGATGCACAAATGAAGGATCAACCAGAAGTCGTAGATCCTATTCAGGTCGGTTGCCTCGCTTATAATGTTGAACCAAGGATGTCTGACATGGTAAAGGATCCGAGGCATATTATCATATCGAGGTCATCTGTTAGTAAGCAAGAAATTGCAGAATTCATTTATCAGGGTGACCTTTATTATCATAGACAAGACAGTGATAGCACGAAATTATTGAACTGTGTTCACTTATGCTGCCAACCCTTATGGTAGACGAAACTGGACTATCGTAACTCGAATCATTTCCTGCTTTTCAACATACGTGCAGGTCGATTTGCTACTTGGGAAAGCATACTCGGATTGGGGGCATATCAGCGATGCGGCATCAGTCTACGATCAGATCATCTCCAGTCACCCTAATGATTTTCGGGGCTACCTGGCAAAGGTAAACAAAGAAAAAAGAGCAAAGAACACTCGACAGTTAACCTCTTTCTTTCCCAGATCAAATAATTATTCAGCTATCTCGGTTGTTGATAACTTGGGAAAATTGCAGGGAGTTTTACTGAAGGAGAACGGGAACCCAGGAGATGCTGAAAGGATGTTTATACAAGTGAGTAGTAGTCCATTTGTACAGTCCATGTATACAACGAGAACACAATCTTTCGAGTTCCATTGCTTATATCAGAGATCCGTCTTAATGTTGCAGGCACGATTTTTCGCACCAGACAAAGCAAAGGCCCTCGTTGATCGATACGCCAGGAAATGATCGATTGACCGGACCAATCTGTGCCAATCGGTTTTGGTAGTTTGGGCACTTACTCGGGGGCATAAATTAGGTAATGTCATGTACCACGCCCCATTTCATGAGTTAACAAGTTCATCCATGAATAGGAAACAGCCGCCATTCTGCAAAACAGCAACGAGAGTCTGTAATGAACGTCTTGACGCGTTTCTAAAGCTGCACTGTATTAACGTACATAGCAAGCAGGCTTGCGACGAACCAAGAAAAAGGAAACAAAGAACAAAGTGCCTACTAATCGACATAACGATTGTGCAGCCGATGGCCCATTGGCCATGGTGCTACAATTAGACACCGAAAGGGAGCTACTTGGCCATGGATGGCAATTTCCAAAACATCACGTACAAACCGCCGAATTCCAGAGGGAGATCCTGCAAAACAAGTAGAAAGCAACCAGAGTATCAATAGACCGGTTCAAATTATCGTAGAAACTGATTCCAGACAGCCCCCCTGCAAAACAAGTACAAAGCAAACACCAGAAGAGCATCAGTAACAAACCAATCGGTCCAAACGGGAAGGAAACAAACTTACATAAATCTATACTAAAGAGCAAATATTGCCAAACCTCGTCTATCTACACGAACATCATCAACTCTGGCCTGCTGTACACGTTATTCTCCTCGTTGTCCATAATAGGGTAAGCAGCCACAAGCGCGTCCTGCGCGCCAATGTAGAGGGAGTTGTATATCTTCCAGTAAACCTCCCTGACCTTCCTCGCAGGATGAAACAGCCCCTGGAGACAATAGTTCAACACGACAGCAGGGCCAAGAGCCACCATCATCCCTTCTATGGCTTCCGTCACAGCATTTATCACGTGGGGAGACGTCTCGAATATGTTCGGCCACACATAGTTGAGCAGGTGGACCAGAGCGTCCTCACAACCAAGCCCAGCAACACCCAGTGCCATATGCTTCACAGCCGAAGCTGCAGTCTGCCGGTGAACCAAGTCCCTGTCCATAAGTGCATCCTCGAGCAAAGGCGTCACAGCATAGATATAGTCCTTCCCCATCTCGCCAATGTACTCGAACAGAAAAGAGAGCGACTTCAAAACGCCATTCTGGACATTCAGCTCAGGAACTCGGTACTCGTTCATTAAAGCAGGCAGAACCGTGAAGGGGGAGCAAGTCTCGGCGACTATAGCAATGGCGACGGTTGTGCAGACACGATTTTGACGCTCCTGGACCTTCAGATTGTTCAGCAGGGTTGCAAGCACATCTTGTGGACCGATGGCCTTGGCAATGTATCCAAAAGTGTTGACTGTGGCTCGCCGAATACCTTTCTTGTGTGCCTTGAGCATCTCGAGCAGTTCAAAACATATCCTCATCCATTCTCTAGCTGGAACAAATTCAGCTCCACGATCTGCTATACGTCCGACCAGATCGATACAGTTCTCCTGGACTTTCTCGTGTCTATTCTTCAGGATAGGTGTCAGCCTAGGAAGCAAGTCCTTGATTGGTGGTGTCATTTTGGTCATACCAATAACATTAACAATTGCCTTAAGAGCTCCGAGGATTGACCCTAGTACTTCAGGGTACTCTTCTCCCAAATACTCGTAAAGAACGACACCAAGATGGCCCATGAGTTGCTCCTCATGGCACTGCTTCATCACCACAGCGATTCTAGAAATAAGATCAGCTGCTTGTTGTCTTACTTTAGCACTTTTGTTGTTCAAGCGCCACTTTATGGTACCACAAATTTGAGGGAGATATGGTTTGACCCTCTGCCCGAGAGAATTGACGACTGCTCCAAACCCATTAAGCATCACGTTAGCATCATCGTTTGTCTGCTCTTGGAAAGCATATAATATACCATCTATTAAAAGCTCTTCCAGCCTAGCATCAATATCAGAAGAACCCAAGTTTGTGACCACCTTTTCGATGGTTTCCATAACCATACGTCGATAAGGTTCACTCTCGTCTTTAAGATCCTCAACAATTCCCCCCACGATATCTTTGACACCAACCTTGTTGGCAATCTCCACAGTTGTTTCCACAAGTTGCTTATAGTTTCTTCTATCCAATGCCATCCTTCTAACCCAAAAGTTCTTGAAGAATTCAGGGAGGATATCAGAACGGATGTAATCTGGTTCCACGCCCTCAGTGCTCACACATTGCTTCACCACTTTCAGAACAATCTTCATCATTTCTTCATCTGGAGACTGAAACTCGCGAATGAGGATGTACATCACTTCCTTAGTGTAGTATGATGCGTACATGGCATCCATCAGGGGGATAATAAAACCGATTGCCTTCAAGAATGCAGCCAAGACCTTACCACGGTGGGACCTAATTCCCTTCCACAAGGGTTTCAGAACAGAATCAAAACTTTCAATACCATAAGGAGCAGCAGCCTCGGCAAGAGCAGCCAACGACAAAGCAGTGATGGTCCTCACTTTCTGGTTCTCGTCATTAAGTCCATGCTCTATGATTTCAACAAGGGACCTCAAATGAGGGAGAACAGCGCACCCAATCAGAATAGCAATCTGCTGCACAATTTTGATTCCGGTGTGACGAGCTTGCCATGACTTCTTACTCTGACATACGGCCTTCAAAAATGGCAGGAGTGCGGGAATCCCAAGAGCAGAAGCCACAACACTGAAAGCCCTGGCAGTGGTATTCCTAACATACTCATCAATATTATCAATATCAGGACGCATTGCAGCAATCATAGTGGCCAAACCAGCAGCTTTGCTCAAATTAGAAATGATCTCCCTTCCTTCAACACGGGCATAATAGTCTTCATCAATCAGCAGTGGCTCAATGACAACAAGAATCTTGTGCACATAAGGCCTAACCAACTCATCCAGCTTATATAAAACTCTATCAATTACCTTGACCAGAAGATGTCTCTCCTGATCCTCCAATGTGGGCTGCATAAGCAAAGGCAAAATCCTATTGAACAGGGGGCCAGCGCCCAAATCTCTTGCCTTATCTGTCAACTGCCTCAAAGCGGTCTTCCGCTGTGGCGGTGTTCCATTCTTAACCTTCAACAACAGCTTCATAATCTTCCTCTCTTTTTGCTCATCAGGTGACAACTCTTCCTCCTCATCCTCATTCAAGAGAGATCCAAAGTACTGATAATCCTCTGGCTTCATAAACGGCAACCCACCAGGAACTTCCTTCGGCACATCATACTGCTGCCCCCAATTCTCTTCAGGTATAGAATACAGAGGAGTCCCCATAGGAGTGGGTGTAGCCAGCAACTTCCTGGCAGGAGTCCTAATGGGAACATAAGATGTTGGTGGCTCCAAAATCTTGTACCCTTCCAGCGGAAAGATAGCATCCAGTTCCTCATCAGTCAAAGGTCTATTCCTCTCTTCAATATCCTTCTCCCATCTCAGAAGATTATACTGCTCCGGGGTAATAGCACCACGTTGCATAAGACTTGGCGTTGGGGTGGCCAATTCAACACCGCCAACAGGAGTAACACCAGGGGTAAAGGCAGCAGCAGCAGCAGGTGTAGCCCCAGGCATTGGAGTCGCACTCCCCATAGTTGCAGGCGTTTCATCCCAACGTGATCTCTGCCTTTTAGGCGTCGGTGTGGCCAACCCTTTGGGGGTTGCATCCCAAGTCACACCAGCAGGCGTAGCACCAGGAGTCGCATCAGAATCAGCAACCCTACCGGGAGTCGGCGTTTCATCCCACCTATTCCTCCTCCCGGCCGACGGAGTCGCATCACCGACCCTACCAGGCGTGGGAGTAGCATCCCACCTCCCGATTCCAGGCGTGGCGTCGGGTAAATCCCAATCAGAGCCAGTCTTCGCTTTCTTCGCCGCCGCACCATCACCTCCTTCATCCTGCGACATATCCCATCGATTCCTCCTCTTCGTAGGAGGAGGACCAGCAGCAGCTACTGGTTCCTTCACAACTTCAGCAGCCTTCCCTTCCATCTTCTTAGCGATTTCCTTCAACGTATCCTCTCTATCTCTCTTCAGTTTCTCCTCCCTCATCACATCCACGAAGGTCCTGGCCGTCTTATCCCCCATCGCAAAAGCATCGTGCCTGTCCGGAGAAAGCTTCCTGTCCAGTCTCTTCCGCCGGTAATCATCCTCGCGGTCGAGAATCCTCGACGGCTTCTTGAACCCGCCGTCTCCCTCGTCGTCTCCCCCGCAAGGCATCTCCTTGAGGAGCGACTTCGGGGCGGTGTAGGAAGGAAGCCTGCGAGGGCCGTCATTGTCGCCGATATCGTTGTCGTCCTCGTCGTTAGCGGGGATCGAAGGGACGTAGTCGTCTTTGTCCGTTCCTCCGTAGAGGTCCTTGTCGTAGGTGAGAGAAGTCAGGGAGGCGAGCTCCTGCTCCATTTTCTTCCGCTCCTCCTGAGTCTTTGCTATCTCGGGATCCATTGGAGCAACTCAAGAGGAGACAACTGAGTTTGGATTAGGGTTTTCTACCGGAGCTGATCTGAAAGATGTCACTGGAAGGAAGAAGCGATTCAGATTTATATATGAGTTAGGGTTCTGAAATTCCCGCGGAAAAGGAATCCATTATCCTCACCGGAGAAGGAGTAAGTGAATTAATTAACCGACTCAGAGGAGAGCCACGATATGGTCGGTTTAGGTTCTGGATCAGTTCCTTGGTATATGGGCTTTAGCATCGTTGGCGGATCTGGGCCGGCTAATATATGGGATTAGTCCGATTCTTTCCTTGATGGGCCACTGGTTTTAACTTTTAATGGACCTGTGATTCTCTAGTTGACCCGACGAGCTTTTCGTTTCTCCACAATGGATAATTTTTGGCAAAATACAGTTCCATAGCCAAAACTTTCACGTTTGTGCCAATAATAGCCACATTTGGCGAAATACCACTTATAGCCACCTTTTGAAAATGTTGTTGGACAAATATAGCCTTTTCCGTTAGAAACATTGACGGCGTTACTGACACCGTCAAATAAGTAGACGGTTTGCTGATTAGGCGAGAAGAACTCGAACACGTCAGCGCCAACTAAGCAAGTCTTGACACGTCATCTTGACACGTCATATATTACATTATTAAAAATAAAAACTTATATATTACATATATAAATATTTAATTAATCTTTTACTTATAAATATTTAATTAATTTTTAAAAACAAAAATATTTTATAACAAAAAAATCATTACCTTCTCAATCTTCGTTCCCATCTTTATAAAAAAAGCATTGTTCCAATCTAAGAACCCAGCGTCACCGTCGCCGGAAACTTCTCTCGCATCCGGCACCTACTCTTCTCCATCTCCACGAACTCTCCTCCCTCCAGAACACACCAACCCCCAAGCCCAGATTCATCCACCAAAAAATCATGGAGAAGAAGAATCGACTTCGTTACCCTTCTCTCCGTCTTCCCACCTTCATCTCCTCTTCTATTGGGTGGAACCGCTGGGTAGAATCCTAGGTCTCCGTCGTGTTTCCCAGCTCCGGTAGCAACAGTCAACCCACCTGGCCACCGAGTCCGACGCTGAAACCCGTCTCGTCTTCCTCTCCGAAATGACAAATAGAAAGCGCAAAGCATGACGTTGCTGACGGAATCACCAAACCAACACCGGCAACCACCACCGTCCCGTCTTCCTCTCTGTTATACTCTAATGGCTGTTTTTCTTCATCTTCTTGTTTCACCTTTTTCGCTGCTCGTCACCCATGTTCCCAGCTCTCAAGCCCATTCTGTTGCTTCGATTAAGTTTTCAGATAGAACAAATTTCCAATTTCCACCTTTGGGGTTTCATTCCTCCCTCCATTCTTAGTTTCTCGTATTAATTGTCGCTCTGTTTTCTTCCCCCAAAAGTACTCGAATTTTCAATTTTAACCTAATTTCCTCTCCTACCCACTCCATGTAGTGTAATTTCTCGACCTGGGTTCTCGTCTGTGTTTTGGAATTGGGATGGATTGCAGATTCGGATCCTCCGATTCAAATGACATTATGATGGATCTGCTCGAGCTTGTGGTGGTCGTTAAGGACGGAGAGAGGGATCCCTAGGGATCGGATTGCTCTTCTGCGCGCGGGGAAGGAGCTGTGGACTCAGTTGCAGTAGAGAGAGCGGGGTCTGGAGATAGAGATAGATAGAGAGAGAGAGAGAGAGAGAGAGAGAGAGAGAAGGGGGAGGAGTTACCGGAAAGCTGAAGAAGAAGATCGGTCGAACAGAGCGGCGGCGGGGGAAACGAAAGAGGAAAGAAGAGAGAGGCGAAAGTGAAAATATATTTTTTATTTTTTTATTTCTTTTTCTTGTTCTTTGTATTTTGTATTTTTTTTAAGTTAAATCCAAGTGGCAATGTTACTGACGAAACGTAGCCATGTCAGCATTTCTGTTAGTCCAGTCAGCTTGTTAGATGACACCGTTAAAGAATTGGACGGAAGTGGCTATAAGTGGTATTTCTCCAAATTTGGCTATTATTGGCAAAATCGCGAAAGTTTTGGCTATACAAGTGTATTTTGCCATAATTTTTCCCCATTTCATTGTCATATATGACAACTAGCTTATAACCCGGCCCTGGCCGGAATACTCATATTTGATTATTTGTATTTTTATGTTACTTTTAAGTCTATTAACTTTTTTAATCTTATTGATAATCATTCGATCGAGATGATACATAAAGAAATAATATATAGGTCGAACATTCGGAGAAATATCATAATCATTTAAGAATATAAAATATAAAAATGTATCATTGACCCCATTTTCATAATGCTAATTAAGTCCCTGTTAAAATGCTATTGGTTAGTTTTTTTTACAGTCAAGAAATATAGAGTATTAAAGCTCACTGAAATTCTCACACACCCCATAGATAGTTTGAAACTAAATCTTAAACCTCACAATCCTATATAAAGGGTTCAATGCTCTCCTTTTAGAAACAATATGTCACTAATCAAAAAGAAATGGAGAGTTGTTGATTCAAGTCATCTATATACTAAAAACTCAGCTAAGAGGGGACCATCACAACTTGAGAGCAAACGAAAAAAATCAGGGTTATCTCCAATATGCGAATAGACTCGATCAAAGTAATAAGGCGCAAAATTAGACACTCCTTATCTATTAGTTCCAGTAGGTTGAATAAAGAAGCAACCTATTTCAAACAATCAATCAATGATTCCTCATTTTAAGATAGAAATAGGTTGTGACAGTTGCAAAAACCATAAACCTAAAGATCTAATAGCCACCACTCTCCGTTGTACAACCAAATTTCTATCTCAAGAGGCATATATTCAACCAAAAATTCAATTTCTAATCCTCCTTCTACAACTTCAGTTATTGATGAACTCCATTCTATTCGCCATGAATTGATATCGGAGTTGAAATCTTCTACTCGCCCAGCTTAAAATCCCCAACAATAAAACCGTAGTGCCAAGAGATACCTGAAGATTGATTTTCAATGACAGTCTTGTACTGGGAAGTGAAAGGAGCAAACTATTGCACGATGGATGAAATTTCGGAGGAAGTTAGAAAAAGAAAAGAACAAAGATAAAAAAACAAAAAAAATTATATTTAAATTGAAAATGCAAGGATACAACACGTAGTTACATAATTAGTTTCTTCCAAGTTAGCCAATTACCAATTTATCTTTAGCAAAAATTAAGGAGAGAGCGGGAATTTAAAATTGAGAAAATTACATGAAACTCTACTATGAAAATAGAAGTATCAAGCTCGATAAAAATACATACGGTAGACTTAGTGAGCTTGCTAATTATGATGAAAAAGTCCTCTGATTTTCAGAGATTAACTTTGTCTATTTTTTGTATAAAAAGGATGCAATAAATTTGTTTAGTGTAACTGGTTGTTATTGTTAATTTGGTATCTTTGTTTGAAGAGACCCAGGTTCAAATCTTGATATTGCTATTTTTATATGAAATAAATAATAAATGTGTAAAGACAAAAATGACATTCCTACTTTCACTCTGTTGCAGGAAATTTGAAATGGAGAAAAGTACAGAAAACTCTACCATATATTAATGGAGGATACCTTTAGGGGTCGTTTGGATGAGAAATTCTAATGGATCAATCTGACACAATTGTCTCGTTTTGAGTCAATTGTTCTAGATTGATCCGTTTGGCAGCAGAAAATTTGGATGAAGCAATTTGGACTGGGGAATTCTGAATTGACTCATTTTGAGCCAATTACAATTGTCTGGGGTGGGGGCAAGTAATCTGAATTGACTCATTTTAAATGACTCGTTTTGTAAAATGAAACCATTGGTCAAATTGTCTCGTTTTACAATTGATCCATCCAAACGACGCTTAGTTATTTCATGGTTGTGGTTTCTCGATTCATTTTTGAAAGATTTCATTAAATCGCATTTGACAAAGTGAATCCACTTCTAACTGATTAGGGTATGTAAATTATTTAGTTGTATTGTAAATGCGAATTGGACCCCGCCATATGAAATTGGAAATGGATTTCATGGATGTAGATGAAATGAAAGTTAAGAAATGAAGTTGTAAAAAGGTATAGAGGTGGCGGTACAGACCACATATGAAATAGACAGGCTATTTTCATGGTTGTTGATGGTCAAAGGGGTTGCTAAAAGTTCGAGGAGATTCTAGCTGGTAGCTACTACTCCTTGGTTGAGCATATTCTAACATTTTACAAAATTAATAAATTTTAAATAATCAATCAGATAGTTTTGTTTTTCAATTTATAACGCTCCTTCACATTTTTGTTTGATTTTGGTTCCAATTATTGATCATCGAGCTCATTCCACCCATTGAATTCTTGCTTGTCGAAAGGATTAGTCCTACACTTTTTTTTTGAAAATGAGTTCATTAAGATTACAAAACGGGCCAATCCCAACCGGTAAAGATACAGATGGAAACAAGAGTAAACAGAATCAAGACAAAAAGGCCCAAAAAAGAACTGGATACCCAATAGGGCCCAGTCCAAGAACCCAAACATTGTCAAAGCCCCATCAACCCTAGTTGACCGTCCGCTTCCCTCTGGACGCCTCCACCGCCGCAGCCAACTCTCCACCACCACTTGAAATCGACAGCCGCGTTGACCCCCACCAGCCACCACCAACTCTCTTCAAAACGGTAGGAGAATCCACCAAACCCGAACTGGCAGGGAGAGGAAGAGGGCCTCCCATGCAACCCGCCCCGAGCCAGTCGCCATCAGCTTCCACCGTCCAAATACCGGGGAACCCATCAGGACGACCGACGACCGGTGAAGCAGCCAGAGGGAAGAAATCTTCTGCTTTCAAAGCTCTCCAGACCGTGTCCTCGCCAAGGGCTCCATCTCCGAAATCCCAAGATCTGCAAGGGAAAACATGGAGGTAGACAAAGGAAAGAAGAGGAGAAAACAAGCCAGATCTGTGATAGATCTGGCCACCATTTTGCATCTTAGAACGGACACCTCTCCAGCTCTGAAACAACAGAACGGAGGACAAAAAACTCAACCCACTGAAGGGGAGGAACAGATCCCACCAAGGGGAAAGGAAAACCGACTAAGTCGAGCAAAACTCAAGCAAAGACAAGGCAGGAATAAAATTAAAGAGTTGGCAAAGGAAGGGAGAAAGCATAAAAAAGAACAGAGGGGGCGGAGGGCTGCCGCCGGTCGCCGGAAGAGTGCCGGCGGCAGCCCCCATGGCTGCTTGGGAAGATGGGTTAGAGAGAAGGCAGAGGAAAAAATCAGGAGAGAGAAGGGTTAGAATGTCCCTGGAGCTAGCCAGAACCAAAACTTGAGAGAAGAGGAGATGAATACAAAATAAGGGGCGGTCAGATGAAAATGATGGATTAGTCCTACACGGTGTGCATAGATCATGATGATGATCGGAAGCACAGGAATGCAACGATGGATTCACTTGAGACCAAAGGATTTTTCTCCGCCTATGGATGTGCATGGCCAGTGGCGGACCCAGGATTATTGAAGATGGGTGTCGCCGATAAAAATTATAATAATTAAGATAATGAAATAAAAATTTAATAAAATTACTGGAAATTTATTTATAAGTTCACAACCTCATGTTTACTACGAATTATGACGATTTTTCATATTTGAGATTTTTTTAAAATACATTCATCGTTTATGTTGCAAATCAAACCTTTTTCGATATACACAACTACATAATCATTCATAAATTAGTCACTCAACTAAAGAGAATCGACCTACGTCTAAAATCAAATTAAAGTAAAATAAATTAGTTTGCTACCAATCGGCCATTTTAGAAAAAACAAAGTATGCCTAAGTAATATCATTAGCATTTTTTCTCTAGTTCTATCAAATTAACCAAAATCAAACCACAATCTCCCATAAATATAGGCAATTCACCTATTAACTACAAATCAATAAGTTAAATTGGGTTGTGGGTTACTTAAAACAACCATGCTTATTTGATTTTACTTATTATTGTTAAATACTAATTATGACGAATAACTTTATAACATTAAAACTATTGTCATATAATGAAAGTGTGTCGCTTATAATTATTAGAGCGGTGTCGGAAGTTCCAAATTAAAAAATTTTGTACCGAAAAAATGGAGGTCCTTCACAAAATTTTCGAGCGGAGGGGTGTCGGACGACACCCCTCCCTTGCCCTAGGTCCGCCCCTGTGCATGGCCCCCGAACATTGCATGGTCGCGGGGGCCAATGCGACCAAGGGTCACCAAGCTAACGAATTCTTGTTAACCAAGGATCACGACTATCAGATGACGAAGCAGGTGTGCGATTTTTGCCATCGTTGGTCTCGAAAGGATTCATTGCAGTATAAAGAACAATGCCTTCATGATGCATTGGCCGGCCGTGTATAACTCTAGCTTTAGCCTTTGTAAATACAGAAAAGAGAGGCTAATCCATGTCTGTACAACAATCTGCATCTTCTGGCACACATTTGGAAGCTTAGTTACAACAAGAACGCTTATTTGCTGAATACAATGTATGATGGGCTGAAGTAAATGAGGAAGCAGAAACAAATGTGGTGCATATAATCTTCACTTACTATCATCCAAAATCCCAACCAGGCATTTCTCCATTAAGAATTCTGCGTTCACCCAAGCATGGTATTTATCTGGCAATGAAGCAATAAGGATCGCAAATTGAACAGACAAACCATCTCTCTTTCATCTGTAATTTTGGACAAATTAAATGAAAGGTTCGTAGGAAAAGATCGTGCTATCGAATTAAAATGAGTACGAACTGGGAAAAGGATACTGAATAGTGCTTTACAGTCCTTGCCAACCGCCCTCATCAACATATCAACACCTGCAGTTGAGTTGATAGATATACGAATGGAGCTTAAGTGCGCAAATTATGAATCCAAAGAAAAAAAGAAGATTATGGTACATATTTCATATGGAATCTCCATCTGCTTACCTCCCGGATGAAACTTCATGTATGGGGACAAATTGTACACACGACCCTTCAGCACAGTCCACATTGAACCTTCTGACTGGTGTTGTTTAACTTCATTTATGGAAATTAATCTCTTGTTTGATTGTCCTTTCAATCCTAGCAACACAAGACTCACGGAGATATAAAAGGCATATTACTTTCATAGCAATCTTTATAGCATGTCGGCAATCATCCGTAGCCCTAAGATAACAATGGTACATGCTTACAGCAACAAAAAGACAGATTCGATTGTAGTCGAATGCCTGCTCAGCAGAATAAACTAGTATACTGTATACCTGCAAGATCAGGGTGCGTTCGAGTTAGGTTAAGCCAATCCATTTGGCTATACCCCTTCTCAAAAGGGACCTTGGCTCGGGCTGCAGGCTTCCTAGCAGGAGCCTGTCTTTGAATATTCTTGGCAGAAGTTTCCCCATTTCTAGTTGCTACCAGTGGTGATGACTCACTCGACTCTCGTGGTATTGATTTATCAGTGACAGTGAAAGACAATGTTCCAGCATTTTTCTCCTCCTTAGAAGAGGCACCATCTTTGCAGACAACACTACTACCCTTATCGTCACTTATTCTTGTCGACTTGTCGCCTTCAATTGTTATTCCACCCATCTCTGATGCCAGAGACTTCGCCTTGACATCATCTCCATCAGCAGATGAAGCTACCTGATTGTTAAAAGAAAAGCACAATCCTGAGTCCCAAAAGAAGAAAAGATTCCCACACCAATGGTGTCTAGAACGGTAGAACCCAACACTATCGAATTGACTGAGACTCATTCTATGTAGAACATTTCACTTGCCTTGCAAAAGGTGAAATCATCGGCATTGTCCATCTCTCACAAATGAAACAGCCTAGTAATCAGCTGAAGCAAAACCCTCCTGCGGGCACAAATATGATGTACCCTGCAGTTCAACCAGCTTCAGTGACTTAAGCTAACAAAAATGATTGCCATTGAAACATCAAATGCAAATATAAGACCCCTCTAATAGATGGCTTCTATACACAACAGTAACTGAAAACTCATCTGCTCCTCCATTCACTAGTCAGAAGAAAGGATAACATTTGCACAAAACAAATGAAGTTTTCTTTTCACAGAAGCTGCCAGTCTTCAACATACAGCTTTTACCTCACCATTCCCATAGAAATTTGAACCATACGACCCAAGATCTTTCAAGGGTGCGTTTTTCTTCTTCTTCTTCTTCAATCAATCGATTTCATGCAACGAACCCACAGTTCAACTTCAACCACACAAAAATTTGGCGCTATCGCTTACAATGAACAGAACCGCCCTCGTCCAAATTCCATTCCCAACAGAAAACTGAAAGAAGAATTACCTTAGAAGATGGGAGGATCAGACTCAGCTTCTGGCCTGTGCTGGAGGGAATCAGAATGGACGGACGGGAGTTGGAGCGGCGATCTTTCTCTCGGCGGAACGGGGAAAGGAGTAAGGCGGTGCTGGCGGCGAGAGTCCAAGAGAGAGAGAGAGAGGCGGACAGCTGGCTTGCGATCGCTACCGAGGGAAGCGGATGGCGGTCAAGCATCCAACGGCGATCGTCGGAGAGGATGTAGAAAGCAATCGGAGAATTAGAGAACGGACCAATCACGATTCATGGAAGAAGAAAAAAATACAGTAATAAGTTTGGTTTTCTAAAATCCCCAGCGGCTATTTGGCAAGCCGTGGTTTGATTTCACCAATCGGTTTTTATGCGGTTCACCCATCAAACCAAGTATCGATCGACGATAGGTGCGACTCCCTCTGCTCGATAACCAAAGTCGTAGTAACAAGTCGCTAATTAATTCGGCCGGTCGGTTCAATGTAATCCCACTGAAATCGATTATTTGAACCGTTGAAATGCATTTTGGCTGGATGATTCCTGAAAAGTCAAAAAATCGAATTTAACTAGTCAGAATTAATTGGTCTGACTGGGGTTTTGAAGATGGGCACTGATAATTTTTAGTAATATATTTTTATGAATGTAGATTTGTGCAACCGTTGTAACATATAAGAAAAAAGATATGCGTACTTTATTTGATATCAGAGGTTTCCTTACATATTCAGTTAAAACCGACTTAAACTGATTCAATTCGATCCGATCATTAAGTCTTCCTCCACTTACCATATCAATTTAACAACTAGATCAAGTTTGAGAATCTTGTTACCAACATACAATTTCAGTTACCAAACCCATCTATTTATGTTTCACAATCCATGATAAACTATTTGTCGTTTAAAAAAAAAATTCTACGCCCAAGAATCAGCAAGGTTGTCAATTGCGGGTCGGTTCGGATTGACCCTGATCCGATGAGCAAAATGAGCCATACACACCCGCGGGTTGACCCCGCAATAGTGTTCTTGGGTTGGAGGTAACACGACGTCGTTTTTTTTTTTCTTCGTTTGTGAATTACACCTCTTTTTTTTATTTTTCCCTTCGTCTAACTCTATCTTTGGATTTCTAAGTTGAACATTTAAATATTTGATTTGAGCGTATTTAAATTTGCCAGCCACTATATGATGGATTTAAGTATAAACCGTTATTTTAGTGTATTGTTATATGTTTTTACCTATGTGTTCAATGAGATTTGATTTTAATGTATAAATATATGAACAACATAATTATTTTTTCATAAAGACGGACTACTAAACCAAACTAAAAGTGATTGGATGATTTACGTTCCATTTAATTGCTCGACCGGGCCAACGGGTGAAACCGGTTGACCAGTGACCATTTGAAAACCCTAAACCCTCCGGGGAAAAAAAAAGAAAAAAAAGAAGCAGCCGCGAAAAGAAGCAAAAAATAACAATAAAATTGTCAGAAAGAGAAGGAAAGAAGGATATAAGCTGAAAAACAGAAAAAAAGAAAAGGAACAACGAAAGCAAAATATCTTTTCTGGAATTTTTTCCGAATTACCGTCCGTTCTTCCTCCTCCGACCTCCGTCAATGTCCCCGAAGTCGCCGTCGCACTGTCACCCTCGCGCCTCTTCTACTGCTCAGGCATCCTCCTTCTCTCCTTTGGCTACTTCTCTTCTCTGTTTCTTTTGTGTCATTTAGAAACAGCTCAAAGGAAGAAAAAAAAGCTTGAGATCGTTTTTTTCCATAGAAATTTTTTTTGCTGTTTGTTCGCTGTTGTTTTTCCCTGAGGAAAGAGGCAGGAGATTTTGCCAAGTAGTGTGATGGATTTTGAATTGCAATCGCAGCAGAACGTGCAGACGAAGATGACGGCGGCGGCGGCGGCGAAAAATGGGACAGCAGTTTTGGGAGAAGGCGTCGTCTTCGGAGACGTTGGCGCCATGACCGTCTTGCTCCCCAAGGACATTGAGCTTGTGGACAAATTCGACGACCCACTTTCAGCAGTTCCTTCTTCGTCTCTTTCGCTTCCTGGTCTCCAGTTCCCCGTTCGGCTCCCGAACATTGGCCTTGCAATCCGAGTGAGCTTCTTTCTCTCTCCCTCCTCCATTGCTCGTTCACTTACGCACTGATTGCTAATTCCCTTGGTTTGTTGTTCACTTTCTCTGATTCTCTCTGTCGAAGTTTATTAAAAAGGAACAGACTGGTTGAGTATCTTGCACAGATTCTGGTCAGTCATCAGTCTGGAATTGCTTATTAATATCACGAAGAAAACTTGGAGGGATCTAGATTGAACTTATTGGAACTTTTGGTTTGGATGCTAAAGCAGATTCTTTACATTTTCTTGTCCCCAGCCTTACTGTAATGGGAGTTTGGTTTCAATTAATATTCTGCTGCTTATCTTTGCTAGCTGGATTCTTCTGCTCTTTAATTTCATTTCAGGATATCACGAAGACTAGAGAAGTTGGGGAGTTCCTTAGTGGTGCATTAGCCGGGGCGATGTCTAAAGCTGTCCTTGCTCCATTGGAGACCATCAGGTTTTTTTATTCACTCTTCTGTTCTGTATGTATGTGTGAGGATTGTGGGGTTATGGTTTAATGAATCATCTATCGATCATAATGTCTGCAGAGTGCTGTTCATTTTGGCTTGTTTGTCTTACATACAAGTACAACCTAGGATGATTCCCTGAAGATGCCCTTGTTTTAGAATTTTTAGGATGCTTATAATTTCTTTTAATGTGCAGTTTGATGAAATCATGAAAACATACATTGTAAAACTTCATTGGGTAATACCCAACTGTAGGAATACTAGACATTATCCTTGGGGTTGATGGTCTCCTATTGGATCTCCCGACTCTAATGCATGCTTTCTGTTGTTACTAGAAATTCCTATTGATTGGATACCATTGGAGATAGTTGATTTGGATTCTTGAGGATATAACTAGGGAACAAGCTGTTATTTTCTCTGCTGCATTTTATTCTCTTCATTCTTCTTCCTTTCCCTTTCGAATCTTTCCTTTTTAGGGTCCCCAGGAATTGTGTCAACCTATTCTGTCAGCAAATCACATTGACAATGCTTTCCATGCACTAGAATAATGTTGAAATGTGTTCATATTATTAAAGTGTAGCATATGGGAAGATTACTTAAGTAAATCCTCTGTCTAGACCTTCGAGGTTCTGAGTCAATTACAGCAACTTATAACAGTGATTGGACTTGGGGATTTTAAGAGTTGAATAGAAGCTCAGCTGAAGTGCATATGTAGCTAAGAGTTGAACTTCGGAACTGCCTCCCCTATATTACCCATTAGTTTCACCATTCCCTTTAAAGTGGGGCTTGGATAAAACTTCGGAGATTGAATACAAAAAGGAGTATCTTCATTGGTGATTACCATTATCTTCTATTCCATAAGTCACTAGTTACCAGATTGAGATTCCTTGCTGAGCCACCTGCTATCTTTATCTCTTGCAGAACAAGGATGATTGTCGGTGTTGGATCTAAAAACATTCCTGGAAGTTTCATTGAAGTTGTTCAGCAACAAGGCTGGCAAGGGCTGTGGGCTGGGAATGCTATCAATATGCTTCGTATTGTCCCCACTCAAGCAATTGAGCTTGGTACATTTGAGTGTGTCAAGCGGGCCGTTACTTCAGCACAAGAGAAAAGTAAACAGTCTGAATGTCCAAGAGTGAAAATTGGTCCCATCAGTTTGAACTTTTCTCTTAACTTCATCCCTCCTGTTGCTGTTGCTGGTGCTGCTGCTGGATTTGCTAGCACTCTTGTATGCCATCCGCTTGAGGTTTTGAAGGTATTTTGAACAGATTATCTTGTTTGAATCTAAACCCTGCTAAAATAATCATTTTTTAACCTTAAAGCAACCTAAATTACCTCTCTGTGGCATATTTTACTTCCTGTTCTTGCTCAGCTCTATATGGTTATGACGTTTTGATATGTGAAGCTGCGTATCTAAACTAATTTCTATACTGCTGTACAGCAACTCGGTCTTAAAGGTGTAACTGGTCTCAAGTGCCTTGCTGCCCTACTAACATCTCTTTTTTCCTGACAGTTTCTGTTGCATTTCCCTTGCAGGATCGACTGACTGTGAGCCCTGACTTATATCCTAACCTAACTCTAGCAATTGGTAGAATATACAAGGATGGAGGGGTTGGTGCCTTTTATGCTGGCCTTAAACCTACACTGATCGGCATGCTTCCATATAGTACGTGCTACTATTTCATGTATGATACCGTTAAGAGATCGTATTGCAAGTCAAAGAATAAGAAGTCGTTAAGTCGCCCGGAGATGCTTGTCATTGGAGCTCTTGCAGGTGAGAAACACCCTCTTTGTTCTACTTATTTTCATTTTGTTTGCCACACATGCGCCATAATATACTGATACGATACCTTAGCCTCTAAACATATGTCAGATTGAGATGGTGCTTCTACCAATATGCATGCATCTTCTTCTCCATTTTGGATTCAGATGTACAATTTTCTTTACGCATTTCAGGATTGACGGCTAGCACCATCAGCTTTCCATTGGAGGTAGCCAGGAAACGACTAATGGTGGGAGCTTTGAAGGGTAAATGCCCGCCGAACATGGCAGCAGCGCTCTCGGAAGTAATCCGGGAGGAGGGACTACTGGGAGTATACAGAGGCTGGGGTGCAAGTTGTTTGAAAGTCATGCCCAACTCTGGCATCACTTGGGTGTTCTACGAAGCTTGGAAAGACGTACTCCTCGGCGAAAAGCGGCTTTCTTGACAGACAACCTACAAGTTTGCTCAAACATACAAGTGAACTCCCCCCAATCCTATCCCTCCTGAAATGTGGAAGGTGTGGTGGCTCTGACATTTTGCCTGTGCCGCTGTTTATGCCAGAGATCCACAGTGAGAGTCTTCACAAGCTTAGGGCAATAATTCGACTCCGAGCCCTGTATCACATCTATATGACCATTGTAATGAGTAGGCGAGGCCTTGAGGCTTCAAAATTTTTGGTGCCAATCTTCTTTTTTCATGTACCACCCCAGACAGGTCTTCATAGAAGCTGTCTACTACCCTACTATCCGTCTCACTTGCCGATTTTGCTCCCATCATTTTTGTAGTCTCCAAAGAAGCAAAATGACTAGACAGTAAGCTTACAGTGATTATGTATGTTCAGGTGAATAATGCTTTCACTCAGTTCATCTCAGTCTTTTTCAGATGTTACGGAAGTTGCTCGTCGACGAAATTGTCCACAATGAATTTTATGCACATTTGATTGAATGGAGATGAGCAGAGGAATTCATGCAAAGCTCTAACAATGAATGAGCTGTCTTATATCATATCTAGAGAAAAACAACCAAACCCCTCAGGTAAGTTACATGGAGAAACGCTGACACAAGATTTGCGGCTCGTGAACTGATTGGAGCTTAGCTCGTTAGCTATCGAATTCCACAGACGAGTTGTTACTTTGGCCTAACAAAACTGATTTGAGCTTGGCTTGTTAGCTATCTGATTCTGCAGAAGTGCTGTTGCTTCGGCCCAGCAACCAAGAGAGACAACTGCTGCATGTTTCCGAGTTGTCAGCCAGCATGAAGAGGCAGAACATGCACAATGCTGTTACCCAAAAGAAAGTCGGTATCGTTAGTTTATATATTGAGATAATAATAACAATGGTTTTGCAGTACGGACAGGGTGCAACATAAGCAGAAAGTTCTTGTGGAGTGCAACGTTAATGTAGATTTTACCAGCATATGCAACTGTGACCCCTGAAACCACTCGTCCCAATGCCGATAGCGTGTAGAGACAGATTACAACCTGAGGAGGGAACATATAGCAAGTATTAGGATTCTTCACAACGCATCATATCTGCAAACCCAAGAAACAAAAGCAAGACAGATTGCTGGTGCACTAAGGTGGACCTTAAGTCAGATAAAAATCACGGTCGTAGTTCTTTATCTACCTAAATGACGTTCTCATTGCTATACCAAGGGCATGAACCAAATGATGTCATCCAATTATCATCAATTGAGGTTCAGGAGTCTGTCCAAAACAGATCTTTCTTCTTCTGCCCTACCTCACTAATTTGTTAGCAAAACATTGCAATGCTCTGTGGCTGTGATAGAACCTGTGATTAGGGTTCTATCGAGAATTGGGGATTTAGGGATTAAGAACAGAATTAGGGTTTTGAGAAGAGAAAGATAGAGAATCGGCCTAGGCCTTTAGAGGGATTGGGAACGAGAATTGAGAGGATTGGGAGGATAGGGTTTAGGAGAGGGTTTCTTAATATTCTTCTTGACTGATTCTAATAAAACGTAAAGTACATATTTATAACGAAAGACTGGAAAAACCTAATAGACTATCCTAATATGACTATCCTAATATGACTCAATGACTACTACCATATCTAATAATATCCTAATTATAGTAATTATGATAATTATGAATAAACCCGGAAATTGGGTTTCTATCATCCCCTCCCCCTTCAAACCAACCTTGTCCTCAAGGTTGACCGACTCGACCCATTTCTTAAACCTATCTCCCGTGTAGATCGCGCATTGTCTCCTCCACTTCTTGCGCTTCCTTTTCTTCCAATTGAGTTCCAACACTCGAACCCGACTCTTAACACAAGCAGCTCCAACAAAAATGACCTTCCTCCGTTTCCAATTGCGTACAAGTACGCATACTAGACTTTCCACGGCACCAAGGGCAATTGGCATCCTGATCGGCTACAGAAGTGGCGAGTACTATGGGTAGGCATTGGGTGGGTCGGGTGGATTTTGACCATAAAATGCACTCACCCGCGCTTAAATGGATTGATAATTTTTAACCCACCACCCACCCACATTTAGTTTCGGGTTGGGTCGGGCGGATGGTGGATGATGCGGGTGGGTTTGTGGGTTCAACCACATCACAATGTATATAATATAAAGGAGTCAACTTGACATGATAATAGGTGAAGAGAATCATCGAGGGAAACAAGAAATTGAAATAGGGCGAAAAATGTCGAATTAGTTCTTAAATTGGATAGAAATTCTATTATGAAAGAGTTTTCTACAGATTGAGACGATTATTAGGTGCAAGGAACTAAGGAAAATAATTCCACAAAGAAAAGAGCGGTGATCTAGGCACAAGAATTAGAGGAAAGTAGAGGGAAGAAGAGGGGGATCTCTATTTGGAAGGTTGGCTTTGAGGTTCAAACTCCAGGAGCAGTCCGAGTTTATATCTAACGTCTCCACTCTCCTCTCTCTGGCGCCAACGACTTTGATATTTTTGCTGTTGGGTTGAGCAGGTCACCAGCACACTCACCCACAACCCACCCACCACCCGGCGGATGGCTCCCAGCACAATCCGTCGCCCACCCACTTAACGAAATTCGGGTCAAATGCGGGTGGGTCGGCCCAAACGCGCGGATGATCCGCCCGCATGCCCAGCCCTAGCGAGTACCTCCTGAAGAGGTGGATAGGCAAGCTCCCCCAAGACATAAACTCATACACCTGAAACTTTGGTTCTTCTTCAATATAATAATCAATCAATTTGACCAATTTGGAATGGAAAAGGCTCCCAGAGCAATTAACTTCACCCAACCACTCTTTATGACCTTGAAGCTGCGTCCTCTGTATAAGCAAGCTCCTGCTACCGGTACAAGCTAGCTCCTGCCACCTTTTCGCCTCCGTGCGACGCGCCCGCGTCGCTGCCACCACGTCTGCCGCTTCCGTCGCCGAGAGCTCCCCCGCGTCGACGACCGCGGCCGCCTTCTCCTCATCGATCAGCGCAAACCAGGACAACCCGTCGCACCCCCCTTCCTTTGCCGAGCCCGCGACCACGACGCCCTTCACCGCCGCGCTCTGCGCCTCGCGCAGCCGGTCCGCCGCCACGGGCTGCTGCGCCTTCTCTTGTCGTGCCGTCACTGCAGCCACGACCCCGCGGTCGCCCGCCGTCGTTGGCCGCCGCGCCTCGCCTTCCGCGGCCTCGCCGCCAGCACCGATCTCCGCCGACCCCGCAGCCACCCTGGCGCTGCCGCTAGCACCAGCCTCCTCCCCCGCACGCCCATCGCCCGCTCCTGCCGCCAGCGCGGGCGCCGTCCCTCTCGCGCGCCGCGTCGGGCCCGACGGTACGGGGACCACCGCGGACGGATCGGCCGCCTCTTCCGCTGTTGCTGCTGTCCACCCGCGTTCCTGAGCCTCACGCTTGAGTTCAGATAACGTGAACTCTATCAGTTGCTTCGTACGAGCCCATGCTGGATCAGTGAGTTTCGAAGGACTCATGAGGGCTCTGATACCAAATGATAGAACCTGTGATTAGGGTTCTATCGAGAATTGAGGATTTAGGGATTAAGAACAGAATTAGGGTTTTGAGAAGAGAAAGATAGAGAATCGGCCTAGGCCTTTAGAGGGATTGGGAACGAGAATTGAGAGGATAGGGTTTAGGAGAGGGTTTCTTAATATTCTTCTTGACTGATTCTGAATAAAAACGCAAAGTACATATTTATAACGAAAGACTGGAAAAACCTAATAGACTATCCTAATATGACTCAATGACTACTACCATATCTAATAATATCCTAATTATAGTAATTATGATAATTATGAATAAACCCGGAAATTGGGTTTCTATCGCTGCAGTAGGGATAACAAGCGAGAGCCTCAAATCTTGAAGTTCAAAATATTGCAAGTTTGTGAACTTCCAACCAAATATCCAACAATAGACAAGAAACTCACAACCTTGATGTACTCTATTCAAGTCTCATTTATCAACCCCCTCAGGGAAACCAGCTTTACATTCAATGAGCTTATTTGAAAGAAAGCCAACAAGTTGAACTTATCAGTCCTAGCAAAGCCAAAGGAGCAATTCCCTTGTCTTTCAAGAACAATCAGATTGCAAGCCATCAAAATTATCTTCAATTCAACTCTGTTGTTTTCAACTGTAAATTTAAATCCTCCACCACTTATTCATTTCGAGAATATGAACAGAATAAAGAAAAAGCACAAGAATAACAGCACCACCTTTAATGGCATATCTTCCCTCAAAACTCCAAAGTAAGTGAAAATTAAACAGCTTTACAGATCATTGGATTTGAACGAGTTATCAAAACGACCATATTATATTATCCCGTATAATAACCACTAGGACGAAATAGATAAAGCATTCGGTAGAATTTCGCAGAATAGTCTACTACCTCGAAAAGTTACAGAGCGAGAATTCTGCCTGTCAATCTGTACTTCCAATATTAAGCTGATGTAAAAAATTCGAGGCTCGCATATATTTTCAATAGCTACACAATTGTGAAACACAAAACCTAGAAATGTCTTACATAATCGAGTAACATGCTCGATGGAAGACAATACATAGGCCCTAAGCGGACTATGCACCGGTGTGGAAAATGCTATAATATTTATTCACAGACAAAGTGCATGATCCTCTTGATAGCATGGAGGAACAACAACACAACTTCGCCATCAAAGAAAGCCATCAGTTGGAGGAGTAATTCATGCAATCATCCATAACCAGACTTCCCAACTTTGAGGTTCAATTAGCTGCAAAGGGCAGAAGCCTAGTAGAACGATTCTGAGTTGAAGAACTTAAGAAATTCACCTTGAAGAATAACCTCTTGTCATGTCCAGTCGCTGCAACCCTCAACACAGATTCAGCTGCTCCTACGGTGTTAGCAAACCACGCAACGATGCTATTAGCAGTGTCCTGAGAGATCTGCCACTCCAGTGGATCCACAGGAATCCTACAACGCAAACATTCGCGAGAAAAAATTTCAACGAGAGACATCAATCCGAAAATCATTGGAACAGACTGCAGAGCAAAAATTCACAACAGAGTTCCATCTTTTCCTCCACTCTTCCACCACAAATAAACAAAGCTGAAAATTAGGAGGAGGAGGAGGAGGAGGAGGGGACGGCGGCATACGAGATGTTCAATTGGCGGAAGAGAAGGCCGAGAATGGCGAGGGAGCAGAGGAGGACGATGAGGACGTCGGAGAGGAGGGAGAGAAGGCTTGAATTCCGATACGCGCAGTGGTAGTACACCAGCGTACCGCAAACCATGCCTATGATTGGTTTTCCTATTTCGCTCCTCTTGCTATCGCTGCTGCTGCTTCCTCCGCCGGTACCGCCGCCGCCGCCGTCGCCGTTAGTCTCCATCATTGCCGTCTCTTATGAATTCAATTTTGTCATCGAGTATCCCTTTATACTCACCTCCGATAACCGAAATTGTGCGGTGCCGCCTGCCGCCGCCGTGGATTTCTTCTTCCCTCTTAAAGATTTGTGAAATTTGCAGCGGTCAGCGGATTCCTGGCTCTTGCAAACTGTTCGTTCGCCACATTCTTCCTTATCGTTTTCCGTTTGCCGAGTTGAATATTTGGATCGTCGGGGTCCGGGCGGCGTCTAGAACAATGATTAACCAAGACTCGGTTTAAAATAGAAAACTCGTCTGGTTGACCGTTGACACATCTAGTGGAGAATAATTAAAAAAAAATGAACATTTGCTCTTAACTTTTTTTTCTGTTGGAAAATATTAGTATTATAACACTGCTAAAATTTTAGTGACATGTTTCGAAATATCACTAATCATATCTAAAACATACTAAAATATCTAGAAACATTATTGAAAAATTATGAAATACCATAGATTTGACATTGCTAAACTAGAAAAAAAAAAAAACCAAGATGCTACTAAATCAACCAATGTGATCTACTAAATCATTAACCCGACAGTCATCAAGCAGATCACGGTTCCTACCCTACCCGTCCTTACAAAAGAAACTACTCGGACATCTAGTAATAATGAATGATTGACAAAAGTTACGTACAATTGAAAAAAAAACAATGAAATATCGCTGGAATATATCTAACATATATTATAGGAGAATCACTAAATGACTACTTGTTTTAGGAGTTTCTGAATTTAGAATTTAGTGTTTTAAAACTTGAGAATTGGGATTCAGTTATTGGATATTTCAATGGTTAGGGTGAAAAAGATAATGAGTTCTAGATTCTTCTAGAGCATCTCACATAGAGTTTTTAACATTTATGTAAAACCGCGGGTTGATTGCGACCACTAGTTTACAACATTTTTGTAGTAAAAAAACAATTTCATGGTAAGACATAACTGAAATACACGTTTAGAACGGTTTCACGATTAATGAATAATCGATTCTAAAAACATCTTACAATTTCTCCCTTTCTGAAACATTATTACTCCTAATTTCATCGTGATTGTTCGTTATCATTTGATTTTGCTTATTTCTTTTTTTACGATTGTTGAGAAAACAGGATCCCTCTCTTTGACTGTAAAGAAATGGTGTCCATAAGCACAAAAAGCAAAAGGATATATAAAGGAGAACCAAACACAAGAATCCCAAATTCCCAATCACTGATCCACAATTTAGGCTGAAAACAAGAAGAGTGCAAGACTACTCCTATCATCATCAATCACCCTTTAAATATAATATCCCCCCTCCTTTGATCCTTCCTTTCCTTCCTATACATTACAGACATGTACACAATAACATATTTTTTACTTTCACACCCATCACAAACACTAGATTACTAATATATATACTTTAACCTTCTCCACTGCCCATTTCCCCACACATACATCAAGTCCTCTTTCATTCCCCAGCTTCAATCAATTCTTGTGCATAAGAATAGTAGCCATATCAATTCATCTACCCTTCCTTCCCTCCTATGCATTTTAACATCTCCAACTGGATCTGGCTGCTATCGCCACAAGCACGACACCGCTCTCTCCAAGGTTGCCCGGGTATGCCACGTTCCAAGTGCAATGTCACCGACTTCAAGGCTCCGGGACTTCACTTTCTGCATACATAATTTCGGGGTCAGCAACTCGGACGTAACAACTAAAAGCATCCATCTTTCAAATGGATGAGAGACTCAACAGTCCACAAACGAGGAGGTAATCGAACGAAGACACAGCATCTATAGGGTTTAAGGAGGAGACATTATAATGGAAATGCTCCAAATGCAGAATGACTTCCTTCTGGCAAATTGATCACAACAATGCAACACCAACTAGTGTTAATGGGGGAAATGAGAAGAAATACAAGGAGACGAACCTTCACCACGGAGCTGCTCGTACCGAGCAACTATGTGCTTCCCGTACGTGTACTTCTTCAGGGCATGAATATGGAGGCTAATGTGATTGAGCAGTACTTCCTTCTGCCGATCGCTGCCAATATCAAGAATCTTCTGGATTACATAATTTGCAAATTGGTCCTTCATCATTGTCTGCAATGGAAAACCATGGGAGGCATTTTAGTAAGCAGGAAAACAGCAATTTGTTGCATTGTACAACACTTGCTACCAATGATCAGTGTCATGAGGTCAGTTGCACCAAAACCAAAAAACTTTTTTCTTCATTCTTTCCACACAAAGATTGAACCCAACTGCCATCGAAGGCCTAGCATCACCGCACTTTACATAGCAGCACTCACAATGAAAGAAAGCTCATAATACTAGTTAACGTGATAAACATTATCATCCTAACAGGAGGCTGTACAATCTTGCTACCAACTCACTATCTTAGCGTAGGTTCCAAAGAGTAGATATCCCGGGGTGGGGTAAATGTCTCGTTGTCATGTCAGACACTAGGTTGAATTGCTACCCATTCTAATGAATCAATAGGACACAAGCACCATACCACATCCCCCGGGCAAAAAAACCCCTCTCCCATCATAAAAGAATGAACACTTAGAACTTACCAACAAGCTATCGTTATCTTCAGGCTTCCTTATAATCTCCTCTATCAAGAGTTCACGTTCAGCAACATCACCGTGTGTCAGACACTTTTCCACAACATTTGAAGCGTATTTATGCTGACTCATCTGAATCACCTTCCCAGTCAACTTGCTGATAATTTCACTCCTTTCACGCGCATTACCTCTCTCAAGGACATGCTGCATAACAATCATTGATTTAGCACAGTACAGTGACTTTCTTGAGAACAATGAAAGAGAAAATATGACATCAAAGTGACCAATTAGTCTATCCAACTATAAGCCCTTTCAGAAAGTTCATGCATCCCAGGCATGCATCAATGTGACCAGTGAACAGACACCGGATACAAGCATCTAATAATAACTGCCGATTTCAAATCACAAGACAGCAATGTAAGCATTATGGAAGCATCCACTTTTCCTAGAATAATTGGATGGCACCATCGAGACACTTCTCTTAAGATCTAGTGGGGAATATAATTCGTTCATCCTCTGACCTTTGGACCAAACAGTAGTATTTTGCTTGCTAGTCCATGTTGATGCAAGCTAAATCAGGAAATCACATGGCACTATATCATGAGCTAAGCTACTCTACTTGCAAAAGTTTGCTCTGCCAATTTGGCAATTTCCACTTCAAAGAGAAAACTTGACGAGCAGGTGAGAATTTGAGACATAAAAGCTAATTTGGGCATATCTCCATCTACCATACAGACAAACAGTTTAGTAGCACAGAAAAGCATTGAATCAAGTAGAAACCAATAAATAAATACACTCGCCTGGGTTACATAGTTTCCATATTGGTCTTGAGCAAGATGGAAAGCAGATTCCAAAATTTCGTCCACAATACATTGACTTTGCTGTCCTTCTGAACAATGTTCTAGAACTCTCTACACACCCCAAATCCATAGAAAAAGCAGAACACCATTAAAGCCAAAAGCTAGAATACATGCCGGATATGACCAACAAATTAATGATCTTACCTGGATGACACGACAACCGTAAGGATGAGTAGACAGTGTGGCAACTTGGCCTCGAAAAGCAGAAATAACAAATTCAATATTTTCTGAGGGAAGACATTCTATGCACTTCTGGATGACATGATTCCCGTTCTGATCACGAACACATCTCATCACATGACCATCAAGCTCTTGCACAAGTTGGGTTTTTTGGTCAAGCTCGATCACCTCAAGGGCCTAACAGGAGTATTGATTTCACAATTAGTTCGAATTTAGCATATCTCCGTAAGAACGTCATAAACACATATATGCTAAATAGAACTTAACCTTCTCTAGAGAAGCGAGAAAAAAAGCAGAAGATGCATGCTTAACACAGTTGTTATGTGTGACAAAAGATACCTCACACTCTAACTTTACCTTCTGTATCACACGACAACCATACATCTGAAGACTCAACTGCAACACCTGTCCAGAAAGCTTATCTGCAATCTCTTTTCGCTGTTCGGAACTTCCATGTTCAAAAAACTGTAATGAAAGGAACATATTAACCATCCCATGGATATACAAATTGAAAAATTATCAAATAAGGAGGCAGACCTTTGATAAAAAGAAACCACTAAGTATACCTTTTGTATGACGTAGTTCCCAAAGACATCGGTCATTAACTTAGAAGCATGAGGCAGCACTTCCTTAAACACAGAATTTTTTTCTTCGGCACTGCAGTGTTCAAGCTTTTGCTGGATAAATCGGCTACCATGTTGATCAACACTGAAACCAGACATATGGCCAAGAAACCGATTGATTCCAGAGTAATTCACCTCAAATGGTGGGATGGTGGTAAATCAACATAACCAGCATTAATATCAAGCCAACCAGCTCTAGGCTGCATTTAAGCTGGGCAGTCAACAGCATTCAAGCTATGAAGAAGCAAGACAAGGGAATAAGTAGAGGATGGAACCTGAATTCAACAACATGGCCTGCTATATCGGAGAGCTCAAACTTGCGTGCATTGCTGGATTTAAGCTCTTCAAGGAAATAATGCCGTTTCTGGTCATCAAAACTGTTAGCCCCCCTCTGGCCTTGACCCCCAGAGTAGAGTCCTGCATTTCTGCCATTGGCCTGAGGATATCTTGTGTCGTTCCGCCGACCAAAATGATTCACTGGTGCTACTGGAGAAGAAGGTAGTACAGGACTGGGAATAGGCGAGGCAGGAAATTGGGGTATGACACCCATACTAGCAGGGCCCCCGTAGTAGCTATTACCATTTAATCCTACTTTTCCTGGACTTGGGATGCTTAAATTTCCATAAGTTGGAGGCTGGAGTTTTCTGTCACCCAAATATGTAGGAGTAGGCTGCTCTTTCCTTGGAGTAAATGTTTCAAGTTGACCCCCACTAGTTCCACTTGACGGCAGGTAGTCATGCTGCACAGTGGCACCATATGCCTCTCCAAACTGATTTTGAAAATATTGCATATGTAGTGGATCTACAAGGGGTGGTTGAAGCATTAATCCATGAGGTCCATAAAACTTTCCTGGATGATGTGATCCACCAATATGTGTAATGCTTTCCCCAGCAAGGGGAGCAGCAGTCCTACTATCAATCCCTGGGGCCGAAGCGGCACCAAATGGCATAGGAATTGGACCATGAGAATGATAGCTGGTCATAAATGGGGGAACGAACGTCGAGCCTAGTGCATACCCTCCCATACCATAATGCGGTGAGTATAAGCCAGATGGTTGGAAGTTAGGATAGTAAGGACTCCCAGCAGTCATGTAAGCAGTAGCATTTACATATAAAGGAGGGTTGAGTACAGAGGAGTTGACTGATGATTGTAAGTCAACAGATGGGAAATTCGGGTGGCCATGCGATAAGTTATCAACGGGACTGTGGGAATAACTCATCGCTTGTGAAATCACGAGAGCTTGGATCCCATGAGGCTGATGAGGAATGGTATGGCGAACAGATGGATGCTGCTGAGACTCATTCCTACTATAAGATTGTTGTTGTTCTTGTCTGTTTCTCATCCTCGCTTCCATTTTGACGACACCAGACTGAATGGAACCTATATTTGGGGAATCGCCCTCCTGGTTAGCTTCCTTTGTCGCAGATTGATCCCTTTTCTTTGGTGCATTTATTTGCAAAGAGGAGGTTGGTGTGTCATTGCCTGATGATAACCTGAGAGCATGAAGGTCAACTTCATGCGCATCTGAGCCTCCATCAGAACCATCATTTCCTTCAGGAAATTCTGACAAACTAATAGAAGAAATATTCTCTGTAGTTGCATTGACATCATGTTCAACAGCTTCTTCAGTTCCATGACCTGGGGAACGGGTATGACTATACACAGGGGATGGCGTCCGGGGAAAGTCTTCCTACAAAGAAACCAATAGGGAAACCATGGGAAAATAACATCATGAAGAGTTTAGAGAGATGTAACCCATGAATGATCGGCAATAAACCCTGACAGGCGCAGACAGTCGGTTCCAAAATCATATTCTATATTTATATTCATAGTGAACCACATGAATAAAGTTAGGAGGACAGGTATCAATGCAACTCTAAGATGCAGGGTTACATAGGCATACACAAGTTTACACTGAGACCCAAAAGGTGACTGCACTAATGTGACAGGTTTTGCAGGTAAAGATTATGGAACATGTATGCGGCCCACCACCTATCACAATCAGAAAATGCTCCTCCCATGCGCATAAGAAAAATAACGATTCAGTATGGGAACTTCCTAGCCATGTCCTGATCCTTTTGTTATTGAAGATACACCAAATATGACGGTCTTGTAGATATAAATTCCCAATCGCATCAACAATATTTCTAAAAGATTATTAGTTGATTTCATGATAACCTTCCAATTCCATGCTCACAAAACAAAGAATCCATGTTGTTTGCCCATTGTAAATATATCATTCATCCCTTTTAAATGGAAAAATCAAGTTAACTGATGTTAAAAACCATTGTTGAAAGGCAGAATTACAGTTCCACCAGTCTACCTTTGGGTCGTCCACTAAAATCTAATAATCTTGTTGCATTATCCCTATCCAACATAATTTATTACCTCTCAAGTAGAGAAGGAAGATATTATATACCTGTATAAGATCAACCAAACTTTTATGACGACCACCTGCAAAAGAAGCACTGTGCCCTGAGATGAGCAGACTGCTATTGTCCAAGGAATTTTCCGATGCATCCCTGGGTGATCTTTCGTCTTCAGGCTCCTCCTTATGAGTAGATAAAGAGCCTCCAGATAAGTGTAAGGAGACATTGCCAGTGTCATCTACTGAAGCACCTCTCCAGTTAGTGCCCAAACCACCAATATGCCGCACCAAACGCCGGTTCTCTCGAGATAACAGTGGCGGTGGAAGTCTTGGATTCAAGTTGACATTAGAACAATAGTAAGCAAAGTAAGCAGGATCAGAGCGCAGTTGTTCTTCAGACTCGCAATTCTCAATAGCATTGTGTAAACTTTCCAAGCTAGAGGTCATGCTCAGGTTCTGTTGAGCTAAGAGTTTCCCTATAGCTGCAATTGACCCTTCCATACTTGGTGGTGCACTACCACTTCGACTTGGAACACTTTCAGTTTGGTCATCATGGACCCTATGCCCGTTGAGAATCATTCCTAATTCCTCTGCAGCCACAGACTTTAAAGGTGACCCATAAATAGCAGCATCCTTTGGCGATGACCATTTTCTAGCACCACATCCCTCCACCATTCTCACAGGGCTCTCAGTTGCCATATTCACCTCCATAATATTCTCTTTTTCCTGATCTCCAGACGTATCCTTTTGTTGTCTGAATGACACTAAGCCATATTGATCAACCACTACATTCAAGACACCAAGTCAATTAACTCATCGTAGTGGTGACTTGGGTACTTCAAACAACACAAACCAACTAACATCCCAGCATTTAACCTTAACCGAACGGAATGATGACCAACATGCATAATAATAGAGCCTATTGAAGGCTTACACCACCCACCAACTCCCCAACCCTCAAGAAAGAGCAAGATCGATCATCTCTTATTGAATTTATTTTTATGAAAGAGATTAACTGTTTGCGGATATGAGTCACATTTCACCACTTATGCATGCAACAGATAATTCCAAACTTACTGGCCAATTGAAAATTCACTGCTAACAGATATTTCCCACCTTATTGGCTAACTGACCAAAGACAAAGGGCTCATAATTGTCCAGAACAGTAAATGAGCCAGTAAGTGTCCATATCAGAAGTAGATGCATGCAGCAAGATACCAAAGTAGCAGTAGTATTCTTAATGTGTGAGAAACACAATACTGCATACAACAATCCTTGAAATCTTTAACTATAATGCCTCTGTAATTACAGTTCATCATTCAATTTTTCAACATTTATTCCATGAAGTCTCAAAACTAAGGCCATATTCTAATACATATGGCATAGAACCATTCTTTTGTTTCGCATATTTTATTGCTTCCTGCCCTGACATCCACCGGAATCCTGAAAAGATTACTACTTATGTTTCTGAATGACATTTCAATATCTTTCATCCTCCCCAGAGAGCTTCATCAAATGCAACTTCTCAGATAAGTACTTATATTGAACCAAGCAGCAGGTAACAAAAGTTGTGAAATTTCTTAGACTTGTGAATCAACAATCTATGCACAGCTTTCAGATGATGTTTGAATTGTCAGGCAATGGTAACAGCAGGATTTCAGGTCACATATTGTCGCAGAAAAATGGCAGTTCAACACGACTCCACACCACTAGAGAATCAGGCATATCAATAAAAAGAAAAAGAAACAAGGAAAAATGGAATGATCAGCAAGTAAGAACTGAAACAAGGTGAAGATAGAGTAACAATGGTAAGGCGCTGAACAATATTGAGGAATGCAGCACGTTGAGGGGCTAACTGCGCCAATTATAAGCAGGACCTGATGGCGACCCTTGCAACGAAATCAAAGTAAGTGCCATCCATTTTCATCTTTACATTTCATCATATACCCCTAACCCAGAATATAGTCGAAAGCCATCAGTGTGCCTCAAGGCAGGCTAACGAGTAACGACACAAGCTAAGCCAAAGAAAGAGACAACCCCCACTCATTATTGCAAAAAATAGACATCATGTCAAATTTGCCTCTTTGGGCATTGGACATCGATCAGAATCCAGATATCAGTGAATGAACAGCTGATCATGTAAAATCCTTGTGCTTGACCTACCCAAAACCTCAGAACTTCGCCAAAAAAAGGTTAAACCCCAGAATCCACACATAAACAACTAAAAGCTTCCCACAATATCGAAGCAAACCAACAAGGCTCACAACCCACCAAAGTGGAAGGGAAAAGGAGACCCTAAAAAACACCCCTTTACACCAAAAACCAGTCCATAACCAGAAATTGCAAGAACAGGAAGATAAATACACCATGAAAGTAAGCTGCTTGGACTCACCTCACCAGCCACAACGAAACCCAGAAGAAGAAAAACAGCTGAAGAAGAGCAACACCAGAAGAACCCTTCTTGAAAGAACAGAGAAACTCAAAACTCCGTGAAGAAGAGAGAAGGGTAAAAGGAAAACGAGAGCTTTTGGTGCTCTTTGTAAATTACAAAACCAACAAAATAAAAAAAATGTTGGCTTGCTAGCTAGAGAACCCTCGCAACAGTTAGCCCGGACTTCAAGTTTGAGACTTTTGCTTCCGTTTTGTTCCAAATTCCTAATCTTTATCATTATTAATGGCTAATTAACCTAATATGATTTAATTAATCTTCCATTCCAAGTTGATAGTTAAATTAACATATCTGGAAGAGGCATGAAATCTTTTGGCAATATTTGATGAATGACGAATCTACCACTTCATGGTACTGGTGGCGGGGCGTTTTGGTCCTTCTGTGTTCTTGGTGAAGGAAGCGTTTATTGCTTGGGGAAGCCATTGATGGACACCTGGACGTCAGGACCTAGAGAGCAGGATGAGTTGACACGTGGTCGTCGTGCTGTCGCTGACATCAGCAGCTCTTTGCCTCTGCTCCCGTCCCTGTGACCGAACTTTCATGGCAGCGTTTTGGAGCTTTCTTGTTCAACTTCAGTCTCTTCTTCTCTTCCTCCTTTTTAGGGTTGTGGGATTTGGGAACTTGGGATTATATAACTACCAAGAAGTAATCCAATGGAGATGGAAATTGGCTTAATGAATTTGGGAAGTTAAACCTTTTTTTCCCTTCATGCACTCAATCAAAGCCGTACGTGTCCAATAATTGGAAATACTAAAAATGTGGTGACCAAGATGTTCTTCTTGGGACCTTTGACTTGGCTTTATTTAGGGTTTGGTGAGAGAATGATGTAGATTGCTCTTTTAAGTTTTTCTTCTGTTTGGAAGTCACCAATTATTGGGGTGGATATATACAAATGTATTGAGAGAGATTATCAAATTGTGGCAATTAGAGGGAAACAATGATGGTGTGTGATGTTGGGTTCGTGTTCAAATGGTTACCATGGTTATAACCAAACCAAATAAGGCTAAATTTCATTAACCATGGAATACAATATCATAACCAAATCGTCCAAACTAATACAACAACCAAATTAACCAAACTAAAGTTTAATCGGTTTGGTTAATTGGTTAACCAGATTAACCAATATAAAATCACATTATCATTGACGATGAAAATTTTCCGGTTAATGCAATAATTCGCAATTTATATAATGAATAAAACATAACAACCAACACGTAGTTATAGTTGACCCTTAACAAAAATACATGAAACTAAGACAATTATCTTACAATTAGTATAGAAGTATTCACCTAACAAAAATTTATGACAATGGTATGTTAATGAATTGTTGTGTTTGTGTAAATTGACTTAGTCTCTTAGCAATTATCATAGGCTGAAAATGACATTCTTTTCAAGTTTTCATCCTTCATAATGTATGAAATTTATCTAAATTAGGCGTCCATATGTTGTGGTCTACATTTTACATATACAAATATACACTATATGAGCAATATTGAGCTTTATATTTTATGAGTCGAAAAGGGATGAACGTTAACTCTTGAGTGGTTATGCAAAATATTAAGTATGTGTATATAATATATGTTAGATATATGACTAATTACTTAACTGGATAATTTGGTTTGACTGGTTAGGAGTGGCTGAAACCAAACCAAACCACCTAAACCAAACAAGCTAAAAACTTTAACCAAACCAAACCAATTATCCAAATTAACCAAACCAAATTATTCAAATAGTACCGGTTAAAACGGTTATCATGGTAACCAAACCGTTTGAACACCCCTAGTTGGGGAGCTTGAATTCAAATCAAAATAATTCATTTTGATGAAGATGGATTTCGTGTCGTGTCAAATCACTTTTAATCTTTGATCGAATAAGAGTGAGAGTGGGTTGGTTGAAGAGTCTGCAAGCTGATCGATAACATCATACATTATCTAATTATGATCACATAATTGGAGGCATGGAAAGCAGCTAGGGTTTGAAGATCAAGTAAGGCGGATTTGGGCTCAAGTTGAGAGAGAAGAACGGGCCTTTCTTCTGATATGATAACCTGCCTCATCACAGTAGATGAAATCTAGCTAGAAAAGGAACCCATCAAGATTCAAGAGCTTGAAAACTGGGATTTAACGATGCACTTCCTATCTACACATCCGCTTCTCTATTAGCATTTAGCGTTTCCCATTACATGAAAGATTTGCAGCTTTCAACCGCAACTAGCAGTTAACCATTCCAAAACGTAACCCATTCTCCACGCCTACATTTCCTCAATGTGGCACCTAACAAGTCAAAGCTACTGGTGCTAGCAAGGGAAAAGGATTGGAGATGGATCTCTCTGCAACTTCCCATCAGCTAAATTCAGTTTTTTCATCTTATCCTCGCACCAGATCAACTGTTCTTTGCTGATCCGGATCATCCTGAGCACTCTGGATACGATTTTGATGTCAATGAGGCCGAACAACAGCTGAACATCCTCGTATGTCTGAGGCCATGTTTTCTTCTTCCATCCTTTCCTCTTCTTGCATAGTTCATTCAGTCTCACCTTCTTCTGCAACCACCGAAAAACGAGAAACAATGTATGTCGAAATCATGGTTCACAGTACGCAAATGATGGATCTTGCTACAACAATGCAGGCTTCAAAGGCCACTTGGGTATTGATTCATTGGTTACAAAGGCTTGGCATGGAAGGAAACTATAGTGGCATGAGGAGACTACCTTGTCGATTGAAGATTGGATCATTTGAAGCGGGGTTGCAATCTGATTCTGATTTCCAAAGAATGTGATGCCAGCATTAGACTTCTTCTTGTCCATCTTGACAAAAAGGTGGAAGGTTAGAATTGCACTCTCTATAACTCGAATAAGATCTAGCGCACGCACCACCGAATCTGAATCGAGCTCTCGTGCATCTTTCCCATCTAAACCTGAATGGATTCTCAGTAGAGTCAGTTTCACCACTAAAAATCAAGCCTTTAGTATAAACCACATCTCACATTTCTTCTCTGCATTTTCTCAAAGAAAAGAAAATGGGACTTGCCTTTCACATTTGGAGCTTGGAGTAGTCTAGGTAACACCCTCCTCGAACGGGCAAATACTTCTGCTCGAAAACCTTGCTCAAAGGGCTCGTTCTCGATAAACCGTTGCAGCAGAACTTGGAATTGCTGAAACTGCTGAGCACTGTGGTTGTAAGAAGTGGGGTTCTCGGGTTGGCACGAAATCCTCTGACTGAGTTGAGTGTACTGGCAGTGAAGTGCCTCCCAAGTCAGGCACATCTGAGCTACATATGCAGTTTCGAGGTCATGGTACTGGTCGTTCTGAGGCTGCTGCAGATGCTCCGTTTCATCTTCGGGGTCTTCGAATTTCTTCAACGCTAGGCAACGGAAGGGAGATGGTAACTTCTTCGATGACGATTTTGGAGACGGAGTAGCAGGCATAGTGCAGCAGCCTGGAATGGAAACAGTTTACCCGCACTAGTAAGATAGAAAGAATGCCACTCCATAGCAACTGATCCAGTGATAAGGCAATAACCTCAAGCACTTCACAAGCTCTAAATTCAGACTAACTGATACTATCCAATCACCATAGCCATTACCATCCAACATCAAGCAGAATTTGACCATGAATCTGGCAGATAAATGTTCTTCCTCTTTGCAGATATAGCATAACAAGACCAGAACTCTTCCTCAACTACCATGGCAACATTTGAAGATCAATAAAAAACAGAGGACCAAAATAAAAAAAAAAGGGTTGGTGTTTACCATTTTCATTGAGCTGAAGAATGCTCAATCGATCGAAGAAGAGCATTCTGTCACAGTATTTATCATAAACAGCATCAAAGCCACCCCACCATTGCCTTCCTTCAGCTTCAACATCCCTCCATTCTCCACAGATAGCGTCCCCTGCCTCTCCGCCATTTTCTTCATCATCTTCTTCCTGTTCAGGAAAAGACTCTTCTTCAGGGATCAACGCCATGAAGCTGTTCCTCCTCAGCTCTTTCAACCTCCTCTTCACCTCATTGGTTATGAAGTCATCGTCTTCGTCCTCCTCAGCCTCTTCTACCACATCCACCGACTTGGCGTTGTTGGTTTTACTCAATTCCTCACCACCACCCCCGCCATTGACGTCTTTCTTTGGCACTTCAGGAGAAGTAACAGGCTTGCCTTCAGATTCCTTCTCCAGCTCTGGTTTGCGGGCTCTTCTGAACTTCCTCACTTTGAACAGATCCATCTTCGACAGCACAATGAGCCCACCTTTCTTTTTCCTTTCTCTTTCTTTCCCTTCACACCTCCTTCTTTCTTCCTTTTAATTCAAAATCGAAGTCTTTGCAGGAGTCAAAGATGGTCAAAGCAGGGGAGAAAAACGCCGAGAAGATCTCTAACGAAGCAAATGCACAAAAAATCTCTAACAACCGAAACCGAAACCCAGAGATCAACAACTGGTGACAACCCACAAAAATAGAAGATGCCGGTAGGCAGCTAGCTAGCTCCAACAAGCGAAAGACTGAAACTTGCTTGCTTTTCTACCCATTTGAAAGAGAACCGGCACCCAATGCCCAAGAATCACACACCAGCAAGCAGCATTGTCACAGTGAGGAAGATTCAGGATCAATGAAGAAAGAAAGTCTGAAAAACGAACAAGAACCCACCAAGAGACTAAAAGCAGACAACTTTCTTCGCAGAAAACGTAATCTGATGGAGTGCTGCTTCTTGGGTTCTTCCTCTGTTTTCTTTTTTCCCTTTTGGACAATCTTGTTAGTTGAGAACAGAGGAGAAGAAGAAGAAGAACTAGTTTTCTTTGCTTGTTTTTGTTGGTAGGGTTTCCTCAGGTGGAAGGAACAGCAGAGTAAGGACAGACAGAGATAAAAGAGAGAGGGAGGTGGTAGTGTTTTGAAAAAGAGAGAGTGTCGGGAAGAAAGAAGAGAAGGCTATAAATGCGAAGGAGGAGGAGTCATTGCTCATTACCGTATTGCCACTTTCCACTGCATAGAGAAAATGATTCCGCTTTTCAACGCATTTGGGACGATTATTAATACCCAATTTATTGATTAGATTCTGGAAAACGTTCAAAAACCAACATTAAAACCCGCCAAAAACACCACCAATTACCACTCTCTTTACTTGTTTTTTCCCCTCAAAATCTTCACCAGGCCCAGCTTCGTGAAATTAAAAAAGAGAGTTCATTACACAAGAAAACCCCGTTAGTTAAAATTCAAGCTGAGGGATAGAAGGAAACAGCCAAACCAGAAAACAGAGGACGAAGCAAAGTGGACTCTGTAGGTTTGTTATTAACAAGAAAATTTGCAGATTGGGGGAAGCAAAGCAATGCAGTAGAAGGAAGGAGGAGGAGGAGAGAGAGAGGGACATGGAGGACTCGGGACACGAGGGCAACAGTGAATGCAGAGAGAGAGAGAGAGAGAGAGAGGGCAGAATGCAGAGTAGCTAGTGAGATGGTACAGAGAATATTGTCAGACGCTCCTTCTCTCTAGGCTTCTGTTGTGGACAAACTAGGAAACCGAGAGAGAAAGGGAGTTTTCTTTTTGTTTTTCGTTTCCAAGTTTCCAATTTGTGGGCTTGGGCCCTGACTGTAGAAGCTTACGCGCCATTACTAAACAAAAGCAATGTGCAGTGTGAAGCAGAGTGAAGCTAGTTTTAATGGAGTCTATTTGGTTCTCAAACAGCTACACAGTTGAAAGAAATAAGGAAAGGAATGATGCACAAAACCAGTATTCAAAATCTGTACTCGAAAAATCCTCACTTTGTTTCACCTGCTAGACAAGGGACTTAGTAAAAAACGGCTCAGACATTCTTCAGCTTGTTCATTTTAGAAGGAGGCCATCGCCCTTTCTTCCTCAACCTCCGCTTCCTCACGAGCCTCTTTCTCCTCAGCCGGATCTTCTTGGCCAGCTTCATTTTCATCTTCTGCTCGAGCTTCAGCTGCAGCTTCGACTCCAGAGGGAGTTTATCGATCGGCGAGCTCTCTTCTTCCCCGCTATCGCTTGATGGCTCCACGGTTTCTGGACTGGGATCGTCGATGTCAGCTACTGCCCTCGGTATCAACCCAGCATTCCTCGCTGAAGCTATGCCAGCAGTAGAGCTAAGTCCGTCGAGAGGTTTTGACAGAGGATTCACGGGCTTCAGGTGCAGCCTGGGGACTGAAAGTTCGACACGCACTACCAATCATCAGTTCCAAAGCAAAATGAGAAGATGGCCAGATAATATGAGTGCCTACTAAGAGCAAGAAAAGGTACTGATCTAAGGGAGCAAAACAAGGAAGACCTGTATTAGCATGAAGCAGCAAGGGATGCATTTAACAATAGGGTTAACAAAATATAGAACAATCTATTGCGTCTTTGCTGAGAAATGCAACAGATGGCTTCTCATTCAGTTAACTGGACTAAAAGTACTATACACATAAACCATTGCCATGGCAAGTAGCTGAAATTCTCCATGAACTTGGCACTTCTTCAAATCTAATTATAGGAGGCAAGGGAATCCAGGGATACATACACAACTTAGTAATGGCCTTGGATGATGTTGATGATGAACAACAGCAAGATGGAGACCAAAGTGGAGTACCACCATTGGTTAGAATGAGAGCCATTGTCTTTGTCTGCTCTCTTCTTCTTTGACCTGCATATCCTGGAAGTATAAGGATCTCATAACTGGCAGGAAACAGGGCAAACAAAACCAACCAAAGAAATGTATCTTGTCCCTTCCAAAAAGATACCAAACCATGAAAACTTCAATGGTTCCGCTTGAAGATTGAATCCACAGGTTATTAAATCATAAGTTCAGACACAAATTTTTGATAAAGTTCGTTCACGCACAATTTACATGACATATATCCAAGTTACCTGACTAATTACAGAAGCAAATCCTACCCAATAGAGGAAAACAGAAAGAGCCATATATGAACCCATCTCAATCTCATCTCCAGAAGAAAAAAAGAGGCAACTTCAAGAACAAACACCTTGTAGCATGCCGGTTTCAGGAAGAGAAGTAACAGACCACACAGATGTAGCAGAATCAGCCCACATCGCCAATTCCCTAGCTCTATGAAAAATTGCTACAGTACTAGGACCAAAACATCTATGGGCTACAGGTGGAGCTTCAAACTATGACTGAATATCAACTCAATCCATGAATTCCTCTTCTTCCTATTCACAAAGATAATTCCTTCATCTTTCCTCTCCTCCCAGCAGCTGTCTCGCACTTTAAAACGGCCAAATGTCTTCCAATTCTCGTATCGCCAAGAAACGAAAACAGCAAGGCCAGAAAAGAAAACAAGGCAAAACAAAAGTAATGCGGGTACCCAGAAAGCCATTAAGAAGCGTGTCAGAGCAAGAAAGAGAGTAAGGACGAAAATGGGAAATCAGAGACGTACCCAGTAGACGAACGAGAGTGCCCAAGCTGATATACTGATAATGTCTGAAAGAAGAGGAAGCGAAATCGTAAAAACCCAGAAATGGAATTACAATTGAAGTCAGAGGAATTCAATTCATGGGTTTTGTTCGGCTAAAGCGGCAGAATAAAAGGCTACGCAAAGAGAGAGTATACATACAGCAATGGCACAGATGAGAGGAGAGGATAGAGGTAAGCGAGCAAGCGAACTTTTCTATTGAACTGGATAGGACTATAGGAGTCAGTCCGGCTGGCTGGGCAACGGATTGTCAGACCGGTAAACAGTAAATCACAAGTGCGGAATAAAAATAGACAGCAGTCAATACTCCATAGCACTGAAAAGTGACTATTTTGTCCCTCCATTCTCAATCAACTTGCCAAAACCAGCACTGAGCACTGCCAGTATTGCGTTCCAGTGTTCCACCTCTCTCACAACTAAGGATGGAAATTAGTACGATATTGGTATCATATATATTAAGTCGCTCCATAGATGGCCGAGTAGCATCATACAACTCGGTGCTGCAGCCACTCATCAAGAAGATAGAATAGAATGAACACCAACAATAAGAGGGGTCTGGAGGGTGGATTCAGTCCGATCTTTGCTAGCAAAACGAAGAATAGAAGCTGCATAATCAAATTTAAGCAGAAGCGTTACAAATTACAAAGATACTGCACACTGAAATGCCAAAACTTTTAGGTCGCCCAAATATAGCAGTACGTAGTTTGCATTACATTTCGTAAATTAGAGCACTAGATGGCCTAACAGACGGCCAGTGGCTAAGACTACTTCAACGCAGCATTCAGATATACAAGTCAGGTTCATTGGATATGCAACTTCAGTAGATTCCAGGAATAATGCGGTAAGGAACCTTATCGCAGTACGTCTTCCAGTATTTCCCATACCTGCAACAAGGATGGCATTGGATTTTATTCCGGATGAATTGTCAGCCTTCTTCTCTCGATGAAAATGGCAGCATGCTTAACTAGAATGAATAAATGATAAATCTGGAACGCTGCTTACTTTGAACGGCAGCGATCATCATCTCTTGTAGCACGGTCCACAAGAAGGATGGTGAGATATATCACATAGAAGTAAGGGATAAACTGCATTATCAAAGGCATTAAGTTCCAGAGAGACTATAATCATGCATAAGTAGGCAAGTGTAAGTTAAGTTTGAGTGAGCGCTCACATGGTTGAAAAGTGCAGGCAGAGACCAGAAGAAGGAAGCCAATATTTCAGGAACATAATGAAAATGCCGAGCTAAGCCCCACCTGGAATACCAACAGTGAAGCAATTAGTCATTGACCAAGAACCTCGTTAATGTATAAACCTGATGAAACCGAATCCAAAAGCTTGTATAATCATCCCACAATGACAACAGCACCCTAAGCATAGACACCAAGAGAACAGAAAAGCTAGTGAAGTCTGGAATTACCATCCTGATGTCAAGAGAATGCTTGACTTAGTCTCCCCAGTTGTGGTAGTATAGGAAGCCGTAATCTGTTAGCAGCAAATAAAACTTGTTATGTCAGGTTTTCATTATCCAAGCACAGACAGCAGAATGAAATAAAAAACCGACTTTAGAATGGGAATGAGATGACCTTCGACGGAGGCTTTCCCCAAACTAAACACTTCCCATTTGTCCTGCGGAATTCCTGCCTTTGCCTATCGCAATCATAGTTGACATATACGCAAAGAACGCCAGCAGCCAATATCAAAAGTGCAAGCTGTACATAATAATTATCAGTAAGGCGATTAGCCAGTATCTCAGATTGATTTGTAAGCAATAATCCGATCAACCCACCAACTGACCCAGAAATGGACTGTAACTGAAGCAATCCAGTCTAAAATTGGCCCAACCAAGCCATTTGCCATCCAACTTTACTACCATTTTAATGATTGGTGAAGATTAACCTAAGATTACTGTGTATGATGAGGGATGGAAACCCAAATCACTTTCACGAACTACACAATAGGAAGGAGAAGTATACCTGAGATCCAAGCTCCACAGGATGGTTGACTAGGTACATGCCAGGAGAAGTATAAATAGAGGGGACCCACACTAAGCATCCCCAGCAGATGTAAAAGCCAGCTGCCAGTAGGAAAAGACCAATGAATCATAGTGACAATAAATCCCGAGTATCTAATGGCCAAAATGAACAATTTTTAATAACTAATGGAGCAAAAAGAAAACAAATGTTAAAAAAAAAAAAACTCTGGAGTTATACTTGTTCCTCATTTATCTATGCTAGGTGGTCATTCTGTATGCCTGCTGTGCTCATTCAGTAAGATTTTGAGATCCCCTACACTGCTTGTTTATGTAACTATCACTGCTCATGGGAAAGGAAATAAAGGCTGATGCTTTGACACACAGCACAGATTCCTATTTTCCAAATGCAAAACCAACAGACTATCATCCCAGTTTCTCTTAATTTTCTATATGCTCTCAACATTTAGCAGCTAACTAAGCAGCCTTCTTAAGTTTCAAACTCATTGCTCTTTCTTCAAGTAGCATGTAGCCTATTACAAAAATCAAATAATTGGATTGATGAGTTCGGCCATCCAAGTAGTACACTTGAGTTCTAACAGATATGCTCACGAGGAACTGGAAGTTCTAACATATACAAACGTGTCAAAGAAACAAACTGCAAAGTCATCAAATCAAAGAAGATAATTGTGAATGATTCCATTTAACATGTTACTTTCATAACAGTAGCTTACTGCACATGACACCATCCCAGGCTTGCTAATAACTAGACATCATCTGTCACATATTTACCTCGATCATGGGCGATGTCCATTGTATTCCAGTAACCAGCCTCCCACCAGAAAAACTTTGTGATATATACGAGCATCAGTATTGTATTCACCAGTAAGGAGTCAGCTACTTTTCCATACAGCTCATACTGGTCAAATAGGAAGAAATTTATATTAGATAATCTTCTTCATCCTCCACAAACATGATTTGACACCAAAGGGATAAGGAAAGCAAATATCTCCGATGTATTACAATCATAAGATGATTCTTAGAATTGCTAGTACATCAGCTAATCTCCAAATATAAAAATATGTAAAGTACTGATTGCGAAGAATTCCTATAATGATGCAATTACAGGGAATAAATAAAACTGTAGCTCCCACAATAATTCTCAAAATCAAAGTGATACATAACAGTCTTCCATTATTCTCAAATTCATAAAGACTGAGACTTTCACCTTAAATTATGTACATTAATGAAATTATTTGTATGAGATACTTAAACCCGTTCACCTGTTTAAAGCAATAGGTCAATGCCAGAACTGCCCAAGACATCATCCCGAATCTGCAGTTTGTGAAAACTTTGATGTCGAAGCTCTTGCCAATCCGAGGATATAACTCCATACCCTACAAAAGGAATAAAAAGAGGTTACGAATGAACATAATTTTCAACCCAAATTATCGTAATCCATTGTTTCAGCCTTTTAGAATCGATCACTAAACATTATTAGGATAGTGTTGCTTCCCCCCTATCCAACTCATGTGCTTCTTTCTTAGTACACTTTTAAGTTGCTTAACCCAATTTCAACCATAGAGAACTCACCCAGTAGAAATCAATTATTATGTTCCCAAGGGAGCCAGAATCTGTAGATGATGGTGCCACATGACCCTGAAGTAAGAACAGGTGGGTAAGCAATTAACCAAAAAATAGGATAACTGCGAGTTAGTTCTCCATATAAGCACCCTTACTTTAATATAGAGGAAAACACAGAAGAGGAAGCTTCCAAAAATGAGAGCTGAGAAAATTTCACCCAAATGATCATAAACCATTGAAGGGTTGAATATCCCAAACCTGAAATCACACATTAAAAATCATCAGTTACCTTCAGAATCAAGCAAAATAGATACTCTTTACCTTAAGAAACTATGAGTACCAGTTGACACCAACATGGTTTTACTAATTACATAAGATCACTACAACTGTATAAGGAACAGCTAACTGAATTCCCATAAATAATGACACAGATCATAAAAGGCCGACTACTCACCACCATATACCAATATATGTAGCAATTGTGACTGCATATGCAAGCACGCCATTTGCCTGAAATAACCACCAGAAAGAAGAATAGTAATAATGCTAAACTAAGGATATATAATAATTCACTATACCCAAAATGGCACAAGGTACTGAATTAGTGCACTCCTTTCGGTTTATTTTCAATAATTCAAAATACAACACATCTAAGCAACGTCATACCTTGTAAACAGGCCGGTTCCCTTTAGGAGAAATCGGTCCTTGAACGGTTTTACCAGGCAAAAGAAGCTGAAGTGCAGCCTCAAATGCAGCATAACAACCAATCAGTTTCCAGGCAGTAGCAGTTGGTTTCGGCCATATCTCAATGAGTCCCCTCAACCCATTCCCATTCAGATAATCCCACGTTTGGGATACCGAACCATCAGCATGCACCATCGTATACCATCTGTAGTGGGCAGTGCAAAAAACTGTCCACTCTTTATACCCAACTCCAAACTTACAGTAACTTCCAACATACTCAGATTAACACGTCCCATGCTTCAAGAAAAGCGAAATTATAGATCGAACAGTTCAATAAGCTGCACATCCGCTAATCTATCGTGTTGCTTCAACAGCTGATATGGCTAAGGGCGAACTGCGATATATCCAAGAATAACTATTACGTGATACATTACAGCTTAGGACATGTCTTGTTGGAGACTTCTCTCCACAATTTGTCACTATTTAAACCCACTTCCAAGTTAAGAAAGGGCACCTGCATTCGGCAATTTAGTAAAGAACGCCTAGCAGAACAAGAAGAAAACGTCAAAAGAAATCACTCACTACATCAATCAATTGGCGACAGAGCCAAGACTACAGCTAAGTTATATAATTACTGCGGATCAAAGCAAAGCAACACTAGCATAAAAGAAAGTGGAACAAAGAAACCGAATCGTGGAATCCAGCGCCCAAGAGACTGATTCAGAAGCAATGTTTCGCCCTACTGGTTGAGGAAGCAGTGAGGATCCCAAGTGGATTTTTACTCATTCCGTCCACTATCTAATGGAAAGTAACAAACTTTAGCTTCCCACAACGACGTTTGAAGATCGGGGAAGATCCCCAATTACGCAGAGAAACAAGTTAAGATGCAGGGTAATGGTCCCGAGAGAAGGCAAGTAGAGAAATTCCAGATCAAAGGGTAAGAAGGAAGTAGAGAGAAACATTACAGCAGAATAACGAAAGGCGGGCAGAGAGTAAGGAGGGAGACGACAGAGGCGTAAGTGATTAGAGGGGAATGAACCGTATTGGATGCTGCTTCCACCATCTTCAATCTATTCCAGTTGGAGAGAAACCCAGATGAATGAATGGGAGAAGTGAGTGGAGGAAGCGCCGTTATAAAGCTGGCGAGAACTAAGGACTCTGAGGAGTGGTTGATTTGGCTCTGGCTCAAGGTTGTCAACCCGCAAGTTGACCCGGACCCGGTCGAGTTAGTGGGTCAAGGGTTAATGGGTCAACTATTTTAGTCCGGTTTGGCCCGGAAATATAGAAAAAGTCATTATATTGTACTTATCCTCGTAAATTATATCAAATCTTATTTAACATATGACTTATAACATATAATATTACACCAAAATAACATATCGTACTTAGATCCAACATATAGTGAAAATTCACACACACTTAGATAACATAAATATTCAAATGTCCAATTTAGGATTCCAAAGATTGAGTTAGGAGAAAAGAAAAATCAGAAAAATAGGCGCATTTCGCAAACCAAAGAAAAAAATGACACAATTTGACCTCCAACCCGGTACCTTGTAGCGGTCGGCCCGGCGAGTGCGTATGACCCGTTTTTCTCACCGGGTAAGGATCAAAGTGGGTCGACCCGCGGGTTGACAACCTTGCTCTGGCTTGACTTATAGAGAAACGGACTCCGCTTTCTTTATTTCGCTTTTTTTTTGGGTCAATGCCATCTTAGTTTGGTACATTGTTTTAGAAACCGTACCGTCCGGTTGGACCGAAATATCGGACATCGATAAGCAAATTTTAGCTCAAATCAAATAACCATTTTTGTCCGTTAAGGAACTTTTCAAAACTCTTAAAATCTTCATATTTTCTGATAATCGATCAGAATTAGTGTCTTATATATGTCTTCTATGTTATAGTGCACGAACGAATCTGACGATAATTAACCATTTTTACTATAAACCGTTTAACTTTTTTCCGGTTCAGCCTCAAATCGAATTATGAAAACAGAGGTTTCAACCACGGATACTACCTTTTTGGCATTATGCCTTGATTTTGACTTGTTTCCACAATTTCAATAGAACTTAATTGTCAATGACAACCAAATGTCAAATACATATTTTGGCCATAATAACTTGTCTTGGGATCGAAATTACTCCTTATAGACCTTAATCAAACGGTTGCATGGCCAAAACAAAACAAAACAAAAAATGCAGTAGGCAACTTCACGAAATGACTCCACTAATTAATCAGAGACGGCCGCGGCTATAGAACCAAAATAATGAGCCAATAACTTCAATCGCAAATGGAACAAAGATGGCGGAACTACGAAGAACTGCAGAAATTGAGGAAATCTGATCAGGTGCTTACTCTGTAATCTGTATTTATGTATATTACGACGTTTAGTTTGAGAAAAACACGCCCGACACTCTGTTCGTTTACTAATGAACCGAGTGGAGCTCAGCTTGTTCCAACTCGAGAGCTAGCTAAACACGATTGCTTGTGGGACTCAACTTGTTAGGTAGCTCGTTTTGAGCTCATGAATTGACTCGACAGAGTGGCTAGCAAGCAAGCTCAACTAGCGGCTTATGAGCGCGAACTGGTCTTTTTATGAGTTGGTTTGTTAAAAAATTATAAGTTTGTTAGGTTATATATCTCATCATATATGATGTGCACGACTTCAAGTACATAGACAAATATGTCTCAATTCTAATTTGAAAGAGAATTTCGATATCATAGATTACTCAGATGTTAATTACTGTTAAATAACATGATATAAACTATTGTGAAAATGATAATATATAAGCACGAAAATTTTACTTTTATTTTTTTTCACTACGACATTTAAATGAGTTGACCTCGTGAACCGATTGATTAGTCAACCCCGCGTAGAGCTTGTGAGCTCATTAATGAGTTGACACCTAGTTCGAACGTGAGTCAACAGCTAACAAATATTTCGTTAAACAAGTATAGCTCGGATCGTTTATTAACGAACAGAACTCGAGTTCTAGCTCAAACTTGGCTCAACTTATTTGCATATCTCCCTTGTTTCACCGGAAGAAGGCATTAACTACCCATGCAAGCGTTTGCTAAAAGATCGACATTGAGGCAAACTTTTAGAAACAAGGAAAATCATAAAAGGGGTTCAGATAATTCTAAGGCAATCCATTGAGGGGACAAAAGTAAGGTAAAAACTGCAATGACCGAGTATTTAGACATAAACTGAGAAAGGTTCATAAGAATCACCCCTGGAGATTGAAGAAATTGTAATAGCAAAGGTGAAGATGAGCCTGGGCAGCTGTATGTTACAGGCTTACAGCCTACTAATAAAGAACCAGCCAGCTAGTTTCTGAGTTCACTGTTCCAAAGAAAACGGGACATTCAATTCCTATGGGGGAGCTAAACTTTGTTTTCAGGACATTTTCCTCACAATTCCCTCGAACATACCATCGACGAAAGAGCTTCTGAGTTGGTCGGTAAGAACTGGACCAGGAAGCCTGAACTTGATGCTGAAGGGTCCTGGTGGACAGAGGTTTTGAGTCTCCATGAAGAAGACTTGAGGAGGTTTTTCAACAACCTGCTCCCCGGTGGTGCTCACCCCTTGTATCTCCACCATCCCAGTTGGATCTACAACACAACTGAAGCTCCCTGTTCACGGATATTCAACTCATCAGGAAACAAACCGAGACACGTACAACAGGTGGACGAATTTCCAACCATCACGCTGCAAAGTATAGCAATGAGATAATGTGCAACCAAAATAGAATAGCATGACACTTACTATCATTTCCAGACACTCCAGGAAGAGAGACACGGAATATGTAGAACCCGTCACTCTCCCCAATGTTCATTTGTCCAATACCTGAACCAATCTTCTGCATAGCTGCAATCCCGGAGAGGGCAATAGCTCCTCTGTTTCTGTTCAAGATATTGGCAAACTCGGCCTCAGTTGTTCCATTAGGAAAGAAAACTAAGGATGGGTCTTCTGTGTTTGCTGGTTCGACTGGGGGATCAGCATCAACACCACCATTGTTATCAGCAGCAGCAGCATTAGCATCATCATTAGCTACAAACGGGTCGAAATAATTCAGGGGTATAGCATTCAGAGGAGGCACATTGTAAACATGCCCAGGATCAATTGGCTCAGGCTGATTGTGTGTACGCTTGGCGGTAGACCTAGGGTACATCAACTTATCAGATGTAATGTCTTGAAATCAAGAAAGTACAAGATTGATCAAGTATGCATAAACAGCAAAAGTCAACATGAGAAATTAAGATCCAAATGAAAAAAGGATAAGTCTGGATCTGCATATTCGTGGGCGACACCACATAAGAACATAGGGAGGCAACTACATGAAAAATATGCATAGGTCATTAATCAGGCAATTCAGCAGAATCAACTTAGCAGTGACTAACATTTCCACTGAGCAAAAGTTTGGAGATGCACTCACCAAACAGCAACTAACCTCCTAACAGACCTAACCCGCCCCCTTCTACCCAGAAACAAAAACCCATGTAGAAGCTTGACGCAGAAGTTTAATATCAACCAACAAAAGATAAAACAATCTCAAATATAATTCTCAAGATTTTAACAAACTGTGATCATATTAAAAACAAGCACCAAAAACACATACAAGATGCAATTCTGTTTAGCAAATAAAGTACCCAACCTCAGATTGTACATATAATTGTGGTTCACTCACATGGGACCAAGGAAGGCTAAAGTCCATGTGAGATCTAGGGCTGTATGCAAAATATTATCATTCATGCAAAGGGAGTAAGGAAAAGGCGAAGTTTATTATGAGAACAGCCGTCTACCATCTTCAAACAATTTCCCTTGAAAGCATAACAAATGCGGAAATCTCATAATCATAGCTGATTGAATGCTCATACAGATATGAACAGAAGGAAAATATGTAAATCACAGAAATTAAAAGACAAATGGGATGCAAGCTTCTTGCTAGACCATAAAACAGAAATCGTTAACCACACAACTCATAATTTTCCATAATCTCATAGGTGCGCATAGTACATACGTGTAGGCTTCCAGATCAAAGGAACAAAGGATAGAACTATTCAAGCCTACACAACAATACTTGAATCGAACAGGGATATACAAATTAAATGATGCCTGCAAAGGATCAGCTAGAGTAGTGTGTCACTGAACCTCGAAACCCCGAAATAACTAGGGGAAACTCCGGCTTTCCTCATACTTCTTTGGCAGGGGTTGGGAATTAGGAGATGGAAAATCTTTGAGATCTGATAAGCCTCGAGAGTCAAGCGAGAGAACTGTAATGGGAGCAGTGGCTGGACCTGGCCAGCTACATAGCGGAAAAGTAACGGTTCACAAGCGGAAATTACTAATCGGCCCCTTGTTTTTTTCTACAGTCACAAATTTCTTGCCATCTATATTGTTCCTTTCATGGTATTATTATTATTATCAAGGTACCACATTTATGTCTTTCAAACAAGAATCAACATCTATCCCCAGCCCTCACAAGCAAAGTCTCATTCGCATTTTGCACGAGACAGACTGGTTAAGCTTTCTCTGTGAGCACAGTTATTTTACCAAACAGAAAAGCCATTCTTTAGAAGAAGATAACTGAATGCTCAAGCATTACCTTACCATGTAAAACGACAGTTGTTCTCACTGACATGGCACAAAGAATGCATATACATCACTAATCCACGGAACTAAAAGTGAGGAACATAAGTATGGCTACCAGAGTAACAAGGTAGGAAAGGAGTATTAGCCACATAAGGAAAAAGATGATTTTTCTCTTGTAAGATAAAGGAGAAAGGGACTACCATCACCAAGCAGAATCAACAGAACCTATTAGAACGATGATTGAAAAGAAACCGTAGTTCTCTATTAAATCACATCTCCATTGTACTAGGCACATTTGGTACCACATATGGTTCTGGTATAGTACTATTCCATCCGCTTAAGAGGTACTCGACACAGAACTCATGCAGGTTCGACGTTGATGCCAGGTTATTTGAAGAATCAAGCAACCGGCCTCGACTCATATATTGAATCCATCCGGACCAACCAGCTTACATTTGGACACAAATGATCCTACAAATGAATCGAACAGCACCCGATTTGCTGAAACAAAGTGATGAGAATCAGGTTCCTACTTCGGATAGGAATCATGCTCACTTGCTACCATGCATTGATACCCATTTCTTTCGTTGAACAAGCACACAAACCCAAGTAAGTAAACACTGAAAGAGCCAGTAAAACATCAACCATATCAGCCCAACTACGCTCTCTACTACAATTTCTGGCTCGACAAGAACAACAACTAAGAGACGAACAGTTGCCGCGGGAGGTCAAAGTTAAGCCACCAAATTCAAGTACATCACAATAGACAATAAACTGACCCTAGCAACATCTCAGATAAACAAGGCAGTTGAATGGCGGTTTAGGTCTGCAAGACAGACCCTGAAACACAATTTTCAAAAGCTTGATGCTAATTAAATGCCAAATGATCAAAATCTTCTGTGCACAAGAAGTACCTTCCGGGAGTAGTCATCGGCGGGGGGAAATGTCACCCAAGGAGCTCAACTGAATACTACTTCGGACGCCGGACGAACTGCATCTCCAAGTGATTTTCAGTCCATCTCGCTGCTGACCTCGCTCCAAGTTCCCCCTGCTCTGCGTGTGAAGAGAACCGAAGAAGCACTTATTTATTTTTCCTTCTTTCTTTTTTCTTGGTAAAATAAAAAGCTCTTGTGTATGTGAATTTTTTTGTTGTTGTTAGGCCCTCGCGGTCGTAAGGATGGATCTGGGCCGCCCAGTGTGTGGCCCATGTTTGTTGCGCCGGCCCATGATAGATGGCCTATGGACTATGTGGAGTAGGATTAGAACGGAAATGGGCAGGTCAGGGCGGGTAAGATAATTTATCATGAGCACAGATCAAGAAATGTCGATTCTATAAAAAAGATATTAATTTTTTAATTAAAAAAAAGAAAGTAAACTATAATATGATAAATGTATTTAAATTATTCGAGAAATTGAGCTTCTCACATATTTTTAATTTTATTATAGCTTAAAATACGAGGTAATACAAGTAAAATCCTAAATCATTTGAATACAATTACATGAAATTTAGAAAAAAAAATTAAAGAAACTATTCAACGAAAAAAAGAAAAAATGAGCCGTGAATGAGACGAGTCAGATCGAGGATTGGTTTATGCTCACCCCGCCTAAAACATGTCAAACATATCAAATAAAATTGTCATCTCTAATGTGGATGAAAGACTCGGAGTATGTTGCCTAGCAAATTATTTATAACTAGGTAGATCAAGTGTCCCTTTTGATCAAAGCGAGACCCTCCTCCTCCGACCAGCAGCTCCATAAAAACAATCCCCCAAAAAAAAAAAGAGGCAAGTATTTGCAACTCGCTTATGGTGCTCACAACACCTAACATAGGCACTACATGTCGTTAGATCGGACGCAAAACGCTCATGATTGTTGGATAGACGTCGTCGTCCAAGGCTTGATTCCAATGCGCTCACAATATCCGAAAGCATTTGCTCGAAGATTGTGTTGTGAGCACCATAGCTGGATTGATTCGAGTGCTTCTCTTAGGTGTTGCAATTGGTATCATTACTTTTTACTTTCTATACAACAATTTTTTTGGATTGACGTTCTTCTAACGTCGTCGGGTTATAGCAAGGAGGTGTTCATGAGTTGCGCCAAGTGTAGGAAGCTTCACCTTCTGCTTGTCGCCGGACGTTAATGGCGGCACAAACGTGACGAAAGTACTCACCCCGCCGCCTCCGCTTTGCTCCGTCTCCATCTCCAGACCGTACAGCTTCTGCCCGGCGCCATACCCTCCCAGCAGTTGGTACGATATCTCCGTTTGATCCATCGCCAAACAAATATCCTCTGTACCTACATTCAATCCATCAAAAAAAAAAATGAACATTCAGTGACTAAACGAACAACGTCCGAATAATGCAGTGGCTGATTGCGAAGTTTGGCCCTCCGACTCACAAGCGGCGAGTTGCAGCTGAGTCAAGTAGATGAACTCGAGCACCGCCGAGATCTCTTCCTCGAACCGCCGGAACGGCCCGGTCTGGAAATTCAGCTTCCTCAGCTTGCACAATCCTTCCCCGAGCTCCATCATCGCTCCTTTGTGGTTCTGATTATCATCATCGATTCGATAAAAGACCTAATTCGATTTCGATTTTTTTTGGATTCCAATTCTACTGACCTGATTGAAGAGGTGGTGGAATCCGACGGCGCACTGGAGGATCCCGTGGAACAGAGTCCTGCTGGCTTCATCCTCCGCTCCCATCCACAGCGCTTCCAGCGAGTCGTGGCACTCGTAGAACTGCCGCCGGTTGAACTGGTCCACCGCCGCTCCGAACGTCGCCGTCGAAATTGAGCCGGAGGCGTCCTCCTCCTCCTCGTCCTCCTCCGTGTAGCGGCCGCGGCGCCAGCTGTGGCATCGGAACGGCTTCCGGAAGCCGAGTCGCGGGCGCGATGTGGAGATGGGTTTTGGTGCGGAGGAATGGTGGCGGGAGGCGGATGAAGAATCGAAGGGGAGGAGGAGGAGGAGGATGCGAGCTGGCGTGGAATTATTGTTGGCTGTGGCGGAAGAGGAGGAGAAGAGAGAGAACAGTGTCGTCAGAGGCTCATAGGACTGAGCCATTTTCTGGTTCAGTTTTTGGCTCCCAGATGGATTTCAGACCGACCATTATCGATTCCTCTTTTGGACCAGGATTGTTGGCGACACACCTCTCCGACAATCTTGGGTCCGCCACTGCTCGGATTTTATTGCATCCGGTTCAGTGGCCCAAGTTTTGACGTTTTACTACTCTCCTGAAGGATAAATGGAAGAAGAAAGGGGGTCGGAATAGTAGGCAAATGAGCGGAGTCGAGTCGAATTTCGTTTTAGGTTGAGCTTAGTTTTGTTGATGTGATTTGAATCGAACTATCAGTCGATACGACAGGAAGTTACGGGGACTAGCTAAAATACATTGTGAAACTGGTTCTCTCCTGCTTGTGTGGACTAGCTAACGCACATTGTATCAGTGAATCACGTAAATCGTGTGTCATGTGTGTTCTTGTGTTTCGTTTTCTTACTTTGTCGAATCCTCCTATTTTCTAAACCGCAGAGAACAGTCGTGCAAGCTTTGTTAACAAATCATCAAGTCCGAGCTCGGTTTGTTTATTAAAAAGCTGAATAAAGTCGAATTCGAGCTTGACTTGTTTAGTACAACATAGGATCGCGCGTTTGTTTTGAACTTGGATTATTAATAAAAGCAAAGGTTTGGTTTGAGTTCAACTCATTTGTTATAGATAGTTGAACCGTTAAATTAAACTCTAAAATAATTTACATATAAGTACCATAATATTGGTACGTCATGTATGATAATCAATCTTTTATCATTAACTGATCTCGTTTATATACTCGATTTTTTTAATAAAAGAAAATCATATAGATTGATAGAAAGATCAAAGGTTACACCCTGGAATCAACCTAGGAACCAAAAGAAAAATCGACACGAGGTCGGAGGCAAAGAAAGGGCCTTCCGGGTCACAAGGTCAAGATAAGCTACCCTATTGCTAATCCGACCTACAAATCAAACATGAAAACCACTATTCAGAGCCAACATATGCAACATTTTCTCAATAATAGCCCCAACATTGTTGTCACGCTCATCCTTGGCATTAATCTTGTCAATGAGCACATTAGCATCGCTTCAAATCGAACCTATTTACATACTCGATTCATATCACATTATTTAGCACATAAATTTTAACTAGTCTGTATCAACAACTACTAGCACATATCTTTCAAGCCATATACGTGACATATTTGCTCACATACTCAAAGTCTTAAACATTATATGAGGTGATATTTGTAATTTTTAACAAACATATGAATTATCAACAAACCAACTCGTAAGGTATAGATGGATTCGCTCAATAGTCGGTAATTGAGTTGGCTTGCTAGTCACAAAGTCGAGACATCTCATAAACTCAAAACGAGCCAGCTCAAGATCAGTTTAGCTCAACAAGCCACCGAGTCGAGCTGTCTTGTTTGCTTCGCAATACGAACACGACTTAGCTCAAACTCGACTCATTGGTACGTAAACGAGTCAAGTTATGAACGTATTTTTTCTAACAAACGTTGAGTTGCTCGTGAACAACTCGACTCATTTACAGCTGGGAAGGGATAAGCGGAGCAGTGAACTATTAATCTGTTCTCTTTCCTTCGATCCTCCTCCCTCTCTCGCACCATTGCCTCTGTCTCTCGTCTGCTGCCTCTGTTAAGCTGATTCCATCAGAGATAGATCAATTAAACGAAAAAGAAGACCAAACTGAGGATGAGATGGGTTTTTGTTTCTTGACAGCGCCAAATAAAAAAAAAACAGAGCTCGGTTTGCCCGAGGCGAGAACCAATGTTTGTCTTCCTTTCGCACCCAGACTGAACCGAGCTCCATTCAAGTTCGGCCCTATTGAGCAACGAAACTCGACTTCGTTTCGAACTATATAGCCGACATGAAACGAAACTCGCAGTTCACTTATGATTGCGTGATATGAAATGCTTAATGCATTCTTGGAAAAATACTCTTTTAACTCTTGTCATGAATATGTTCAAAACAATAATGCTTTAAAAAAATTAACCAGCGTAACCAATTATTGGTGTGGTAGCTAGGTTGTTGCAAATGCCATATTTGTACCGTACGTCACATTCTCTAAACACCACGGGCAAAATCATGTGACTTGTAACCCCCCTCCTCCTTCCCCTTATTTACTCCATGCACTTCACCCCGCATCAGTTTTCAAGCTCTAAAAACGACAACAAAAACAAAGTGTATTTTTTCTCTGTGGCTTGGGAGGAAAAAAATGGCTCCGGTGGGAGTTTTACCGGCAACCGGAGGGCCGACGAAGGACTTCGGCGGCAGGATAACGAGCTCCGTCGTGGTCACCTGCGTCGTCGCCGCCTCCAGCGGCCTCATTTTCGGCTACGACATTGGGATCTCAGGCAATTCCTTCTCCTTCTTCTGTTTCTTTTATCGGTTCAGTGCTTGCTGTTGTAAAAAACCATCACAGCAAAAGAAAATTAAACCTCCATTATATTTTTTTTATCAATCAATTTGCAGTTTGCACAGATCAATTAGCATGTTTGTGTAGATTGATTAATTAATTAATTAATTAATCTTCGATTTGGGTTGTAAGTCGTAACTGTGTTGGATGTCACAATTCTAACCTTAATAGTATCAGAGATTACGTTTTCCCCCCCTTAATTACCATGTTGCAGTTTTTGGTGCAAGTCTAACAAGACTGTTAGGTAAGCCCTAATTAGAAATTAGTAGCAACAGCTACTAGCTGCTACAGCAATTAATAATGCATACACAGACAGACAACTACAATTTGGGATATGTGGTTACTGATTAGAATTTAGAAATAGCAATGGGCATGTCGAGTGAGAGGCCCGTATCGTGTTATCCATATTTGTTTCGTGGTAGGTCGTGTATAAGTCGGATGTTTTATCTAGTGGCACGAATCGAGACAGTTCGGTATGTATTTTTAATATAAAAGTATTTTTGAAATTTAAATTCTCTCGTAAATATTTCGTAAAACAAACTGTGGCATGATAAATGAAGTGAAATTAATCGGTAAATAAAGGTTCTCACATAATTACATTTATTAAAGTTAAAATATGATGAAATTAACGTAAAATCCTAAGTAATTTGAGTAAAAACAATATAAAATTTAGACAAAATGGGTGGAGATCAGTGAGGCGATTCGGAACTGATCGAGTTGAAATGATTTGTGAGTACCCATATCAACCACAAAACATGTCAAACAAATCGAATAAAACGGGTTAAGTCGAATTGTCATCCTACGGTCTAATAAAATTGAACGGGAAGATATTCCTATTCATTAAAAAGAAACATTATGATTTCAATTAATTTTGTAGCAAATGCAGAGATTTCACCTAAGAAATTATTTGAACTTAACATTTAACTATTTGCCTTCTTGTGACGAACTGACAGGTGGCGTCACCACAATGGAGCCATTCCTCAAAAAATTCTTCCCGTCAGTTCTCCGGCAGGCCGGAGCCGCAGAGACGAACATCTATTGCCAATACGACAGCCAACTCCTGACGGCGTTCACTTCCTCGCTTTACATTGCCGGACTCGTCGCTTCACTCGTCGCCAGCCGCGTCACCGCCGCCCTCGGCCGCAAGAACACGATGGTGCTCGGCGGCCTCACTTTCCTCGCCGGCGGCAACATCAACGGCGGCGCCGTCAACGTCGCCATGCTCATCATCGGCCGCATCTTGCTCGGTTTCGGAGTCGGCTTCACTAACCAAGTACGCAATAAGAAAACAATATTATAGCTTAATCGAATTTGATAGTTAATTGTTTAAATCAAGGTTCAGAAAATCGTACTTGAGATTATATCCGAAAAATGAGTGGTAGGGTTATTTTGTACGATATTCGGTATTTACGGTCCGACCGATTGGTACGGTAGGCCTAAACCTTGGTTTAAATTGAATTTTAAACAGGCGGCGCCGCTCTACCTGTCGGAGGTGGCTCCGGCGAAGTGGCGAGGAGCATTCAACACAGGGTTCCAATTCTTCATCGGCATCGGCGTCGTGGCGTCCAACTTCCTCAATTTCTTCCTGTCGAAGCATCCGTGGGGCTGGCGTCTCTCCCTGGGCCTCGCCGTCGTCCCCGCCGCCATCATGACGCTCGGCGCCGCCCTCATCTCCGACACGCCCAGCAGCCTGGTGGAGCGCGGCAGGCTGCGCGACGCCAAGCAATCCCTAATTCGAATCCGCGGGGCCGGCGCCGACGTGGAGGGCGAGCTCGACGACCTGGTCAATTCCGTCGGCGCGGCGAAGGCGGCAGATCGGGAGCCGTTCGTGACGATACTGGAGCGGCGGCACCGGCCACAATTGGTGATGGCGGTGGCGATCCCGTTTTTTCAGCAGGTGACGGGGATCAATATAATTGCGTTTTATGCTCCGGTTCTGTTTCAGTCGATCGGATTTGGGAAGGACTCGGCGCTGATGTCGTCGACGATTCTGGGGGTTGTGAATTTGGGGGCGATTCTGGTTTCCACGGCGGTGGTGGATCGGTACGGGCGGAGGTTCTTGTTCGTGGCTGGCGGGCTCCAGATGCTCGTTTGTAAGGTACGTGGATCCGACGCCGTTCGGTATAGTTCTGAAAACAGGGGGGAAATTTATACTTATTTTGATTTGAATTGTTTGATATGGCAGCTAGCGGTGGCCGCCGTGCTGGTCGCCGGCACCGGAGCTTCAGGGACGGAGCACATCAGCAAAGAACTGGCCGTCGCCGTGCTGATCCTTCTCTGCACCTACGGCGCCGGATTCGGGTGGTCGTGGGGCCCGCTCAGCTGGCTGATCCCCAGCGAGATTTTCCCGATCAAGATCAGGACGACAGGGCAGGGGATAAGCCAGGCAGTGAACTTCGCCACCACTTTTGCGCTGTCGCAGAGCTTCCTGGCAATGCTCTGCCATCTCAAGTACGGAGCTTTCCTGTTCTACGCCGGTTGGATCGCGACGATGACGCTCTTCGTCGTGCTGTTCTTGCCGGAGACGAAGGGGATCCCGCTCGATTCGATGCAGGGGATATGGGAGCAGCACTGGTACTGGCGCCGGTTTGTTTCGACGACGGTGTCCGCCTGAGTACTCTATACTGTTTGTGTATCAGGTTGCAACAAGCCTGAAGGCTAATTTTACAAAAACTGACACAAAATGCAGCAAAGCAAGTTACTGAAATGAACTTCTGTTCTTTTCTATAGAAATGGGAAGTGATTTCAGGAAGAAATGTGTTGAGGAATAACAAATGTACACCATACCTGCTTCGAATAAAAACAGAGATGCCTGAACAATCAACTACACATATACACACAAAAGGAGATATTGGCTTTCCACAAAGCAAACATCAGAGGAAATATAGCAGTCCCAGTTTTCTATCTACAAATCTCTTTCTTGGTTTCCTGTACCAGTATCTCTGTAGTTTTTGGGATTCATGTTCGTCGAGAATCATGCTTTGAGCTCGTACCACCACGTTGCTGCTGCTGCTTTGTGTGCAGAGAGCCTGCACCTGGTACATCGACACGAGGGGAGGCCATTATTGTGGCCATTGGTTGGAAACTAGTGTTGCCAATGAACCAGTACAGAGCCCATTTCAGATTGCAAAGCGTGTACTTGAGTGCTTTCGTCCAGTTCTCTTGCTTGTTGAAGCTCTGGGTGATGGAAAAGCTTTCCACTTTGTCATTCTCAATCCTGACACCAGAGTATATAATGATCATTACCAGATTTCAGAAGTTGGCTTTTACAGTGAAAGGAATTACTGGGAAGAAGTTAGAAAGTGACTTACCTGTATGGAAGCTTGAACCGTTTCTCAGGTGGGATGTTGTTCTCTTGGTCCTTCAGATATGCAAAATCAGCAAAGTCCTTGAGGCAGGTTAGGAACAGTTTCATCGCTTTGTCGTAGCGAGTGCTCCAGAATAAGTTCACCGGCCCAAACCTTAAGAAGCTCAAGTCAGTAGACGGGAAAAAGACTAGCGAGTAAGGTTCGACTAAATCTCAAAAGGCAGTCAGCACTTACAGGTCATAGGAATTGTTGTTGCTATCCATAATGCGGGGGTAGCTCCCCATAGGAATCATTTTTGTGTGATATCTAAACATTTCAGCAAGTTAAGGATGTCCCATCTACAAACATTCTTCCATCACTAACTCAAATCTCGACTCCGGTTCGACTAATAACTAACTAATTTATGAGAAGGAGCAGAGGCAGGTCTACAAGATTCATTCCCTAATAGAAAGCAGCTATATAAGAACCGCCACATCCTAAACAACTACTAAATAAAGGGAAATTATCATCTAACCTAATTAACAATCCAAATCAGATAACAATATAGAGAAGTTCTCAATCTATAAATTCACAGTTCCATCACGTTCCCTGCAATCAGGTCTTCATTTGGCATTGGTTAAAGAAGTGACTGCATATTAACAGCAAGTTGACTTGTGGAGAAAAAGGATACGGAAACTTTGGCTTGAAGTATTGACACATAGTGTGGAGTAGAAGACAAGCTTGTCCCCAGGCAGCATTTACCTCATCCCATTCAACCTATTGAATGTTTGTTTCCCCAAACCTTCTTGTAAGTAATCACTATTATGCTTTTAAAGCAATATTAACAGAAGTTAGACAGAGCAAAACACAGTGCAGGGTGCCGGGCAGTGTTAGTAACTTTACCGGGATTTGAGGAAGTCTGCCAAGTCGGAAATTGTTGATGGTTCCAAACTCTCCGTCATGATAGATTGGGAAAGCATCACTCAGCACACTGGTTTGCTTCAACAACTCCAACTGTGCTTGAGAAACCTCAGTCTTTGCCAGAATTGCATCTCTCTCTTCCTAGAGTGATCCATAACATTCAAAGTTACATATGCCGCAACGGTTCATTGTAAAACAGTGGCAACAACCTCAGTCGCTTCAAAAGGGAAGCCTCCACAACATTAGAGTACAAAACCATGACTGTAAGAAGGGTACAGGATATGAAAAATGAACAGTCAGTGCACACCTGATATGATGTTAACTGGAACTGAAAATTATTGAACTCCTGCCAGTACCTGCAGTAATTGAGGCGAAACAGCAATGATTAAGGAGAATGCAACTCCCGACCTCCAATAGAAGGAAAAAAAAATCTGTTTTGCAAATCTCAATCAAGCAGCTCTAGGGTGGGAACGGTGACTCTTCTAGAGCGAACAGATTGGAATAAAGCCAGAGTTAACTTGTAACTCACACATCCAGTCCTCGAGATAGAGTTCGAAGGAGAGCTTACCTCTCCTCCAATTCTTTGAAGCGGCCAGATTTTAACTCCAATTCCTTCAGTTCTGCATTTACTTCTGCATTCTGTTTCTCAATCTCTGAAGTTGCAGCTTCAAGTTTTCTTTCTTCCTCCTCAATCTTAAGGAATCATAAAAGGAAACCAAATGGTTATTTAACTGCAGAGCAGGTTTATGAAAAATCAACATCAAAGCAAATGAAACATACAGTTTCTATGGAAATCCACAAGAAAAATTACAAAGTATCGACAGAAATCCTTTACTGAACGAACAAAAGGAAGAACCAACTAAGCAAGCAGCAAAAGTAAGATAATGCAGAGCAACAAACATGATACATACTCCTCTCTAAGCCCCAGACTAGAAAAATTGTGTAAGCAATGGTCTGCTATAGGCCATAGAATTCCCCGATGCGAATAAAAACCCTATCAGTTATCAAGTACCAACCTTTAGTTTCTCCTTCAGAAAATCAGCCTCGCTGAGAACATCTCGGGTCTCTCCTTCAAGCCGTTGGAGGCATGCTTCATATGCTTCAATGTCCCTATTCACATCTTCAACTTCCTTATCAAGTTTATCAGACAACATTCTCATGCACTCGAGACACAATGGCTGCTCGACCTACAAGTTCCAAAGCTCGAGGAGCAAACACAGATCACGATCTAGTAATGGGACAGTTAAAAATTGCGCCTTGAAAGAGCTTAATCGCTCCACCCCACCTGTGTCTGCGTTGTTGCTATCTCAAATGCCCGTTTAAGGACCGAGATTGTAGAATGAAACCCCGCAATGTTGGGCTGCAACTGGCCATTCGACCCTCCTTCCAGCGAAGGCAAGTGGCCGCCGGCGCCTCCATCAGACGCAGGCTCAGACTTGTACACGACGACAAAGGATTCATCCATTGCCTTCCCAGGCTGAACGCCTCCGCCTCGTGGACGTGGAGGGATTCCCTGCAGTTGGGGCTTTTGATTTGGCAATAGGACGAAGGAATTGTCCATGCGTGTCGAGCCCAGCACACTGTTAGCTCCATGAACTGAAATTGAATCAAAGCAAAACCCCTCTCTCTCTCATTCAGAATCAACTGCAACTCTGCAAGTCCAAACGGAGCGGAAACAAGAGAATTACGAAGACAACCTACCGGAGTGGAAAGAGGATTCGTTTAAGAACTTGTCGGCGAAGGAATCAGCTCCGACGATGACAAGAGAGTGCCGGCAGTTCTGGCACATCCATCGCGGCAGATTGGGATCCACCTGCACTTGAAGACTCCCGCCCTTATCGCTCATCGGAGAGGAGACCAAACTGAATCTTCCGTCTTCCTTCTGTTTCCAATTAATTGCCACTCTCCCAAGAATCGGAAATCTCACTCCCTCTTCTCCGGCGGAAAAAATTTCTCATTTCTGATCGATCAAGCGGCCCAATTATTCTCGACTGAGAAATTCCTTGTTTTTTCGTTTACGTTATCTTTGATGTTAGGGTAAATTGCAAGTTTGGTCATTGGGTTGGGCTATTCTCTTGTATATCGTTTGGTATAAATGAATTTTATAAGTTTTGTGAAATTTATTTTGAAATGAATTTTTTTTGTGTTTGCTATTTAAAAGAATTCATTTTCAATTCTAAATTTTGAATTCTACGGAATGGAGCTAGTTATAGTAATTCCGAAATAAATTTCACAAATAAATTTCCAAATAAATTTCACAAATATTTACTAATTATAATAAAATTACATAATTACCTTCTTTTATTAACTAAATTACTTACATATATGACATACCAAACACAATAATTTATTTGACAATGAATTCTATAAGACACTTCATTTTACTTCTAAAAATTTGAATATAACATACTAAACATAGTATTTCATTTGACATTAAATTCTACGCGATAATTCATTTTACAATCAATTCTCGCTTTATTTGGTACAAAAGAGTAATCTTATAAATTGATCCAAATCGGAAATCCCCTTTTCACACCGCATCTTCCCCCTTTTGACCTACTTCTCTACGGCTTCTCGCTCTTCGTCTTCCTTGCTGCCTTTTCCATCGAATTTACGGGAGTCCGGCACTCGTCGATCGACGGCGATGGAAAACCACAGAGTGGCGGATGGGCCGGCGCTCCAGATCTTCGCGCGGCTTCTCGACGGGAAGACGGCTACCCTGCGATTCGGAGCGCCGGAGGCTTGTACTCGCGAAATCAAGCGGCGAATCTTCGAGATCACCAGAATCCCTGTTCAATCTCAGAGGCTTGTCAGCGGCGGCCGGCAGCTCGACGACGATTCCGTCGTCTCGGCGCCGGAGTGCAGCGTCCAGCTCTTGCTCGGCCTCCGCGGCGGGAAGGGAGGTTTCGGCTCGCTTCTCCGTGGCGCCGCCACCAAGGCGGGGCAGAAGAAGACGAACAATTTCGACGCATGCAGGGATATGAGCGGCCGAAGGTTGCGCCATGTGAATGCTGAGAAGAGGTTGGAGGAGTGGAAAGCCGGGGAGGCGGAGAGGAGGTTGGAGAAGGTCGCGGACGACTTTCTGAAGAAGAATGCGAAGAAGCACAAGGGGGCGAAGGGGACCGGTGATGGAGAAGCGGCGAAGTATGTGGCGAAATACAGAGAGGATTCGGCTAAGTGCGTGGCAGAGGTTGAGGATGCCGTGAGGGAGGCTTTTAGTAATGGAAGTGGGAAACGGAGGGGGAAGTTCCCCATGAATGCTTCTGACGCCAAGAGGTTGAAGAATTGGTAAGTGGCTTTAGGGTTTCTAATGCTGTTGTTGGATGCCTTCCGTTCTGATTGCTAAGTACTTTTTCCTGCTCAAGAACTTGGGAATGAATTGGGAACTGGTCGGTGTCATTCTATTCTAGTGGGAGAAGATAAGTGCTTGGTTTTCAGTGTTTCCTTTTCATGTCTTCTTCTTTAGATATTACTGATATTGGTCTGTGAATGTTTGTTAGCTGTATACTAATTTGATGTTGAAAGGTTTTGGGCGTTTAAGGATTGATATGTATTTTTCTTGTTCAGGTTGGGGAAGGAGAAGTTGGGTGGAAGTGATTCTGAAGATACAGAAGATGATAGTGATAGTGACGGCGAGGGCGAGGGAACTGAGAAATCGGTCATTCTTAGTGGTGGGACTAATTCAGATCCGAATTCGGACTCTGTTTCTGATGGGAAACAAACTGGAGAATGTTCCACTGCTGCCTCCAGTGAGAGTGGTTGGGAGGAGGTAGAGAAAGAGGTTGCTGAAGGGGGCAACAGTAAGTCAAGTTCTGCAAGAGAGGTTATCAATGACGAGATGGACATGGTAGCCGAACCCGAGACGTGCTTGGAACTACCAGAACATAGTGCCACTGTCACTTGCTTGGAAGTTTCTGAAGCTCCTGAACCTGATAAAACAACAATGGAAACTCAAGAGATCCCCAGTTCCAAGAGTGTGGAAGTTACAGCTGTCAACCCAGTTATTGGTGTGGGGAATGGTCCAGTAGACTTGAAAGCTGATGCGGAGGAAGAAAACGTAGTTGCAGAGACGAGCAATGTTGATTCGGAGAAGCAGCTCAACTTTGAAGAGGTCAATTCACCTAATGATTTGGAGGTATAGTCTTGTTTGTAGTCTGCTTGTCCATGGCTTATATTAACGTGTGCTTAGTCCAGATTTGTTTGTTTGCAAAGGTTTGGCCTTCAGATCCTTCACTTATCATGTTAGGCAATAATAATCCATAAGTTCTTTCAAAGACTTTACTTTTGGGGTCCTTTGTATCCTCAAGGCGTGTTTTCGCTGAATCCAATAGAGAATGACTGCATGTACGAGATCCCGAAGCGAGAACACATCCTTTAACCTAATGACACGTTTTGATTAGAGTTCTAACGATGTTTTTTTCTTTTTGTTTCCAAGCAATTCACTTGATGAGCTAGTTATTAGTATGGCACTGTGGTCTGAGTCATGCGCCTTGCTTAGCCTGCAAATCCTTGTTTCCTCAACAGCTTGTGTTATGATTTCATTAATGTCATATTTCTGTGTATTCGCTGTGAACAGGTTCTTGGATTGGAGAAGCTGAAGAAGGAACTGCAGGACCGTGGCCTGAAATGTGGAGGCACTCTTCAAGAGCGAGCCGCAAGGCTTTTCCTCCTCAAATCGACCCCTCTAGACAAACTACCTAAGAAGCTGCTCGCCAAGAAATGAACGCTAATAATGTTTGTTACTACGCCGAGGAACAAAGGAAAGGTACTGTCCTTCCTTGAAATGTATTGTACAGTGACGTTTTTTGTTGTTGAAGTGAATGTCCTCCTGATCAGAAGCGCGACATGAACGTTATGTACTCTGATGGTTTTCTTCTGTAATGAATTCCTTGAAGAACATGCTGATAGTATAGTAAGCAGTTCTGATAGGCAAACTATGTTCTTACATCTACATGCCAGATTATTAGATAACTTACTATTGTTGCTGTAGCTAACATTGAAAGAGCTAGAAGTGAGAACTGTGTGCTGCTTTGATGAATGGAGTATGGAAGGAAACGTTTAGCAAGATCAATGGTCGAACACATGGTAGAGCTGGCTTTGGCAAAGATCGGAAAACAAAAGAAACGCTGCAGTTTGGCGCCAAGTACTGGATTCTCAGTTAAACCGACACCGAATTAAACCATTTTGGCTACCAAAGCCGTTGAGTATTTAAGAAAAAAAAAACGGTTTTGGGTATTGGACTATTGGTGGTTATTTGGGTTGTAGCTAGGGGTGTTCAAATGGTTACCATGGTTATAATCAGTGTTATTAAAGCCGGACTGGACCGGTCGGTCCGACCGGTGAAACCGTCACTCGGTCACCAATCCGGTCCGGTCAAGCTATTTAGCCGACACGGCTGGATCACCCCATTTACAAGCAAACCGACCGATTCAACCGTCGAACCGTTCAAACCGCATCATCGGTTTTACCGGTCAGAATCTTGGTGACAAAAATATCCAGCCAGGTGGAGAGAACTAGGATTCGAACACTGTAGCTCTTCGTGCAAAGTCAAATGTTTATCCAGTTGCGCTACTACCAACTTGTGTAATAGAAGCTACAAGTCTCATTATTATACACTTTTGTAGTGTTTAGTTTTGAAACTAACCATTAAATAATGTTCATAACTATTAAAAATCACTCGCATTATACTTAAATAATTTATATTTCTGTACAATAATATTCTTTACTTGTTTTTTGTTTGAATATATTAGAATAAATATATAATTATAATAACATTAATGGTTTCTATTTATAATAATTCTATTTCTTAGACACCGGTTCGATAACGGGTTTATAACGGCTTGATAGCGGTTAAATCAATAAAGTGCGAGCCGCTTATAATACCGGTTCTTATGACGGTTCGGTTCTGACAACATTGGTTATAACCAAACCAAATAATGCTAAATTCCATTAACCATGGAATACAATATCATAACCAAACCGTCCAAACTAATACAACAATCAAATTAACCAAACTAAAGTTTAATCGGTTTGGTTAATTGGTTAACCAGATTAACCAATATAAAATCACATTATCATTGACGATGAAAATTTTCCGGTTAATGCAACAATTCGCAATTTATATAATGAATAAAACATAACAATCAACACGTAGTTATAGTTGACCCTTAACAAAAATACATGCAACTAAGAAAATTATCTTACAATTAGTATAGAAGTATTCACCTAACAAAAAATTATGACAATGGTATGGGTTAATGAATTGTTGTGTTTGTGTAAATTGACTAGTCTCTTAGCAATTATCATAGGCTGGAAATGACCTTCCTTTCAAGTTTTCATTCATCATAATGTATGAAATTTATCTAAATTAGGCGTCCATATGTTGTGGTCTAGACTTTACATATACAAATATACACTATATGAGCAATATTGAGCTTTATATTTTATGAGTCTAAAAGGGATGAACGTTAACTCTTGAGTGGTTATGCAAAGTATTATGTGTATATAATATATGTTAGATATATGACTAATTACTTAACTGGTTAATTTGGTTTGACTGGTTAGGAGTGTCTGAAACCAAACCAAACCACCTAAACCAAACAAGCTAAAAACTTTAACCAAACCAAACCAATTATCCAAATTAACCAAACTAAATTATCCAAATAGTACCGGTTAAAACGGTTACCACGGTAACCAAACTGTTTGCACACCCCTAGTTGTAGCTTTGTAGGTAAACCGGCACCAAGATCATTGTTTATTGAACTCGAATTGAACTCGTTCAATGCAACCCAGGGAATAACAATTAGGGTTGCGCAATGGTTGAGAATCGTCAGTTTTCTTTTGGTTTGATTGAGTTCAGTATTGATTTGATATTCTTTCCCCTTTGATATTTAGAAAATTTATGGACGTGGACCGAATCATTGCACTAATTACAAATTTACAATATGCAAGATGATGAATTCCAAGAAGAACCTCTTGACAAATTGGTGCATAATGTTGATTGATTATGTTGTTGTCATAGTGTGCCACATAGATGTGGATCAAATCATTGGTATTGTTGTTGTGACTAATGCAGGTGATTGCTACGAGCTTACTTGATGATTATAGATAAAGTAGTTAAGACTAGCTAACAGGTAGATATGATGCAATCTTTGTAGATCGAATATGAAAAGCGAGCATGATTTATGAAGCTTAAACGAGAGAGAAGTGGTTCCAAACTCATGAACCAAGATTTTTTCTTTCCAGAACTCCAACATTATCGGGAGTTTCTTGTTGTTTGAAAAAAAAAAAATTCTTCAATTTGGCTTTGGTTGCCCTACACTAAATAAACTCAAAATTTGACCTTTTTTAAGTTCTACTTCATTTTTATAATCTAATTTCTGAACTTGAAAATATGAGGAGTTTGAAAAATAAAACCACTTAATTTGTGAATGAATTCCACATTTTATGAAACCGAAATGGCGCGAACGGTCTGACCGGTCCAAACGGATGGCCTGGCAAAAAATTCGGTCGGTTACTTATTTGATATTTTAGAGGAGAACGGCCCGTGACCTCGAGCGCCGGCTGCTATATTAAAGCGGTTAAAAAGGGTAACTCTTTGTCGTTAAAGTTTCGTGTCGCTCATTCACAAAGTTGAGAGAGAGATTCGCCCTCGCGAAACTGCAAAAGCTGACTTGAACCCTTTTTCGGAGAAGCCAGAAGACACAGCGAAGGTACCTCTCTGAACTCCGACCCAAGGGGTTTATGCAGCTTTCAATTCTCTTGTTTCCTGTTGCCGCGCAGCTTATCGTGTTAGTAGAGATGAACTCTAGGTCTGGTTTTCTTTTCCACATAGGGTCCCAAAGAACAATGGCGTTCAACTGTTTAGAGGCTAGGGTTTTAGCTTCCGACCGTGTAGAGTTATCCTGATGATAGGGGGGTTATGATGGTGGGTTTTCTGTTTGAATGTCTCATAGTTCCCGCGAAAAGATTAGCTGCAGAATCACGCGGCTGCACTAGGGTGAGAGTTGCTTGTTAAGTGAAAAGATGATATCTTCAATATGAACGGTAGGTCAGAGAGTCCAGGCTTTGTGGTGGGAAGGAGCTAACATGTGTTTTCGGGTTGCGTTTGAAGGTGATTGAGTTCGAAATGCTTCATTAGTGTTCTCTGAACATAGAACCTTCAGGTCCTTGTTATCCCATCTCACGGTTCTTGTGATTACCATTCCAAAGTCTGGTGCTTTAAGTATATATCCTCACGCCCTTTTTTGTATAAAACTTTGTACTGAAGTCTTCCACTTCTGGGATGTATCTCTTGGACAGGGTCATTCGACTTCAACGATGAATTAATCAAATATGGATTTTGTATTGGCTAGGAAATATACTAATTATGTTCTGATCTTACATGTGGATCATTTATGTCATAAGAACTCTGTTTGTTCTTTAAGTAGTTTCAAGTCTAAAAATGGAGTTGCTCAGGACCGAACCAAAACTCAGAGAGAATGAATTCCTCATGTCGTTTGCCTCGCACTCCCTCTCTTTCTCACAACTGTGTCTTCTTTGCAACTACTAGTTAGCCTCTGCCTATTAGCATAGATTGGTTCAGTACTTCAGTTCGCTGCTGTTTCCTTCATAATTATGATGTCGGTGAATCATATGATTGCCTTAAATTGGGTTGTATTTTGCAGGGATGACGTCGAATATAATACTCTTCGAGGACATTTTTGTCATCGACCAGATCAACCCAGATGGTAAAAAGTTTGATAAAGGTATTATCCTTCCAAGTTCACTTGCAAATTTAACCCGTCGCTATACTCCCCATAGTATATTCTGATTATATATTGATGGGTTTTAGCTCCCTTGGTCCTTGGTTCAAACTTAAGGAGTTGGAATGTGTGAAGAGTAGAGTGTATTCTGTGTCTGGAATGCTCGAGGGGAATGTGATTTTGTGGACAATATTCCCACTTGATGTTTAACTTGCTTATATCTTTGGGCACTTTGAATTGGTTTGAATTCACAATGCACTTGTCTCTAATCAAAACCACATTATACTCTTATTGACTTATCCCAATTACCTTGATTCGTCTTAACTTAGGGTTTAATTATTGTTCTGTTTCTTTTGTAGCTTGTCGGATTGTTGCACAGAGCCAAAATTGTGACATGTCCATGCAACTTGATATCAACAACGATATATATCCCATGGATGTGAATGACAAATTTACAATGGCATTGGCTTCTACACTGAATTATGATGGGACACCTGACACTGGCTATTACAATGCAGTAAGCTTTCTTCTCTACCTTGCATTGGAGATACATAAGACAAATCTAAATGTTAAACATATGTTTATGATGCTACATTATGTAAACAATAGTTTTATATTGCTTAGACTCCAATTTATACGTGGTGATCATCTCTACTTGTTGGGAGGTTTAAATTGTTGAATTAGTTCAAACATGTGAAAGCACAAAGACAAAAAGAAAAGAAAAGAAAAGAAAAAAAAAACAAAACAAAAAAACACAAAGAAGAAGAAGAAACTAGTTTGTTTCTGCAAATTATCTGTAGGGTAACTGCTGCAATATTTCCTTGTGGTGATTCGTCTAGTTCATTTCATGTCATGGAGCTTCATGTATATCCTTTTTGCAATTATTCTCCCAGGCGAAAAGGAAAAACCTTGCAGACAAATATGAATATGTCATGCACGGGAAGCTATACAAGCTGTCTGAGGAAGGTTCAGGAAGATCGATTACAGCGTATGCATACATTTGAGAACTTCCATATTCTACGATTGTCTTTGTATGTCGACTCTTTTATAACCTACAGAAACTTTTGATTCATTGCATTGTGCTGCAGGGAATTATATGCTTCATTTGGCGGCCTGCTGATGTGTCTCAAAGGGGACCCTTCTCATGTGGCTCACTTCGAGCTTGACCAGAGAGTGTTCCTTCTGATAAGGAAGATCAACAAGTGAAAGCAGTCATCCCTATCACGAAGTAACTTGTAATATATATGCTTCTCCTTCGTACTTCGAGCTTGATCCAAAGCATGCATTCATCTTAATCACGTCGTTGTGAAGCTTATGTTGCTCAAGGTGGAAGCTCCCTTGATCTCGTACTGTATATTTGACTCTGGGATCCTATGTCTTTTTGGTCGTGTCGTGCTACGCTAAATGATTATTATGATACTCCTTAAGAGATTATCATGAGTATTTAAGTAGAGCGGGGGTACTCTTGAGTTTTCTGTTTGCATTCTAACCTCTGATATATTAAGCAAATGGGTCTCACACGCTCCTAGTCTCCTACCAATTTACAATCTTTCTATGACAGGGAAAAAAGGTCTCACAGACCATGTAATAGCTTACTGGTATATAGGGCTGGGAAACGGTGTGGCCTGGTCCAGACCAGATCATATATACGGTATGTAGGGATGGCAACAAAACTCGAACCCATGGGTACCCACCCGACCAACCCGGTCAATGTGGGTAAAACCCGTGTTGATAGGTTTTGGGCCGGGTTCGGGTTTAAACCCGCTACACTATTCACCGGGTCGGGTTGGGTTTGGGTTTAGGTAAACCCGCCCCATGGGTACCCGCCCACACACATATAATTACTTTCCCGGTATATTTGATACTCTAAATAATATATTTTCCTTAAACAACTAATATTCTTTATGTTTGTGGAGACATGTATAATTTGTTCTTTCTAATTTTTTAGAATGAAGTTGATATTATGAAGTGGAGAGTGAAGAAACTTAGTTGACGAGGAAGAAGCTTTCAATTAATCTTATTGTTTGTAGATGATCATTTGTATTTGATCATTTGCGGTTTGCTTGTATGCTCTAGATTGGTGTTTTTTGTATGAATAATTTGTATGAGAAAATTGATGTTAAACTTTTATTTTGAAAAAAAACTTGTTTTTGTAAATTATTTACCACAAAAACCCACGGGTACTCATGAACCCGCGGATACCCAGCGGGTTGGGTTGGGTTTGAGTTTTTCAAACCCAGCGAGTTTTACCCCGGGTTTTTTTGGCGGATAAACCCATGGGTTTGGGTTTGACAAAACCCGCCCCAACCCGACCCATTGCCATCCCTAACGGTATGGTCTAGACCAAGAGGCTGAAGTATAGACTACAGACTATACGGTCCAGTCCAGATCACGCCTGTGCGGTTTGGTTTGGTCTGGTTTGGTCTAGACAGACCACACTCAACGAAAAATGAACAATTTGTTTTGTCAACCACACAAAAAATTGAACCAATAACCAAGAAAAATAATTGTTATTTGCCTTGAAACATTAATCCTAACATTTATGAATAATTTTGGTACCCTAATTCTTAATACATAACAAATATTTAAAGTAAAAGCATCTCAACTTGCATCATAGCGTCATAAAATATTAACATAATGTCATATTGAGACATGATTATCTCTACTCTCTGGTTAAATATGGTTGTGAATGAAGGAGAGACGAGATTCACAAAATTAAGGTTGAGACTTGGGTGTTGTTGTGGGAGTTGGGAGAGTGGTCAAATGGGTTGTTAACACGTATTGACAAGTCGGTTGGGTCCACGGTTTGGTCCGGTAAACCGCGGTCTAGACCAGACCAAAAGATCAAAACATAAAATAATACAAACCATGGACCAGACCAGACCATACTTAACGGTCTACGATCCGGACCAAACTATACGATACGATTTGGACCACGGTTTTTCTAACAGTCTCGTCTGTTTTCCAGCCCTACTGGTACACAAGCCGCAGAGTATTAATTATTTTGACCGTGAATGCAGAATTGATCATCCTCTCTTCTGATATAACAGAGCTATCCATTAGATGGAATGCCTCTTGTGTTGTTTGATTCTCGTTCCAAGTACTCTGTTTTGGCTGTTTCTGGAAGATTCAGGCCTAAGGTTCAAAGCATTGATCTTAGTTTGTCGCGCCTGCGGTAAAATTGTACGGCTTTGGAGTTCCTATCTAGTCAGGTGTAGCCTGTCGATAGATGCGGTTTTCTGCAGAAACAACGTGTTCATCGACGGCTATTTCTTTGGAGGAAAGTCACCATCCTAAAATGGCTGGGAAAGGTCTCCTTCCCAAAGAATGATCACCGTACAGTAAGGAGTACATCAGATGATTAATATGCTGCAGCTTGTCAGTGAAGCCAGTTTGATGCCTATTCCATGTTTTTGTTGCCCGAATCCAATGGTCCTCGTTGGCCTTATATGTCTATGCTTGTCGTTGCTCTCCTCTGGAACCTTAAACAACGGAGAACGATGCTCCAGCCTTTTTTCACCTCTCCCTTCCATTTTAAATGCCCACCTAGCTAGCTTTTCGATTTCAGTCCACCATCCCAAAAGTCTCTCTCACTCACTCTCTCAATTGGGTTCTCTGAAAAAATGACGACTTTCTTCTCATTGGAGCTGATAACTGAGGCTGCTTCGAACTCGGTGATGGTCTTCTTCTTCTGCAATCTGATCATCGTCACCATCCTCGTCGCCTCCTCCTCCTCCTCGACAAGCGGAATGCACCACGTGTCGATGGTGGGAACTCCCTACTACCACGTGACTATTCACCAGCAGGAGGAGACTCTGGTTCTTGGTGCAGGAAATGATGCTCTGCTTTCCGGTGATGAAAACAGAGCATCTTGGTCGTTGTCGTCGTCCTCGGAACCTAAGTTGGGCGCATTGGCAACAACTGCCCACCAAGATGTAGAAAAAGAAGAAGAAGAGGAAAAGGAGGAAGAAGAAGAAGCTGATTGCAGTAGTGGTGGAGCAGAAAATGGAAAAGAGCATTGCAATGACAATGATGAGGAGGAGGAGGAGGATGAACTGAGAAGGAGAGTTGAGGAGTTCATAGAGAAGACTAACAAGGAATGGCGGGCAGAATTGCTGAGAACATCAAAATCACGGCTCATGATTGCTGGTTGATTGCTTCCAAATCACTAGATATGAATGGTGATTGATGGTCGAAATTCAGGAAGAGAGTTTTTTTTATTGTTCCCAAGGAATTTGGAAACTCAGAAAGCCACGTCCAGACATTTTAATGGCCGGCTCCTTTTATCTTTCTTTCTATATTCTTCGCAGAAGAAACATGAATTGTATTCTTTATTCTTTCTGGACATGTATTACGGTTTTACAGACCTTGAAATCAAAATCTTTTTGAGTTTAAAATCCGGTGCCACGACCAAGCTTATGTTGCCATCAATGGTGGACGAAGCTTTTCGAGGCACAAAAACTTGTTTACTAGACTTACTGAACTTCGACAGAGCATGATTATGCATTGCTAGTGCTGAACTACCAGCGACTTGATTAACCACGGACATCCGAGAAAATGAAACTATGAACAAGGTTTCAGTTCAGGGATGGAACTAATTTACTGTTATCTGTTTCACTACAGCATACCAAAAAATCATCTAAAGCTGATGTAGATCTGCCAACACAGATCGTCATCTATGATCGAGTGTTATATATGTATAGAAAGGAATGATCGGTCGAAAATTGGCTGTGTCGATGTTACTGAATGAATCACGGATTAGGACCAGTTGGATTGTGTGCCTCGATATCAACATGTCGGATGCCAGGGACAAGATCTTGTATCTCTTTTTCAAGCCTATCAACTTCGCTTCCTAACGCCGTCACCAACTCCTCACCTGAAACCAGAAAGACAACCAACCACTTAAAAATGGCAGCACAGATATGTGGATCAAATCTACCGCTCGACTTGGTTCAAGCAACACATACCATAGTCTGACATTCGCTTCAGAAGCGCGGTATCACCTTTTTGCTTTGAAGCATCACGGAACTGCATAAGATATCATCTTAATGAGTTCATTATAACAGGGTTCATAGTCTATATACCAACTCAGATGGACACTTCATGCCTCAAAACCATGGAAAGACAAACTAAGCAGGATGTCCTTGATCAGATCATCTAGAATAATGGATTAATAGTACGAATCCAGACTACCAAAACATGAATTCCATTGCATGAGCATGATATGAATCTCAAGGTAATCTATAAGTTATATGTTAAAATTTCGATACTTTAGTCCAGTTGAAATGTTCAGTCAACAGGAGCTTTCTATGGATGAAGATGATTCACCTGTCTTGCCCAGTCTTCCCGTCCAATCCTATTTAGATAATTCTGCACCACCACCTTGCCGTTAAAATCTGTTTCACAGGAGTAGCACAATCTCATAAATTTGCCAACGATCTCAAATCTTATGCAACATCTAGGAACATCATATCTGTGAACTTGAAGCTTCCATTTATTTCACTAAGTTAGGGATGAGAGGTGGATGACAAGATGCATCAACAACCAAGTGCTTGAAGGTCCCATTAATTTCCCAAAGTTAGGAACATAATGAGAACATACACAAAACAAGATGAGGGTACAGTATGTGGCAGGGATTCACCTATTTCGGCCTTAAATCTGAAGAATCCAGGTCCAATCACCTCACTTTTGCAATCATATAGAGAATCTACAACCTATACACAAACCATAAAATTAGAACCTGTCAAGTTTTAGAAGAATGTCAGAAGAACTACTGCCTAAACAGGGTCATACCGGGTCATTTTTCAAGAAATGAAGAACCTTCTGCATATCATTGTCATCCATTGCTCTGCCAATCAAGGCATGTCTATTCCTCTGAATAAGGAAGATTGCAACCTGCAACGGTAGTCATTCAGATTACAAGCTTCATAACCAAATAATACTGCATTTCAGTATTGCACTAGCACCTCAAGAATAATGTCCTCTATTAACCTTTGCAACAACCAACAGAAATGCAAGTCAAGTGCATGGGAACAAGAAAACCATAGAGGTAATATCCATCCCTAGCTGCAGTAAACAATTTTACCAATAATTTTTTGCAATCTGCATTCATCTTGCACCATGTGCCCAAATCTTAACCCATCACTCAATAGATTACAACATGGAAAATCATTCATTACAGATAATACCATGGTAAACACTTCTGCCTTTACACAGCAGTGATTAAGTTGCACAAACATGAAAGTAGGACTACTTACCATTCCTAGCAGGTTGCCAACTATGATTGAACCAATAGGATCATAAATTGGATTCCCTGTGGCATTAACGGCAACCAATGATGCTCCAGCGATAACCAATCCAGTCACTGCAGCACCATCCTGCAGATCAGAGAGAGTTCTAATGGACAATATATCACCACATAGACATTAAATGCACATGCCAGCCAAGTAATACAGGCTAACTGGGAGGAAGCTGCCAGCTATAAGTACAGACTGACCAATCAGTCACTGCAGCACCATCCTGCAGATCAGGGAGATTTCTAATGGAAAAAAGATCATCACGCTCATCACTAAATGATGAGTAAAGCTCAAAGTACAGAATAACTGGGAAGAAAACATCCAACCCACGGGGCCAACATCCACCATACAAGCAAAATAGACTACCAAACACAATATATAGGAGAAATGGAGGAAAAGAGCTGGAACCCCTACAGTGCGAATTTTCAACTGACAGTACACAACATATTCCAATGCTGGGACTCTGTTAGGTTATCCAAGCCTAGTGGTATCATTGTTATTGCTATCCTATTCATTCTCTTCCCTTCAAGCAAGTAAAATCAATCAGAATGTTTAAGCCTCAGCATCGTAAGAATTTGTCTTCATATGAAGTACAACCATCTAGCTAACTTCAAATAGGCCTGAAAATCAATTCTGTTGTGCCATTATTCCTCAAATAAATTTACCTCTGTCATCACTGCAACAGCTGTGGGATCATGACCACGCCACACATAATCTCTGATGGTCATACCTTCTGCAGCTGCACATTTCTTGACAGCTTGTATGGCAACAAGAAGAGAAGCACCTAAAACAGAGACATGAAAGAGAACATATGAAAAAGTTGATAAATATAGGCAAAGTTCATCAGCCTCAAAGACGTGAAGTGCACCTTCAATTATAAAAGAACCACCAAGCACCAAAGCTGCATATTCAATGTGGGCTGGAGGCTGAAGCAAACAAGCACATCAATAACTCATAGTCTTTTACTAAGTCAATTGGCAGAGAACCCTTATAAAGGTAGGAGATCATTCAAAGAAAAAAAGGAAAGAATTCCAGCTAGTCCAGCATGAATATACAGATCCAATTGTTGAGCTGCTTACCTGAGAATTCCACAAGTTCTGAACTCCGTTGACAATTGTAGCGCCAGAGCCAAGGCAAAAGATACCAACAGCAGATATCAAAGACCAGACAAACCTTTCCTTGGAGTAGCCATAACTGTACAGGGTTCAAAATATCAGAATCCTTTTCTCGTGATTGGAGTTGATTAATAGTCGCATACACACATTCAATTATAAGGGTCTAGCATAAACAGGAAATGGTCCTGCTGTGGCAAACTCAGCGACCGTAGTGCAGAGGGATTCTTCAACCTTGATCTAACACCCATCAATAATTACAGTGAGAAGTGCCACAGTGATGGAGACAGAGAAGATAAACCAGTGATCAACTTGTTTCTTGACATATGAAATGTCTACCCAACACACGTTAACTAGATTGCTATTAAATACAAAACTAGGGGACTTCAAATGTCAACAAGCAGGTTTATGTCAGCAAACTCTGTGCTAGTAAATGGATCGATATAAAGCAACATGCGACAAAAATACTGCATATGATGAGTAGAGCTTGCTATTTTAAGAAACTCACGGATGAAGTGCATCTGGCGCACGCCTTGAGCTGCTCAGACCATAAGCTAGAAGTACCTGCAGTGTTAACAAGAATCAAATGATCACTAGATGCCATCAGAGAAAGGACAGCCAAAAATTAACTTGAGGAAGTAAAATGATCACTGGCGGTATCACCTGGTTTGCAAAATCGGCAATCGAGTGCACAACTTCAGCCAGCATAACATGACTTGAAGTCATAAACCACACCCCAAACTTAAGAGAAAAGACAAGAAAATTGCACCAAAGTGCTGTAGTGACTGCTCGCTGACTGACAGAGATGACAAACGAGTAAATGGATGTAAGAAAATAAAGCAAATACTGATCTGATAAATAATTTCAGATACTTGACTCGCATTGATCTAAATGACCTAAGAAAGACCTAGAAATGGTAGTCGATACACCATTTTCAACATTCAAAAGGTGCCAACTATCTAAGCCCTCCATGAGGATTGTCCAACACCAAATGCACCTAATATTCAAGATACTAAACATTTACAATGAGGATTACTACCAAAGAAACTAGACTATCAGACTACATAAGAAGCACAACTTCTGGTTGAGTCAATAGTAGGGTTGCTATTTTAGCACAAGATAACCAACCATAGAACAAATGTTTCCTAAACGATCTTCAAACAATTTTCATGCAATCATAGTCAACTAACTGCGGCAAATATAACATAGACCTGTGCTGATCAGTAATTTCGATCTTCTTCACTTGCTTTGCCCTGGTAAAAAACCCTGCAGACAGCACACACAAGAACACCATACATAAGTTTCAGGGTGTACCCAGTTCATCAAGGAAATAAAAGAACGTTCAAAGACCGGAACCCACCACGACGAAGAAAACCATCAAAATCCCGATGCTGGTGATCGCCGCCCAACGAAACCGCGCCAGGTAACGAGACAGACACTCGGGAGCGATCGAATGCGAGGAACCGACGAGAGCCGAAGTAAAAGATGGGTTTGGGTCTTCTTGCAAAATCGTCTTCCTCTAAACAAACTTCATTGCTCCCGTCGCGTCGATGGCAGCTTACGGGTGATTGGAAACCCAATTCCCCGTAGCCAGGAGCTGAAGGAAGTCCAAAGGCCGTGGATGAAGACGAAGAAGAAATGAAAGGAGGTAGAGGAGTAAGCTTGTGGGAGCGACGAAGGTGGGAGAGAAGGCGATATGATGTTTGCATTAAAACCAGCTTCCGAGCGGAGTTCACTGGGTATAGCTTCTTCCTCGGCGAACTTTCATGGATGAGTTCTTTCCCTCTCGTTTCCTCAACGCTGGCTTCCGTTCAGTGGGGAGAAGAAATGAAATGTGGGAGAGATTCCTCACAGGCACGGAAGAAGAGCATATCCCTCTCCTCCTTCTACACTCTATTCACAGCTACAAAGTGACGCAGCTC